AAAGTTAATTTTGAGAGTTTTTTGGGTCGGATCGATTGTCTTTTACGCGCTTTGAACTCAGTACGTCCACGTGACACAAGATTGAAACTTACGTACAAGACCACAGAAGGATTTTATAAACTTCCCCGGACAAATCCCCAGAAAAGAGGACATGTCCGGGTAAAAGAGGACGTATCGTCACCCTAAACATACACCTGTCTGAATATTGATCTGTTTGGTGATTGTATCTTTGTTTCTTTCCTGTCTTTTTTAAATCATTGTGTAACGTATTGATCGGGAATCGAACCCCCTGCTGAGAACAATGCCGAGTCAATCCTCTTTCTTGTTTGCTTTTTGTGTTTTTAAGGTCTGACCTTTGACCTGTGCTGGTTATTGTTCGTAACATTGACAGGAATCGACGTTCATTCTTGCTCTGAATTCGGGTCTTTTTTCACTTTAAGCCTCTTTTTTCAGACGTACTCTCACTTCTCTAAAATAACATCTGATTCCTGCTCCTCAGATAAAAACATCAGCGTTGGGAAGAACCTCTTCAACTCTGCAGATCTACATATTTATGTCGTTTCTGCTAAATCAAACTCTTCTTGCAGCTGGAGGTGAATTTACAGCTCGATGACGTCTAACTCCGAACTCTCCAGGACTCTGCACTTTCTCCCGAGCCTCGTGAAAACTCCCCTGGTTCTCCTCTTCTGCAGGCTTTTGCGAACGTACCCCTCCTCCCCTCCTCGCCAAAAAGAAAGCACATCTGGCCCTCGGAGCGCCCCCTGGGCCCCCTTTTTGCAGCCCCTCCCAGACGTGAACTTGGCCTACCTAAATGTTTTTGTTCATGCAGTCTGTGTCTGTCTTATGGACGGAGAGAAAGAGAGAGAGACGGAGAGAGAGGAGGGATGGAGGGAAGGAATTTCAACATAAACTGCCTTTTATTTACACAATTGAAAACATCAACAAGAGAAACTTATGAGAGACAGACGAGTGTGTGTGTGTGTGTGTGTGTGTGTGTGTGCGAGAAACCAGAGAAAGGGAAGAAGAGGAAGGGCGCGTCCACATTACATCATCCATACCGTCTCTGTACATTCCTCCTCAATTTAAGCAATGCCCCTTTGGCCAATCAGTTGCCATGACAACAAACACATCACTTAATCCAATTAACCGACGAGCGAGTCTTTAAGAAAAGTCAGATGAGCCAAACTAGTCCCTCAAAAAGTCGCCGGACTCAAGTGACGACGCACCAATCGGCTGCCAGTCCATCAGCCAGTCAATCACATGGACTCGATTGATTAAAACCAGCTGTCCTGACCCCCCCGCTCCCCGCCTCGCCTCCTCCACCTCCTCCTCCTCAGATGACTGAGTTCATTGTTTTAGCAGCTCAGCCCACTCCTCTGCACTCACACAGGGAGCCGGTCCAGATCTGCAGAAACATTACGAGTTTCTCTCTCTCTCTTCTCTGTTTCACTTCTTTTGTTGTTCGTCAGAATTTTGCACCTCAGAGAAAAACTGACATCACTTTGATCAGCAGGAACAATCTGATTCAACTTCAACTTCAGAAGTTAAGACGGTTAGAAGATAATCTCAGAGTTCACAAGACAACCAAGGCTTTTCAGGGTCATATGTAAACTGTTTACGAGACAATACCATTTGAACATATTAACGATTTTTATAAACGGCTTTGTAACTGCCAGGTTCTTCCTCTTCGACTTCCATTTGAAGGCACTGTTACCTTGCTAGCTGCACTCAGTCGGTATGTTCACCAGCACAGTCAAGTCAAGCTAGGTTAAAGCTTGATTAGCTATTTAACTGGACTTCAAACAGATTACTAACTAAAGTATGTTAGGGGCTAATGTTCGTGGAAGTTCATGAGATCGCGGTTTGTACGACATAGTTTGATGAAACAACGATGTCTACGCTGCCTCGTGAAATAGTTCTCATCAATTTACCACGTGGACACAAAACCACTCATAAATGCAATTTATAACTCTAGGGTGACCATAATCTGTCTTCCCAACAAGAGGACATGGGAAGGAGTCACGAAGTCGCACAAAGTTTATTTTGAGAGTTTTTAGGGTCAGATCAAGTGTCTTTTACGCGCTTCTAAATCAGCAAGTCCATGTGACACAGAATTGAAACTCTTGTACAAAACTGCGGACATTTGCAGGATTTTATAAACTTCCCCGCACAAAGCCGGACAAGGACGGACATCCCCCAAAAAAGAGGGCATGTCTGGGTAAAAGAGGACGCATGGTCACCCCACAAATACGCAACTTCACAACTTAGCGTTAGCTTGCTAGCAGCAATTGGTCAGGATATTTACGCGCACAGTCAAGTCAAGCTAGGTTTAAGCTTGATTAGCTATCTAACTGAACCACAGACTAAAGCATGTCCACCTCCTCTGGTATTTTCACCTCGTTACTTTTAGAGCTGTTTCCTGGTTATATTGCGTACCAAAACAATCGACAAACACATTAGCAAGAGGCTGTCAATTGATAAAAACATGGACAAGTTTACAGATCTTCATTTTTTGTACAAAAACAACAGCTCCGTCTTCTCCTGCTGTTACGGTTTTGTTTACTTGTGTTGCTCAGAACGCTGGTTTGAGTCTGATTGGGAGAAAATCCAAGTTAGTCCAACTACGAGGAATTCGACCTCAGTTGGGTTAACATGTTTTCCTTTCAAAAGTCCAGATTCAGTCAGATTATGACAATAAATCTGTTTTTTGTTTTTTTGTTTAGTACTGTTTGCATGTTGCAGAATAAATGCAGTCAGTTGTTTTCTTTTCAGTCTCTCACACTTTCACACTCTGAGTTGAATCATCCGTACGATGATCCAACATCTCAGAATTCTGCTCTGTAAGCGGCTGTTTTCCCCTGGGTCCTCTCCACATCACATTTCTTTTGCCAGAGCTTCAAAGCCTCAGTGTAATTGTGTAATTCATGTGTGTGTGTGATTGTTACTCTACTCACAGGACCAAGCATGCGCCTGGCGAGTCTCATATCCCGGCGTTTGTTTATGTGTGTTTACGCTTATTTGTTTAGAAGAGCTGGTCCCAGGCCAGTCAAAACCAGGACAGCGCTGCCACTTAGGATTTGTTAGTTCCCCGCAAACCCTTATTAAGACGTTTTAGACGGGCCATCTGATTTCGTCACATGTGGGTCTGTTTACAACATAGACTGGAGTCATGTAGAGGTCAAAGTTCACCCCCTAAGATTCAACAATAAAGACTGAAAGCGAAAGAATCTACAGAGATTGGATTCAGATTACAGCGCACCCTTGCTCACCCCTTCTATCAAGGAATTTACGAAGGCCTTTTAAGACAAGAAGCAAATGTTCTTAGTTTGTCCCTTCTAGGTTTCCTTTGTTTTTGTAATTATCAAATAAGCAGATTATACGCCATGATGGACAAGGTCAAACAGAAATCAACCGAGGACCTTTTAACGCCGCGAATTTGACATCGTGGAGAAATCGAGCGGATTCAGCGTCCTCACACTCTGTCCTGGCTTCTCCCTGCCAGGAATGATGGATTACTGTCCCGCTCTGAGTGTCAGAGAGCAGACGGTCACTGGAGTTAGCCATGCTCCTACACACACACAGAAACACACACTCCCACTGTGCGTGTGTGTTGTTATGATATGAATCATTTTGGTGTCGTGTGACGGAGAGACGAAGATGGAAACAGAGGTCGCGGGGGAGGACGACGTCGGATCTCTTGCTCTTTGATTTTTACAAACACACACGGGTGAATCTGAAGGCCGGGGACAGGATACGTAACGCACAGAGAAACACACACATACATACATACACACACACTGAGGTGGAGCGTGTCAGGCCAGGTTTCTGCAGTGCAGAGCAGGCGGCTTCACAGCATCACCATATGGACCGGTACTGAAGTCAGAACATTGAGAGGTGGAGGGATGGAGGGAGGAAAGGAAGATAGTGGGAGAGGGAGAGATCGAAAGAGAGGAACAGGCTCATTAGGGGGTTGATCAGTCTCAGAGTCCACTATCGTCTGCCCGTGATATTAATACCAAAGTCAGGATGTCATTGTGGAGGATCGTGTTCTACCTACTTTTACTCTACGTATCGACAGTTTTTGATTTGTTTGGAATCCCATAAACTTCAACAAAGTGGTTGCTGTTCTTCATGGGGTCCAAAAACTTGAAATCACAATACACTTACATTTTGACGCCAAAACCTGGTCCAGACCCCGTCGTTCAGACTGCACAGTATTAATGCTGAAAAAGATACTGGATTCAGGGTTAGTTCAGCTCATTAGGTAAAATTAAAGATATAACGACATTAATTCAAGTCATGGTCAAACACACCGCTACACACCCTGTCGAGAGATGAATGTTGCCGACCGCTTGCTTCTCTTGTTATTCCTACTTTAGGAACGACCGCAAGATAGCAATACAGAGACTGAAGAACTAATGATCATTACTTTCTTTCCTTGAATAATCACCATATTACTCATTTTGCACTGCAGACCTGGTAGTTCTTCTGCCTTAGCGTCTCAGTCTGATTGCATTTCCATGAGGGAATAATAAATGTTCTTCCTTGAGCTGTGTCACCCCGCTGCAGTTGGTGATGGGCTGGCCCGGAGGTGTCCGTACAAACAAGCGGCTGCTGGAAGAGAGTAGGCGAGTTGTGTTTAGTCTCTTTGCTCAAGAAATAATGCTTAGTTAAAAGATGTTTGGTGGGTAGTGCTATGGCTAGGATGAAGAGGTCATGGGTAGTGGATGGTGAAAGCGTCATGGGTCACCAGGTGGGGGATTACCTTAGCGCCGATGATGATCTTTATTGCCATGGCTGGGACCCTATATGTCCTGTTGATGAAGTTAGGTGCTGTTCTGAGCATTATTTGTGGCTATAGAGTGGCGTTTTGGTTGAGGTTTGTTTACGGTTCCTCAGACCGCTGTGTATTGCTATCCTGCGGTCGTTCATTAAGTTGGTATAACTAGAGAAGCAAGCAGTCGGCAACATTCATCTCTCAAGGGGGTATCCAACTCTGTGTTGCGGTGTCTTTGACCCTAACTTAGATTTATGCCAGAATATCTCCTGAAGATGGTGGGAAAAAAATTAACCATAGTCAGAGAAATTCAAGCTGGGAAGGAGGGAGAAAGGAGGGAATATGGAAACAGTGGAGGTAAAAAAGCAGATAGTAAAGGGATTAGGAGTGTAGACAGATGGATGCGTGCAGGATGTGATGGAAAAGAGAGGTTGGAGGGATTAGATAGAAGAATAAAAAGAGGATGATTGCAGTTCAAAGATGGAGAGATTGAGATAGTCGAGTAAAAACACGTGAAACCAGCGCTTTGTTTTGTAAATAACAGTTTATTTGAAAACCGGGGGTCAGGCTGATCTCTGTTTAGCTGCTGCCCTGCTTGGCGGCCAGCCTCTTGTCTCTCTCCTCGGCGATGGTCAGACGGATTCCCTTTCCTCTGGGCAGGGACACCCACGGCTTGTTGCCCTGGAGACGAGAGGATGGAGACAACAGTCGTTTGTTAACGAGGATCAAAGGGGAGTACAAAGTGCAGGTGGCAAACAGAGTCAGAGTGTTGAATCGTAACGTGATTTTAGCCTTTAGAAACGTACAGATGTCGCTTTTTCTTTATCATATTAAAGCAGATTCAGTAATTTTACTTTCATTGTTACACCTACAAAAATATGGAGTTAGTCATGCAACTTCAAGACTGATTCCTGAGTCTGATCCTGTTGGTTTGCGGCTCGTTTGTTCAGTTCAACCAGAGTGCTCAGGCCGGATTTGTACCTCAACATTTGACTACAACCTTCTTTGGAGGAGCTCAGAACTTCTTAGAGGACTTGGTCGTGTATTTTCATCGCTGATCAAAACCAAAAGCATCATCATCGCTCCAAAACTCAACAAACCCTCTGAGAGAGTTGACTAGTTTGACATAAATCCACAGACGAGTGTTTTCAGGGACGGGTTCTTTCTTCACCTTGCCAATGACGAAGATGTTGGAGAGCCTGGTAGCGAAGCTGTTTCCGGTGCTGTCCTTAACGTGAACGACGTCGAAGGAGCCGGGGTGACGCTCCCTGTTGGTGATCACACCGATACGCCCCAAGTTAGCACCGCCGGTGACCATGCAGAGGTTACCTGTGGGGAGAGGAAAGGGTTAAAACTCGACTTAAAGGGTTAACTCTTCGTTAAAAATGATCGGATCTATGATGATGAGGCGAGCAGAAGACGAGGATCAGAGGAACGCACCGGTATCAAACTTGATGAAGTCTGTGATCTTGCCGGTGTCCAGGTCGATGCGCACTGTGTCGTTGACCTTGATGAGGGGGTCGGGGTAGCGGATGGTGCGAGCGTCGTGGGTCACCAGGTGGGGGATTCCCTTGGTGCCGATGATGATCTTCTTCACCTTGCACAGCTTGTACTGCAGAGGGAGAGATGGTCAATCAAATCCTGCAAACAGACCTCTCCTGATGAAAACATCTGGCTAAGATCAGGCGTGTTCCTCACCTTGGCCTCCTCGGCGGTGATGCGGTGGACGGTGAAACGTCCCTTCACATCGTAGATCAGACGGAAGTGCTCGCCGGTCTTCTCGATGCTGATCACGTCTGGAGGAAGAAGAAGAAGCACGAATCTTAATATCAGGACATGTTTGCTCAGAGAATTAAATAGACTACCTCGTTTAATTTGATCATGAAATGCAAATAACAACTTCAAAGTTAATTTTACCAGCTGAAGTTACAGGGACTCAGATTTCATTAGGAGCACCATGAGTTCAGCTGCACATTTCCAACACAGATTACAGTAAAAAGGGTCAGTAAATATATCGAGATGACCCACTTAAGACTTCCTTCTTCCATAAATCATATAAAAATCAACCATCTGCAGCTAATTAACATGTTGACACACTCCGCACACTTTAATACCTCGTGTTTGACAAATATTCAACATAATCAGACAGACAGAGACCCTTCGGTGCCCCTCTGAAAGGGTTCCGACAGTTGGAATTTTCATACTTTTTGGAATTATTATTTGAAAACACCTTCTTTCCTATCTTTGATTTTTTTTTTTACTGTGGTAATAGTCTGGTTACCTTTATATATTTTCCATATTTTTTTTCTTCATTTCCCACTTTTCAAGACCCAGAAACTGATCAAATTACTTCAATACCTTTCCATACTTGTGTAGGAACCCTGCTCTCATGTCAAACACAGATTTAGATGCACCGTCTCACTCTGAAGATAACCTTGTAAACTATCTAAAATCAAATTTATGAAACTACTGAATTTTTTGCACTATAAGGTGCACTTAAAATCCTTTTGGCTTGTCTGAGCACTGCAGCTACCGTAGCCTCATGGAGTTATTGACGGTTTTGTTTGGCTCAATGCGCTTCATAATCCGGTGCGCCTTGTATGTATGAAATTACACAAAAATAGATGCAAATAGATGCGTTTATTGATGGTGCGCCATATAGTGCGAGAAATACGGTAACTAAATTCAAAACAGTCCCTCGACTCAGGCAGAACAGGGGACTCACACACCAAACACCTTTCTAGAAACAACCAGCTGACGAAAACACCCAGCAGAAGTTTAATCAAACACTTGTTTGTGACAAAATTTACTCTTTTGTTACTGTGATGCAATACGCTAGCACAAGCAGGGTTTCTGCAGGTTTCAACAAGTCAAATTTAAGACTTTTTACAACCATAAGGAAAACAATTTAAGGTGAATTTTACATCCATACTGGCAAAAATTGCAAAAGACATGAAGGGAAATCAGAACATTTTGAACTAACGTCAAATTGATCTTTATTTTTAAGCAACATCTATACATTTTTAGAGCTTTCAAATTTGTATTAAAGACAGTTTATGAGGTTTAGAGAATTTTAAGGCTTTAAATTCAAATTATTGGATTTTAGACATTTTTAGACTCTTTAATACCCAGCAGAAACCCTGACAAACATGCAGACATTTGCTTTGCCTGCACCATCACTGTAACAGTGTGTCGGTCTGAGCAGCTGAAAAGTCTCAGATGGTAGTCTTCTCACACTGGAGGTTCAAATCAGACCTGAGCTGACCGTCTGTCGTTTCTAACGTAACGTCAATTAAGAGCTTACATGTGCTTAGGTTGTGGAAGTGCTACTGCATGAATAAAGTCATGTATTACTACTACTGTGTGGCCGCCTCCACCACCCACATTCACAGTCATTCAGAGGGAAAGTTTCATGTTACTTCGCCTCGATGAGGTTTCAGCACAAATCAACACCAGCGATCAGACTCTTCAAATTCATCCATCACTATTAAACCGTTCACACCGTTTCATAAAGTTTCCATCAGCTGAAAGTGAACGACTGCCGAAGCTGAAGGTGTGAAAGATCTGCCGCGGTCATCTTAGTGCGATGGCGTCCCTCTGGTTTGAAAATTAAAACACCTCGCCTCCGTGTGAAGCTGCTGACCAGCTCAAGGTGGAACTGACCCTGACGACTGAGACCGAGTGTGGGCACCGACAAAAACTACAAAAGGACCACAACCCTGATTCCCTCTCTCAAACAGTTATATCACTAATTTTGAGTTGAAAACAACAAAAATGTAGAATTCAGATGATAAAGTGAGACTTTCTGCACAAGACTCACTTCTCAGACAAGTCAGTATTTGAATGTTTTGGGAACAAGCGATGACAGCTTTGGTGACTAAGATCTGCTGTTTCCTGCACATGTACTGTGACAGAACAACAAAGTCCAATACTGCAGATTCACTCAGTGTGACAACTTCAGTCTCACGTGTCCAAAGAAATACCAAACTGAAGTTCCTCTTAAAATCTGATGGATGTTAGTTCGCTCTCCGACTAGAGGACTAATAATCAAGTTCTGAACTCGAGCTTCATGAAAGGACAAAAACTATCAGGTGTTGCACGTGGAGCTCAGAACTTCTTAGAGGACTAGGTTTGTAGTTTCAGCTCATCACTGATCAAAACCACAAATTCATCATTGCTCCTTCTACCTCTGACAAACTGGCAGAAACACTCTTGACAAAGTTGACCTCTAAAATCCACAATATTTCACAACATGACCCCTGAGTTTTAAACATCTAACCGTCCAGAGACCACCTGTGTCTCCTGCTATAAGGAATAGTCCTAAACTCACCCATGAATCCAGCAGGGTAGGTGACATCGGTGCGGACTTTGCCGTCGATCTTGATAAACCTCTGCATGCAGATCTTCTTCACCTCGTCCCCGGTCAGGGCGTACTTGAGGCGGTTCCTCAGGAAGATGATGAGGGGCAGGCACTCCCTCAGCTTGTGGGGACCGGTGGAGGGACGAGGAGCCTGAAGACGAAATAATCGATTCATGAGTTTGACACTTGACTTTGACTGTGGCTTATACAGCGGTGATTGAAGATGGACAGGGAACATTAAATTCCACTGTACACTTTCATTAAAAACTCTTTTCAGTCAACAGCCCTCATTCACATCCTTAAAGCACATAGTATAAAAGAGACCAGATCCCTAATCTAACATCTGCACCCTGAATCTCACTTCGTTACGGAAGAGTCACCTAAACAGTAGGAATGGGAATCGAGAACCGGTTTCCAAGGGTTCAATCCATCGACATCAGACAAAAAAACATGAAAGATACGAACAGGCGGCAGAAACAAGCTAAAGCATGGCTTAATTTTACTAATAAAGACGACAACAGTGCAACTTTTGTCGAGCAGTGATAACATGCAAAGTTGGAAACACCAGCAATATGCTTAAACTCTACTAAACTGTCAAAAACAGCTGGTTTCCTGGATGTATGTTATAAGGAGTCAAATGTATTTGATGCTCTCCACCGGTTGTCAGCCGCTGCAGCTCTGTCTCAGCACAACATGGAAGGACATGTCTTGTTTGTAGTGAGACCTCAGGCCAGCCCATTACGGACTGCAGCGGGGTGACGCAGCTCAAGGAAGAACATTTGATCCTTTCTTTATGGAAATGCAATCAGACCGAGACGCTAAGTCAGAAGAACTACCGCGTCTGCAGTGCAAAATGGTTATTGTGGTGATTATTACTTCATGGAAATAATGAAGAAATGATCACAAAGGTTCTTCCTTGAGCTGCGAAACTCTACTGTAGTCCATAATGGACTGGCCCCAGGTCTCGCTACAAACAAGCAGCTGCTGGAACAGTTGTGTTTAGCCTCTTTCTGAATGAAATTATGCAAAGTTAAAAAGATGTTTGATGCGTCTCGGTCAGATTGCATTTCCATGAAGAAATTATCATAAATGTTCTTACTTGTGGCGTTTTGGTTGAGGTTTGTTTATGGCTCCTCAGACCGCTGTGTATTGCTATCCTGCGGTCGTTACTAAAGTTGGTATAACTAGAGAAGCAAGCGGTCGGCAACATTCATCTCTCAAGGGGGTGTCTAACTCAGTGCTATGGTGTGGTTAACCATAAGTTAATTTTACACCTTAATATCCCTTTAAGTCAAAATGTTATAAAACTACATTTGGTGATTCCAACTTGCATTTAGAGTGATATTGGCACAAAATTTCACCAAGAAGTTTGATGACAAATTCAACAAACATGATTATCTCTTTCTACAGCTGCATAAAAGTGATTGTAGACTAAGTTTGAATCAGAAACTTAAATATCAAAGACTTTGATAAGGTTGATATATTATCATACCGGCACCAACATGCATGTACCTCAGTGAACAGCCTCACTGCAACCTACAGAGACTAATTTACCCTCATTTCTCTGCACAGGACAGTTCAAGGCTTAAAACCCTGTTAATTCCACATATTTAATCAAAGTTTAAGTTATTGAGGACTGTTGTACTTACAAACACTCCAGTGAGCTTGTCAAGCATCCAGTGCTTTGGCGCTGCAACGCGCTTCAGGTGCTTCTTCGGTCCTCTTGCCTGGAAGAAAAAGGAGGAAAATACCGGATAAATGACGGGATAAAGAACCGGTGACAACCGCTGAAAACAAATCGTTTTCCAGTAACATATTCAGATTTAAAAACGATGAGAAATATGAGGAAAAAAGAGGGAAAACTGAAGTTATCTGGTTATCATAGAGCGCGAACGTGGAGCTTGACGCTACCGGCTGCGGCCTAACCGGATAAAAGTCAAATAAATGTTAACAGTTCTACTATGCTTTGAGTTTGTGAATATATATCACACTGAGGATTTTACAAATGTGTACTTTAGATTAAGGCAAAGGTATCACACAGAAAGGCTGCCGTCGCTTAAAATAGAAAGCTAACACCGATAGCCACACTCATGCTAACAGCGGTGTAACAGAGACCAAACCGGGGTCATCACGTTTCAAATCATCGATTAAAACCTACAATCGCTACTTTTGGTTACAATATAAACATCTACCATTTATTAAGAAGTGGAGTTACAGGCTAGGACGTGTAAGTGCGGGATATAACGAGAGCAGAAAGTGATGTTTAGTGATTATTTCAGAGCAGAATCGTGAGGGAAAACGGCTCACCATGTTGGAGTCTGCGGGGAAAAGGACCACACAATTTCCGGTATTGGATGATAAGGCCGAGTACGGCAGACTGGGAGGGACAAACGACGAAACGCGCAAGTTCGAAATAGTTTCAATTGTTAGTTTGAGGACAATCCTTTACTTTTAACGTTTTTTTAATATCACACGGTAAAACGTCGATGTTTAACGTATTACAGGAAAGTTGTACATATAAAATTTTGATTTTGATTCCGTAATATTATGTATCGTTGATAACATTGCGTAATAAGTTAGGACTATAGACATGATAAAGAGATTATTTATCTATTTATTCTTTATTTTGTCTATGGTTAGGACAGTAAAATTGGCAATTAAAGGGGATCATAAGGTGATAAATAAGGTGCCTGTCTCTTGAAATAGCCGATTGTTGGCACGATTTACATTTGCTGATACAAATAAACATGATGTTTTTTGTTAGACGTTTACAGTTTTGAAAATAGTTTCGAACATGAACATTTTTAGGAGAAAATATATGCATTTTTATCTGCTAAAACCGCTCCACGAGTACTTTTGAAGTCAGTGTTTTTTAATACAATGAACTTCACATTTAGAATTAAATTAAAATTGTCAGTTTTGCAAATAAATGACAAAATTATGTTCACAAAATAACTGAAATAAAACCCAGAGTTTTTAAATTGAATAAATGTGCAAAAAATGTTCACAAAAAAGGCGTTTTGAGTAACAAACGTGTTAATCATCTTTGCAGTTGAGCAGAAATTGTGTTTTTTCCACTCCTCTGTTTCTCCTCCTCGGTGTATGTCGGATCGTCATGTCAGGAAATACCAGAGAAGCGGACAGAGCTCAGCCCTGTTTGCACCGATGGAGATAAAACTCTCCAGGGTGTTCGTCTTCCTCTGCCGAATGATACCAACTGATGAACACATGATGCCGTCTCTCTCTGCTTCCTCCTCCAGACGACAGAAAAGAATCCCAGCAGAATCCTTTATTTAGACCTGCTGAAAACCCTCTCATGTGCATTCACACTCTGTAGTCAGACTGTGCACAAGTCTGTTTCCCTCAGAAACAAAACACTAACCTGCATTTTATTTATGCAGTATTTTGAACTGATAAACAATCTGAAATAAATCAAAAACTGCTCTTCAAAATCACTTTTAAGTATAAGCAAGAAAGTATAAAAACAAAAATACCCACAGAAAAAATATTCAAACCCATATCTGACTAAATTCAAAACAAATAAAAAGTACATAAATGAATGTGTTTTGATATAATTTGCTTCAATATGATTCAGTACAGCATGATATATGATATAAGTTGATGCAATAAGGCTAAAAGTATTACTTTTAATACAATACAACACAGTACAAAGAGGTGTAAGTTATGAGATAAGTTTTGATTTATAATGATAATACTAAATCACAATAATACAGTGTAATTTAATTAAGTTCAGAAAAATTCATTATGGTACCATGTGATGCATCTATCATTAATTAAAGTAATGGAGTACATGTACGTAGTGGAGGGGCTCAGCAGTCCAACACTCTGAGTGCATCGGGTGAAATATTCACCGATATTTTCTCGGTTTTAATTTCCTGACCCTCTCCCTGAGAGGCTGTCGGACTGAGCGCTCAGTCCAAGAAAGTTTATCAGATCTAAGAAGGATTCCTGGAGTCTTATTAGAAAAGTTTGAGGGCTAAGAAGGCCGCGTTTGTTTATTCTGGCAGGCTGCGGGATGTTTAACACAGATGTGCGGTTTAATGAAGTCCAGCTGATGTCCTGAGCTAACTCTCTTCTTTTATTTCACACATGTTCCAGGCTGATCCACCCTTTTTCAGAGAGCTTTTCCAGTAAAATTAAGTCATCTATAATCACGAACATCCACAGGAATAGTTTTCTTTTCATGATTGCAAATGTTTGAAAAGGACTGGTGAGAAGTAAAGTTTTAAGTCTAGTATTTTATATTCAATGATACCTGATATTTTTACTCTTTTATAATTCAGAGGGGAATTTTTGTGCTTTAGCTTTAACACAGGTTATTGCAGAAGAGGGCACTTTACTGCACTTCTATCACCACTAGGTGGCAGCAATGCAATACATTTCTGCTATATCAAGAGCCATCTTTACTCAATTTAATGACTAAATATGGTAAAAAAAAACTCTGTTTATCTACACTGTCAAATAACCTTCATCCATACAATCAAAAAGTGACTCTTAAAGCAAAACAAACACATCTTTAAGAGTCATTTAGATACATATATGTTTGGTGTTTGGTGTGTCAGATTTGCTTTCACTATGTCTCCATTCTCCAAATTGCAAGTCATAAAATCTTGCAACAAAGAGAGCCTTCAAGAAGTTTTGGATTTATAGTTGAAGCAAATGTTAAAGGGATATTCCGACACTGAGTTAGACACCCCATCGAGAGATGAATGTTGCTGACCGCTTGCTTCTCAAGTTATACCAACTTTAGAAACGACCGCACTATAGCAATACAGAGAGCCACATGCTCAACCAAAACGCCACTCTATAGTCACAAATAATGTTCAGAACAGCACCTAACTTCATCAACAGTACATATAGGGTCACAGCCATAGTGCTAGTCACCAAACATCTTTTTAACTTTGACTAATTTCTTTAGCAAAGAGACTAAACACAACTCAAGTGGAGGAGTTCAAGTATCTCGGGTTCTTGTTCACGAGTGAGGGTAGGATGCCGATCCTCACCTATGGCCATGAACTTTGGGTATTGACCGAAACAACAAGATTGCGGATACAAGCGGCCGAAATGGGTTTCCTTTGCAGTGGTGGCCGGGCTCAGCCTCAGAGATAGGCTAAGGAGCTCGGACACTCGGGAGGCGCTCAGAGTAGAACTGCTGCTCCTCCAGGTCGAGAGGAGTCAGCTGAGGTGGATCGGCATCTGGTTAGGACGCCTTCTGGACGCTCTTTGCTAATGAAAATTAGGCAAAGTTGAAAAGAGGTTTGGTGGCTAGGACCTTATATGTCCTGTTGATGAAGTTACGTGTTGTTAATAATCTAATAATCTGAGCATTATTTGAGGTTATAGAGTGGCGTTTTGGTTTGGTCGTTACTAAAGTTGGTAAAACTAGAGAAGCATGCGGTCGGCAACATTCATCTTTCAAAGGATTCTCTAACTCAGTGTTATGGTGTGTTTGACCCTAACTTAATTTTACGCCGGAATATCCCTTTAAAGGGGAAAAGAAATCCTCCATTTTTAATTTGTGCACTTACCATGCCACACCAGCAGGTGGAGGCCTAGGACAACAAAAGGCATTGACGCCAAGTTGGAACGTCTGCAATGACTTTTAACATATTGTAAGTGGTTGTTTTTATGTGTAACAAAGCCAACGTTGACCCCAGCTGATATTTTCTCTTTCTTTATTCATCCTCAAACTCAGATCCGTAACAAAAATACAAGCCTTTTTTCAATATAACTCAGTCATTTACATTTTCGTAGTGATGTACAAGTGAGAGCCGGTGAGCAAAAGTGCTTTAAAATCATCTTTGAATAGTATTCATTCCATTGTAAGAAAAAAAAAAATCATATAAACAATGAAATTAAACCACAAAATGGGAAATGATCAAATGTTTTAAAGTAAATATGAGGAAAGAAAAAGATTAAATCAGTGCAGAGTCTGCTTGTTCAGGAGAGCAGTGGCTGAACATCTTCATTATGTGCAGAGGAAACCCTGTAACAGATACATCACTGCTGGTGTTGAAGGTTTTTGCAGGCCGTGATGTGTTGGAACATTTTTCACGACCCGGAGGCCCACAGGCAAACGGCCGGGCGTGTAACAAATCACCGCTGTCACAATGCGACGGTAAATCCAGACGTGTAGAGGTCCTGAAAGCTTACACTGACACGGAGCTCTGGAGGAAAACTCATCTCAGCGTTTAGAACAGGCGAGTTAAGCTCGATAAACGAACGAACGGGAGGAGCAACTTCCTGGTTCTGCTTGTTGCCTAGCAACAGCGTATTGCTGCGCTAACGATTTTCCGTGTATACCCTCATAAAACGGCAAATTGTCGTTTATTTTAGCCACTTTTTGAACAAATAACAGCAGCTACACAGACAAAAAGTTGACAATATATTGAGTGTGTTTTATATTAGCTTTAAAATCGTAGCTGGGGCTGCTGTTTGCATCTGTAAACAGTGTTAATGCTAGGTTCGGATCACAGGCTAGCATATTATCAATAAAGCTACAGAGCTAGCTTAAACTAATCTTTTTAATCCCAACTGATACAGCTATTTGGTACTTTGAGTAGCATTAGGTCGCAAACTTGGGTGTTTTTATATGTTTTCATTCATAATTTAATCAAGTAATTTTTACAACATTATTAGAGATTATATAGGAACAGTAATATTGCAGAGCATCATCAAACTGAGAAGCTAAATATAGTAACTCAGGCTTTTTTGTGACTCTTTTTGGCAAAGTTAGAGCCAATTGTAAAATATGTAGTCTCAAAAATGTTTTTATTCAGTTTGGGGGATTTAAATCTAGGGTTATCAGTGTAAAAAACGTTTTTATTTTCAGCTAGACAGGTTTTAGGTCTGCAATTTCATTTATTGTGATAATCTCATCATTTTGTGCATTATTTAAACATATAAAATACACCCAAGGTATTCAAAGCAAACCAAAAACCACAAAAACAGCGTAGCAGTTTTAAGAGCACTTTATCTCGCTAAAGCAGTAGCAACAGCGTACTGCTAGGGTAACGTCTTTCTGTGCGTGATACCCTCATAAAATGGCAAATTGTTGTTTATTTTCACCATTTTTTGAGCAATTAACAGCAGCTTTACGGACAAAAAGTTAACAATATGTTGTTAACTTTTGTCCTAATGCCAGGCTTGGTTCACAGGCTAGCATATTTACCAACAATGAAGGTGAAGCTATCCGATTAAGCTACTGAGCTAGCTTAAACTTATCTGACATTGTGTAATATTTAGTGATTTAATATTTCTAATAAATCAAAAAACCATTTAATCCCAACTCACACAGCAATTTGGTACTTTTACGTTGCGTTCCTTATATTTTTGTTTTGTTCTTTATATTTTCATTCATAATTTATCAAGGAATGTTAATGGTATTATTGGGGATTTTATGTAAAGAGTATAAAAGCTGGGAATCCTCAGTTTGAGAGATTTGGGATTTTTTGTGACTTTTTGGCAAATTGTGAGCCTATTACAAAATCTTGACTCTCAACAATGTTTTGATTCACTCCCGGGGGATTTTAATCTGAGATTATCAGCATAAAACCATTTGTATGTTCAGCTAGATAGGTTCCAGGCCTGTAATTTCATTTATTGTGATAATCTCATCATTTAGTGCATTATTTAGACATAAAATACACCCAAGGTATTCAAAGCAAACCAAAACCCACAAAAACGAGTTCTTTCAAAAACATTTTAAATTGTTTTTATAAGCAACTGTATAGCTGTGAGGTATATTTTAGTTCAAGAGGTCTCTGCTCTCTCGGGTTAATCTGCAATATTGAGCGTCAAGGAGAAGAGGAAATGAAAGCCCTCAGATGATTCAAACAACTCCACCAGGCAACTTCTCACACAGCAAAAAATAACATTCAACCAGCTGGGATTACCGCAGAACAACACACAGAAAAACGACTTAAAAACAATGCCGAGCAGATGGAAACGAACAGGAGACTGACCTCAAGTGAAGTATGTTATTTTGACCCACTTAGGCAAAGAGACAGAGGAAGAGAAGAATCAGTGTGTCTGTCTGCTGGATTTGGAAGAGATGAGTAGCATCTTTTTTTCCTTCTTCTTCTGCTCCTCACTGAATGAAGTGTTTGTTTTCAGGATGGGGAATATCTGCCAAATCCCCTTTTTTTCTATAAAGGAACCCTTCATCATGTTTTAATTTACCACTTTTATTGAAAAAAGGACATGAAAACTGATCCTCTATGTGCTAATAGTGGAGTGTGCAAAGAAAGCAGTTGCTGTGTGTAAGTCAACCTGTCTTTGTCTAAATACATTAATGAGGCCGAGCAGAGTTCTTCATTAGGAAGAACCTGCTGCTCATTGTTTACCTTCACACGCCATTAAGCTGTGGTCAGACCAAAGCAAACGTTTAACTGCGGGGTAATTTGTGTTTATTGGGGACGTTTAAACATGACCTGTGACTGTACACTCTTGCTAAAGTGTTTAAAAACCACATTACTGAATCAAGGTGTCAGCAAGTTGAACCTGTTTTAAAACTTTTCAGAGCTAAATGGACCCAAGACGAAGAAATTTCAGGTCAGGTTAATCTCAAATGTGATGAGTGCTGAGCTGATGAATTCGCGAAAACGCTGAGGTGTTATCCCCCCAAAAAATCCTCCAAAATCTTGAATTACCCTCTTGAAATCCACATTTGTCATTGTATTTGACTGCACTGCGTCCAGCTCCACCTTCTGGAACCTCTCCCATCTTTCGACAATATTTGCATACTGCGCCAAACGATCCCTAACTTGACTGCTTGGTGGAAATGCACCATGAAAGAATCAAAAGTGAATTTCTCACCTCATCAGTCAACATATCTTGACACTGAAGATGTAGTTTGTGTTGCAAAAGAGACGTTTTTCCATCAGTGAAGGTTCAAACTCAGGTATGTTAAAATTAGCCTCACATGAGAGACAATTTATAACAAGAATTTCCCGGTTTCCTTGAGTTCTTTCTCTTTTTTAGCTAACGTTACTCTCCTTTCACACGCTCTTAACCCCGATTCTCTGTAAAGTCTGTGTGTAACTGAACAAGTGCCTGTTTCACGGCTGCTACTCCCATTTCCCAGCTGTAATACCATCCTCGCTCTGCTGTGTGTGAGTGTGTCTTTGTGCGCGTCAGGTTTATTTCCATGCCTTTTGTATACCTACATGAACTCTGGTTTCTTTTATGCGAAACACATATCTGCACATCATTGTGTGCATGTTCGTAGTTATTTCATGAGTGCGGTCCAAGAGAAGACTCACAAAGTCCAGGTGACAGACACACCAAGTTTCAAGTGAAAGGCTTTTGTTGCTGCAGCACGACTCGGGCCCCCGTCTCCTTTTACCACAACAGATATAGGTCAGAGCCCCCCATGCATCCATCTGACAGCCCCTATGGGTAGGAGGGAGATGAAGAGAGGGGTATCAGTTGGCTCTGGGGTTTTTGAGTCTGGAAACAACACCTGCTCATTGGACTCAGATATTTCCCTCAGAATTACAGCGTAAGATTAGACGTGACCCAAAATCGTCAGGTAACATCTGGCAGCTGGCGGTGCCGCAGAGGTCTAATGAAGGATATGCAAATGCTGGAAACGAATTTGGTTGCAACAGCTGGGATGAAGACGGCTGAATTGTTATCACATTTCCCAAGTACTTCGAGTCAAACGCGTATTTGTCAGCGAGGAAATTTGTCGTCATTTGAAAATGTGTCAACATCAATCTGCGGATGGTGTTTGAAATTCATCCCAGCTGCTTTTACAAGCTTTGTTTGCCGGTAAATTCAAGCATCTGACAACCAAAAGCTCCAGAAGTTTACGTTTAAGTTTCAAATTAGCAGCTTGAGGCAAATGCGTCAAAGCGATTGGAGGCCAGCATGCTAACAAGTCGCTAAACCAGAGCGCAACTCCTTTTAGATTAGTTAAACAAACGTTGGTTGCAACTGAACCCAAAGAGCATGACAACCGCGCACGCCGGCACACTGCCGGTTGGCCAACTTGTTCTTACCGCATTGACCGTCTTTGATGGGGAGTAAGGCGGTAAAAATGAACAGATTTAGAAGCTGATATGTTAGCGGCACACAAGAGCCGTGTTTCTTTAATGATTTGAGGTTTGAGATGTTCATCTAGCTTTGATACCAGCGTCCAAACTGGAACATATCAACATCTTAAACTGTTGAAACCAAACCATGTCATTAGACTGCCTCAAAGTGACTAAAAACAAAGAAATTGGCAAAGTCAAAGCAGAGGTTAGATACAAGTATCTGTTCTTGCTGTTAGGGTTGTGTACACTAAGGCCAGACCTTGTATCCTCAATAAAAGAGGAAGTGCTCTCTTAGATAATTGACAACAGATTGACTTGACCATCTGGTACAGGGTTTTCTCTCTCTGTTGGCCAGAAAACTAAATGTACATGCAGCGGTGACTCAGAAGACCACAAGTCCTCCAAAGCAGTTTACTCCGTTCTCTGAAAGATCCCCCATCTCTTGATCTAATTCATTACGCTCAGAAAAGTAGAATGGATGATAGAGGCGCTCCTTGTCCAGACACCCTGATGGTTATCAGCCGCAGTCTTAAATAACATGTCCTACGACCACGAGTGGTTGAACTTCATTCAAATGAAAAGACAAAATGGAAAAGAAGAGCTTTGAGATAACCAGTCCCCGGACAAGCAGTGTCTTTGTGAAGGCGACGGATCAGGAGTCTCTTTCCCACGAGACCAGAGTCTAATATTGTCCGTTGAGAAAACAGGAAACATAGTGTTTGTCATCCTTCAGCAACTTCCCAGAAAGTCTTACTTCCAATCATCGTTTTCCTAAATCGAGATCAAGAGAAAGCAGCTCTGAGGAAGTCCAACTTTACGGTTTGTTTCCTGCGAACACCTTCGACCTGTCTTTTTAGAGTCGTCTTGCTCAAAAAGCAGAGTCTCTTTGTTGGACTCCTTGTTTCTGTTCCTACTCTGCTCGTCTTTAAATGAAAAGAGAAAAACAAATAAGAGCTATCTTTCTCGAGTAAAAAGAAATTAAACCAAAGCGTGATATAATTTTTTTGTATTCGTCTTTCTTTCCATAAAAAGTCTCTTTGTCTCCGTTTCTTCGATTTCAACCAAAATATGGGAAAAGAGAAAAGCAAAACGTAGGAGAGGAATTCGTCCCCCTGTTCGTAAACTAGTTCCACAAATCTTTACGTTCTTCTTGTACGTCAGCATCCAGCAGGTACGTCCGACATGAAGTCAAACTCGTTTTGACCCAGCCAAAGCTCCGGCAGCTCATTGGCTCGATCCAAACCGAGCTCCACCACCAGCGACATCAGAACCTCCTCATCCACGGGGTCAAAGTCGATGATTGCACCCGGACCAGAGCTTTGGTTCCCCATGCTGATGCCCACACCCATACCGCCACCACTGAGGGCCGCAGATGGACCAAGGAGCTGGTTCCCTGTGCCAAGGGGCGAGGCGCCAAAGCCCCTTTGAGCCCCATTGGGTGTCGGGTGTCCAACAGAAGCACCGGCGAGGTTCTGGTAGTGCGAGTTGAGCTTCTGAAGCTGCATGCTGGCGATAAGATGCGGCCCCGTCTGCAGGCAGAAGGGCTGAGGTTTAGCCGAAGACAGCGGTGATCCGGGTGAGGAGGCGGCGGCGGCGGACGGGGAGAACGGGACGGAGGTTTTGGAGGATGGGTAGTGGAGCAGGGAGCTGAGAGGAGAGGAGGAAGAGGAGAGGTCCTTCATCGCAGCGTGGGCAGTGCCAGGGATCAGCAGTGAGGTCATCACCAAGAAAACCCAGAGCCTGAAAGAAGAGAGAGAGGAAGCGTTACGCAATATCAACAGACGAGCGTGTGAGTTAAACAGAGGGCCATGTCACAGGAGACAGGACAGAGATTTAGGAGATAGTTGGACATGATCTGATAAACTGATGTCTAATCCAGACATGAAGATGATTAAATAAGGGAAATTTTATACTTGATTACTGCAAGATGGCCCGCGGTCGGATCTGACTGTTCCTGAGAACTATTCACAAACAGAGAAACAACACGGACATTAAATAAGAGCATGAATGGATCTATTCACAGATTTACGCCATGTTTAAATCAGACGTGCTCATTTGAGAAGAGCTGCCGTTGTGTTTAAGCGTCATGTTCAAGTGCTGCCAGTTTCCCAGCTCCAAACATCACACAAAGGCCCGAATCAGTTCAAGAGCGCGGTAAAATGGGCGCACACCTGTGTGAACGTGTGCTCGTTTCCACTCTGATTAGTCATTATGTAAAAGGAAACGTGTCGTCAGGGCAACAACGGTGATGCAACAGTAATCGGGTATCACAGCATGGACCGCCCTTTACTTTACCATGTCTCTTGGTTCAGAAGTGCATTTTACAGCAGGATTAAATCAGATTATCCAGATATTAACAAAGCAACTTGGAACAACTCAATGGCACCAACAAAAAAAGGGCAAGTGAAATAAGCTTGAATAGTCAAAGTTAAAGGGATATTCCGAGTTCGAAAGATGGATGTTGCCGACCGCTTGCCTCTCTAGTTATACCAACTTTAGTAACGAACGCACAATAGCAATACACAGAGCCACGTGCTCAACCAAAACGCCACTCTATAGCCACAAATAATGCTCAGAACAGCACCTTACTTCATCAACAGTACATCTTTTTGGCTTTGCCTCATTTCTTAAGCAAGGAGACTAAACACAACTCACCTACTCTCTTCCAGCAGCTGCTTGTTTGTAGGGAGACCTCAGGCCAGTCCATTACGGACTACAGCGGGGTTTCGCAGCTCAAGGAAGAACATTTATGATCATTTCTTCATGGAAATACAATCAGACCGAGACGCTAAGGCAGAAGAACTACCACATCTGAAGTGCAAAATGATCAATATGGTGATTATTACTTCAAGGAAATGATAAAGAAATGATCACAAAGGTTCTTCCTTTAGCTGCGACACCCCGCAGCAGTCAATGCACTCACCTGAGGTCACCTTACAAACAAACGGCTGCTGGAGGAGAGTGGGTGAGTTGTGTTTACTCTCTTTGCTAAAGAAACTAGGCAAAGCTAAAAGATGTTTGGTGGCTATAGAGTGGCGTTTTGGTATGGTCGTTACTAAAGTTGGTATAACTAGAGAAGCAAGCGGTCTCTAGCGGCCCCAACTTAATTTTTCGCCGGAATATCCCTTTAAATCACCAGAACTACTGTGAATTTTGTGGTTGTTTTGGTGCCTTCTCAGGTAAAGGCTAATCTCTACTATTTTCTCTGTATTTGGCTCAACGTCAGAGGACGGATGATGAATTCGCTGCAAAATCAATCCTTTCGTTAGCTCCACCGCTAAACTATCATTCTTCCGCCCTCTTTAATGAAAAAACAAACCACTTGTAGCCTGTGCAGATCATCCATCAGCTCCTGAACAGCTGACAAATAACTTAATTGCGTTTCCTCATAAACACACGCCAGCTTCAGACCACAACAAGAATGGCGTTGTTGACTTTAAGAGCGGATTTACTCGTGTTCTTATGACCCGGTAAATCATCGCAGCCAGATCTGTCTGGGAATCGAGCCGACCTCAAAGTCTGGACGTCCGCATGACTCAAGAAGACTGATTTTTGGTGTGCGTTCGCTTGATGTCTGCTTTTCCTCTTGACCTATTGAGAAGCAAATTAAGCATGAAAAGGCTGCGGGGGAGGCGGCCCGTGGGCACCAGAGGAGTTAGTGAGTGTTTATAGGTCTACATATGTGTATGTGTGCATGTGTGTGTGAATGGAGGTCCTAACACAACAGAGCCTTTGAGGATCTTAAAGAGCGATTGGGTCACAAGGCGGGATAAATGCGTGGCGCGGGCCCTGAGAACAGAGCATATGTCTGACTGAGCGTGAATGGAGCAGAGTCTGTGTTATGTAGAGTGAAACACATTGAGAAAAAAGTCACCGAGAAGATGTGTGTGGAGGTAAAAAAAAAAAAAAAAAAGGTGGTGAGTGTGTGTTTCTTGTGAAAAGACTCCTATAGAGGCTCATGTTAAAGTCCCAGAGCTGGTTTATATTACACACAGTTCAAACAGCATGTGTGCGCCCTAACACACACACATGTACACACATCATGCGGCTGTCCTTTGAGTAAGTTAATCGCTGAATAGTATGTGCCCTAACACACACACACACACACACACTCATAGGGACACACACCCCTCCTCCCAGCGCTGGCTCTTATTTAGCGAGAACATAATTGCTACAGGCAGGCATGCAGCTGCACTCGACTGATAGAGTTAACACACACACAAAGATACCAAACAGCTGTCAGTGGCAGGTCTATGCATGAGTGTGTGTGTGTTGTGTGCGTGTGTGTGCGTTCATTATTCATTGACTGATTACTGTCAGGGCCAGGCTGCACATGGTGTCTCTGCCGAACAGCTTTGCAGCACATTGAGTCCAGGAGACACAAACAAATAAATGAAAACCTGGCTGCACACATTCTTCTCTCAGGCGAGGAAACGAACGAACACACACACACACACACACAAAAAAACGGCAAAAATAACAAACAGGCATTTAGCATTTTTAAGGTGAATTAACAAACATCTGGTGCAGCAAGAATATTCCACCCTGACTGTTTAAGATGCATCCGAACGGCTCAAAATAAAGTCGGGATATAAATACTGTTCCGCCTTCGAGAAAATTAAGCGAGAGGTATTTCTTCACGGCAGCCAGCTGGTTGTTTTCCAAACACCTGATTTTATTTGCATGTTGAATGTATAAATCAGTCAACCTTTAATGAGTTTCAGCTCTTCAGGGGAACTTTCAGTTTGTGTAGGTTTGGCGCCCCCTGTGGACAGAGCAGGAATTACTGATTATTACCTCCGCTACAGTAGGTGCCGACTCGTTCCCTTCACACTCCAGTTCGACCTGTTTCATCATGTACTAAAACAATCGGCAAACACATTAGCAAGAGGCTAACCCCCAATTTCCACCGCATCCGGAACTGCTGCGAAAAGGCCCTATCCGCCGATCGTAGCTGATCGTTACCATTGAAGTTAATGTGTCAGTTTCCACCGGCGTCTTTCTGTTCTGCTGTGGCTTGCCGGACTCCGCAGCTGATCGCAAGAATTATATTTTTTGGGACGCCGGAGCATGCCGGATGAATTCAGCACCGATTAACCCGTGCTGGAAAGGAAGTCGGGCACACCATGTAAATGGGCGGGGACGAGGTTTTCAGACAGCATTTCATCCCAATGACACCATGGATGAGGAGACGCTAGAAGTCTACAAGTCGATTTCCTTCTCTAGAAGGACACAATCTACTGCTTATATGGCTAGCCTATGTGGCTAAAGATAACTTGTTATCGCACGATTGCACGTGAATCCGTGGGTTCTTGTGAGTTCTTGCGATTCCTGCTGTCCGTAATCCGCCACAAAATTTGCCTGACAAATGGACCCGGTAGGAATTATGGGGTTATGGCACTGTTGGTGGAAACTGGGGGTTAGCCTCTTGCTAATGTGTTTGCCGATTGTTTTAGTTTTGAAGCTAGCGTAGGATCTTCTACCGGCCAGCTTCTTGCTCTGCCAGAGGGGGTGTGTCGTGGGGAGGGTGATACAGGTTCAGGTGGGAGTTATCGTGGAGCACAGAGGGGAGAGGTTTGTGTGTGGGGGGTTGGACGCTTTTTTCAGATCTGCCTCAACGGCTCAGTTTTTTTCAACTGCTTCTCAGATCGTCATCCATGACTTTAAAAGATTAAATCAGCGACAACTTCACAGTGCACCATCTCAGTATGTTTACATGCTGATCAAAGTGAAGTGAAGTCTATTTCATAAAAGGTGGAAAAACTCCCTAAAGGATCTTTGATTTAGCGTAACTTTCGTTTTCACTTTCAGGCTGTCTTCGCTTGTTAGTCGCTTTGTTTTCACAAATGTGTCCCAGCTGTCTTTACGTTCTTAAAAACGCTTCTGGGAGGTCTCGAGGTGACCTTCCTGTTGTTTTGGTTCAGATTTCCTCGCTGCAGTTCATTCAGAAACCTGCAGCCTCCCGTTTTTGACGGATTCGAGCCCAAAAACACCCGAACCGCTCGCTCCTCACCCCGCAGACGGCTTCGGCGGCGTGAGGAAGGATGCTGTGTGAAGCGGCTGGAGCGGCGCCAATGTTTTTTCCTGTTCACAGCTGACCTGACTTCATTGTGTTCTTCCACCACTTTTTTTTTTTTACGAGATTGTGAAATCTGCCTGCGCTTATAGTTTCCCTGAAAATGATTTCATTAGCAGTCTGGGCCTCCGCCGCCGCTGCTGCTGTCTTGGCTGCGAACAGTCTTCATTTATTTTAATTATCAGCTATGAAAGTCTGCTCCCTCTGCCAGATTAAGAGTCCAATTTTGAGAGAGATACTTTCTCCTTCTCTGTGTGTTCATCGGGTCTCCAACTAATGGCTGTTTTCATATTGATTTATCATACACAGCCCAAGGTGCTGTCTTCAAATTGCTTTTCCTGTCAATATACGGAGCTGTGATTATCATTTAAGAGGCTGGGACGTCAATTTTACTGGCATTATTACTTTAAAACGAGACTTCGGGGATTGACTGGGGATACGGACTCCGATCATTTTCTGTACGTTTGAGTAATGAATCTTCGACTTAATGAAAGAACATGATGGTAAATGAGACGGCCAAGAGACATTAAGACACGGCGTTAGTGTTGTCTCAATCCTGCCAAACACGAATACTCTCAACAAGAACAGGGTAAACAAGATGAACCGTTAATAGTATTGATTTAGTCATTAATCAAGCAGACGTGCCAAATACTCTCGAGTTTCTGTTTGAAGTGAATATTCAGCTAAAAAATTACTTTTTAAACTAAAACTTTGATAGTCTCTCTTGAATTTGAAAACAGATGAAGAAATAATCAAGTAGAAATTGAACGTTCATTTTCTAGCGCCAATAATAACAGTGTCTGTACGAGAATAAACTCTTGACTATAATCCTTCAAATAGTAAAAAATTCGCCACACAGACTTTCAGACAAATCACAACATTTTCTTTTATGGCGAAGAAAGAGCGGTACGTTACGTTAACACTTTGTACTTGTTTACAGCAAGTGATGACGTTCCCCCTTTTAGCTGACGATCCACTCCTGTACGTATCTAAACAATCAATCAAATATGTACCAGAGAATAAACTCTCAACTATAATCATTCAAATATTAAAAAAGTAGCCAAGAAAGAGCGGTACGACGCATTTTCAATCATACGTTAAAACTTATCGTACTTGTCAAGTTTACAGTAAGTAACAACGTTCCTCCTTTTAGCTGACTATCCACTACTGTACGTATCTAAACAATCAATCAAATATGTTAGCAGGAGGCTAATGGGATGAAACGTTTTTACAGCTCTGTTCCTGTTCTTATATGATAGAAAGATTTCGTCTTTTTTTACATCCTTTCTTAGTAGCTTTAAGTTTTGTTTACTAGCTAGCATGCAAACTTTAGGCCACTTCCCAGCCTCATGATTTGGGTATGTTAATCCGACTATAAGAGGTTAATTTTAGTGTGAACACATGTTTTATTAAAGTCAGAATGAGGCAAAAAAATCTGTTTTTTACGTCATGTGTACGTAGTTATTAAAGTAGACTGTTAGCATGTTTAATTTTGGTATATTAGGAAACTTAAATTCTCCGGTGGACACTAAGGGAAGACACTTCAGACTTTTGGACCAATCACAACAGCTTATTTTATAGCCAAAAAAGAGCGGTATGACGCATTTTCAATCTTATATTAACACTTAATGTACTTGTCAAGTTTACAGTTGGTGGTGACATTCCCTCTTTTAGCTGACGATCCACTCCTGTATGCATCTAAACAATCAATCTAATATGTTAGCAGGAGTCTAATGGGTCTAAACGCAGTCACTTTTACAGTTCTTTTGCTTTCTCATACGATAGCAAGATGTCCTCTTTTTTAACGTCTTTTCTTTTATGCTCTAAGTTTTGTTTAGCTACTACCTTGCATGCCAATGACCTAACTGCATGGTCTGGGTACGTTAGTCCGACTATAAGAAGTTCAGTTTAGTGTGAATGCATGTTATATAAAAGTCAGAATGAGGCAATAAATCAGTTTTAAGGGTCAAACCAGACTGTTAACATGTTTAATTTTTGGAATATTAGGAAACTCTGGCTCTGACACTCGGGTTATTGTCATTTCTCGCACTTGATTCAACTATGAAGATTAAACTTTCCAGCTTATCAACATTTAACATTTTGTCATGGTTGCAGATTTCAAAGAGGGTCTAAAGTTTGTTTGCCAGGAGTTGTTTTTGTTTGATGCACTTTGTCAATTAGACTCGGACACTTTGTCTCCGCGCCAACAACAGAGGTTTCAATTACACAATTACAGCGTGACGAGCAAATTGAAACGTCAGTCTGTCTCCTTTTCCCTTTCAAACACACACTAACACACACTCAAGAGAGTCTCAACGCACCATATGCTGCCCCAGCGTGGTGCGTTTAATTACCTCCAACTTTAGATTAATGAGGCAATTAAGGGGAAAACAGCCAATGAGTGCGCTCCTGTTCTGACACCTTCAAAAACATGTATAAAATCACAAAAATGCAAGCATGCAAAGGAGACAAAATCTCAAGTTTCATGATTTTTGCATTGAAGCTTTAAATGCAATCTATTCCCAATATGTGTGATCTGACATTTCTGGGCTCCTTCAGCTGGATGACCTCCTTTAAAATGTTATGTAAACGCTTTCAGAGAGAGAGTGGAAAAAAAAACTTTGGCTAAAAACACGAAACAGCAGAAATAAAAAGCACCAACCTGCGAGAAAAGCCCGGTGCAGCCTGGAGGAAGAAGCAGAAACAGTTCCCCGTATATGAGCCGCTGAAGTCCGCAGAGTCCTCAGTGTTGGAGTCGGTGATGTGGAGCAGCTGAAGTCCGCAGGAGAAACTGACTGACTGTCTGTCTGTGTGTGAGAGTCTGTCGGCTCCTCAATGAGCTCGTTACTGAATAAAAAGCAGTTTGTTCCGCGCTCTCTCCTCACTGACCAGCCCGAGTGGGAGTGTGTGTGTGTTTGAGAGAGAGAGCGTGTGTGTCTGAGCATGCTGCAACAGGAAAACCAGGCGGTGGATTCTCACAGGATCAGGCTCGCTACCACTGATTGGTTACAGCTAAAGAGGTGGGCGGGGCCTAGTAAAATTTAGCGATCAAGTTAGAATCGAACTGGAAATCGTCCAAATCTACGATCTTAGTTTTTATTTTTCGACTTTAATTTTAAAAGTTATATAAAAAAGTAAAAACTGGCATCTTTACACATAAATTAAGTAAATCTAAGAGGAATGCAAATAAATAAGACTCTTTTATTCCTAAAAAATGTAAAAACATTATTAATAAGGTCAAAACAATCATCCCAAGATGTCGGAGCTAAAAAAAAGACATCACACTCGAGTTACCAGCGTTTCAGTTACCAAGTCTGAAAAAAGCAAAATCAGAAGCGGAAACAAGATGGCTACATCAACGAAAGTTAATTTAGCGTTTGCTTTGTCCCTGCCTATATACGGACAAGGCAAGCGCTTAAATAACATTCATAAATGTAGCCGTCTTGTTTCCACTTCCGATTTTGCTTTTTCCAACATGGTAATGGAAACGATGGGAACTCAGGGGTGACGTCATTTTCAGCTTGGACATCTGACTTCCGAGATAACTCGAATCTAGCATGATTCCCTGCAAAAATAGCCATTTAAGTTGGAACCTAAGTTGGAACTCCAAGTTGGAGTTATTCCATTTTTGCTTTTTTTTCCCAAAAATTTAAAAACATCCTTTGCCAGAATTATACTAAAGCCAAATCTTATTTTTTTAACTGACATAATTAAAAACATATTATAGTTTGAAAAATAATATTTAGCTTCACGTATATTAGCTGCATTTTATGGAAGACGATTAGGACCACTGGAAAAAATAATAAAATAATAAAAAAAATGTAATTTTTATGGTCATTATTCTGAGGGGAAAAGACTGGATTCTGAGATTTTATCCTGACTTTAATCTCAGAATAATCAATTTCTAAAAAATTGTATCTGACTTTTTTTTCCAGTGGCCCTAATCCTCTTCCGTAGCATGTGCAACATGGATTTTAAGAACTTTTTTTTCACTTTTTGAAACCAGAAAAGAGAACGATTGCTATTTTCTTGAGATATTTTAAAAGTTTTCAATAAAAAACTTTATGTAAACTTTGATTTTCATGTAACTCGTTTCATCTCTGCTCGTTAAAATCTCCCTCCAGATCAGAGTCCGCTGTGAATCCAGCCTCCGGGCTTTGCGAGTCGCCGCTCTGCAGGGCAGATGTTGCTCATTCTGAAGCAAACACTATCAGGAATCAAATGGACCATTTCAGGGCGCTCTGTCTTTGTCTGTGTCACTCGCCCAGAGAGAGAGATAGAGAGAGGCGGTCTGTGAATGATTTGCATAACTACATGCTCTTCTTGTTGAGATGTCCTCATGTGATTAGAGACACTGATGAATATGTTTGGACTGATTTATCGGAGCAGGATGTCGGCGGTTGCAACAGAGGAAATCATGTTTGATCAGTTTGTGTTCCACTTTTTCCCACAAATGTTAAAAAGTGACATCTTAGTCAGAGCTGATGATAAAAACAAAACCCTAAACCAATAAAATCACTGACTTTTGTTTTCACAACATCACTGATATGTAAAAACATTTTATCACCGTCATTAAAATGTTCCTCGTTTGTAGTATTTTGATTTTTTTTCCCATGTTAATCGCTCACACATTCAGGTTCTGCCAGGATTTATTCCCATCATAAAACACTAATGAATAACTGTTTCAAAAAATAAGACAAAAAAATCAGCAGAATTGAGTTTGTTTTTATATGAGAAAACCTGATATAAACAAGAACAGAGAACAAAAGCACAATAAAAAGTAATGAAAAACACTCGATATTCGGTGCGTTAGCTGAGTCATCTGTTATGTTTTCAGTCTACTGCGAAATAGGACCACCGTGTTCTGGAGCGACGGCAAGAAAAAACAACATTTTTAACTTAATTTATGCAGATCAGGTAATTACAGACTCAGAGAGATGGTGCTGAAAGAGAGGAGCCTTCCTCCATCGGTTTGTAATGCGAACAGGGAAAAACAGGAACACAAAGGCCAAACCGGAGTCTGCTGTGGCGAAGACGAGACGTCTTTTTACCTACAACCAGAGGTGGGGGAAAGTCCTTATGTTGCAAGTCCAAGTCGAGTCTCAAGTCTTTGCTCTCAAGTCCGAGGGAAGTCCAAGTCCTTTGCTCTCAAGTCTCGAGTCAAGTCCAAGTCAACACAACACAGACAAGTCCCAAGTCAAGTCCAAGTCCTTTGCTCTCAAGTCTCGAGTAAAGTCCAAGTCAAGACAGACAGGTCCCAAGTCAAGTCCAAGTCCTTTTCTCTCAAGCCTCGAGTAAAGTCCAAGTCAACACAGACAAGTCCCAAGTCAAGTCCAAGTCCTGAACTTTTTGCTTCGAGTCCCAACCAAGTCCTAGGAATTTTGCTTCAAGTCCCAACCAAGTCCTTACCGTTTCTTTCGAGTCAAAAACAAGTGCAACACGTGGAAACAGTTGGGCAATACTAGCGAGGGATTTATGTTCAGTCCTCCCGGTGTTGTCGTTATGAGGGAGGCTAGAGTTTGAGACAGTGTTGCCAAGTTTCATGAGAGAAATAACGAAACAGACCTCCAGAAACAAGACAAAAACAAGCAAATTTTTTTTGCGGGAATAAGCAGACTTGGCAACACAACACGGTGTTACCAACGGCCGTAATTCCTGACTATTAGTTGATGCAACACTTTTTAAACAGTTTGGGCTGTAAGGTATTAAGTGACTTGAAAAGACTTGAAAAGACTTTTCAAGTCACTGGGCTCAAGTCAAGTCTCAAGTCTTTAGCAATCAAGTCCCAAGCAAGTCCAAGTCATTTCTCGATTTCATCAAGCAAGTCAAAAACGGGACTCAAGTCCAAGTCGAGTCTCGAGTCGAGTCGTCAACCCCCCACCTCTGCCTACTACCTCCTAAGTACTACCTGAAAATGCCCAGAGTTTTTACTTGGAGAAGCTCAAACTGTAAAACAGTCGACCTCAAAAACGTACTTTTAACCAACTTTCTGCAAAATATCGAGTAGAGGTGATCGATGAGTCTACTGGGAAAAGCAGCCTCGCTTTGATTCGGTGGGTTTTATTCACAGGCGACAAACAAAAGCTGTTTGGGTAAAAAGGAAAAACACCCAAAAGTGTCGATTAGAAACCGCCAATTCATCCCAAAATACTCTCTCCCTCCCCCACGCCTCGCTCGAGTCCATTCAGCGCCCAGTTCCCCATTCATCTCAATAGTCCGTGGAAGGAGGACGTCATTACGCGCCAACAGCATGCGTTGGCTGCGGTCAAGTGCCACGCGCTCGGCCTCTCTTCCGTTAAGCAGATAAAAGGTGGCATCTGTCTTTATTGTGCGAGTAAATCCCCTCCGCCATTGACCGCAGACACTTCACATGTTGATGAGGAGGAGGACGTATAGACGGAGGCCCCCGCTGCTTTGTTCCCCAGAGGAGGAGGAGGAGGGAGGACGGGGAGAGGAGGAGGCAGTTTATGCAAATCAAACAAACCGTTTGTGATTTCCATCAAAGCAGACAAATAATAATAATAATAGCATGTTGGTCAAACTGCCAGAGTCCGATGAGGGACATAAAACCTGATCAAACCGCTAAAAATGACGGATTTACCAAAACTGACGCTACTCGAAAGTGGTTTCTGAAAATTCATGTTTTCTTAAATTTGAAATAATAAAAAAAGAAATGATCAAAGTTTAGACTTCTTTTTTTCCCCAAGAGTGGATACACTTGAGGGGAAGTCAGGATCGTCACATCCATTGTATATTTTTGCTGAAATTTTTCCTCTGGGTTAAAATTGAATCTTTTTGTTGGTGCAAGCCAAAGCTGGACTTTGGTTTGAGTCTCAGGCCCAAAAAGCAAAAAAACCCGAAAAATATGATCAAGATAAATCACTGCAAAGTACTTAAATTGATGTAATTTAAAGTTCCTTTTTAGTGAATAAACATTAACTAGAAAAGAGTCAAAGTGAGCCGATATAAAGACTTTTACCCAGAGGTTGGACTTAAAGACAGTGAACCCCTTTCAGACTCAGACCAACATAAAATATTTTGTCCATCTACCCAGACTGGACTCTAAGTCCAATGTAAATCATAAAAAGTTCAAACAAGAAAGTAAGAAATGGATTTCCCAATAGTTAAACCCTCAAAAAGTTGGTCTCAGTTTAGAGAAAACTTTCTATTCTTTCCAAAGTTGATACAACAGAGAGAGTTTTGGGAAGTTCCCAGTATTTCAAAAGACAAAAGCTGGTTTTGGTGCCATTTCACTGGACCTTTGTTTGGGTAGTGGGTGGGAAAAAAAGAAAACTTTCATTTTTTGTGTAATCCCCTTTAGCTAGTACTGAAGAAAGTCATTTGGAAAAATCCTGATACACCAACAGGTTTTGGAAGAAAAAGCCAACAAATCAATTTAAGTTTGTCCAACAGCCAGAGCTGGACTATAAATTAGGACAAAGAACAGAAACAAGGACAAAAAAATGAGACAAAATTTTCAAAAATTTGATGGATTTCAAACTAGATATTAAAAGTTTTCCGCCAGAGTTGATTCAATCTCCATGTTTTCCGTGTATTTAAGTCTCTAAAGGAAGGGATGACACGCCGAACACTTGGTCTAATCCAGTTTTGTTTGGGTTTGAGTCGTTTGGGGATACTCCTCTCTTAAAATAACATGTAATATTGATAATGTGTCATTATTCATTGGCTCCTTGGGTCTTCAGATGTAAACCTGAGCTCTGAAAAGTTCCTTTTCTCCTCCTTAAGTAGATCCAATCAGATGTTTGGGATATTTCCCATGTTTCGACATGTTTTACAGACTTATGCAAATGTTTGGCACAACTGGCAAACTCTCCCCCCCACAGGAACCCCAGAAACAAACAATGGTTTATCCAAACTCAAGAGCTGAGCGGGTCAGATGATACTCTATTCAAAGCACTAGCTGAGCACTGAGGGGGCTGATTTGCATAAAAATCGTTGGAAAAGTTTCTTTTTTTTTTTGCTGTGGGGCTGTAAAGGTGTGTTCAGTTAAAGCCAGACAGACTTCAGAGGAACTCAGTGATCCAGGTGAAAACAGCTGATTTGGACATTTATGAGTCTGGATGGAAAATAACACCAGGAGGAGATTTTAAAGTGTCATTACGGGATGTAATGAAGCCGACGGAGCCTTGAGCTCAATATAATCAGGAGCGTTCAAACTTTTCACCTCCACACTGATCCAAAACTTCACTCCATAGGTTACAACACAGACCTCCATTCTCCTATCGGGGAAAAAAAAACAGATCTGCGAACGTCTGGAGGAAGCCGGTTCGAGCCAAAGTCAAATTACAGCCCAGTGCTGACAGGTTGAACTCTGTCTTGGCTGTGAAGACGCATTTTCCTTTACAGTGTAGGTTACATCACATGGCTGGTATAATTTGGACTCCGAAGTGACAGAAAATTTCCATGATTGCATCTCTAGGTAATGTAAATTCCATACAAGGGAAGTTATATAACGCAAACTGTAGCGTGAACAGGGGGAGTTTGATTCAAGGGCAGGACCAAAATTTAATCTGCGTTTGGCGGTTTTTTGACAAACCGGGTTGGTTTGGGGAACGAATATCCAAATTGAGTTTGATGAAAAGTTCCAAGTTGCCAAAAGGGATGCCATACGGTGAAATTCCACAGGATATGGAACAGACTGTGTTGCACTCTGCTCCAGGATGGCAGCAGAGTAACCTCGGAAGTCAGATGTCCGAGCTGGGAATGACGTCACACCCAAGTTACCAAGCACCAAGTTGGAAAAAAGCAAAATCGGAGGCGGAAACAAGATGGCTACATCTACAAAAGTTACTTTAGCGCTTGCCTAGTCCTTGCTTATTTTCGGACAAGGCAAGCGCTAACTTTCGTAGATGTAGTCATCTTGTCACCGCCTCCGATTTTGCTTTCTTCTGGCTTGACTGAAACGCTGGTAACTCGGGTGTGATGTCATTCCCATGTGCCTGATTCCACACAATTCGCCTATCAGGCTCCGCTGCCGATCCGCTCTGGCAGTCGGATCAGATACGGATAAGGCCTCTATTTTTGGTGGCCACCATAGCACAACACAACAATTCAGCGAAAGCGGAAGTTGTATGCAGCGACAGAGTAAAACATCAAGTTAATTTTCAAAATAAAATACAGTCAATACGTTGAACTGATCTTAACGTGACAATGGGAGGGTCCAGGCTTGTGGGATGTGGGTGTTTTTTACATATACCGCCAATTTCATTCAATGTCTCATGATGAAGCACGCGAGATTTCGTGAGATCGGTAACATTGCAAGCGCTTCTCTTTGCTTACGGCAGCGGATCAGATCCGATAAGCGCTGTTTGCTTGCGTTTTTTGATCTGCCTGCCGTTCAAGAGTGGAGCGTAGCGGATCTGCATGCGGTGGAATCCCGGTAAGCAAAACGGGGGGTTTTGGACCATCTCCATGGTGATTTAAAAGATGAACTACATAAAGCTGGGTTTAATGCTGTGTTCCAGTTGTCCTCCGAAGTCGGGATTTCCAAGCTCAGAGTCGGCAAATTCATCTGGGATATCCCCCTGAAGTTGGTTTGTTTACAACTGGTATAGCTAACAACAACTAACAACCGCTGACAACGGCCAACGACAGCTGTCAATTGAAAACAACAGCTAACGATGGGTAACTTTAGGCTTCCATCTAAGTTTTCCGACTTGTTAACTGTAACGCTGTCAACTTGGGTGTAGCTTCATTCCCAGCTCCGATGTCTGAGGTAACTGAAACGCAGCAATAGCCTCTGTTTGTGAGGCTTAATTGAAGAACTAGGCCAAACCAGGTCCCCTTAACTGGACCTACTTTCATGTTATAAAAGCAACCCACATACAGAGACCAGGGACTGAACCGTGAGGTAACCCAGCATGAATGTTAACTCCAGAGACACCACACCATTCAATGTGCTGTAAGTGTCAGTGGAGACCGATGACATGGGAAAGTTCTGGTACTGGAATCTGCCCGTATTAGACACCGGACCACTGAAAACATGAGTCAGACGGATCCATCGCCTCACAAGCTCGTTGGGATTTTTGTGTTGTTGTGTTTTCTGTTTTGCTTGGCCGACAATTCCAGCCGCAAACAAGCAGAGAAAGACCAGTTTTTTTGTTTTTTTGTTTCACGGGGTCGTCATGAAACACAATCTTTTTGCTTTTGGGGAAAATGCGACACAAGGATTCCAGCGGTGCCTTCAATCCTCTCGGGGGCCCCCTGAGTTTTTCTAATTTGACTCTGTGGAGCACAAAAATTACACAAACACACAAGTCTCTCACGTCTCTCATGTTTACAGCCCCCCACCCGGTACCGTGTAAACCCCCCGCTCTCCTCCTCCTCCCCCGAGTTTACAAGATAGAATTTCAATCGTCTCTACTTTTTCTAACTCGTAAACGGTGTAATGAGTTTCATTTGCTTCGGGTACGTTGGGCTCAAACCGCCGAGGTGACCGCAGTCGTGTTCATAAAGATCACAGGGAATCCTCACACACACACACACACACACACACACACAAAGGGGCTCACTTCTGTGCAGCACATGCCAGCTCTGGCTGGTGACTCCGACATTTGGTGTGAATTTCCAGGCCATTAATTTGAGGAACATCACTTCTAAAGGAAACTGGCCGACATTTGTGGTTCCCCTTTCAAGCGTTCTCCTCTATTAACCGACCCACACTGCGTAAATCACCACAGAGACACACAACGACAACAACGTACTCTCCTGTCTTTTATTTCAGAAAAAACACCCCTGGTATGTACATCAGAACACACAAACAGTTTTACAAAAGTCAATCTGTGGAAACAGACGATGGAAATCAAAGAGAAAACGTGTGTACAATACTTTCTTTTCAAATGTTCGATGCTGGAATATTCCGGTACAAATCTGAATTTGATGGCAGTTGATTTAGGAATTTCAGACAAACACGTGTTGAGAATTACACATTTTGTTGTTAGCTTAGTGTGTACTTTGTTTACAATTCATGAAAACACATAAAAAATTTAAAAAATAAAACAAAAGTGACAAAAAAAAAATCAAATTTTTTGCCATTATAAATGAAAATATTTGTAGTTGGACAAACTTTTAAAGCTCCTGTGAGAAACTTTCAGTTTGGGTTTATTTTGGCGCCCCCTGTGACCAGAGTGCCACATATCCTCTCTATTGTGTTTTCCTGTTAATAATTTCACTTTTTTTAACAGTCACAATTATAGTAAAAATCACTGCTAATCTGAGTTTGACACCTACCCCCAACAGACGTAAAAAATTACTTTAAGGAAACAATTTGTCCCCATTCGGATGGATTTATTTGCCTTATTTATCATATAAAGTGTTAAATATTTATTTCAGTTGATTTCATAGCTAGCTGAAAACTACCCGCAGGAGCTTTAAGGTCTCTGGTCAAGCTTTTTCTTGAGCTTTCTTTAAGCAGCAGCTGTCGAAGATGTTCGATTCATGACTGTATTTCAGAATTTTCAACAGAGAAACACAAATTTATAGCGTGGCAACAGCGGAGGAAGCTCCAAGAGCGTGTGGGTTTCAAAGACTGTAAATGATGCAAAGCATAGTATATATCCTCGTCTGTAAATTACTGTGAAAATCTGCTAATTCGTGTGAGACTCGTGGGGTAAAGTGACACCTGGTTGTAAGCTTCTGTGAGAAACTTTCGGTTTGGGTTAATTTTGGCGCTCCCTGTGGCCAGACTGCCACATATCTTCTTTATTATTTTTCTGTCAATAATCTCACTTATCTTTAACCGTCACATTAATCGACAAAACCAAAGACAAAGACAAAACCTTTTTTTTTTAGCTGTAAATCATGCAAAGCTACCAAAATGATCTCAGACGAGACTTTGTACAAGACTTGGTGGGTAAAGTGACGCCTGGTCTTTGTCATGGGGCAAGGGGAGTATTTCCAATCTATTTCTACGCACTGTCCCTTTAAAGAAGCTCGTCAGGGTTTAAAAGGATTGTTTTTGTGGCAGCAGATCAATTTATCAGGGAGTATCATGCCTCAAACTTTGGCACCGGTCGAGAAACGAACTTCCAAACTCGAAAGCATGACGACTTTATGTGTCGAACATTTATGTGATGCTGCGAACATTTAGCACTCACTTGTTTCCACTTGTGTCCAAAACCCCCACATGTGCCTCAGCTTTATTGGGATGATGTGAAGATTTCTGGTCCCATTTCACTTTGATTTGTTGGGTTGAAGCTCTTTAATATGACTAATGCGCCACATTACAAACACCACAGCTGGGGGGAGGATGGAACAAGATTTTCCAAAACTTCGACAGATGTGAAAATAATCGGTTTGAACTGGGGACTAATTTTAGAGACGTTTGGCCTCTGGGTTTTTAGCGTTTAAAAAATACGACAGAATTAATGAATAACATTTTAGAGACAATAACAAACTGGATGAAGTTTGGTTGACTCATTTCAAAAACGGTTTATACTGCCGTCTGAGTTTGGACATTTTTCTCATCGACCCCTGACTGCGTAGTGGATTTGGTTGTTCGAAAAAAATGGTGAATAACTTCGAGGTGAAGAACCTCGGTCTTTTTGTCAAACTTTAAAAGTTTCCATATTTGATTTTTGATCTGGAAACATTAATTTCTTGTCTTGAGTTACATCAGACCAATTGAGGACTTCACCTTTTTGTAGACCCCTAAAACGGTATGGTGGATTGAGTTGTTCGAAAGAAAAATTTTGTGAAAAATTTCGAGGTCCCCCTCCCTTGTGATTAACCTGTCTTTCTCTAAAACTAAAAATTGTCCATGTCTGGAAACTTGACTTCTTGTCTTTAGGGATGTCAGACCACTTCAGGACTTCAATTTCTTCATAGACCTCTCAAACGATACGATGGATTTGGTTGTTCGAAAAAGATGATGAATAACTTTGAGCCCAATTCTTAAGAAGAAACACGGTCTTTTTGACAAACTTTAAAAGTTTCCAAGTTTGATTTTTGATCTGGAAACTTTGATTTCATGTCTTGAGTTGCATCAGACCAATTGAGGACTTGACCTCTTTCGTAGACCCCTAAAAATGATGTGGTGGATTTGTTCGGAAAAGTGGCGAAAAACTTCAAGCCCCTCCCTTGTGATTTACCCGTCTCTTTCTACAACTAAAAAATTTTCATGTCTGGAAACTTTGATTTCTTGTCTTGAGGGATGTCCCAACCATTTAGGGACTTCACCTTCTTCATGGACCTCTAAAACAGTTTGATTTATTTGGTTGCTCGAAAAAGTGGCGAATAACTTTGAGCCAGATTCTTAGGAAGAATCAGGATCTTTTTTTTGAACTAAAAAGTTTCCATGTTTGATTTTCGATCTGGAAACTTTGATTTCTTGTCTTGAGCGATATCAGACCATTTCAGGACTTCACCTTCTTCATGGACCTCAAAAACGATATGGTGGATTTGACTGTTTGAAAAAAGTGGCGAATAGCGTTGATCCCATCGTTCTACCAAATGCTGATTTCTTGTTTTGAGCCATGTCAGACCATTTGAGGACTTTACCTTCTTTAAAGACCCCTAAAACCATGTGGTGGATTCGGTTGTTCAAGAAACTTTGAGCTTCTCCTTTGTTTTAAAACCTTTCCTTCTCTAAAACTAAAAAGTTTCCATGTTTGATTTTTGATTTGGAAAACACTGTTTTCTTGTTTTGAGGGATGTCAGACCATTTGAGGACTTCACCTTCTCTGTTTAACGTTGATACGGAATAACGTTGATCCTGGCTCTTGTGAAGAACCTGTCGTTCTGCCAAATGTTGATTTCTTGTTGTCAGACCATTTGAGGACTTCATCTTTAATTTTAACTCTTCTAGTTCATATGACTGCCTGTCAATGAGAGGGAAAACAAAAAAAATCTAACTTTCCCCGCATACTTTCCGTCAAAGATTCCAAACTCCGTCCAGATGTGTAATTTGCAGATGCTGCCCAGAGGTCAAAACATCTGTTTGTTTGTTTGTAAACTTCTAAACCTCGTTTTCATGAACTCCGGAGGACTTTCTGGAGCTTTTTCAGACACTCGGCGTTACGGGGGGAAACTTGTCTGTTTTAGCGCTTAACCCGACCTCACGGGGGACGAACCGCAGCGGCGTGGTGGTGAACGTGAAACCAGACACCTGAAGAATCTGCTGTAACGTTTAGAGGGAAAACGTCCCCAGCTGATGAGATGTACACAAACGCGGCCCGGGGATGGAGAAAAAATGTCACATGACCGCGTTGAACTCGACTTAAACTCTGTCAGTCACACAAACAGACGAGCTATGTCCGAAAAACAAAAGGATTAAAAACAGTGAACTGTACAGCGACCACACGCCCCCCTCCCCTCCTCTTATTAAACTGTTTTCCCCTGGAAACACTGGCCTAATGTTTTCCAAAAGCCTCTCCTGCTCTCTTTTTTTCCCTCCCTCGTTCGCTCCGTGCCTCGGGGCCGAAGGGGTCCGCTCCATATTGTCTTCATTAAAGCCGCAGAGCCTCGACCTGGTTTGGAAACTGTGCTTCTCTATACGTGTGTGTGTGTGTGTGTGTGTGTGTGAGGAGGAGGCTGAGGCTGCGGACTCCTAAACCACATTCTTTAAATTCCCTGTAAACAAGAGAAAAAGAAGAGAAATGAGAGGGGTGAGGAAGAGGAGGAGAAGGAAGAGGAGGGGGTGAGGGTACAGAGGTGAAAACACACATGTAAGAACACACACGCGCATGTACACACACACCGAACAGAGGGGAGGAGGAGGAGGAGGAAGGGAAAAAGGTCAGCTTCATCGCTTCAAGTGGGTACAAAACGAGGCTAAACACACACATTAGACACCAGGAGAAACCAAAGATGGAAGAAACGGCGTGGAGGAGAAACACACACACACAGACACACACATTTAAACACACACGCACACACACAAAGATCTGTGTCAGAGAAAATGCAAAATAACATCTGGGCGAGGAAATACAAGCATGCGAAAAAAGGGAAATGGATATGGAAATGACAACATTAGGCGATGTGACTTCATTTGCATGAGGACACACACAGACACACACACACACACACAATAGCTGCTTTATTAAGTCTAGTCAGCAGTTTACTTACATGTAACACTGGAAACAATGCTGCTTTGTCTGTCTTTTGTTATGTTAAATTGCCTGATTGAGGGAAAAATCAACATGTAGCACACTAACACACACTTAAACACACACTCAAACCCACACATAAACACACACTCACTGTCACAGCGAGGGGAGGATGTCCTGTTTGTGTTGTGTAGCTCCTGTCATGTCACATTTCCACAACAACAACAACTACTACAAATCGACAACAGTGGAAACTCTCGATGATGTTTTTCCCCTCCAGGTGAAAATTCTCCGCCTCGCTCTCGCTCTCTGTTTGCGATCACACTTCTGGTTTTAAGTGTAAACCCAGCGGGGGTTATCACGCTGGGTACAGATTGTTTTCAAGTGTTGTGGGAATCTACGATGAGAAAAGACAAAAAGTTCTTCCTCCTGATTCGTTTTACCGAGCTCCCTGTGGTGACACATGACGGATTCTTCCTCAAACAAATCGGACAAACACAAACAGACGGGTTTCTGAGTGGAAAACTGAACTCTGGAGTAAATAAAGTCATCAAGTTGAAATAAACAAAAACAGATTTTACGGTTTACTCTCCAATAACTGGGACAGAAAGTGACAGTGGCTGTCGAAATAAAGCCAAGTTTAAAAAGATGCAGTTCCTCAAGTGTCCACTAGGAGCTAGCGCAAAATTTAAACGCTTTCTCATATTTTAATGTCTACTTTCACTACTTTTGGTGCAGGCTCAAAGTTTTTATATTATTCCACTGTTTTTGTTACACTGAGGCCAGGGGTTATTCACGATTAAAGGCACGGCTTATGACTGTGTTAGCATCACATACTTAAGGTAAAAAAGGACATTTAAGTTACAAATGACCTGTATTTACGACAGAGGGTTAAAAAAATGCTCAAATTTCAGGAATAAGTTATAATATTATGAGAATGAAGTCGAAAAGTAAAAAGTTGTAAATGCACAAAAAAAATCTAAATTTACAGGAATACATTATAAATTTATGGGTTTAGTTTAAAATTTCTGAGAATACGTTTTAATTTTAAGGGAAGAAGTTGTACATTTATGGAAATGAGTAGTAAATTTTTTAAAATTAGTTGTAAATTTACGACAAAAAAATGTAAATTTACATGGAACAAATTGTAAACTTACAGAAATAAGTGGTACATTTTTGAAAATTTGTTGAAAATTCACAAGAATAAATTGTAAATTTTACAAAAATTTGTTCTAAACTTATGAGAATAAGTTATAAGTTTAATGGAACAAGTTGTATGTTAACAAAAGTAAGAAGTAAAGTTTTGAAAATTTTGTAAATTTATGAGAATAAATTGTAAACCTACGAGAATAAGTTGTACATTTATGGAAAAAGTAGTAAATTTTTTGAAAATTTGTTGCAAATTCAGGAGAATAAATTGTCAATTTTACAAAAATTTGTTGTAAATTAATGAAAGTAAAGTGGTAAATTTTCAAGATCTATCTCTTTTCAATTACATGCCCTGATTAAACGAAATATGCTGAAATAACATAATAGCTAATATAACTACACAACAGGCTCCATGCTCAACAGTTCAGCACAGAAGTCGATCCTTCCTATAAAATAACATTTGAGCTAATCGTAAAAAAACAACAAAAAAATGACTTAACTAAAAAAATTCAATTTTTTTCTCTTGAATCTAAAACTTTTTCAAAATTTCTATTTCTATTTTTCCCCATTTGGCTCTAAAACTTCATTGTGGTTCTTCCCTCTATATTCTTAAATATGTGAAGGTGTTGGAAAAAGCCTGAAAGACATCACTCAGGGCTTGTAAAGTTTCGATGGCTGTTTCAGATGTTTTATAGACTCATAGACGAATTGAAAATGCCAATAAGGGAATAGCTGCGGATTTTTCTCTTCCTCACTCATCTGTTCTCCCTCCGTCTTTCTGCATCTCTTCTCTTTCCAGATGTCGGCGGTAAATTCTGGTTAAGTGTCGAGTGACCGCGGGGCCTCTGATATTTACTACCTGAACACGTTAATCCATCACGGCATCTGTGGGTGGGTGAAATACACATGGTGGTATTTCTCACATTCAAGCTTGTACATATATTTTCTCTGGACATATTGTACGACCTGAGTTTGTGTGTTTGTGTGTGAGTGTGCATCATTTTATTCAGTGTGTTGGAGTGACATGACAAGCAGCTTGTCAGCAGCGCCGAAAGAATTAACGAGCAGGAGTAGCAGGATGTAAAGATGCTGAAATATCTCCATGCTGACACACACAGATAAGATACAGTCACACTCTCAATCCACGGTGATGAAGCTAAACACACACTCACACATACAGACACACACACACACACACAGTCGCACAGCCCCTGGGGAAATCAGGCTACCGGAGTCTCGTAAACACTGGGAGTTGTGGATACACAGCCGGACAGCTGCTGCCGTCTCTGACAATCACCTAATAAAAAATATCGCTTTTTTAATTAACGCGCACACGCTAAACACGACTTGGTGTTTGTTTGGGAGGAAAACGTTCGGAAAGACTGAGTAATCTAAAAATAACCCACACAGTCTCATATTTTTATGTTGTGTTAATGTTTTTACAACGTGTGGCATTTTTCTGAATTTTATTAGCAGGAAAAAGACAAAGCAACGTGTTCCTTAACACCAGAGAGTCAAACATTAAGCTTTTATTATTTCTGACACCGCATCTGACAGATTTTTATGCTAATGTCCAGTTGGATAGATAAAACTTCAACTTATCCTGCATTAGGAGGGCGTAATGAGGTTGTTTATGATCGTGATTGGAAACTAAATCTGATCTAGTAAAAACAGCTGTCAAGATAGAATAGAATGATGTAGATACTAACGATAAAATCCACTCGCTTTGTGAGACCGGGCACACGTTAATCCAACTCTGAGGAACTTCAGTGTCAGGATACAGTCCGTGAAAAGCAAAGGTTTTCTATGATTTATGCATAGATTTTAGCTAAACGTTATTTCTGTTGTTAGCTGGTTGTGCTGATTGGAAGCTGTCGTCTTTGTTTGCCGACTGATCGGAGGAAGTGTCAGCTGACCTGAACTGATCCAATAAGAAACCAGGCAGTGGAGGTAGTAAAACTTGTAATGAGGTTTGTGTTGTTGATGCAGAAACCTGTTCAGGGTGATGTCTTTCAAGAGTTGATAGAGAATTGATCAATATGCAGAATCGATTCGGGCTAAAATGATTCCTCTAGTAGCTCAATTACAAAAATTGATCAAGGAATTTTCTCTGCCTCGAGTTGTCAATATAAGCTCAAATCGTCATTGTTTCGCACTGATTATTTTCAAGGTGACACAACGCGCTTACGTTACGGTGGTAGAAAGAGGAGTAAGCGCAGTTTCGGTTTTGCGGCGCAGAAAAAAATGAATGATCAGAGGGGTTTTTCTTCTGCAGAGCTCCAGTAGATCATTAGCAATTCGCCTCTGAGTCGTTCAGCTCTCGGACACTCATGTCTTCGGGGGCATGATGAAAGCTAATATCAGAAGTAGCTTGTTCCGCGTTTGTCCTCTCCATTCCTCTGAAGTCTGACCTTTATTGCGGCGCTCCAGGGTTGGAGCTCGGATTTGTGACGTAGGAAATCTCACTGTATGTGAGTCTGCCAATTACTCAAGTAATTGATGGAATATTTGGTAGAATACTCAATTACTTAATACATGATACCAGCGAACCGCCAATTTCCACCGCATCTGGAACGACTACGAAAAGGCTGTATCCGCCGATCATAGCTGATCGTAACCATTCAAGTTAATGTGTCAGTTTCCACCGACTTCTTCCCGTTCCGCTGTGGATCACCGGACTCCGCTGCAGATCGCAAGAGTTCTATTTTTTCCGGACGCCGGAGCATGCCGGATGAATTCAGGCGGATCGTAATTCACATCATGCAAACGGACGGGGACAAACAAGTGAAAGGTTTTAAGACTTCATTGCACCCCGATGACACCATGGATGAGGAGACGCTGATTCTAGAAGTCTAGAAGTAGATCTCCTCCTCTGGAAGGACACAATCTACTGCTTATATGGTTAGCCTACGTGGCTAAGGACAACTCGTTATTGCATGATTGCATGTGAATCCGCGGATCTCTTGTGAGTTCTCGCGATTCCTGCCGCCATGAAATTCGCCTCACAAACGGATTCGGTAGAAAATGGAGTACAGCGCAAATCGCCGCCGTTCTGGATGCGGTGGAAACCCTGGGTAACTCTGACCTGGTGTGCACACTCAATCGTGTTTGCAGATCAGTGTGCTTGTGTTGCCATGACAACAACTTTTATTTTAAGCACAAAGAAAAGACTTTCCTGTTTTTGACAAGGTTCATGAGGAAATCGACTTTTCATGAAACCTTTTACGCACTTTTTGAAACTCTTTTGCAAACTTGTATTCTTGCTGGTGCATTATGGGATTTTCTGTAGCGGGCACGTATTCTCTCTTCTAGCGTAAGATGGATGTGTCTCGTTTTAGTTCGACATGTGGGACGTTAGACATGCTGGAAAAAGATGAGAAAACAAAGATTTTTGGAGATTACCACCTTAAGATTCAGATCTTTACGGCCTCCTTTGTGCCAGCAGACGGAGCAGATGTTGGCACAAACACACACACACACAAACACACAAAAAACACACAAGTCATACTGGCGAGTTTCTCAGGGAAACTGCAGTGTTTATAAGCAGCACAGCCAAACCAGAGAAACAATTATCCACCCTGGTGATGTCATGTGGATAAGTTTGCCTGGAGGTGTGTGTGTGTGTGTGTTGCTTTGCGTTTGTGTGTGCATCAAAGTTTAGTTAGCCAACATGTAGGTCTTTATATAATCAGAGGCAGATACACAAAGGCACGCACACTCGCTCGAATATTTCAGATTATAACGAGGCGAGCTTCTTGTCGAGGTTTTGGTGTCTGCTGCTGCTGCGGTGAAGTGATGTTTTTGACAGAAGTAATTTGTAAAAAGTAGTTTCGGAGGAGCTGGAGAGCGCAAAAAGGAGAAGAAAAGGACGCAAAATAGATGTGACAGGTCGGATTGAAGACGAAGAACTAAAGGAAGGAAAAGAAATGGATGTAGGCATGCGAATATTTCCCCCAATGAGAAGGTGAAGATGAGGGAAAGTGTCCAGAATTAGGGGTATCATCTTCATCCAACACACACACACGCCGAGCTGGAATTACAAAGCTCGCTCATGTAAGGAAAAAAGAGTCATGAGATCGAATAAATCCTCGACATGAGTCAAAAATCTGTCAATTTCAAGGGTATAAAACTTTAAACCGAATTAAATGTGTCTGTGCAAAAGAAGGAACGACTGCAGGAGAGCCAAACACAAACCACCCTCTTCCCCTCGTCTGTATTTCATTCCTCCTCTTTCTCATTCTCTCCATCCATCCCTCCGTGCATCCACCAGTCCCCTCCGCCGCCCCCTAATAAAAGCCGTATGACTGGAGAGCGGCGCTACTTTCAGCCCCTCTGGTTGTCATGATTTAGCGCGAGCCAACAGCACGGCTGTATTTCAGTAAATAAACTCCTGTTCCTGCGATTAGACGTGACCCGCGCGCTTTTTTTCAGGCTGCAGAACTTAATGCTGTTTGGATAATCCTCCGCGGTGTCCAGCAGGGTTTCTGTCATCGGCCACAATGAGATGAGCTGTTCTGTTTAATAAAGTTTCAGCTGCTAATTGATTCCATGTCCATTCTAATGTGGGTACAATTTGTGAACACATGCTTTCCCCTCCGTTTTGGCTCTCGGTTCACACTCAGCTGGAGCTTTCCACGTCGCTTTTTTTCAGTTTAGAATCGCTGGAAACCAAAAATCAGGTGTTTTTAGAAACAGAAGAGGATCCTTGACGGGATTCTGATTCACCGATTAGTCTAAAGGTAAGAAGGAAAACCTCAAGAGTGGTCAAGATTAAGCGGTTTTATACGGTTTTAATGGTCCAAGCTCTTTAACTTTCAGCTTCTCCTGCAAAGATCTCCTCTCTAACGGCATTATCTCTGGGCTCTTTTTGTCAATAGTTCTCCATAAGACTCCGGCCTGGAACTCATTACACTCCAACCCCAGACAACAGGATCTACCATGTAGGGCTAGGCGATAAACCGAAACTATACAGATACCGAAATTTACGACAATAACCAACGTTATTATATTCGGTGTCTGTAGGAGTCATAATGTTGCCTTGCTTATTGGTTGTCCTGTGTTACTTTTGGTTTCGCTGGGTTTGGGTCATGTGGGGACTGTGTTTGAAAGCTGGTAAGTTATATAAGGGGCGGTCTTACCTGCACCGGGGTGGAGAGGTGAGCCTCGATAGCCGTAATTTTTGTTGACTGCGCTTTTTGTTCTTTGTTTGCAATGATACACGTCGCAAAGTGTGCACATATTATATCTGATGTGCACGTGTAAATCACTGATGACCGTGGAAGCGTTTTGTCTGTTATTAAAGCTACGAAAACTTTGATGAACTGGAACAGCAGCTGCGTGTCACGCAAATATACTAGACCTATCCTCTGCCTCAAGTGACTTTTTTTTTTCTTTTTTTTTTTTTTTCTTTTTTAAAGGTACCAGGAAAGCCGCAACAGTGTAAAAATAATTATAATTAATTAATAATTAATATTTTATTCATAAGCTGTAAAATATTTACCTCGATCTTGTAAAATATATTTTCTACATTTGAATGAACTTTAAAAAGTATTAAAATGTTCTCTTTTTGGGGAACGGTGGCGTGGTGCCCAAGCTTCCTCTGTCAACTACTCTGCTCTTACATTTTTAAACAATTTTTTCAGTTTTTATCCTCGTTTGATTGCAAGTTGATCAGTTTTGTTTTTAGGCTGGATGTACAAATGTCTAATTTCTGGCAGTATCTCCCACCCCTATAAAGAGTGGGTTGAATAACAAACAGTCTGGATAACTATCATTGTGCCGCCTTTGAGCAGATAAATCTATTCAAAAACCGCAGAGAGGAAAGGTGTTGCAGAGAAAGAGGCCGATCCTCCAGATGGTACGAAAACAGTTTCTGGAGGCGATGTTTTTTACTTGGAAATAAAAGAGGCTGAACCTCGACAGTTTATTTGATGTTTTCAAAGATAAATTCCACTTTTAAAGAGTTTGATGTGCTAAACGACTGAATAAAAAGAAACAACAGCTCGAACTTTTCAACATTAAACACTGTGATGTGGTCAGAAGATGTTTATACTTTCAGTCCTGGTGTTTTAGCACTTTGGTCGGTCTGTGGTTGACACTTCAACACACCGGGTCACATTCAGACTCTTTTTTTTTTTTGACATTCAGAAACCGAACTTGACGATCGGACAAACTCCTGACCTCACCTCCTCAGAATTACTCTCCCTCTGCTCGGCTCTTCGCCTGAGTTTCACCCCGTCGGAGGATCTCTCCTGGGTGCTGTGGGCTGTCAACGCCGAGACCCAAAAGGCCCGGTCTAATCCTCGACCACATGACTACAAACTCACACACACAAACACACACACACACACAGATCTATACAGACAAACATATGAATGGATGTAAAGAAAAGGGGGAATACCACATGTATCGAGACCCAGACTCTGAGAGAAGAAAAACGGGGTCGACGGTCGAGTAACGCACAAAAGGATGTTAAGAGTCGCATGGCGGGGAGGAGAAGAAAAGGAGCAGACACATGAAACCGCACATGAAAAGAGCCACGCAGAGACAAAAAGGCTTTAGGTGAGCGAGGGTTCAAGGAGACACACACACATGCACACTCACACAGACACCTGTTTACCCTCCCAGACACAAACAGACGCACCTGTGCATCCACACACACAAACACACACCTTTGATGGTGCTGATGACCTGGTCCAGGTGTTTGCTGTCATTGCGGTCTGGTCTACAGCTTGGGCTTATCTCCAGGGAATAGTCAGGTCCATATTCTGTAAAAAACTGACACACAAGCATGTAAAAGCTGTTAATATTTAATCCTTTTTGATTTAACGGTTTTAAAATAACGTTTTTGTCTCTTTTTCAGACTCGCACTCATACTTTCATACCTCACATCTGCACATAAAAGCCTCAAAATGCACTTTCTCCTTTTTTGTCTCTGTTTTTTTTTTTAAGAATGCAGCTGCGTTCCTGGAAAATTTGGACTATGAGAAGTTGGATTGTGCAGCTGACTGCTGATGAATATTTACACTGGCTTTTAAGAGTTTGAGATAAATTCAGAACAGTTTAAAACATCAAAGACTAAAAAACCATTTCTCTCATCGGATTTATTTCGTCACATTTTTTAGATTTCTATCGGTTATGTCAAAGCAAATCTAAGCTAGCAGCTCGGTGAGGATGAACTTTGGAGTAGCTGGATTTTAAACGCATGTTTACATTGTTCAATATGGCAACAACATTATTGAGTACTATTGGGTTGTCTGCTGGTTGACCACTTACGTATCAATGCAGTCGTTAGCAAGAAGTGAACGAGATCTAAGTCCCAGAAACGAATTCAGGAGTAAACAAAAATGTTTTTGGTCCCGAAAGCACATCTTTACGGAAAACTCCTTCAAAACAAACCAACCAAATATTATTTTGTTTTTTTTTTTCCTGGTGATAACGTCGTACTGAGAGGATCTTGGCCAGATAGCTCCTGGCAGAATTATCTACAAACTCATATTTTAAGAGTCATATACGTAGCCTTACTTAATAAATCGAAACTCGAGTGATCGATTAACATCTCTGGCAAAGAAATGCCGACAAACAAGGCCGCAAAAGCGTTGGTCCAGAGAACTACTAGCCAACAAGTCGACGGTGGAGCTACTGCTACAGATGGCGAGGTAGCAGCGAATCTTGTGGCTGCGGTGGCGGCGGAGACTACAGCTAAAGTGGCGGCTATCATGGAGGAGAAGATATCTATGATTTCCAACAAGCTGGATATTATTACAGCCAAGCTGGAGGTAGAAAACCACGTTTCTGAAGAAATCATTGCTGACCTGGAAAGCAGACTAACAGACACAGAATATAACCTCGCTACCCTCAGGTGCCACAGAGGTCTCGATCAACCTAAATCCAGGATGCCCCCTTGTAGTCGTCATGAAGCTTCACTACCCGGCGGATAAAATGATGATATTAGCGCTTGGTGCAAAACAGAAGCAATACATTGTTTTTGTTTCCATGTTAAGTTGATTGCTAAAGAATGCCACTGCTCAACGATGCTGAGCAGATCAGGTCCAAGCTCTTTGACTCTCATCGTCTCCTGCAAAGATTTCTTATCTGACAGTATTATTCATTTTTTAGCCAGTTAGCAACAAATCCAGCCTGGGACTTTTTGTCAGATTTATGAACTCCCTCCATCACGACGTAATAGGATTTACAAGGATGTCTAATGCCTAAAAATTTCCGTGATCAAAGCTGGATCCTCGAGTCCTGAATTAATACATCCATCTGCGCTGATGTATCATGGAAATACCTGCAACTGACCCAAATCGAGAAACTAGTTTTGCAGTCGTTGGTCACAAACCAAAGTGTTGGATAATTATATGATGGCATCAGAGGAAAAGCTGCGGGGATTACAGCTTTCAATAGCTCATCCCGACGGAGTCATCGATGCCCATGCCAAATTACGCAGCAATCCATCAAATGGTTGAAGGGATATTCCACTCAAAACCACAAACACAAACCTCATGGTGGCAGAGGGAAAAAAAATCAACTCTACAACAATGTCAAAGGGATTTGATGCCTGGGCACTGTGAGTATCTGTACAAGCTTTTATGACAATCTGTCCCATACTCGATGAGATATTTCAGTCTGCACCAAAGAGAAACATCAGAGCATTTCCATGGACATATGTTTCTTGTATATTCTGAACACACTGTGTTGTCTAGGGGTTGCATTAGCACAAAGAAATGTAAGAAAAAGTCGAGTCTGGTTCATGCAGAATGCAAAACAAAGACGAACCACAAATCAGTCAGACTCTCCCCTGACAGCCTGGGCCTCATCAGCAAGAACACACAGGAAAAAAAAAAGGTTGAGATGATTTCAACAAATACCAAAGACTCCTGGCATTTCATGCAGAGTCAGACTAATTCCACGAAACAAAAACCAGCCAACAAGCCGAGAAAAAAGAATAGAGAAGAAAAACAGGTGGAAATCCAGAGAATGGGTTCAACCAGAAGTTAAAACCAGAGCATGTCCGTTAAACAAACATATTTGCAGGGAATTTTTCGGGCTGTGACTCAGTGCCATGAGAGCAAAACAAACGCGGAGGCCAGGTTTGACCACAAGTGCGTCAGTTCATTGGAGTGACTGTTGTGAAAGCCTTGGACTGCAAGGACGCACCAGAGCTCTCAGAGCAAGACTGCATGACTGAGGGCTGAAGCAAATGATGTGTATTCCTTCCAACATGCTCCACGTGCCAAAAATGTAGATGCCCAATGTTTGTTTCTGATTGTCTATTCTCACGTCATGTAAAGCTGACTGTAAAAGTTGAAATTTGACCCCTGGAACAGTCCTATGATACGGTAGGGCACGAAACAACACGATGCAATTTGATACTTTACAATACAATGTTATGCAATAAGGTGCAATACGATATGATACAAAGCGATACAATACGATAAGGTGCATTGTGATACGATACGATGCAGTAGGGTGCAATATGACACGATGCGATGTGTTGCAATAAGGTGCAATAGGATATGATACGATGTGATAAGGTGCAATAAAATATATTACGTTGCGACGCAACACAAGAAAGTGCAACACGATATAATATGATGTGACGCAATAAGGTGCAATACGATATGATAGGATGCAATAAGGCACAATCAGGTGCAATACGATATGATGCGATAAGGTGCAATATGATACTTTACAATACGATGCAATGCAACATGATAAGGTGCAATATGATACGATACGATAAGGTGCAATATGAAACAATGCGATAAGGTGCAATATGATGCGATAAGGTGCAATATGATACGATACGATGCAATGCAACACAATAAAGTGCAGTACGATATAGTCCGATGCAATAAGGTGCAATAGGATATGGTACCATGCTGTGCAATACAATATGGTGCAATTTGTGACAAAGCGATAAGGTGCAATATGATACGATACGATGCAATGCAACACAATAAAGTGCAATATGATTTAATATGACGCAATGCGATAAGGTGCAATATGATACAAAACGATGTGAAGTGACAAGGTGCAATGCAATATGATAAGATAAGATACAATGCAATACAATAAGGTGCAATATAATATGGTACCTTGCTGTGCAATACAATAAGGTGAAGTTTGTTACAAAGCGATAAGGTGCAATATGACGCGATGCGATAAGGAGCAATTTGATACGATGGGATGCAACACAACAAAGCGGAATACGATATAATTCGATGTGATGCAATAAGGTGCAATACAATATGATACAATATGATACCCATGCCATATCCCACTATAGGGTATGATAAGACAATATGTTGAGATATGATATAATAAAGAAAGATCTGAGTAGAAGTGATTCAGTGAACTCCGAGTTGCTAACGACCAAGAGAAAATACTGACAAAAAAGCGATTGAACAAGATGCTGTTTACTTCACAGTCAGGCCTGTTCTTCAGGATTTAACTAAACTGATTCATCACTAACATCAGTAATTATGGTTTTGGCTTGCCAATCAGATGAGCAATGTTTGTAAATATTCAAACTATTTCATAACAAGCTCCCTTCGAAGTCAATTTGATATTTTTGATTGCTTGTTTTGCTCAAACAGACCCAGGCCTGAGAAATGAAATTTTCAAAGATTAATCTCTGAATACCTGAATCAAGTGGATGTTCGGTGTGATTGTGAGAGGAAGATTAAACAGGAAGGGCAGAGGAGCCATGACCCCCGCTAAGGGCATTAGTCTGGAACGCATCTGCACGCTGGACCACTTCATGTGTTCACAAGAACTCAATTTGACCGTATGATTGCTTGTCTAGTTCCAATCTTAAATAGGTTTTATCAATGACGCATGATCAGGCTTTCCACCAAGTTTCATGAAAGCTGGGATCCTTCGAATGAACAGGAACCTTAACACTCTTTGGAGGGTTCGCATGGATCAGCTGAAATGAAGATGATTGCAGGTTCATTTTCTGATGTTTCACCTTTTAAATCCGATCTTTCAGAGACTGAAAAGGTCCAGATGCTTTGCCTAAAATGCCAGTTTTCCTCTCGAGGCTGCAGAGATAATTGGCCCGAACATCCCGTAATGGTTTCTGCGCTGTAATGGCCGGGTCATTTCAGAGACGGGGATCTTTTGTTTGTGATTGAACGTCTTTAGTGGATTGGATGGATGTCATTAGAGAGGACTTCAGACGGCTTATTACACAACATACACACACACACACACAGAGAGGCCTGAGCAGATGTACACAAACACACAGCTGAGCTAACATGCAGTAGGAGTATACTTTAGTGCTCTTGAAAGACAAAGACAACTCTGTCTTTCTTTAATAACCTTGTACGAGTGTGTTTAAGTCAGACAGAAGAAGTACACGCACGCTAAAGTGAAACTACGTGAGCGTGTGTCTGTTTTCAATTAGTCCAGATGAGCTTTCTGTGTCTTACCTCCGGTCTCCACAGAGCTCAACATGAGGGAAGTTACTCTACACACACCCGCAATGTATTCCCATGAACCCAGTGCTCTGCCTCCTGCTGTCCAGCGACACACAAACACGCGCTCCGATCGTACGCGCACACACACTCTTGCTGCGTGCTTGTTTGGCTTGGATGACCACGGGGAGAAAAGCGAGAGGAAGGGAGGACGAGAGAGGCTCAGACACTCCTAAAGGAAACATTCTCCAAAAGCGTGGCTACGATATTACTCATACTTCTCCGACTACAAAGACCTTCAAAGATGACAGAAGATGCTTAGAGTCGAGTGTTAGAGACAGTGAAATGATGAATTATAAAAGACAGAGAGGCTTTAGCTCATGAGTCAGTGACGCAGCGCGTTTACGTCACCTGGGCAAGGTCAGGAGACAGAACATACCCGCTGACTGGCTCCGATGTCTTCAGCAGAGACTCACAGGGAGATGAATAGTGGAAGGTCTTGGATTATTTACACGGTCCTGAACATGGACCCTCTGCCCATCAGTCACTGTTTGTAACATCACGTTTGTGTGGGAAGCTCTGGCCTTGGTGCGCAGAACACGCAGAGATGAGGGTCAGAGCGGAATAAAAACTGTAGCCTAGCTTGCGTGACGGTCCTCCTTTTGGTTCCTCTTTAGCTCTTAGAACTCCCAGCTACATTTTGCTAGTTTTGGTCCGTTTGTTTTTTTGTAAAAAGCTATGTCGCAACTCAATCCTTTCAAGCATAGCAAATATATAAGCAAGTTTTTTTCAGGACAACCTCAGCTGTCAGTTTATGGGTGCAAAAGTTATGTGAAATGAATATGACTCGTTTCCAGTGAGAGTTGGACTCCGCCAGAGCTACCCTTTGTCACCGGTTCTGTTCATAACCTTTATGGACAGAATTTCAAGGCGCAGCAGGGGGGCGGAGGGTGTCCAGTTCCGCAGACAGAGGATTGGGTCGCTGCTTTTTGTAGATGATGTGGTACTTATAGCTTCGTTGAGCAGTGACCTTCAGCTCTTGCTGGGGTGGTTTGTGGCTGAGTGTGTCAAGTCCGAAGCCATGGTCCTCAGTCGGAAAAAGGTAAATTGCCTTCTCCAGGTAGGAGGGGAGGTCCTGCCTCAAGTGGCATAAGGGCCGTCTGGGCTTCCCTCATGAAGCTGCTGCCCACGACCCGGACCCGGATGAAGCGGAAGAAAACGATGTCGACAGCGAATATGACAGAACGTTCAAAACCATCCAAGTCAACCAAAAAACAAAAACTGAGATTGATCCCAACAGTACTTTGCTCAAAATCACATAAATCTTCAGTGATCAAGCCTTTTCTCACCTGCACATAATTCTCTCAAGTCTTGGCTATCAGGAGAAGAAATATTGGGATTGGAACAAACACTCCTTGAAGCAGTTCCTGTCTGGGATGAGATAGAGGACCACATCATACTGCTCTTGATCTCTTCTTTGCTTGTTTCCAAACATTGAGGAACATTATTTCTTATTTTTCAGACAAGCAGGGAACTTTTTTGTCTCTTGTTGATCTTTGATTGCGTCTTATTGGACACTACCATCAAACGAACAATGGGGAAGAATATGAGACCATGTAATTGGTCGAAAGAAACGTCTCTGATCAAACACCTATTTTTGTGGCTGGATTGTAAACCTTGTGGCAGGTGTAGAAATGTCTGGAAACCCTCGATAGATCGCCAAAAGGGTAAACTTTTGAACACTTTTCATCCCATAGAGATACACGGTATAGTTCCTGAGAAACTGTAAACAATATTAATGGAGTCACGTGGAATTGCCGGCGATCCAGCGGAGTTCTAAGTGTTTAATTGGCTGAGACGATCAGCATCTGTTGTAGCTATAAAAAAAAAAACCTGTGACATGTAATTCAAAATAGAGGCAAAATGATTCAACAAAGTCGATGAGTCATAACACATATTTTTGAGGTTGTGCAGACATAAGATTGCATAACACGGCTCAGATCCATGGATGCACAAGGGAGTCTCGGGTTCAGTCTCTGGCAGGAAGACGAGGAGGAGGAGGAAGGTCTGAGCTTCTGTGACTTTGTCTGAAAAGCCCAGGGACGGCGTAACCACGACGACAGAGAGGTAAACATGACCGATTACAGTGAGCTAACACTCCTCTTTATTAATATTTGTTTTCTTGTCTTTTAATGTTTGTTTGTTTTTAAGAATCAGAGTTTTAGGTTTCAGAGGTTTAAAAGTTCATCTCCTGTTCCTAATCCTGTTAAATAATCACCATCTTAATATCAATTTTAATAACTGTGATAATGTTTTTTCCATACGTCGCCCCAGAGTGTCTTTGTCTATACATGCCTGTATTTTTTTTCCGATTACAGCCCAATCACTCATTTCGTGTTTGTTTGTGTGAGCATGCTGTGTTATGCATGAGCTGAAAAACAGAACATACACAGCCGAGAGTGTGTTAGCATGCACGAGCCCATCTGCGGACAGTCATGTGTGCGTATGTGTGTGTGTGTGTGAGCATGTTTGTTTTTACAGCCATCAGCAGGATCTCCAGTTATGAAGGATGCTGAGCTGCACAGCGGAGGGGAAAACGTCTCTGGAAACAAATGGACTGTGTCTGCTATCAAGCTGCTATCTAATAAATGTTTTCAACAAGGAGAGGAAAAAAAACGACCCGCTGTCCAAATCACAGTCACATAACGCACGTACACATCCCTCTCTCTCTCTCTCTGAATCTGAGCGCTCTCCAAACCTTCGACCTCTAAATCAACCTACTGTTTATGACGGTTTAAATTCAATTCATGCCATCGAAGAACTAGAGATAAAGTTTTAGGGCCTCGTTAATAAAAAATGGAGATTTCGAAAACAAAGTTGTTATTTTAGAATATCTAAGTGTAACCAGACAAAAATTTACGAGACTGAAGTCGTTAAAGTGTTATGAGATTTGAATAGTTATGGAATGAGATCCAAGTCGTTATGTTGTGACATTAAAATTGTTGTGGTACGAGATTAAACTGTCTAGATTACGCCAACAAGACTAAATTTGCTGTGTAATCTGATCAAAGTTATGCTATGATGAGAAAAAATATGAGAAAAGATTTGAGAATGAAGTCTTCATGCTTTAAGATATTAAGTCGTTACGTTACTTGATTATAGTTGTTGATTAAAGTCTTTATGGTACGAGATTTAACTGTCTATGTCAACGAAACTAAAGTTGTTGTTACAAGACTAAAGTTATTTAATCAGATTAAAGTTATGCTATGATGAGAAAAAGAATGAGAAAAGATATGAGAAAAAGTCTTCATGCTTCAAGATATTAAGTTTTTATGGTATTAGATTAAACTGTCTATGTTACCACAACTAAACTAAAGTTGTGTTACAAGACAAAAGTTGTTATTTAATCCAATTAAAGTTATGTGCTGATGAAAAAAAAAAGAGAAAAGATATGAGAAAAAGTCTTCATGCTTTAAAATATAAAGTCGGTATGGTAAGAGATTAAACTGTCTGATACGCCAACAAAACTGAGGTTGTTGTGTTAGAAGACAAACTATGGTATTTAATCTGATTTAAGTTATGTGTTAAAGAGAAAAAATATGAGAAAAGATATGAGAAAAAGTCCTCACGCCTAAAGACATTAAGTTGTTATGGTACAAGATTAAACTGTCTATGTTACACAAACTAAACTAAAGTTGTGTTACAAGACGATAGTTGTTTTTCAATCTGATTAAAGTTGTGTGTTGATGAGAAAAAAATATGAGAAAAGATATGAGAAAAAGTCTTCAAGCTTCAAGATATAAAGTCGTTATGGTACGAGATTAAACTGTCTGTGTTACGCCAACAAAACTTAAATTGTTGGGTTACAAGACGAAAGTTGTTATTTAATACAATGAAAGTAATGCTATGATGAGAAAAAATATAAGGATATGAGAAAAAAGTCCTCATGCCTCAAGACATAAAGTTGTTATAGTACTAGATTAAACTGTCTATGATACGCCAACAAAACTAAAGTCGTTGTGTTACAAGACAAAAGTTATTTAATCAGATTATTGTTTTAATGAGAAAAAATTATGAGAAAAGCTATGAGAAAAAAGTCCTCACGACTGCAAGATATTAAGTTGTTACGTTACTTGATTATAGTTGTTAGGATAAGACATTTAACTGTCTATGTTATGCCAACAAAAGTTAAGTTGTGTTACAAGACGAAAGTTGTTATTTTTCTCGATTAAAGTAATGATATGATGACAAAAAATTATGAGAAAAGATGTGAAAAAAACTTCCTGCCTCAAGATATTTAGGTTATTACATTACTTGATTATAGTTGTTTTATTTAGAGATTAAAGTCGCTGCTTGAAAATAAACTTTGTTACAAGATAAAAAAATTAACATGCTACATATCTAAACTAGTATTTAATGAGATTAAAGTGATGTTCCAAGATTAAAGTCATTATATTGCCAGTTGGAGATCAAGTGATTAAAGTTGTTATATCTGGAGAATTAAGTCCCAGTAATACAAAATCAAAGTCACTGATTTAGTCATTGACGAGCAATGTAATGTTGTTTCAACTTTTGTTTATTTTTTTTATTTTGTGTGAGTCAATTATTATGAAAAAGACCAAATAACAGATGATCTAAACTGGCAGGACAAAGAAAGTTTTCAAAATAAGAGGCCTGACGGGTTTATGAAAACATTCTGCCAAAAAGGAAAATTAAAAGTGAGATAAGAAGTGATGAATGAAGGTTCATCCATCATGTGGGATCAGGCATGTCCATGAACTTGAAAGAAAAACAGACGCTGAAAACACAGTCATGACTCCCAGAAGGAAACATGGCAGGAAACCAACTCTTTCGGCTCATTGTTGCAACGTCCCAACACCCACCGACCGCTTTCTCTGCCATGCTCCGCTCAAATAATCTAAACAGCCGCATTTTGATCAGCGTATATCGATAAGAGATGAATGGAAACGGATAAATCCAAAGTCTCATGTTATTTTGTAAACAGACGTATTTCCTCGTCGCCTCGACAAACACAGAATCTCGCACACTCGACTGATGTGAAGTTTCCGGTGATTGAGCCCGTGACTCTGGGAGCCGGCACGTCCGTGACGGCAGCGAGGGGCAGGACAGGAAGGGGCTGCAGACAGGAAAATAGGAAGTAGGAAGTAAAGAGGCGGGACGCTTCCCCGCTGCCAATCTGGGACCAGAGACGTCCTCCCTTCCTGTGCGGCTCTGAGACAGACACACATTTGTGTTTTCTTCTGTTGCTGGCTGCGTTTGTCCTCAATTCCAATGTCAACCATTATCATTATCATTATTATTATTAATATTTGAGCTGTAACGAAGGCCAACCCGAGTCCCTGAATAACTAGACACGTAATACGACACTGTGCAGGGAGTTTGTTCTGTTACAACACACTGGTTTTGAAGATACTCCAGTCTGACTTGAGAGGCGTCCCTTTGACAGATACACGGTTGGCTAAAGGCCCACCTCAACAGAACCCGTTGGCCTTTTGGTGGGTCAACCAAGAGTCAAAGTGAGTCAGCATTCCCAATAATGGTCACCAATTACCAAATGGATCTGGAACTTCTCGATTACATCCATGTTTTTGGGGTGTTAGCAACGGTTGCAGTTCCTCTACTTCACAAACCGACAACCAAACAGATGATAGCGGCATGTGACGAAGCACGTAGCAACAGAAATGTGAACAAATGGTTGTTTTGGGAATAAAAGTAACCAAAACAAGCACATGTGTGCCAGTTTCCGCTTGTAGAATATTTATAGCATGTACAATATGTGCTTCATGAGCGTTCAGCAGAGACAGGAAAGAGCAGAGCGGCTGAAAGAGGGGAGGGTACTGTATGTGACAAAGGATACGAGCTGGATTCACACCAGCAGCACTGAGAGTACACGGCCCGTGCGTTGGCCCGCTGAGGCAGCAGGGCAGCCGCAGGAAGTTTGGATCTGTGGTTTGTTTTTATCCGAGCAGCGCGGCCGGGAGGAACTGGACTGCTGGGAAACGTCCGAAAACAGAACGAGAGCAGAGAGGAGGGGGGGTGTTAGTGTCGAGGGGTGAGTTATGATTAAAGCCCAGAGGACAGAGTGTTTACCAAACACTTCTCTGAAGTTTCATAACTACAGGTGAGATCCCTTCAGAAACACATACTGATCTCTGATTGGTCACATAAGGACATCAAAACCACAGTTCACTCATACTTGTCATAACGACCATTTAAGGAAATGCGACTGTTCAGATTTTGAACATCTGTTGACGGCGTGTCTTGGTTACAGCTTGTAAACGGTATGATCATCAAATTTAATCATCCAGCTATGTAAGATACTTCTGATTCTGATTGGTTAAAATCCCATCACCATGGTAACCAATTCTTAAAAGCAAAAACAAGGCTTTGGACAGCTTGGTTAGATCACATGAAGCCCTTGTATGTCGTGACACCCTGAAACAATAGGAGTCCTCTGATTGGTCCACAGGGTAGCATCATGTTTTCTCTCGTTTACAACATTTCTGGTATCACCATCCTCCACTGTTGCCCAACATCATACCAAGATTCAGCTGCCATGCTTTCCGGTAAACCAACGAGCAGAATTGTGCAACCAACAACTGGCGATAAAGCTAGCATTAAAAATGCACCACCGATGTTAAGGCAAATGTTAGTAGAGTTGTTCGGACGTTTGGTCTGGTCGTAGCTGCGGCTTTTAGTCAACGGAGAAGCATCAACCAGGCTTACGTCGTTTTCCGTTCATGACAATAGCACTTGACACATTGTTTAGCATGTGGAGCAGGTCCATAAAAGCAATTCGACAGATATTGAAAGAGTGAAGCTAGAACTGCTGAATGGGGAATTGCTACAACCAGAGAACTGAATCGACTCGTGATGTCCAGGTTTCTCCATGCTTGTTCTTACTTAAAAAGAAAGATAGTCATGCAGGAATGTTGGTGTGCCAATTTTGCCAGTCTAGGAGACCTTCTTGTTCGCTGGCACGACTCTTGCATATTGCTTCCTCGTTATAATTGTCACTTAATTTGCGACAACCCCGAGCAGATATAGATTCCTTCCTTTTTCGGCTACAAAAACAAGTCGAAACAGTATGTTGGCCTTAGATACCCTGATGCTCCATCCTGGTCATGTGCTGCAGGGATGTAAGCACAGCCCCAGGCACAAATATTTATGTACTTACTGTAATTTGTTGAAGACACTCAGTCTCACAAGATCAGTGAGGTTTACCGCAGCAGGAAAAGTTAAATACCTTCACCACACGGGTCAGCCAAAGAACTGTTTTTCATGCTATTTTTTCTTCCAGAGGAGGAGACTCCAAATAAACTCGAGAACCAATAATAATGTGGCTTCTGTTGTGGCATGATACCCCTCCACTGTTCCCATAGACGTTTTTGGTAAAAGATAACTTCCTATCGGCTCCTCTTACGCTGAGCTTTAACATCAAAAACGGCTCATGCAAACAACAAACACTGCAAATAAATGCTCTCAGAGGACTCGGCGTAACACAGAAAATAGTTCCTCAAAAATCCAAGTAGGTTAGGCAAACAGTCCCAACAGCAGGCCAATCAGTAACACTAACTAACCTTTGACCTCTGCGGCTATTCTTAGACAGTCCCATGTTGCTGCCCTCTGATTCACAAGCAGATTGTCTTCGCCGCCGTCACACAATGAGGGGTCAGAAAGGATCAGCTAACTGCTACCAGACAATACAAGTCAACAGGGAAGGTTAATGACTCTGGATCTGTCGGCTCCAACCACAAAAGCCCCTTTTACTGGTGTTTTTACAAGATATTGGAGTCAGACAAGTGCGGCTGCAGCAGAACCATTGTGTGGGTTATCTGCGGTGTAATATTTTGTCCGGTAATCAGTGAATATTACAGCGCTATTGTGTGATGTGACCGGTTGAGTCTGATTGATGCTTGTGTTGTTTTGAGTCACTACTTTTAAATCGTTTAGTCTGAGACTGAAAAACTGAACTTTCTCCGGGACAGACGAGGAAAAAAAAAAGTGAAACTATTTTTACTCAAACAAACAGAAACTTTAAAATACCAAAATAAAGTTTGTTTGGGTGGATTTTAGTGAAATTCCAGCAGATTAAACAAACTTTCAAGTCCCTGTTTTTAAATTTTATAAACAAAATGTGCCCTTATTCTTTATTTATTAATGTCAGTTTGATAGATGATTGTCAGTTTTCTGGTATTTCTGGTATCTTCTAAATTAGGGCCTTTTCCTAACAAAGCTCAGGGTCTGCTTTACTTCATATATTTCAAAGTTGTATTGCCTTAATCCAACTGAAACTGGAATAAATCGAACTTCTTACGGGACCTGGGTAATTTGGCTCGGGATCGAAAAGCACGAATGCAAAGCTAGGTAGCCAGGTTGTAAACACAAATCTCATCACACGAAGAAAAGATGTAAATAAAACTAAAAACTTCCCTATTGCTAGAAAAAAGAAAACGGTAAAAAAACTGTAAAAGTGACAATCGTTGAAAGAAACCCTGTTACCCTCTTGTCAAAGCCTTACACTAAATGTTGAGATACAGAACAGGTCAACCAGCGCCAGGTAGTAAACAAAAATCTCATCAGACCAAGTAAAGGAGTAAAAAACGTCAAAACTTCCTTATTGTAGAAAAAAAACAGTAAAAAACTGTAAAATTGACAATGTTTTCATTGTTGAAAGAAATCTTGTTACCATCTTGTCAAAGCGTTTTGCCAAATGTTAAGAACTGTAACAGGTCAGCTGGCACCAGGTTGTAAACAAAAATCTTATCAGACAAAGAAAAGATGATTAAAAAAAGGTGACAACTTCCCAATGGTAGAAAAACTGTAAAACACTGTAAAAGTTATGATGTTTCATCATTGGAAGAAACCCATTAACCCCCTCTTTTCAAAGCCTCATGCTAAATGTTGACATACATAACAGGTCAACTGGTACCAGGTATTGAACCAAAATCTCATCAGACAAAGAAAAGATGTTTAAAAAAAGTTAAAACTTTACTGTTGTAGAAAAAAAAAACGGTAATTTACTGTAAAAGTGACGATGTTTTCATCATTGGAAAAAATCCTGTTACCATCTTGTCAAAGCATTTTGCCAAATGTTTAGATACATGACAGGTCAACCGACACCAGGTAGTAAAAAAAAAATCTTTTAGACAAAGAAAAGATGTAAAAAAAAAAATCAAAACTTATCTATTGTAGAAAAAACGGTAGAAAACTGTAAAAATTACAATGTTTTCATCGTTGGAAAAAATCCTGTTACCCTCTTGTCAAAGTGTTTTGCTGAATGTTTACATAACAAGTTAATCGGTGCCAGGTAATAAAGAAAAATCTCACCAGACAAAGAAAAAATTTAAAAAAAAAAAGAAAAAGTCAAAACTTCCCTGTTGTAGAAAAAACGGTAAAAAACTGTAAAAGTGACAATGTTTTCATCATTTGACGAACTGTTACCCTATTCTTAAAGTGTTTTGTTGAATGTTTAGATACGTAGCAGGTCAACCGGCGCTAGGTAGTAAACAAAAATTTAGACAAAGAAAAGATGTAAAAAAAAGTCAAAACTTCCCTGTTATAGAAAAAAAAACGGTAAAAAACTGTAAAAATTACAATGTTTTCATTGTTGGAAGAAATCCTGTTACCCTCTTGTCAAAGCGTTTTGCTGAATGTTTGGATACGTAACAGGTCAACCGGCATGCCGCCACCTACTGTAGCGGAGGAGGACATGCTTCTGTTGCTTGATGCTTGTAAACAAAGACAGTAGTCGAGTTATATCACCTGATTGAGCTTTAACAGGGTCTGTTGGCTTCAATAAAACCATGCAAAGGCTGTTTATGTTAGTTAATATGTTTTTACCTTTACAAGAGGGTCTGTCTCTATGGAGATCTTCTGTACAGTGACACTTGAAAAGCAATCAGACAGTAAGAGGCAAAAATAAGCCTCTGAAGTGGACTGAGCTTTGAGCTGCTGCTGCTGCTGCAGTCTATGCTCATTATTATAAAACTCCTGGTACCAATTTGTCATTTAGAGCAAAAAGGATGTAGCACAGTTAAAAAAAACAGAATTATTTATCAGTATTTAACTTCCACTCGAGCTGTTTTAATAAATCAAAACGTGGCTTTGAGAGCGGCTCCATAACGGATAGTTTCCTCCAGTGTAATTAATCACACAATGAAACAAAAAAAGAGTTATAAAACAGGCCTGTGCATTATCTAACTGTAATGAATGTGTGCATTCATGTGCTTTTTGTCTACAGTAAGGCATGCTGGTTACACACACACACACACACACACAGAAAGAAGAGGGCACAAAGGTAGTTTTTGTTCCTGTGTCGCTGGAACTCCGGCTTTGCTTGGTCATCATGGATAAATGCCCCTCTTATCGAGCACAACGGGCACAGACAGGGCCAAGAACACACACACACACTCGCGCACACACACACACAACAGCGTAAAGTTGTGTAGCGCTACAACTTTAGTCGAGAGTGACCTCCAAAGTAGATCGATATTACCCACAAAATTGGAAAAAGACGCCAATAAGCACTTTAAATTCCAAGCTCTGAAAAGCCATTAGAGTGTTTGTGTCTTATACCTCTGATTTTAGGGAGAAGCTGTGTGTGTGTGTGTGAGTGAGTGTGTGAGTGTGTGTGTGTGTGCGCTCTGCCCTCCTCTTCATCATCTGCGGCAGCTGCCCCGCACTGATAGTTGCTTTGTTTTCACTGAGTGCTTCTTAATGAGGTCAAAGGCTATTTAGGGCCATTGGATGCTGACAAGGAGGAACAAGAGGTACCTTCATCGCGCTCACAACACACACACACACACACACATATCAAAAATCAGTTGGTGGAGAAAGGGACTCTTTGTGCGTAAAGACAGATGGGTGCACTGATTCCTATTATGAGAGAAGACGTCTCTATTTGATTTCCTTAATGAGAAAATGAGAAAACACGTCGTCCTCTCGACAAACATCGATTACAGAGACGGTTTCCTGCGCTTAAAAGGTGAACTGAAAAACTGTCGGACTGTCCCTTTAAAGGGTTCATCAGCTGACATGCACGCTGTGACCTGATTAAACCAGATTGAGTTCCACTTACATGATTTACACTCACCTGAGGTCCGTGTCTGATTTTCTGTCTGTTCACGTTCACCTTCATACCGACTAAGACGGAGAGACACACACACACAGACTGACTCACCTGAAGACAAACCCCTTTATTGAGAAGCCGACGGCCATCTTTGATTAGATGGAGTGACTCAGCAGACAGCGAGCACAAGGGGGTGTATTTGTGTGCTTTTTGTGTGACGGTTTGATGAATGAGTGCGTTTGTGTTCATGTGGGAATACGTGAGTGTGGCTTTAAGAGAAAAAAAGGGCGCGGGCGCCGTCGTACCTCATGGTCTGGTATCTCCGAGGAGAGAGTCTTTCCCAGCACGGCCGCCGTCAGGTAGGTCCAACAACGAGCCGTGTTCGCCAGGTTATAACCTCCTGATGACAAAGAGGACGACAGATATGAGAGACGGGAAAAACTCAAGAGGGTCTTTAGAGTTTTTGTTTTTAATCTGATCCCAGCAACAAGTTTGGAAGAAGTTGGTACAGTCCATCAAGCAAAGTAGGACACTTCTACTCCAGAGCAGAACGGTTTGGTCTGGATGTCCTGAACCTGCTGACATGGTTCAGCCTTAAAGGGATATTCCGGCGCAAACACACCGTAACACTGAGTTAGACAGCCCTTTGAAAGATGAATGTTGCCGACCGCTTGATCCTCTAGTTATACCACCTTTAGTAACGACCGCACGATAGCAATACACACCGGTCTGAGGAGCCATAAACAAACCTCGACCAAAACGCCACTCTACAACCACAAATAATGCTCAGAACAGCACCTAACTTCATCAACAGGACATATAGGGTCACAGCCATAGTACTAGCCACCAAACTTCTTAACTTTGCCTAATTTCTTTAGCAAATGGACTAAACACAACTCACCTACTCTCTTCCAGCAGCCAATTGTTTGTAGTGAGACCTCATGCCAGTCCACTACGGACTGCAGCGGGGTGACACAGCTCAAGGAAGAACATTAATGATCATTTCTTTATGGAAATGCAATCAGACCAAGATGCTAAAGCAGAAGAACTATTGCGTCTGCAGTGCAAAATGATTAATATGATGATTATTACTTCAAGAAAATGATAAAGAAATTATCATTAATGTTCTTCCTTGAGCTGCGAAACTCCACTGAAGTCCGTAATGGACTGGACTGAGGTCTCGCTCCAAACAAGCGGCTGCTGGAAGAGAGTAGGTGAGTTGTGATGTCCTGTTGATGAAGTTAGGTGCTGTTCTGAGCATTATTTGTGGCTATAGAGTGGCGTTTTGGTTGAGGTTTGTTTATGGCTCCTCAGACCGCTGTGTATTGCTATCCTGCGGTCGTTACTAAAGTTGGTATAACTAGAGAAACAAGCGGTTGGCAACATTCATCTCTCGAGGGGGTGTCTTTGTATTTACAAACCTTGTACCACCACAGATGCTGTTTTTTTTAATCCTCATAATAAGCTGGGTGGTCCTTGTCCCCTTTAAAGCAGAGGTTGCTGGGTACAAGACTTCTAAAACAATGCTTTTTGGAAGGTATTTTAAGCCCATGCGGTAATTCCCACTATAGAGTCACGTCTGTTTTCAATGCGGCGCCTCCTGTGGGTCTGGTTTAGGGCCATACGCTTGGACACTTGGCCAGTTTCAGTCCGATTTCAAGTGTCTTTTCGTCCATTTTCACACATTTTTGAAATATGTTGCTGTTATTAAATTTAAATAAACTTTAACTTTCTTCCAGTTTCAACATTTAATATGTAAATCTGTTCACTCAGGAGGACAAAAAAAAACAGGATTTCTGTTCAGTTTTACAGGAAAAGAGGTATGAAGAGGTTGGATTTGAGGGAAAAAAGAGAGAATGACGAGAACGGAGAAATAAAAAGGGGGATCTAACGGAGTGAAAGTATGTGGGACAGAGAGGGAGCGAGAGAAAGAAAGAGAGGTGGGATTGTAGTTGAGTAAAATGGCTTCATTGTGCGGTATAAGTAGAAGCTATCATCTGGCCGAGGGCTGAGGAGGTCTGGAACAGAGCATGGTATGTGTGTAGGTCTGTGTGTGTGTGATTGTGTAAGAGAATAAACACCATTAAAAAAAATACACAAATACAAACAAGTTTTTGGAGCATAATCGAACTTTCCTAAAGACAGTTTTTACACACACATATACGGACTTATTCACACACAAACACTCACAAACAGCAGACACACTCGTAGCGTACCTCCACCCAGCAGCAGTGTAGGTAGCTGCCACCCTAAGACATACTGCAGGCACTTGCCCACCCCCACAGGGGTCATGTTGAAGGAGCACATGGGGTCACCGGCCATGGTGTCGGCCCCCAGCTGCATCACCAAGGCCTCGGGGTTGAAATGCGCCCGCACTTCTTGCATCACGCTGCAAAAACAGAACACAAGTCATGAAGAGAGGAAGGTGAAATCGGTTTTTGACCAATCAGAGGACAGAGGACAGAGCTCCGGCTTTAACACTGCGGTTTTTCCTCTCTGAGCTGCTACAGGTTTGCATTTTTGAGGTTCATTTAAGTGGAAAATCCCAAATCAGGGCCCTCATGTTGGAAGGAATCCCTTTGCTGAGTCCTTCATAAAATGCTGAGACTGCATTAGCTCCGAGGCTCTGCTCTGTGGATGACCCTGACGTCTGATCTCCGGGATGGGAGCAGCCAAGAGAAGGAAAATACAACTTAATACTCCAGGATCTTTGAGAGGAACTTCCCTCCAGAGCTCTGCTGAGATTTCTGAGTGTGTGCGAGTTCGTCGTACCTGGTAAAAATCTGGAAGTATCTGTCATCCTTGATGCCGTCCTCAAGCGGGACGTTCACAGCGTACCAACGGCCTTTCCCCAGCCCTGTGTCGCAAAGGTCACCCGTACCTTCACAGGAAACAAAAACACAAACTCTCTCAACTCAAACTGTCTCATAATGACGTTAAACATGAAGTTTGAACCTTCGCAGGGACAGACCAGGGAAGAATCCGGGAGAGAACTTGTGCAGAGAGACAGTCATGACTTTGGAGGTGAAGCTGAAGGCATCTTCAACACCTGAAGAGAGAGAGAGAAAGAAAGAGGAGTCAAATCAAACTCAGTCCCTCTGAAGACTTGATGTTTTCGAGTGTTTGTGTACCGTCGCCATGATGCAGGTCAACGTCTACATAAAGGACTCTCTCGTATTTCTCCCTCAGTCTGAGGATCCCCAACACAGCATCGTTCACATAACAGAAACCGGACGCCTCATCCCTGAGAGACAAGACCAGAAAGAGAGACGAGACCGTTACCCAAGGCGCCCCCATCAGGACACTATAATAGTAAATATCAAAGCATCATTATGACAGAAAACTCACTTCTTCGCGTGGTGCCACCCTCCTGCCCAGTTGATGGCAACGTCACACTTCTGGTCAATTAGACACTGGGCTCCTGTTAGTGTGGCGCCCCCTACTGCTGCTGCATAGTCATATATCCCCTCAACCACCGGGCAGTCATAACCTGAAGGCAGAGGAACAATATCTACTTAGACTGACAAAAACAGAGTAGATGAAATGTATTATTTATGGATTTGAGTTTTGAAAACAGCAACAAGAATTGAAGATTTGGGACTGATTTTGAGCCTATTTTATCGGCGAGCCGATCAAATCTGCCGATTTTAGCCTGTTTGAGACTAATTGGTAATCGGCCAAAACTCGCCGATTTTCGCCGATGTTTTCAGAAATAAAATGCGGATAATAAGAAGCTTCATCCACTAACTACCTCACAGCTCAGCAGAGTAATGGATCTGAAGCAGGCAGCTCAGGGACGCACGGAGGAGAGTGGTCCGCCTCAACGGTAAATAAATCAGTTTGTGAAATACACAATAAGTCAACAAGTGTCAGTTCAACTCACTTCACGATGTTCCCCGCTGTGCTGGTCTCGGTCACGCCGAGTTAACGGTGAAGCACGTTGTAATATGCAAGCTAAAGTTAGAGTTAGCCACCTGCTATTAGCCTAGCTACACTGTTAGCAGCGCCAGTAACGGTAGAATAAACAACAGTACACGTTAGTTATCGAGCTACTTCTCTTACTGAGGCAGCTGCATGTCTCCAGATGATACCGGACCGGAAATAAGTAACGTGAGTTAAGATGCGGAGGAATCGATCGGCGGCACCGATCGCAGCGGCTGGGGCTGTTGAAAACGCTTTTCTGGTCCGAGTTTGATCAGTCGGTCTTCCGTGAAGAGCAGTAGCCTTCAGTATATCTACAGTATATAGTATAGTATAGTATAGTATAGTATAGTATAGTATAGTATAGTATAGTATACTGTATATCGGCTAATAAATGGGAAATCGGATTTTTTTCCCCCCTAATAATCGGTATTGGCATCAGCCCCAAAAATCCATATGGTCGGGCCCTACTATGTAACAGATCACCCACTCTGTTTTCATTAACATTTCCACAGCATCGGACTGTCCTGAAACTTTTGAAACTGGTTTTGTAATAATAAGAAGAGAGAAAGACAGAAATGATAAACCCCCTCCCCGATGGAAAACAGTGTGTCATAAAATAAACCGAGAGGTGTCAGAAGGAAGCAGGAAAAGGTGGAACAGTTAGAACAACCCGGAAGGATGAGACCAGAGAGAGGCGTGCAGAACACACAAAAGGAGGAAGTACCAGAGGGATGAATCGAGTGGGCGAGGAAGAGCACGGATGGGTGAGAGGGTGAAACAAAGGGAGCTAAACAGATAGGACAGGAGACAAGGAGGGTGAACTTGAGGATAAGTCTAGAGTGAGAGACGTGAACCTCCAAGAAGGAGGGACTTTGAGAAAGATCAGCCCAAGAAAAACAAACTAATGTGGGTTTTTGAGAAATCCCACCCTGCTGAGATGAGGTGTGGGTCATGTCAGGGTTCAAATATCTCATATTTCACTCGTTTATTTCTATCCCAACCAAAGAAAACAAACTTAAAGAAGAGGGCAGACATTTCTGATGTATTAATTAAATTCAATTAAAAACCTCTGCAGCACCCTGTACTTGTTTGACATACAACTCATTTTAAGATTGTGTTATAGCTCCCTCTGCTGGTTGAAAAAAGTAACCACAGTTACACTACACTTGAAAATATTGAAAGAAATCTATTTGTGGTTTACAGGCTCAGAAAAGTGTAAAAAAAAGGTTCATTTTGGCCGTTCTTACCCAGGCCGTAGTCAGCTGACTGTGGGTCGTCGTTGTCCCCGTCCTGGCTGATCTTATGAAGATGCTCCAGGTAAGAGTCTGTGTGGAATTTCGCCATTTCTTCGATGGTGGCCAAGGTAGGTTTGATAATGCTGGAGGAGGAAAAAGAGAGCAAAGTGAGTCACTTTTGGATCAGAAACAAGCGCACAGACTTCAAATTAAGAAAATTCTCTCTTTAGTGCAAATAAATGAGGCCATATTTTATTTTTTAATTTTTATCTTTTATCCCCAGCGTTTCCCAAAGATAGCTCTTTCCTCACACAATGTCGCGGTGTCAGGCCATGTCTCTTTAACAATATATCTTAAATTCTCACTCTGTGTTCGCTTGTGTGTGTGTGGGTGGGAGGGTTGGGTTTTATTGTTGTTTAATTGTTGTTTTTAGCCTCTGTGAGGGACTTTAAGCTACATTTTTTTGTCTGAAAAGTGCCATAAAAATAAAGTTGAATTTGAAGAAAAAAATTGATTTTGATGGTTTGCAAATCATTTACGTTAAAATTTAATCCAAAAAATGTACGATCATGTCAAGTATGATGCGAGCAAAGCATTTAAAAAACTGGACAAGGACAACAAAACACTGGAAAAGTTGCGAAATGAACACCTGGAGGAACATCTCACAACTAGGGCTGGGCGATAAAATGATAACAATGTATATCAAAAATTGTTTCCCGTCAATATCGATACAAAACATGGTCAATATCCTTTTCAATAGTCGTCATTCTGCCATGTTTTGGTAGACTATACGAATAGCCAATGAAAAGGGGAGTTGCTCCGGTTCACCAAGTAGCAAACAACTGTTATCGCCCATCCCATATCCCATATCGCCCAGCCCTACTCACAACCCTTTAGTCTGATTTTTAACAAGTTAGTAACAGCGAGCAAGTAGTCTTAGAATAATGTTCCTGAGTGCAAAAATACAAATGTGGGAGTTTCCTTGTCTACAGTACAAAATATTCTTAAAAGATTCAGAGAATTTGTAGAAATCTCATTTTGAAAGAGACAAACCAGAAACTAAAACTGAAGGGTCTAATCTTCGCACACCTCTGTAGTGGGAATCACTGCATGAGCTGAAAATCCCTTACCAAAATCATTGTCTATGCACCATGCAAAGAGGAAACCATATCTAAAGATGATACAGGTATCACAACAACATGGCTCTGTAGTAGAAGAGTCCTGCTGCTAAATTAACCTACCTGCAGTCCTGAACTAGCACCCACTGAAAACATTTGGTGCTCAATGAAACAAAATGTGTTGGAAAGAGGATCCTGGATTGTTTAGCTGCTTAAATCTTCATCAGGAAAAGTGTAATAACCTCATGTTTATCTTATTTATTCAGTAAAGCAGCTCTCACCTCATGTGTTCAAGGAGTCCATAGGCTTCTATGAGAGAGTGGACCATACTGGCCTGGAAGTGGAAACAATGGAATAAAGACGAGCTGAACAATGACAAAAACCGAACAGAGCTACCGAGACAAACCCACTGACTCTATGTTAAAATTATGAACCAGATTTTTACTCATTAAATTGATAAAATCAGCTTATTCAGTTTGACTCACCCGGTTTGGCACTTTGGATAAACTGTCACAAGTCTCGATGTAGTCCGGGCTGTACACGTACGCGACCCTCCGTTTGCTACAGCTGTCATCGTCGCTGTCCCCTCTGTTACTCATTTAAAAGCTACTAAAACACAAATTTATGACGGAGAAATAAGGTAAAATGAAAATTCACAGTGAGGAGAGGAGAGCGGCGACTTGTATCAACTGTGGTGTTACACCGTCAACAGTCCCCCTCACAGTGTAGCCGGTTGAAAACTAAATTTCACAGCTTGTATGGAGGGGGGACAATTTCCTATAAGGATTCAAATTAAATAATTACAGTGTATCCGGGTTTTTTTAAGTATGTTTCGGACGCTTTTGTCGCTAGCTAGTTTGTGAAATGGATTGTAACGGCAGCGAACGTTTGACCTAACGTTCCTGCTCGCGGACGTTTTTCAAAAGTGGAACGCGGGCGGAGCGATAAGCATTCTGGGATTGGTTGTAGTCCTCTTCATAGTAGTATGTTTATGGTCCTTTCCATCGCCAGTTAACGCTCAAAAATAGGTTGTTTTTTTTACCCCCCACACTAAGTAGTATGATTCTCACTTAAAGTTTGAGGATCCCGTCTTTACAATTCACCAATTTTGCCCCCAAACCACCAAAACAAACACAGTTTGACTTCGAATGAATACAGCAATCTACAACAAGTAGTTTCGTTGACAAAAATAAATGGGATAGGCCTACGTATTGGAAAATAAATAAACTCTATCAACCTTTTTGGTACAATTCACTGTATTTGCTTTCTATGTGCTTTATTTTTACCGCTAGAGGTCGCCAAAACAGCTGCTTCACCACCCAAACTCACTCAAAAGGGACAACTCCCTTTTTATTTTTATTCGCAACTGACAACATTTTCAGTAAACCGACGCCCCTTAATGATCAAAACTATCAATGTTTGACATTGGCGCGAGATTCATATTTACTTCTGTTTTGTCTCAGGTTACTTCCTGGTTGAAATAAATATTATCTACAAATGAGCGGTTGAAGTATCTAAAAGGCAATATTTCTCATGTTTAGGTTCTTAGTTTTCAAACCCATCGAGTAAACTTTGACATTGCTTTTTCAAACCGTGAAAACGCTGCAGTGCTTACACTGATGTCAAGTTACACAACAGCAAAAGAAGCTACTTCCGGTGAAAAAAATCAGAGTAAAATATACTCACAAAAATGTTGTAAACCTTTATTGTAAGAAATAAAGGTGTTTAAGAAACTTGAATGCAATTTTACTTTTGAAGGGATAATCCAGCGTAAAATTAATTAAGGGTCAAACACACTGTAACACCGAGTTATAGACCCCCTCGAGAGATGAGTAGTAGTAGATGAGTAGTAGTTCTTCTGCCTTAGTGTCTCGGTCTGATTGCATTTCCATTAAGTAAAATCACAAATGTTCCTCCTTGAGCTGCGTCACCCCACTGCAGTTGATGAACTTGCCTGGAGGTCTCCATACAAACAAGCAGCTGCTGGAAAAGAGTAGGTGATTTGTGTTTAGTCTCTTTGCTAAAGAATTTAGGCTAAGTTAAAAATATGTTTGGTGGCTAGTACTATGTCTGGGACCCTATATGTACTGCTAATGAAGTTAGCTGCTGTTCTGAGCATTATTTGTGGCTATAGAGTGGCGTTTTGGTTGAGCTTGTGGCTCTCTGTGTTGCTAGCTGCGGTGGTTGCTAAAATGCCCTCAAATTGCACCAAAATGGTTAACTTGGAAAAATTTTGTTTCATCGAAAGCATAGTTTATTCTTTGTTTTGTTGATGTGTTTTGTTTTTGTTTTCTATCTAACGTGTGGAATAAGATGTTTTGAATATTTTGATTTAGTAAGAAGGATAGGCGTTAATAAGCTTTTGCTTCAGCCTATGCCTTTTCGGTCTGGTTTTCTTTTTCTTTTTCTTTTTCTTTTCTTGTAATTTACTGTATATATTGAATGGATATGACCAGATCGAAATAAACTTCAAACTTCAAACTTCAATAGTCTCGCTATTAGTGTATAACAATGCTCAAAAATTATGACTATGTACCACCATGAAAAATATGGGCCTTTTTTATTTTCTAAGTCAGCCCTCTTCACTTCCTGTTTGCGTGACTGCTCGCGGTAGCTTTACCGCAGCGTCAGGTTACCACACAAGCTGTAACCTACTCCTGTTTCTGCCGCTGTTTTAAGACAGCCTGGCAGTCAGGCGGCTTTTTCCTGGTGGTCTCGAGAGCCGTCGTCATTTTCCGGCTTGTTGGAGTACCGAGATGCGTGTTGGAATGACTTAACTGTCGAGGAAAGAGCGAGTTTGTTTCCCTGAAGACTTGAAGTGAACCGTTGACCTGTCAGCATGAGAAGCAGGAGTAACTCGGGGGTTAAACTAGACAATTATGCCCGGATGGTCCAACAAACTATCCTGAGGCACCAAGTAAGTGTCTAACTTTGCTTTACAGGAATACAATGTCTTCAAAGTCTGTAAAGAGATAGTCTGCTTTACCAGGAACGCAACTGCTTCGTACATGTACTGCTGACATGTTCACAGAGAGCACAGTCAGATGTTGTTAAGCATGCAGGAGGTGAAGCAAAGTTGCGCAACTCAGCGGCTCCCTTTCACATGTATGCACACATTACACTGACATTACTCCTGTGCATGCATGTGTGTTTGTTCAAAGTGACTGCAGAGTGAAGTTTGAGAGTTCAGACATTTCGACACATCCTCATTAGCATACACCAGATATTCAAAGTAGGGTGGGACAAAGTCGCGATACGATCATTTATCGTCCGATATGTTACCGTAATCGTCCGATATATGACCAGTATTTATGTTTTCCTTTCTGTTTGTCTCTGCTTGTTAATATTTCATGACCTCTCACCTGGATGCAAACCACACTTTTTGTTTTAGGGGCAGTAAGTTGTTTTGATAACATGATGTACATAATTAAGCAACACAACATTTCAGGACAACAGATATAAAAATGCTAATATTTATTTAACAAACCAAGTGAGGGTGGTGACATACAATTGTTTGTCTAAATGCACATCCTTACTTCCCCTTATTATCAGGAAATGAACAAAATTAGTAACATAGCAAGCCTTGTCATAAATATGATTGTGCGACAACAATAAACTTGTTGCTAATCCAAGTTCAAACCCTTAAAGGGATATTCCAGCGTAAAATTAATTAAGGGTCAAACACATTGTAACTCAGAGTGAGACACCCCGTCGAGAGATGAATGTTGCTGACCGCTTGCTTCTCTAGTTATACCAACTTTAGTAACGACTGCACAATAGCAGTACACAGCGGTCTGAGGAGCCATCAACAAACCTCATTTATGATCATTGCTTCATGGAAATGCAATCAGACTGAGACGCTAAGGCAGAAGAACTACCGCATCTGCAGTGCAAAGTGATTAATATGATGATTATTACTTCAAGGAAATGATAAAGAAATGAGTATAAATGTTCTTCCTCGAGCTGCGTCACCCCGCTGTAGTCCGCAATGACCTGGCCCGAGGTCTTGCTACAAACAAGCGGCTGCTGGAAGAGAGTAGGTAAGTTGTGTTTAGTCTCTTTGCTAAAGAAATTAGGCAAAGTTAAAAAGATGTTTAGTGGCAAGTGCTATGACTGGAACCCTATATGTCCTGTTGATGAAGTTAGGTTCTGTTCTGAGCATTATTTGTGGCTATAGAGTGGCGTTTTGGTTGAGGTTTGTTTATGGATCCATAGACCGCTGTGTATTGCTATCATGTGGTCGTTGCTGAAGTTGGTATAACAAGAGAAGTAAGCGGTCGTCAACATCTCTCAAGGGGATGTCTAACTCGGTGTTACGGTATGTTTTACCCTAAATTTATTTTATGCCGGAATATCCCCTTAAGAGAAACCCCAAGTTCTCGAGAAAAGGTCTGTTTGGGGTCAGAAAAACTGAAATGGTACAGCCCCAAATAGCTGAATAAGAAATCTTTGATAATGGGACAGCTCCTTGGCAGCTGGAGGTGTTTCATGCTTGCACTGCTAACTGGACACTTGCAGTATTTGGACTTCCAGACTTTATGATTGTTTATTCGGGCCTCTACCTGAATCCTGGGCATCTTATTGGAATTGAAAAATCTTATCATTTCCTACGATTAAAGGAACAGTCTGCTCTACCATGAGAGCAGACAAACTCCCTTAAGTGAAGTCACCTCTGAATTTGTCCCAAATGGCTGCCGGCCAGCCTGCAGTCGCACAGCTCAGTGCTCAGATGGATCACTGCACTGATGGCGGTGGCCGTGAGAGCAGGCTGAGGCTCACTGCTGCAGGGCAACGGTCCAAGATGATGAATTTTACTGAGAGTGTATTACAATAAATCTTCTGTCTGCTGTCGGTGATTTGGCTCCTGGGATCATGAGATCTGCAGTTTTGTTCATTAGCTAAACAACCGATCCACTACTCTCATAAATAAACCTCAGATACCTCACCACGGAGCAGCAAAACCAGATACTGACCTTATTTTTGGCGTGTTTGTGCAACTTACCTACATGTCTAATGGTGATGCAACCAAGCTTCAGCCTGCTGTGCTGAAAAATAGAGCTAACGCAGAAGTGAAATACAAAGAGCCCCATCCCCAGAACCAAAAACAGAAAAAACATTAAAACACCTTTCCAGAAACCAGCTGATACCAACACAGAGACTGTCCCCACACTATACACGGTCTTTAGATGTGACCTTACTGGGTGTTGAGAGAGCTGGATGTCATGTTGTCCTAGAATAAGGGACCTTATTTTAACTTGATCTTTAGGAGGAAGTGACTTTCAGGCCCCACAAAGTGAGAAAAGTAAATGGTGTGTAACAAAAATAAACCGTGTTTCAGACAGAAGACTGTTCTGGTTTTACGTTTCCTCATCTGTCTGTCATCAGAGGTTGTTGTCAGACGAGTATTAACATCCTCATCACACCAGGAAACAGTGAGGCTTATGGGAAATGCAGTTTGGGGGGTTGTTGCTCTTAAACACAACGGTGATCACACTTGGGTCAGATGGTTCCTCTTCTCTTTAAAACCAAGGATGCAGTGTTTCCTCCTTGAATAACGTTCAGGAGCCCAAACAAAGTTAGCGTGCTGCAATATCAGACAGTAGAAACCAACCAGAAAGTACGTAAAATTCTCTGAATCCTCCTTTGGCCACGACTGCCAACACAAGCAAGAAAACAAAGTAAATACCGGAGACTCTGGCGGAATAACGGGCGCTTAAAACGGAGGTAGACCGGACAAGAGCCAAGAAGCCGGGTCAACATAAAACAATAGACAGGTTTCTGTGCAACTTCATTGCAGGTATGCGTGTGCGCAGCCTTGGGCAGAAAGCAGGACATTTCTTATTTGTTTACCAATGGAGTCAACGGAGAAAGAAAATGACAAGTAGCTGTTGTGCTGTAAACTGCACAAATCGGCAAAACAAACAATCGGCAAACATTACGAACCTGCTCCTGATATTAGAAACATCTGAAACAACGTCACAACCTGGTAAAGTGAGTGAAATTCATAGATATTCCAGCAAGTGTTTTTTTATTTTTTTATTTTGATGCAATGAAAGACAAAGCAATTTTTGCTTTTGTCCTCTGGTTGTGCGCGCACCTTGTATTGTTTGTACACAAGAAACCCGTGTATGGCGGATACTTCGGGATCTTCCGGACCCTGTAACCTTACTGCTGGACAGGTAAACCGCTTTAACAAAGTAAGACAAGTGTCTGTAACAGAAGTGTTTCTTGTCAAATGGGACCTGCTGTGTGTTGTATACGCCTCGCCAGTGGCGGATTTAAAAGTGAGGACAGTTGCGGTTCTGATTGGCGAAAACAGGTCTCGGCTGTGTTAAACCCACTCCACGCCCTCTTTATGGCTTACGCCGCTTGGAGGAGCGGAGTTAGTGAGGGGGGATACTTACGCTGGGCTGCGCCGCTAACCAAAATACCAAAATGTGCTTGGGCATGCCTTGTCGGCGCGGTGGACCTGACTTACGCCGCGCCTGCGCCATGTCGCCGGTGAGGAACGAAAACAGAGCCCATTGTGTTTGCTGGTAGTCTGTTGGCATCTACAGTAGCACCAATGCTTTTGACTTTCATGTTGACTGGGCCCCATTTGTAATTATCTTAAGTATTTATCTGCATTATATCTGAATTTAATTGGAACGATACGAGCGCGCAGGAGCGTCTGTTTGTGGGCGGGGCTTGCTGGAGCAGAGAGGGAGGGGAGAGGAGGAGCTGAGGGGAAAACTGGTTCGGCGGGGTAGAGTTTACATTCAAGAATTCCCCCAAAAACTGGCACTAACTCAGATCCTGACTACGCCATCTTTAAAATGATTTGCAAATCCCAATTTAATCAATATTTTTGCTGAGATTTTATCGCTAATGAATATGAGTCCCTGAAGTGTTCAACTCTCTACTGTCTGTATTTAAAGTTCCTCAAGTTTGATGGTCCTCTGAGACTGATTCCTCCAACTCCTGACTCTTGACCTCCTATCTGCGTCCCTCAGGACCCAGTAACAGGCCTTCTGTCAGGCAGTCCGGATCAGCCTCACGCCTGGGTCAGAGACAATGTTTACAGCGTGGTGTCTGTGTGGGCCCTCAGCTTGGCTTACAGGAAGAACGCCGACCGGGACGAGGACAAGGCCAAGGCCTACGAGCTGGAGCAGGTAGAGTCCGTCTTCTGCTTAAGACTCGATCGTTCTTGAAGTTCGGTCCGTGTGGGGCCTCGGTTTGGTTTCAAGTTTCTCTGTTGGACTTCCAGAGACACATGCTGGAAGTGTTGACATTTAACCGTCTCTCTCTCTCTCTCTCTGTCTCTGCAGAGTGTGGTGAAGCTGATGAGAGGCGTCCTGCAGTGCATCATGAGGCAGGTATGTTGTCTCAAACACCCAAAACGTGAACATGCTCTCTCCGTCCCTCTGCTTCACTAACACACGTCCACTCCTTCTGCTCCTTCCCAGCTCGACAAAGTGGAGAAGTTCAAATACAGCAGAAGTACCTCAGACGCTCTCCACGCCAAGTACAACACCAGGACCTGCGCTCCGGTTGTCGGGGACGACCAGTGGGGTCACCTGCAGGTCGACGCCACCTCGCTCTTCCTGTTTTACCTCGCTCAGATGACGGCGTCAGGTAGATATGTCGAAATCGCGCCTCTACACTATAAAAAGAAGAGTATGTAGACATCAAACGTTTAGAAAATGCTTTTATTCACGTCTAAATTTAGGTCTCCACATCATCTACACCCAAGACGAGGTGGACGTGGTTCAGAATCTCATGTTCTACATCGAGGCGGCGTACAAAGTGGCCGTGAGTCTCCGTTTATCGGCCAAATCTGTGTTGAAATAACCGCCTGTGTAAACATTACCAACGCCGTCTTCTCCTCTGGTTCCTCTCAGGATTACGGGATGTGGGAGAGAGGAGACAAAACCAACCAGGGCATCACTGAGATTAACGCCAGCTCGATCGGCATGGCGAAGGTTAATACGCACACACGCTGAAACAGACAATAATAAACGCACTCCGGAGACGATAACAGCGGGTATCAGGTAGATGGAGCAGAGAGCGGCTCTGAGCGCTGAGTGAGGGCCCAACAGGTGCTGCTGTAAAACATCTCTGGCTCGGTGGAAGGTGTCTAGTCACTGCGGCGGCCTTTAAGCTGACCTTTAGGCGGCCCAGACTCTTTAAACCGACTCTGGATCAGAGCTTGGTCCACAAAGTCTTCCTAATAGAAAAGTGTAAATCTGCTCTCTTTGAAGATCTCTTAAATAAAGGGTAATTTGTCCTATTTAGGCTAATAGATCTTGTTTTCGGCATTCTTTGGTTTTAAAAGACATTAAAATATCGTTTTTTAGTCCGTTTGAAGCTTCAGATCAAAGAAAACATCAAAAATCCTGCCGTTTTACACAACAGAGCACTCCCTCTTTCCCTCTCTCTCTCTTCCTCTCTTTCTCTCTCTCTCTGTCTGTCTGCCGCTGACCGAGCTCCGTCCTTGCCCAGAGGAGGTATCAGGTTCTCTGCGGTCTTCCAAGAATGGCTTCTCCCCTCAGAATAACACAGTACTATCAGTACTCTGTACATGCAAACACACACTGAGTTTAATTTAAGACTCTGGAAACAGGCGCCGCTGCAGGAAGTCTCTCTAAGCGCCGATAAGACGCAGTTATGAGAGTCTTATGAAGGGAAAGCAGCTCGATTTGATACTTGTAGTATCAGACGAGGGTGAGGTATTACAGTTACGCCACATACACTACAGGCCAAACAGTTGGGAGTAACTTTTATGTATTTATGGATGTATTTACTCCACGATCAGATGTTGCTTTCATGGAAATGCACCATTTTCCTCCATTTACCTTTAGATATACATTGATGTTAACAGACCATTGCTAAATATATGTCAGCAAAAGATAATAAGGGTTTGTTTTAGGGTTGAAATCAAGTTGTAAGAGTCACAACTTCAGTGCAACAGCTTTGGCTTTTGGGAGTCTGCATATAAAACCCTAATAAATCTTAACTGCGTTCAAATCTCTGATGAACTATCGCAGAAATGACGAGAAAGAAGCAGCTGAGTAAAGAAATAAGAGTACAGATTTGTTGTCACTGAATGCGAATAAAGTCTTCCTGTCTTTAAATAAACTCCAGCTGAATCGCACAGATTGATAAAACAATCTTAGGTAGCACTTTATATTAACGTGGTTGTAATAAGTTGTAATTAATATGTAATAAGTCACTTATAAGACACTATAAGACCTTATTAACACAAATAAGTCTGTGTCAGTGTTAATAGAGACATAATAAGTGCATAACAAAATATTATAAGGCTTTTAATATTTCCTTATGAAGCGTTTTAATGTAAACAAATATCTTATTAATGTTTATGACAGTATATAAACGATTAGTACGTTTCTAATCAGTACATAATGAGTGTCTTATAAGACATGATAAAGGCGTTTATTATGCCTTTATTGGTAACGCTTTCTTTTATGGTACACTTATTACCATGTAATTAACAGGTAATTACCCAGTAACAACATGTATTTATCTGGTAATTACATGATAACTACTAAGTCAATACTGTCTAGCTACCAGGTTGGTAACCTTCCATCATCATACAAATTAGAAGCCGAAATGCTCTGGTATTTCCAGGATTTTCTCCGCTTTGTACGCGTTTGGCGGGTGAGTCGCTGTGATAACCCTCGGCTCAGACAGCGTATCGCTACACAATCTTCGCACCCCCATAGGCTGTATCAAGTGTCAATCATAGAAAATAAGAACCTCAAATAGCTTTTGAAAATGGAGCTGCACAGCAAAAAGAAAAAAAGAAATATAGACAATATTGACTTAGTTTTTATCGTGTAATTACCAGATAATTTCATGTTGTTACTAGTTAATTACCTGGTAATAAGTGTACCGTAAAAGTTACCTAATGTCTTATAAGTCACTTATTACATATTTATTAAAACTTTTTACAATCACCATGATATAAAGTGTTACCCAATCTTAAGTTAACCCAAGACTAATTTAAAAGCCTTTTAGCTGGTTTAAAATCACTATTTTCTGAATTTAAACCTCCAACAAACATAAAAACAGATCTGTTCATCTGAGTCTTTTATTATAAGGTGATATAATTCATCCTTTTTCTCAACTTTTCTGTTTGGAAACATTCATACAGTTTCTTTTTTTATCAGCACACAATCAAAACTTCAAATGACTGATGTTATGTAACCTGGATTATCCTATAAATAGAAATAATCCCAGATGCTTTAGCGTCATAACCAAATTTGGTGATTATCTCGGCTTCGGTTCTTCTTCTCTGCACGCTACAGTGTAGTCCTGTTGGTAACGGGGTCATGTGACTTCTGTGTGTCCCGCAGGCCGCTCTGGAGGCTCTAGATGAACTCAACCTGTTTGGAGCCAAAGGTGGACCTGGATCTGTGGTTCACGCTCTGGCTGATGACATACAGCACTGTCAGGTACGTGCACGCCCACTCATTAAGATGCATGTAAACAGTTCTGATGTTGATTTTTAACCCCTTCACCTCCTTCTTCTTCAGTCCATCCTGACGTCCATGTTACCGCGGGCGTCCATGTCTAAAGAAGTCGACGCAGGAGTCCTGTCGATCATCTCCTACCCAGCCTTCGCCGTGGAGGACATAAGCATCGTCAACCTGACGAAGGAGGAGATCATCTCCAAACTTCAGGTACAGAGAAACAGGAAGTGAAATAAAGGAGGACAGAGCAGGTAGAGAGGTTTGAGACAGAGGACAGGAAAGACAGAGCTGACGTCCTCTCTGTGTGTCTGTGATTCAGGGTCGGTACGGCTGCTGCAGGTTTCTCAGGGACGGACACAAAACCCCTAAAGAGGTAAACACCCCTCAGAGATAATGAGTATTTCTGCGGTATAGATTCATAGATCTAGTAACACCAGATCACCTTCTGCCTCTTCTTTGCCTCTTCAGGATCCGAATCGTCTGTACTACGAGTCTGCGGAGCTGAAGCTGTTTGAGAACATCGAGTGCGAGTGGCCGCTGTTCTGGACGTACCTCATACTGGACGGCATCTTCATCAACAGTCCAGAGCAGGTGGCGTCCTAATCTAAGCGTTCACGCTTCTTATTTCCTTGGATTATTAAAGGGATATTCCGGTGTAAAATTAATTTAGGGTCAAACACCGTAACACAGAGTTAGACACCCTGTCGAGAGATGAATGACGTCGAATGACAAATAATGCTCAGAACAGCACCTAACTTCATCAACAGGACATATAGGGTCCCAGCCATAGTACTAGCCACCAAACATCTTTTTAACTTTGACTCATTTCTTTAGCAAAGAGACTAAAAACAACTTACCTACTCTCTTCCAGCAGCCGCTTGTTCGTGGCGAGACCTCGGGACAGTCCATTACGGACTACAGCGGAGTTTCGCAGCTCAAGGAAGAACATTTATGATTATTACTTCATGGAAATACAATCAGACCGGGACGCTAAGGCAGAAGAACTACCACGTCTGCAGAGAAAATGATTAATATGATGATTTTTACTTCAAGGAAATGATGAAGAAATGATCAAAAATGTTCTTCCTTGAGCTGCGAAACCCCGCTGTAGTCCCTAATGCTCTGACCTGAGGTCTTGCTACAAACAAGTGGCTGCTGGAAGAGAGTAGGTGAGTTGTGTTTAGTCTCTTTGCTAAAGAAATGAGTCAAAGTTAAAAAGATGTTTGGTGTCTAGTACTATGGCTGGGACCCTATATGTCCGTTAGCGTCCGTTATATGTCCTATATGGCGTTTTGGTCGAGGTTTGTTTATGGCTCCTCAGACTGCTGTGTATTGCTATCATGCGGTCGTTACTAAAGTTGGTATAACCAGAGAAGTAAGCGGTCGGCAACATTCATCTCTTGAGGGGGTGTCTAACTCTGGTGTTATGCTGTGTTTGACCCTAACTTAATTTTACACCGGAATATCCCTTTAATGATGGATGTTTGTTCCAGGTGCAAGAGTACCAGGAGGCTCTGGAGGGGATCCTGATCAAACAGAAAGACGGGATCAGGCTGGTGCCAGAACTCTACAGTGTCCCTCATGATAAGGTAGGGACTGTGATGGACTTTGCAGGAAGACTCTCGTTTAGCGTAAATGTGTTTTTTTAAATTGTTGTTTGTTTGTGTTTTTTAACAGGTGGAGGAGGAGAACATGAACCCTCACTCCGTGGAGAGGGTCTCCGTCGGTAAATGTCCTCTGAAGTGGGGACAGTCTCTGTACATCCTGGGAAACCTCCTGTCTGAGGTGAGCCGACATGAACTTACTCAGACCAGGAAGACTTGATTATGATCCTTGTCGAGGGTTTTATGGTGTCAGAGGTGTTTGAAGGTCCTGGTTCTCCTGATGTCTCCTTTCTCCAGGGGTTTCTCGCTCCTGGGGAGATCGACCCTCTAAACAGACGATTCGCCACCATCCCCAAACCCGACGTGGTCGTTCAGGGTGAGTTCACAAACGTGTGAGGAGGCGTTGATCCGTGTTTTGTGGCGCTCACGTTTACTCCCTCTCTCGTAGTGGCGATTCTGGCAGAAACGGAGGAGATCAAACAGCTGCTGATGAAGAACGGCATCGACGTGGAGACGGTCGCCGACATCCATCCCATCCACGTGCAGCCCTCCAGAGTGCTGAGCCACATCTACGCCAGACTTGGTATGACCTTGAAAGACCTCAGGAACTTCTTCTAGGCAAAGTCTCAAGACGTGGAGGATGAGATTTATCTGTTTAATTTAGACGCTTTTGTTCTGATGAGAACTTTCCAGAAATTTAACCATCACGTGTTTCTCCTGCAGGTCGTAACCCGAGGTTAGGTCTGACGGGGCGACCCTACAGGAGGATCGGAGTTCTGGGGACCTCCAAGTTCTACGTCATCAGGAACACCATGTTCTCATTCACACCTCAGGTTCATTATATAACACAGATATGATAACTTTCTCATAGACCGTTATATGAGTGAGTTAACATATAACCGGCAGTAAGAAAGTTTTCATATAACCATCTTTTAGAAACTTTATCATAGACAGTTATATATCTTTATTACAGTCGGCTACATGATAACTTTCTTATAAAAGGTTATATGCTAAGTTACTCATAGACAGTTATAACTTTCTCATAGACGGTCATTTGATAACTTTCTCATACACAACTTTCTCATCGTTGGTTACATGATAAATTTCTCGTAGACGGTAGAGAGTTAGACAACAGCCTTCTCATAGATGGTTATACGATTACTTTCTCACCGACGGTTATATAATTACTTTCTCAAAGATGGTTATAAATAACTTTTTCATAGACGGTTATATTTTAACTTTCTCATACACAACTTTCTCATCGTTGGTTACATGATAAATTTCTCATAGACGGTAGACAGTTGGACAACAACCTTCTCATAGATGGTTATATAATAGCTTTCTTACAGACGGTTATATGATATCTTTCTCATCCACGATTATATGATAACTTTCTCATGGACAGTTGTATGATTACTTTCTCAAAGATGGTTATACGATGACCTTCTCATAGACAGTTATATGGTAAAATTCTCATAGATGGTTTTAAAAACCTGTTTCATAGACGGTGAAATGATAACTTTTTCATTAATAATTATATAACATTCTCAAAGATGGTTATATGATAACTTTCTTATAGATGATTATACAATAAATTTCTCATAGACAGTTATATGATAACTTTCTCATAGATGGTTATAAATAACTTTTTTATAGACGGTGAAATGATAACTTTCTTATTGATAATTATATGATTACATTCTCATAGACGGTTATATGATAACTTTCTCATGGATGGTTATATGACAACTTTCTTATAGAGGTATATACAATAAATTTCTCATAGAGAGTTATATGATACCTTTCTCATACGCAGTTACATGATAACTCTCATAAACGGTTATATGATAACTTTATCATAAATTGTTACAAATAACTTTCTCATAGACAGATATATGACAACTCTCATAGATGGTCAAATGATGACTTTCTTATAGATGGTTATCTGATATTTTTCTTATAGACGGTTAAATGATTGCTTTCTCGTTGACAGGTATATGATAACTTTCTCACAGACGGTTATATGATAACTCTCTCATAGACGGTTATATGATAACTCTCTCATAGACGTTTGGTTATATGCTGTAGTTTTGAGTTCACTCCCATCATCCTCCTCTTCATTCATTAAACCCTCCAGTTCATCGACCATCAGCAGTTCTACATCGCGTTGGACAACAAGATGATCGTGGAGTCGCTGAGGACAGAAATCTCATACCTGGCCTCCAGGTGGAGGATGACCGGACGTCCCACCATCACCTTCCCAATTTCACAGACCATGCTGAGTAAGTTGAGCTTAATTAAACCATAAACTACACTTAACAAGACTAAAGTATAATGATTAAAAAACAACCTGGATTATCCCTCTTTGTGTTTCAGCTGAAGACCGCTCAGACCTGGACCCTGCAGTTCTGGCTACTCTGAATAAACTACAGGATGGATACTATGGAGGATCCAGGTGAGTTCAGGAGAGGATACTTGACGTGTTTCTGGAGATTTAAAGGTTTTAAAAACAGCAGAAGGAGAAAAATGCAATCCTTTGAAAGTCCTGAGAAAACCTCACACTGAACCTCAGTTATCATCTCCGTCCTCCAGGATCCAGACGGGGAAGCTGTCGGAGTTAACGACCACCTCCTGCTTCGCTCACCTCAGCTTCCTGGACGGTAAGGTTTCTGGCAGCATGAAGCGCCACCAGGAAGAGTATGATGATGATGATGAGGCTGACGGCGATGGATACGTGCATGAGTTACATAATGATGATGGTAAGAAAAAAAACACAGACCGATGGATGGATGGGGAGGAATGGTGACGCCAGATGATTTCCTCCTGTCAGCTCTAAAAAAGACATCAAACTAAATCTCCTCTCTGATAATAACCCGTCAAATATTCGTATTACTCACCTCTATCCTGCTGTGACATCATCACTGATTTCCCCGTCCCCATCTTCTCTGTACGGAGCTGAAAAAGCATGCGCTCTTTCTGCTCTAAAGACTCTGAATAATTCTGATTTATTCGCGTTTGTGTCGCTTAGATTCGCTGCATATAGAGTCATGCTCAAACGCCGCTTCACTGACAGCTGCTTCTTGCTATGAAATGATCTCCTGCTGACAGACGCATGCTGCAGATTGAATTTTGCATCGTTCGTTATTCAGCCGTTAATTGGTTTTACCATTCTCCTTCTATTAGTGGTGTCAGATTTTAACCCCGTAATATTGTGGCCATAAAAATATCACAATAACAGAATAATTGCATGTTTTATTGGAAACTTGAAAGTAACACAATCAGTAAAATTAAGGAAAAGGCACCAACACATTAACTGTTATGTCGAAGATGATTCTTTATTTTGTGCTCTTATTTTGAAATTTTCTCCATCTTGAATTTAGGCGTTGCCAAACTATGCTTTTATTTTGAAGTGTTCTACTTCTGGTAGACCGCCTCGCTTGATCCGCTCCGTCCTTATTGTCAGTAAATGTTGGAACAGAAGTAAAAAAAAGTCAAAATAAAAGCCTCAGAAATTATCGGCTTATGAGACGATCTCCTCTGCAGCGTCAGGTCAGAGGAACCAGATTAAAGGGAGTTTCCGTCATAGTAGAAATTTGTGGTCCCTGAACAGGAAGGTGTAAGAACAAACAGTAGAAACTTAAAAAAAAGTGTTTAAATAACTAAAAAGTTCACAAAAAGTTTGTCAAATCAAGCATGTCAGAATAAAAGAATGTGCATGGATGTTTATGTGGAGTATCTTCAGCTTGTTGCACGCCACACATCCTGTCATTTGGACCCTTACCCCCAATTTCCACCGCATCCAGAACGGCTACAAAAAGGCGGTATCCGCTGATCGTAACCATTCAAGTTAATGTGTCGATTTCCAACGGCTTCCGCTGCTGATGGACGGACTCTGCAAACAAGCGGGGACGAACAAGTCAAAGGTGTATCGACGTCACTCCACCCCGATGACACCATGGATGAGGAGATGTTGATTCTAGAAGTCTAGATGTAGATTTCCTCCTCTTGAAGGACACAATCTACTGCTTTTATGGTTATGTAGCTGTCTTTATAGAGACAACTCATTATCGCGCTATTGCACGTGAATCCGCCACGAAATTCGAAAATCCTCACAAACGGAGCTGGTAGATATTGACGGATGGTGAAAATCGTTGCCGTTCCAGATGCGGTGGAAGTTCGGGGTTACTGTCGTTTGAAGGTTTAGTTAAAGTGTTTATAAGAACTTGTGTTTGTAAACTCGATAAAGGTGAGTCATTTCTTTACCTAATACTGATGATAAAAACTGTTTTCTGTCTTTTTCTCACTCTCTCTGAAGTCTTTCTCGTTTGTTTTTGACCTTCTCTCTCCTTCCTGTCTCTTGTCTCTCTTCAGAGGCCGATGACCTGGCTCAGTACCTGGACCACCTGTTGGCCCACTCCGCCCCCAAGAAGCCCAAGCAGCCGGTGAAGGGTCTGGGGAGGTTTAAGGCTGCAGCCGCCAAAACGAAAGAGATGGTGTCCCTGATGAACAAAGCTCAGGAACTGGACGTCCACAGTGAGCTGAACCCAACTTTTTCACCCCGCCAAAATAAAAGTAACTACGTCGAACCCTGAAACAACTTTGTGTTTTTCCTCCCCACAGACGTAAACATGTACCTGCCAAGCAAGCTCTTCCGCACACGACACCCGTCCCTCAACCTGAACCTTCCAGACCCTGCAGAGCATCCTCAGGTGTGTTGCTCTTTCCCTCTAGTCCACCTCTTCATGTATCCGCTGTGTTTAACCCCGACACTCCTCCGTCCCTAAGGTTCCCGAGGTGAAAATCACAGCAGACACCGGTATCCCCAGAGACGCCAGCGGAGCCATCGAGTACAACGCTTTGGCCCAGGTGCTCAAAGAAACGCAGAACCTCCAGGACCAGGCTGACATCCTCTACATCCTCTACAAAGACAAGTGAGGGAAACATCTGCATTACCGAGACAAAAACTTTCAATTCAGACCCTTTTTGACTTGGCTAAGACGTCCCCAACCTTTGGTTTATGACTTCATGTTGTTCTCGTTATCTAAAAAGTGCCGTGGTTACATATGACAAGGATCAAGTCATCGGCGTAAAGATTAAACCAAACATTAAAACCAAAAGAGATGAAGTGAGAAAAACAAAGGCCCTAAGACAGATCCCTGAGGTACACCAAGTCCCCAATGGAGCCTTTAAAGGCTTGAACATGAACATTAATGCAATAATGTTCTCCCATCCACTTGTAAAGAGTCAATCCAGACCTTTTTGATGAAATCCAAGCATGAAAATGTACGCTAAGTTTTGCAGTTTGCTCGTTTTGTGTCCGGTCTTGGAGCGAAACCGTTAGCATCTCCACCTGATCAGACATATCAAAGTATTCCCAAAAGACTAAATGTACAGGTTTGTTGATTTTAGGTCCTCCAGAGGTGGAGTTGTGTGTGAATTGTGTAGGGCTGTGAGATAAACCAAAAATTTACTGATACCGAAATTTACAAATTTTTAACTGACGTCATTTTGCCCATACCGGTATATTCCGTGTCAAAAAAGCAGCTTGTGGAGTAGTTATCGTCTATTTATCGTTATCGAGGTGATTATTATAGGATTATTTCTATTTGCAAAGATTGTCTCATTTAAAAGAATTAATTTTATCTCAAAATGACCAATTCTTAAAACTGCGTCAAATATAGTAGAAATCAAACTTTTGTAAAAATCTTTTGAGTATTTTTTATTTTATTTTTTTTATTTCTTATTATTTTTTTTTTCCAAAATTGACAAAATATTTTGCAGCTCTGCCAAAAAACAAAAGTTAAGACGAAGTTGATGTGGGAGGGGGTGAGCAGCTTGTGGAGTAGTTATCGTCCATTTATCGTTATCAAGGTGAACTGATCAATAAATCGTGATATTGATTAGACGCCATATCGCCCAGCCCAAGAATTAGTTTTTTTTTTTTTTTTGCAGGGAGCAAAACAATTGGTGCATTTGACTCTTTTTGCCTCCATCCGTTTGTGGAAAACTGTTGAATCTCACAAGTTTAAACTACTTTTCCTGTCTGTGTGTGTTTGTATTTGTGTGTTTGTGTGTGTATGTGTTTGTTGTGTGTGTGTTTCCGACAGGGGCATGGACTGGGACACTCATCTGCACGGGAAAGGCACCACAGTCAGGACTCTGCTCACTGACCTTTACCAGAAGGCGGGTGAACTCAAACACTGGAGCCTCATCAGGATGATCTCTGGCATGCTGAGGAAGAAGGTGGAGGAGCTGGACTGGGTACGACACACACACACACACACACACACACACACACTAACATAAACACAGCTATAAATAAACAGGGTGACATTCACTGAAGGGTCCCTCCCTCGGCCAAAGACTCCACATGCTCCTCCAAGTGAGACCTTGAAAACGTTTGACTGAATCAGAGCGTAAACACATGATTGGTAATTGATCACATGTTATTGATCCTCCTCTTGTAGGCCTGCTCTGACCTGCTGGCCCACCAGAAACACCTGACAGTAGGTCTTCCTCCCGAGCCCAGAGAGAAAACCATCACCGCCCCCATCCCCCCAGACCAGCTGGCGACTCTCATCGAAGAAGCCAGCGACAACAACCTCAGCGTGGCCATCCTCACCCAGGTCGGAAACATCCTCCTCTTCCACCATCATCTTCATCATCTTCTTCTTCTTTAGTTTTTGACACCTTCACCTCTCGTTTCAGGAGATCATGGTGTACCTCGCCATGAGCATCAGGACTCAGCCGAACCTCTTCACCGAGATGTTCAGGCTGCGTATCGGTCTCATCATCCAGGTGATGGCGACCGAGCTCGCCCAGTCCCTCAACTGTTCAGGTAAGACGGCAGGATTTGAGTTATTGTTGCTTAGACTTTGCTTTCTTTAAAGTAACCTCCTCTGGCTTTAACAACAGCTTGGTATATACCAGGCATTCATTCCACAAGTTTTTGAAAGTATGTTCCAGGGATTGCATTCCAAGCTTTCTTAAGTTCATTAAAAAGAGACTGCTGATTCGTGGGATGCGTTTTTCTGACCGATCAATCCAATTCATCCCCGCACAAGCTCAGTTGGAGAGAGTTCTGGAGACTGAGGGGGCCAAACCATCTTTTGAAGAACACCTTCCTCTTCTTTTTTGTCTGGGTAACCCTGACAGAGCTTGGCAGAGTGCTTAGGGTCATTGTCTTGTTGAAAAAAACAAACTTATGAGCCACAAGTCTGAGTCCAGATGGAACAGCATGGTGCTGGAGGATGGAGTGGTACTGTTCCTTCTTCATGATACCCTTTACTTTAAACAAATCTTCTACTCCATCACCTGCAAAACATCCCCATACCATGGAGCTACCACCTCCATGCTGAATTGTGGGTGTAACACATGGTGCTTTCAGACGTTCACCAGTTTGTCTGCGGACATAGACTCTGCGTTTTGAACCAAACAGTTCAAACTTGTTTCTTGTCATCATAAGTCCAATTTTTGTGAGCTTTAGCCCACTCATATCTTTTTTTCTTGCTCTGTGGACGAAGTAGTGTTTTTTTTGCAGATGCACAACCCTTCAGACCAGCCTTTCTCAAACCTCATTTCACGGTTGTCAGAGATGTGGGTTTCGACCTTGTCATGTTGATTTTGACAATGCTATGTTTATCCTCTGCTTTTGTAGTAACTCTCTTTCTTCCAGGTCTCATAACTTCCAGGTTCCTCTAGTCTCCTCAGAGTGTAGTGGACTCCTTTGTTAAACACCTTTAGGCGTTTTGCAATTTCGCTTTCTGTGTACCCTTCTTTCCTCGATGTACAAATCTGTACTCTTGTTTCTTTACTCAGTTGCTTCTTTCTTGCCATTTCTGCGATAGTTTGTCAGAGTTTTGAACACGGGTGAGATGTATTGGGATTTTTGTATGCAGACACTCAAAAGCCAATAATCTTTTGTTGACATTTATTCAGCAATGGTCTGGTAACATCAATGTATATCTAAAGGTAAATGGAGGAAAATGGTGCATTGTGAAAAGAAACTTGAAGTAGTTTCCAAATGTTTGGCCTGTTTTGGTCCTGCTTCCAAACTTTGTTCCTGTGATCTGTGTTTAGGTGAGGAGGCCACCGAGAGCCTGATGGGTCTGAGTCCATCAGAGCTGAAGAACCTCCTCCATCACATCCTCAGCGGGAAAGAGTTCGGAGTGCAGCGCAGCGGTAAGTCCTCCGACCGTCGCATCCCGATCTCTCACGCATCCTTCCCGCCCTAGGGTTTGATTTTTCTCCTCCTTCACAGTCAGAGAGCTGGACGCCGGGGTCAGTCCGGCCATCTCCATCCATCAACTCGGCAACACCGGCGCCACCAAGAGCGAGAGAGCCGGCATCAGCAAACTGAAGAGCGACATGAGGATGGTAGGAAGAAAAAAAACCTCATCTGTGGTTAAACTACAGAGCAGCAGTCCTAGATCTGAACTTTAGAGCTCGGTAGAAACGGTTCTTGTTGTGAAGAGAGTCCCTGAACGCACCGTTGACGTTAAAGCTGCAGGATTTGTCTGTGTTTGTTCGTTTTTTACGTCCTTTTGGCAAACTGACGTCTGTTGTGTTGCAGCTGGAGCACAGGTTGTCTCTGACGGATCCCAGTAAGGTGATGTTGCTTTGAGCACACCTGGTGGTGGTAATTCACCTGGATGATTGAGGGGGATGAAGTCTGTGCATGTTAACTCGTCGATAATTCGAGGAGATCCAGATTTAATTTCTGTTTTCTTTGTGGAAACATGGAATAGAGTTTTTTAAAAACCAGAACAGATTGGATTTTTAACTCGGAGGTTTTTGTGTTGCAGGCGGAGCGCAGTTTGTCCGTGTCGGATCCATCGAAGGTGATGATCACATGAAGGATGATTAACTCTTTCAGCTGAACCGCCTCCTCTCTCTTTCTTCTGCTTCTCTATTTTTACTGCAAACTCATCAGCGAATAATAACTGAAGTCGTGAAGGTGTTAATTCACCTTTCATGTAAACATCACCTGCTGCTTTCACTCTGCCTTCATGAGTTATTCTTGAAAAGATGGACGACATGACAGGTCCCCTAAAGTGAAGCCGAAACATCAGCCCGCCTTCTCCATGTAAACGGATCAAACATGGTCGGACTTGTTTTTCGAGGAGGTTTAGTTTTAAGTAGTTATTTCATGTTTTAAAATGGGGCATAATGGCCGAGCGAGTTAGCGCACCACCTACCGGGACCACGCTCCCCGCAGCGGTCGCAGGTTCGAGTCCAGCCCTGAACATGTGCTGCATGTCCTACCCCAATCTCTCTCTATTTCACAGTTATCACAGTTCTACGCTAAAAAATCGCCAAACAAAAGAAAAATTGGGAGTGATGTTAAAGTGATTGACAGCTCTGTTGTCGAATCAGGCTCCTGCTGCTCAGAGAGGAAAAGTAATAAACTAAACAGATTTTAACAAAGACAAAAGTAGTTATAACAATAATAAACAAAATAAAAATAAAAAAGTAATAAAAGTAAGCGTTTTTTCTCTTTTTTGTTTTTTTTTGTTTCATCCAAAAGAAATTTGAATTTTTTTTTTTCCTAATGATAGTCATAATAATAATAAATAAAAAACAGTGGTATAAGTAATAGTTTTTTTTTCTCTCTCTCTCCTCTTTTTTTTGTTTCATCTAAAAAATTGTAAGAAATTAAAAAAAAATCCTAATGATAGTCGTAATAATAACAATAAATAAAAACTAAATTTATAAAAAATGAGAAGTGTAAGTAATAAATTTTTTTCTCTCTCTTTTTGTGTTTTTTCTTTAATCCAAAAAAAATGTAAAATATTAATAAAAATCCTAATGATAGCAATAACAATAACAAAAAATAAAACAAATTTTTAAAAATGAGTATTACAAGTAAAAAAATGTTATTTCTCTCTCTTTCTCTTTTTTTTTTTTTTTTGTTGCTATATTATTACATTAAGATGTTTCATCCATCAATTCAAAGTGCGCTGTAAGCAAAAGGGGCGGAGCATCTTGACTGAAGCCCTGCCTAAAGCACAGAATCAATTATGGAGATGTTTTGGCTTCACTTGTACACAATGTGGGGGTCGTGTCATCCATCTTTTTCTTCCAGTCAGAGGCGTTTTCTCAGTTTTCGTTGGTCTAACTTCTCGGACTGCTGAGCGGCTTCTCTTTCTGGGCGGGTTTTTCTTTCTTAAAATGTCAGGAGTTAATTTTGAGGATCAGTTTTTGTTTGGTAATTCGTCTCGTTCTGTGTCTCTGTTTCGATCCAGGAGCCCAGGTTGTCTTTGACAGATCCCGCAGAGGTGATGATGATGATGATGATGATGATGGTGGTTTTAGCAGCGTTTTAACTCCAGGCTGTGGAGTGATGAGTGGAGGATGCTCTGAGTGTTTGTGATTCATTGTGTGTCCTGTGTTGCAGATTGACCGCAGAGTGTCTTTGACCGACTCAGTGAAGGTGATGATGATGATGATGATGTGGTCATGTTTAGAACATAAAAACGTGTTTATGTCCTGATGCAGAGACGATCTCTTGCAGATTCTTGTCTTTTTTTCAGGAAGAGAAAATGAGCGATTGAAAGAGTTCAGTCCTCTGGGATGATCCATTTCCACTCATTACAAACAGCTCAGGCCGTTTTCACTCTCAGAATAACTGTGGATTTTCTTTCTATGTCAGTCATTTGTAAACTGGTCTGAATCGCAGTCTGGTATTTTCTGTCTTTGTTTCAGCTCGACCAATCACTGAGCATCCCTCGTAAGGTGACCAAAAGACCGACATTCTGGGTGTTAATCCACCTGAAATCATTAACAAGAACATCCACTAAGAGTTGAAGAGCTGATCACATGAGCGATTAACTCTGCAAGCTTGTGGCTGCTTAATTTTCAACTGATAATTTGTTTGTTTTTTGGCAGAGCTGCAAAATATTTTGTCAATTTTTTGGAAAAAAAATCTAAAATATTCAATAAGATTTTTACAAAATGGTGATTTCTTCTATATTTGATGCTATAGATATTAGTAATTTTGAATACAGCTCAAGTCTTTGCAAATAGAAATAATCTTATTGGACGCTCAATTCTAGGGCTGGATGATATGGCCTAAAATCAATATCACGATATATTGAGCAGTTCACCTTGGTAACGATAAATGGACGATAACTACTCCACAAGCTGCTCACCCCCTCCCACATTAACTTCGTCTTGACTTTTTTTTTTTTTTTTTGGCAAAGCTGCAAAATATTTTGTCAATAAAAAAAAAAGATCAAAAATATTCAGTAAAGTTTTTACAAAATTTTGATTTCTACTATATTTGATGCAGAATTGGTCATTTCGAGTCAAAATCAATCCTTATTAATGAGACAAGCTTTGCAAATAGAAATTAATCCTATTGGATGCGCAAATATAGGGCTGGGCGATATGACCTCAAATCAATATCACGATATATTGAGCAGTTCACCTCAATAATGATAAATGGACGATAACTACTCCACAAGCTGCTCACCCCCTCCCACATTAACTTCGTCTACTTCAGCCACTACAACTTTTGAACCGTCCTCCATCTACTCACCTCTTTCTCTCTTTGTTACGGACTGGGAGGGGTGGAGTCACGTCTCTGACGTAGGACAGCGTCTGAAAGGGACATGAGACCATAGCCTACCTACACACATCCAAAACAAACTTTTGCTAACGGTTCCGCTCCACGACTGGACACAAAACAAGCAAACTGCAAAACTTAGCACACATTTTCAGGCTTGGATTCCCCAAAGTAGTCTGGATTGACACTGAATACTGAAAAATCAATATGGCCAAAATGACGTAGTTTACTGTCGTAAATTTTAGTATTAGTAAGTTTTCAGGTTATCGCCCAGCCCTACTCAAATGTCAAGAATCGTCCAAAATTTGTTGGAAATCTTTCCTCTAATTTAAAGGAGACGTAGGAAAAGACAGAGACAGATTAGATGTTGAATTTTGATGAAGTATTGTTTTTTTTTGACCTGATTTTAATCCTTTTCCATCCATGCATGCTGTGACGCCGTTTGAAGAAGCAATAATCCTCCAGCTTTTGTGGTGTTCCGCTGTTTCCACCGTCCATCACGATCTTGCACACTGTCATGTTTTTTCATCTTGTGTGTCTGTTTTTTGTTCCCCTCCTTCTTCTTGTCTGTCTCTCAGGGCGCACGATCCTTCTCTGTGGACATAGAAAACATTGAATCTGGGGTAAAGACAAACAGATTTATTTTCTCTTTTTGGAGGATTATCTGTCGTTTTGTTTTGTTTTGTTTTGTTTTGGGTCTCAAACGAGAGCTAGCGAGCTTTTCCACCAATCAAGTAAAGCCGTAAATTCATTTGCGTTGTTTCTCCTCTGGCCTCGTAGAAATACAGACTGCCCTCCATGGAGTCTCTGGACATCCCAGAATGCATTCCGGCTGCTAAGGATACAAAACACGGCCAATGGCTGCGCAGGAGACGTCTGGACGGAGCGCTGAACCGAGTCCCTGTTGGATTTTACCAGAAAGTCTGGAAGATCCTGCAGAAGGTCAGTCCATACGCTGACTATGAGCATCCTGGTTTGGACTTCGATTTTAATGGTTGCATTATAGATAAAAATAACTTTCACCCCTTCAAAATAAAAGCTCTAATTTTAAAAGTGAAGGTTAAGGGCCCGTGTCCACTAGCAGCATTAGCTTTCAGTGCCTCAAGTTAAACATAGTTCAACTTTTGAACTTCACGATTTCGTCAATGTCACTTCTCCACTTCAAAATAAAGGAGGGGTGGGACTTCTGATTTCAACAGAGGTCCAAACAGAGGAAAAACTGTCGGACCTGGTGCTTAAAAACCTCGGCCAAGAGTTCAGTATTTGGTGTCTGGATGACCACATACCTAAAACTGATCCTGACTGGATTTTTGAGCTGATGATTTTCACCTAAATCATTTATTGTGATGAATTTCTGGCATGTTAGAAAGTCTCAGTGGCTTACTTCCAATTTGTGGACTAAAGTCTCTGCAAATGATGTCTCCGTAACAAGCCGATAATTGGTTGACCAAAGGACGTCTGAACCGAGCTTTGTCCTTAATTTGCTCAAATAGTAACGACTGTTTCAAATCTGTCTCCCAGTGTCACGGTCTGTCCATCGAAGGGTTCGTCCTTCCGTCGTCAACCACTAGAGAGGTAAGAGGCCCTCTTGGTTTCATTCTTGACGTTTTTCAGGCTCACCTGATCCTGACCCTGTAAATACGTTTTGTCTTCTCCGCCAGATGACCCCAGGTGAGATCAAATTCTCAGTCCACGTGGAGACGGTTCTGAACCGCGTCCCTCAGCCGGAGTACCGTCAGCTGCTGGTGGAGGCCATCCTGGTGCTCACCATGCTGGCCGACGTGGAGATCCCGAGCATCGGCTCCATCATCCACGTGGAAAAGATCGTCCACCTAGCTAACGACATGTTCTACAAAGATCAGGTAACTCCAACCTCCAATTTGCGCCGCAATCGGAAAGACTACGAAAAGGCCGTATCCGCCGATCGTAGCTGATCGTAACCGTTTAAGTGAGCGTGTCAATTTCCAACGGCTTCTTTCCGTTCTGCTCCTCCAGAGGGATCTGGGAGCAGAGGAGTCCATCCTGGAGAGGGATCCAGCCACCAGCGTGTGCAGGCTGCTCTACGACAGCGCCCCCAGCGGACGCTTTGGGAGCATGACTTACCTCACGAAGGCGGTGGCGGTGTACGTGCAGGACTTCTTACCCAGCGGCTCGTGCGCGGTGCAGTGAGCGAGGACATTTGTTACATAAAACAACAAAAACAGGCTGAACAGTGACGATATGTTAGCATCATGTTACAAAGGTTTTTTATTTATTATCGGTAAATCAGACTTCGACAAAAACACACTCGCACTGTGATTAAAACGAATGTACACTGTATTATTACGATAACACCTTTTTTATTGGAAAGGGCATTCAGACAGGCTCACTATCTACGACCTTGTTTTTCGGCAGCTTGGTCGCCATGGCAGCCGTCTTTTCACCCACGTCAGATAGTCAGAAAGTTTGTCCGTCGGCAATAAAAGGGGCTAGAATCAAGATTTTTGTCGGTTTGCTGTGTGTTACATACAGATCCATGGTTTCTATTGTGTAGTTAAAAGTCGTACCATCAGTGTTTTAACGGTTAGCTTAAAAAAAGACGGACGTCAGGTCTCTGCCCCGCCTATTTTGACTAAATTAAGACCAAATAACCATTATTTAACTTCAAAACAAGGCATTGAAGATTGGTCAAGAGTTCAGCAATGTGCAGTTTTGATGCAGATGTGTAGCTCTGACTAGAAACTACTAGTTTTCGACACTTGATATTGATGTCATACTCTTTCCAGTAACCAAATGAAACATGTAACGTAGTGATAAAGCTTTGAGATCTCTCAACTGTTCAGCAATGTGCAGTTTTGATGTCGATGTGTAGACCATCCATCACAATAACTCGGATTTGAATGACAGAAACTATGTTCGAATTTTCTTGACATGCTAACGTGGAGTAGGCGGAGTTCATTACCGCTACTGCGGCTAGCCAGCAGGGGGAGCCCTTTTTTGCTCTTTCTTTAGCTTCACAGTCAGTGTACACTTGTGACGATCATTTTAATTAAATTGTTTAGTAGTACTGCTAGACTGGTCTGCTTAAAGCGCCATCTTCTGGATGAAATACACCAACATAACAAATACCTCTCTGTTTATTAGTTGCACTGGTGTAAAGGAGGCAGCTCACTCTCTATATGACAAAAAAGTCTTTAAAAGAGCGACTGATACACCAAAACTTCCGGTAATTCTAATTTGAGAATTTGATCCATATCCCATCGGTCAACATGGAGGCTTTATGACTCAAACTGCAAAACTAATAAAATAAATTAACAATAAAATTTTCCAAAAGTGAGAGTCAACCCCGAAACATTTCGAGTATTATAGCACTCAGAGATAATTCAAAAAGCAGTAAAAAATGTTGTGGAATAAAAGCAAAAATCTGCAAAATTTTTGATGATTACACCAAAATTTAGGGTAATTCTGATTTTAGAATTTGACCCATATTCCATCAGTTTACATGGAGGCTTTATGACCCACACTGCAAAACTAGTTAAATATTTTTTTTATTATTATTGTTTGAGCTGTAGCCCATTATTACCAAAAGTGATGAAGTAAAAGCTGAAAACATTAAATTCTCACTTTTATAGACAAGTGATGAAAAATTTTCCTTTTTTTTATTCTAATATTCAGATTTTTTTTTCATATCATTAACAATAAAATTTTCCAAAAGTGAGAGTTAACCTTGAAATATTGCGGGTATTATAGCGCACAGAGATAATTCAAAAAGCAGTAAAAAATATTGTAGAATAAAAGCAAAAATCTGCAAAATTTTTGATGATTTTATCACTTATTTAAAGCTCCGGTGAGCCTTAACCGCAGTCCGTTACTCCTATTATAATGAAAGCGTACACCACACAGCCTAAAGTAGTCGATTGTCAATGTTGGATGTAAAATCTTTGGTTGTTTGTTTAATTGTTTGTTGATTCTTTTGGGAATTTTTGGCGAGTAGAAAAAGAGAAAGCACCGGATCTCTCCTTAAACTTAAACTCCTGGTGGTCTTTTCTTTTAGGGAAAAAACAGTCAAACATATCAACCATGACGGCACTGGAAAATAACCGATTTGACTGTAACTCTTGGTAGCTAAGGGACTCACATGAAACTTTAGCCAGAAAACATATTTTTTTTCACAGGTGTGACGTTGTATTTCAAGAAAACAAATCTGTTTCCTCATGTTTGTAACTTACACATAATGAATAATTTCTGTAATTGAATCTAATTTATTACTTACGTTACCTCTGATCCTTCTACTGTATGATGTGTAAAAGAAAGGCAAACATTAGATCACTTTTCTTCTATTTATTTTAAACTTCTTAATAAATAATTTGGGAGAGTCGTGGCAGACATGAGGGGGTTTAAACGCCTTAACATTTGCATGCGTCAAAGTTTGTGTGTGAGTGCTGTTTGGTTTGTAACTTTGCAGAAATGACAGAATGTGTGAAATAAAACTGGCTCATTTTTTAACACAAAGTGTTGTCGATATGATCTGTTAAAAATTTAAACTTGATTTTCTTCATTTTTGAGGCCAAAATCCTGAAAAAAAGCGCAAATATTCCTCTTATCAAGAACATGCTTTTTGGTTTGTAACTTAATATCACTTTGTAGTTTGTGCATTTAAAGGGATATTTCAGCGTAAATTTAAGTTATGGTCAAACACACCATAATACCTGAGGAGCCCTGACGAGTCCATCACCGAGTGCAGCGGAGTTTCGCAGCTCAAGGAAGAACATTTATGATTATTACTTCATGGAAATACAATCAGAGTTTTTGCGTATCATCCGGTCTGATTGAATTTCCATGAAGAAATAATCATAAATTTTCCACTGCACTTTGTGATCGATTTGTCAGGGCTCCCCTACAAACAAGTGGCTGCTGGAAGAGAGTAGGTGAGTTCTGTTTAGTCTCTTTTCTATTGTGCGATGAAAGTTAAGTTACTACTATTTTAAATCTTAATTTTTAAACCAAAACGCTGCTAAAAATGTTGTTTGAAGTTCAGTTTTTCACATTTAGGTTGAGCCATAAGCTCTTCCACTTCATCGTGACCACCAGCAGGTGGCAGCATAGGTGCACAAGTTCTAATCATGGTCTCAGACTGGGGTTACTGTGACTGGTCTATCTGGTCTACAAAGACCTTAAACAACAACGATTGAAATACAGTGATAAGTTTAATTTTTCTTGTTTTCTTGATTTTATAGATTCTGCTGTCAATTACCCGACAAATCGTAACTTTTTTTAGCATCAATGATAGCATCCTCTATCTGTATTTACCCAAATTGATATATAAATTAAGTGCAATAATGGTAAAAGTTAAAATATTCTTGTTTGGGGTTATCGCTGCTGTTTGAAAAGAGAAAAAGGTCATAGCTGAAGAGAAGTTAAAAATACACAGAAAAGAGAAAAAGGGTTTGTGTGATCTAGGACAGAGTGTGCTGAATCAAATCAAACCATTAAAATATTCTCACACCTGTCAAAACTAGTTCAGGGGAAACTAAAATATCTGCAAGATTAGAAAACTTCTGTGTCGACTTTGTCCAAAACAAGTGAAATGTTCAAAAACATGAATATATATCAAGCCTATTCTGAAACTTGAACACCTGATTGTGTCAGCCCAAGTGTGGATGGCCTGGTTTTCTTTGTGTCTCATATGAAGTCATCAGTATTTATTTTAATGTGTTTCATAACCTCCTAAAAAGTCCCCTCTGAAACAGTTAAAGTTCAAAGTCTAAAAATGCTGAACAGACAAAAATACATGACGGATTTCTGAAAAAATCTAACGGAAATAAACACAGACACTGGATCTGTCTGGACCTGCTTGAAATATAGATTTCCTTTGCTTATCATGTATGTGTACACATACCAGCATGTCATTACCAGACTGGGCTGAATTTTCTGCTGCTGTGGTGAATTCTTCATAATCTGCTTTTTCACATTCTGTTAGGAATAAATCATAAAATTGTCAGGTGTTGGATCATTTTGGCAAAAGTGACCGTTCAATAGAAACTTTTCTTTAGGTTTTGCAAATTCTGTCGTTTTAAATCTTTATTATCGTGCGTGTCAAGCAGAGGTGGGGGCTTGACGACTCGACTCGAGACTCGACTTGGACTTGAGTCCCGTTTTTGACTTGCTTGATGAAATCAAGAAATGACTTGGACTCGCTTGGGACTTGATTGCTAAAGACTTGAGACTTGACTTGACTTGAGCCCAGTGACTTGAAAATAAAGTCAAGTCTTTTCAAGTCACTTAATACCTTACAGCCCAAACCGTTTAAAAAGTGTCGCATCAACTAATAGTCAGGAATTATAAATGCTCATGATTGATGTAAATCTTCACATATAACAAATGGTTTATGGCTTTGATATGACTTGTTTTTGACTTGAAAGAAACAATAAGGACTTGGTTGGGACTCGAAGCAAAATTCCGAGGACTTGTTTGGGACCTGAAACAAAAAGTTCAGGACTTGGACTTGACTTAAGACTTGTCTGTGTTGACTTGGACTTGACTCGAGACTTGAGAGCAAAAGACTTGAGACTCGACTTGGACTTGCAACATAAGGACTTTCCCCCACCTCTGGTGTCAAGACAAGTGGTCTTGTTTAATTTCGAGTGTAAAATGTTGAATCAGAATTGACAAAAATAAATGGCGAGAAATAAACATCCAAACAAGTCTGAAGTAATGCCTGAACTTCTCGTAATGAGTACTTGTTCAGTTTCTTGCATCAAAACATTGTTTTTATGTTTAAAAATGTTAATTTTACCTCATCTTTGGACTTGTCAGGGAGATAAAAACAGATTCAGGCTTTAGAAATTACAAAAAAAGTCAGATGTTTTGTCGCTGATGGCTTCATTTGCATCTCTACACCATCATTACAAATCTCAGGCAATTTTACAAATGTCAAAAACTCCTCAAAGGAGATTCAATAACTTTATTTCAACTTTTTTATCCAGACAAATTTTGTCACATAAAAAAGATAAATGTTCCAGTTTGACTCAAAAATGCATATTTTCAGCTTTCTGCAACTTTTAGCGATACAAAAGGTGAGCTAGCTTGTTTACCCCGCAAAAACACAGCTGTTATTATCCATAAGATGTATTTTTATTCATTGCAATTAATTTGGAATTATTATTATTATCGATCAAACACAAACCTCTAGTTTATACAAGAGCTCCAATAAATGTTGTTACGCTTGATTTGAACCGATACACACAGCGCTTCTTAAAAACGTTGCTGTGTAAATTACAGGTGTTTAACATGTCTGTATGTAAGACGTATGTTCTGGTCTGTTAGATGACATTGATCAGTCTGTTCTGACACAGTTTGTACTCATGAAGTAGAGAACATGGTATCAATAGCAAACTTACAGGAATTTTAATATGTGCAGACAGTAACGCTTGTGTGTTTGACCAGTATGACGTTTCTCAGAAATAGGGCACTGACCAGCTGAGTAAGGGATTCATGAGGCAGACATGAACAACTTAATACCATTTTATCATTTATCAATGGTTTGTTTTACAAAATAGGAATAGCCGTCTGACGGAAGGAGAGGAACATGTCAACCATCTTCTTGAACTCAAGATTCAAGCGAAGCAAAGAGACAGAGAGGAGCAATAAGGATAAAAAGAACACCTGAGTCCCGCCTCCATCCTTGCCAACAGGGCCCTAACCAAGTCCCCTCTTTGCTGCATCGACATCAACGCTTGTGTCTCTGTCCCTTCTCTGTCTTTACGATGTGGGTACACGCACATATTTACTGTCTCCACACACCAAGCGCGAGTGAAATCATTCGCGCGACTGAATTACATGTTAAGTCAATGCAAAGATGCGAATGATGCGAATTTGGCGGAAGCTGAAAATGTCTCAACTTGAGCGGATTTACGCGTCACGATAACTACTCAGCACTAAGGTTGCTGGATGACGTATGAAAACAGACTCTCGACTAGTATTTAAAATGGAAGATAAACTGATCGTGTTGGTGTGTGGGTGGGTGGTAATTTGCGCGAATTAAGCGAGTAGATGATTTCACTTGTGCTTGGTGTGAGCGCCCCATTAGAGCTGGTCCCAGTTTCACTCCTCCATCTCTAAATGAGTCCTCGCCTCACTTTTATGAACAGGGCCCAAGTCCCCAGTTTTTCCTATTGACATAAACGAAACAGGCAGAAATAACAGAGTGAAGAAATGGCCGTCTATGTCCTCAAATAATCAACACATTGTTGGATCAGAGACCAACTCTAAAGTCTTGGTTGTCCACATAAAATGATCTAGATGCCTCTTCCCTGCTACCCTTTCCATGCTAATGAAGAAAACCAGAGTCCCTACTGTGTTTCCCAGACATCGGACGAGTTCGGGATACAGAGCACTGATTAAGTCCTGTCTCTGTCTCTGTAATATAAAACAAAATGAGGAAAAGATAGGGACCAGCAGATAGTCGTCTCTTTGTCCTTCAGACATGAACACACTGTCGTGTCATAAATTAAGTCACCTGATAAGTAACGGATACCACACCAGTATGCCTCCGTCTGTTGGACATTGCAGATGAAGTTTGATAGGGGTGTAAATACTCTGCCTGAAAATGGAAGTTTATCAGCACTTCTCTCCTTGTCCGCGTAAACATGCAGCTGAGAAAATCGAATTATTGACGTGAACATTGTTTCTATTGGTCCTTACCATGTCATAAAATTAATAAAAAAAAACATAGTAAAATAGATAAACAAATAAATAAATCATAAAATTAATTACGCCATTTTATATGGGAAATATGGCGATTTTGTGTTTTTTAACATAAAAAATAGCCGTGACATGGTCGACAAAAACTGGCGTAAAAAGGGTGTAATCTAGTATTTTGTATTTATTATTTTTTTAATGATCAGGGCTGAAGTTGTTTGAGTCGAAAAAGTTAAAAAAAATTATTATTTTATGAGTACTTATCTGCATGTCCGTTTTAGGGACAAAGTAGGCTAGATGAGGTTGAAATTAACAGGAACCGAGGGTTAAAGATTGGGCTATTCCTGTCCTTGTATATGACAAACGCATAGATGCGACTTTCAGCCCCCCAGATTGCTCAGATTAAATTGTCCAACTCTTTCTCTCTTCGCTCTATAACATTTCAAAATCCCAATCCGATTCACAGGGACCAACGCACACTCTAAAACAGTAAAAACGAGGTTTTTGGGGTTGGCTTGAACAGCTTGTGTTTAGAACACTGTGTGCAAACTAAGAGTGCCAGTTGATTCCTACCCAGACGGCTAAGGAAGCAGCCAAGTTCGACATCAGGATGAACTTTTCACTACATGATATGAAGTAAACACGTTTTTAAAAACAGCAGTGATGTTTTGGGACAAAGTGGATTGAATATTGGGAAAAGGACCCAAAAATGCAGACTGAAAAAGACATTGAGGATAAACACATCAACACACAATGAACCAACAAAGACAGATGGGAAGACAGGGACTATATACACAAACTGGGAAACGAACAACAGGTGAGGCAGACGAGACACAGGTGAAACTCATGGGTGATTAACAAAGGAGGGAAAACTAGGGAAATAAAACCAAAATAGAAACACAAGGAATCAACTACTACAAAATAAAACAGGAAATAAACACTGAAAACTGATCTAAAATATAAGAACAGGAGGGAAAAAGGGTCAAAGAAAAACTGAAACACAAGGAAAAACACAAAGAAAGGGCACTTAAATAACAAAGCCAGGGAAAAACTAAATCAACAAAACATATCCTGACAAATCAAATGTTTTTTTACTCAGGTCTCACACCTCATCTTCACTTACAGATCATGATTGTCCACTTGGGACAGCTCTGATTGTGCATGTCCTCCATTTTTTGCAGAAAGACATCGGCGGATTCATGTGCCAAAGGCAAGAGTGCGATTCAATGGTCAGGTTACGATTTCAGCACCACCAAGTTCGAACGATAACTTACATTTTAGAGAACAAGTGACAGCCTTACTGTACGTCCATGGGCTTAAACTTTTTGAACAGCTCTCTCTTTAACCTAAACTAACCCGATGTTGAGCAATAAGGCCTTACCGGTAGTCGACGTTTGTTAGCTAGGGTGACGGAGGGTGGAGTCACAAAGTTGCATGTTAAAATTTTGAGAGTTTTTCGGTCAGAACAAGGGTTTTTTTTATGCACTTCTAACTCATTAAGTTACACGACACAAACTCAAAACTTCCATACAAAACCATGGACATTTGAAGGATTTTATAAACTCCCCCAGACAAAGTCGGACAAGGCTGGACAGCCCTAAAAAAAGAGGACATGTCTGGGGTAAAAGAGGATGTATGGTCACCCTACCTTACTGTACATCCATGGGCTTAAACTTTTTAAACGTCTCTCTCTTAAACTAATCCGTTGTTGAGCAATAAGGCCTTACCGGTAATCAACGAAATCTCTAAACTTCATGATTTTGTCCCATTATTGGTGAAAATATCTTAATAGACTTAATTTAAGACACATTAACCTGACCTGTCTGGATCGATGTCTTGTTTTGAAACATTACAAACTAGAAATGAGACCTGAATTGCTCGTAATGAGTAAAACATCGAGATTCTTTCTGATGGGCATAAACATTGGATGGGTGAGACACAGACGAGTCCTCATAGATGTCTAATCAAGAAAAACTGGGATGTGAAAGTTTGCACAAGTTCACATAGATATATCTCCAAATATTTGCCAAAGTACCAAAAAGTTACTTAAATATCTTCTTATGAAAAAACTTCTTGTCTAAAGTAATCACTCAGCTTTCTTTTCAGCATCACGTCTTAAATTTGTGCGCACTCGTCCCAAGTGTTTGGCTTGGCATGTAGACACGTGCACATGTTCCCCAAACACACAAACAGACACACACACACACACACACACACACACACACACACACACACACACACACACACACACACACACACACACAGAGGCGTGAATATACATTTCTCATGACTCGGTGCATTCTTGTGCAAATCCTCCAGGAGACATCAATCTGCTCGGATCGACATGATTTCCAGACCTCGGTCGTTGTGAAACAGAAAACCGCTGTTTGACTTCGGTTTGAGTCATCGCATAAAAAAAAAAAAGCAAAAGTGTGAAAGCAGATGAGTCAGACTGTTGTTCAGAGCAGTGAATGTCTGAAATGTGCTGTTGTGTGTTTGCTTCATGGGAACACCCAGAGCAGATCTGCTGAGTAAGCGCTTTCTCCAGGCAGCTTTTGTACTAAAGTTCACAACTCCTGTGTTTGCAGAAAACCATTCAAGAGTGAGTTTTATGCTTTTTTGATAAGCCTGATTTTAGGTACAGATATTTAAAATGATAAAAAGTGATAAAATACTGATCTACATTCTCCTGTCTTCTCTCAGGTTGTCATTTTGCACGTTTCATTCGAGTCTCTTCTTGTTTCAGGCTCTCAAATATTGACTCTTAGTCATGTTTCTTGTCTGCCAGGTAAACTTTGAACCTGAAGTTCACGTTGCAAAAGACATTTCGGTCAGCGTTTAGGACCCAAAGTACTTTTGTTCAGTTTAGGAAGGATCATGCGTATTGTTTATTCAACGTTGACAGATGACAGAGTCGTTTTCTTATCAGCCAACTTGCAGGTTGATTTAAAGTTAAAATGAGCAGTTTGTATTTGTGTTCGAGTCTTGATATTACTCTGGTAACACTACGTAAATCATAAAGTGTTGCAGGTTGTGATTGTTACCTCCGCCAAGGAGGTTTTGTTTTTGATAGCGTTGGTTTGTTTCTTTGTTTGTTTGTTTGTTTGTCTGTGAACAACTTTACGGAGCAAGTTACAGACATATTGACCTGAAATTTTCACCAGAGGTGCGTCTCAGCCCCAGGAGGATCCCATTACATTTTGGTGGTGATCCGGATCGCCTTCTGGATCCAGGAATTTTTTGAAGGATTCTTTATTATTGTGAGATAGGGCAAATTTTTGAATTTTTCCATTTAACTCTATAAAAATGTCCAGAGTCTTTAGTAAAAAATTACACAAAAGGATCTCAATGAGTTTTATGAGGTGTCAAAGGTTGATCCTGATCCAGATAAAAATCCGGATACTGTGATCCAGAACACACAAAAATAAGGGTGTCGTTGGAATTTTCAATGCCGAAAGATAACCAATGGGCGGCAGAGTGGTGTAGATAGGTGGCACAGTGGTGTAGTAGTTAGCACTGTCGCCTCACAGCAAGAAGGTCCTGGGTTTGAATCCGGGTCAGGGCATTTCTTGTTTTAGGAACATTATGAACAGTGAACATACCAGTTTAAACACAAATAAAAGTTAATAAAAGACACGTAACAGTAAAAGTTTTGGTGTGAATCACAATATAAGGGGGGACATGAGCTGCTTGCTCTCCGAGTGCTTTTCTAGTTTTATCTGTTTTCTTCAATTTAGTGGATGTCTCTGTCGCCTCTGGTGCTTGTAATCAGTTAGCCATCAATGATGAATCAAAAGCGTCACGTTTTCCAAACAAATAAAATGTAATGTTGTGCGGACTGCTCCTTTAAAATACTAAGCAATAAAAAGTTTAGAATCAATCAAGTGTTTAGTAACTGACAATATGAACAGAAAATAGTCTTAATATTGTAAATGTGAAATGTTCCAAAAACACTTATCTGTTATCAGATGTTTTCAAAGTTTGTAAATGTTTGAAAAAATTCCAAATAAGTAAGTTATTTGAAGTGCTAGGCTGGTCAAATAAACCATAAATGCATTCAAAGACAAAAATATTCAAAAACAGTCCGACAAAATTTTTCTTTCCAATGTGTTTATTCCACTTTTTTTCATTCCTCCAGCCTTCTACATGTCGTCGTACAGTACACACAGCGGACAGGACACAGTACAAAGATAATTTCTGTTTAAAAGTGCAATCCTACTTAAAATGTTAGTGTAAAATAAAATAAAACAAAGTACCAGGAATCGCCTGCTCTGTGCGTGGTGTAAACTCTGCAGGCGAATCTAAAGCTTTTTTTTTCCCTGATTGCTCGTCAAATTGAGGAGATGGATGTGCAAAAATAAAAAAAGGACACAAAGGCCTTTCGCCAAGAAGAACCAGATCTGCTCCTAAGATTTGCACACAATAAAGAAAGTATTTTAGATATAATTGAATACACAAGTAAGTAAAATTCTGAAACGTTTGATAAAATTCACAAAAATATAGAAATTCTGGTAAAGCATTGCATCCATAACATAAACCTTTACTCCTTCAGGTAAACCCTCAATTTTTATATCTTTCACACATTTCAACTTTATCTGTTTTTTCCGCTTTAGCAGAAATCCAAGTTGATAAAAACTGCTGAAAGTTACTCAAGTGATGAAATCTAAGACACTTGTAATCAGTCATTTTTCAGTTCTTCCAATATTGTGTCCACTTGCCCTGTTTATGTCAGCATGAAGGTTTGAGATAAACCAAATTTTTCCCCTCTGGGTTGAAAATCCTCGCGTGTTTCCATGGTAATGATAAGACCGAAGGACACACTCAAGAGATAACTTATCAAAAACTAGTCTGGTGGTGAACACGGACATGCTGCTTTTAAAGAACCCCCCACTGCAAAGTTACAAAACTTATAAAACAGATAAATAATTTGGAATCATACAGACCATAATAACCAAACACTGATTTATATATATATGTATATATATAAAAGCTACTTTTGTATCTTATATCACAAAATTTGAACCAAGGCTGAAGTCTGTAGTTGTTTGCACATTTGTTAAAACCAGGAAAATAAAGTTAATTAACCTACAACTCAATCCAAATCTTATTTTAATCTACTAAAATACGAAACAAAAGGCGATAATTCCCACATATATGCCTTTTCTTGGACACTACCTGATGTATGAATTTATAAACATTTGTATCAGAAACTTTTTGGGATCATATAAATACAAATTCAATTTAAAAAAAAGCTGGATACGTGCATATCTCAAGTGGTAAAAAGTTATATAACTAAACGCTCAAGTAAACGTGCTGATCGTGTCCTTGGGTATCTAGTAGTTTGCGGTTTCTGAGGGGGCGCGCTGGATGTTGGAGCAGTGACCCGCCCTGTAAAGAGACAAGAAAGAACCAGTTAGAGATGATATTTGGAAATTAAAAGACAAACAATTTCAACAGTAGAAGTATAAGTTACACTTTTTACACAATGATGTTTATAGAGATAATAATCAAACACATAACATTAGCTTTGATTCTTTCTTGGTCCTCTATTCTAAATTTTTTAATGAATTTCAGTATTTTTATTTTGACATTATTAAAAGATATGGAGCCAAATCACAGTTTAAATAAAAAGTTAGGCTAGCGCAGCACTTAGTAGACTAGTCATGATTTTTACAAAATAACTCAAAGTTTCCCCCGAACAAACTTACTTGTAAATTTTATCTTGACAATTAAACTGACTAAAATATATTTTGCCTGAAAACAAAATTCGGATTTAGAAAGTTTGCGATAAGCTAACAGTAAAGTAACTTACTGTATATTCACAAAGTTTGATATAGTATTGATAATTACGAGTTACATGATCCAAACACGTTCTAATGGATTTTTGAAGAAAATTTAGTAAATTAAAGCAGTTTAAAAATTAAAATTTGACTGTGGCGCTTTCAGTTTAATAGTCGTGGCTCGGCTAGAGAAGTTTCAAGAAATGCCGAACTTTACGGTTGAAGGAGCTACAAACGTTAGCCACAGTGCAACTTCTACAATATAGTTTGATTGACATTAGCCATGAACGTAGTACAAATTAATCTAAGCTGTTGACTTTTCTTTTGGAGTTTCGTAGAAATAACATAATATTAGCACTAATACTGTATTTATTCGTGTTCCCGCTTAGTTTCCACTTGAACGCCGACTTTTAAATTTACACGATTTCACCACTTGACTTGGCGACTTTATGAGCCCCATTTGACGGCAATGTAAGTAATTACTTTCGCTCGCTGTGACCTAACAAGGGTCTGCTTTCGTAGCTAGCTAAATCTTGAATGCGTCAATTGGCGATATTGATGAACGCGTGTCCGTGGCCCCTTTAAAAATATGACAAAATAAAACAAGATTATTATGAATATATGAAAAATGTCACCTTGCCGATCTTTTAACATTAATGCGACAGTAGCTAGAACGATGGCTCACTACTTTTGCAAGCTATCATGTAATGTGGTGGTAGAACCATCGATTTACAGTTCTCAAAATTTTGCTCTTTAGAAATTGATCGGAACGTGACTTTTAGACTGGAACCCTCTTACGTTGAGTGATAATTCCTAAATGTAAACTCGGATAAGAAAAATCGGACAGTATTGCCCTTGCACCCAAAGTTTCCGATCTAGCTAACAGAGTAACAGGTAAATGATCGTATCCGTTACCTGCAGAGTCCTGTGGAGCATTCGTAGTTGTTCTGGCAGTACGCTCCGAATGGTTTGCTGTTCATGATCCTCCACAGCGGGGTCATACGAGCCACCCTCCGCGGCGTCTGGATCCCGGCTGAATCTGCCCGCTGATCTGAGCTGGACCGGACCTGTTGGATTATGGGACCTGCACACACCTAGACACAAAGACACAAACGTAAAAATGTCAAATGACACCTTAGACACTTTGATATTTTCATTTTTTACCATCGTCTTTTCACAACCATGCTCTGAAATAACCTTCAAAATATTTTTAGAAGTGTACAGCAGATGTTTCTAAGATTTCAAGTTTGGTATCGTAGCTTCCCGACATTTTTAAATGGTCACTCACCTGCTGAGTCAGCATTAACAGCACCAATCCAAGCGCTGCCGCTGCCTTCCGTTGAGTGGCGAAGCTTGTCCGTTGCATCTCTACGCTCATCTGCGAGTCTTCAAGTCAAGGTTTGGTTAGTTTCCTCTAGAGAAGCTCTTCTTCTCCTCGAACAGAGCGGTTCTACAGTCTCCAAAAACGTTCCAGGAGGACTCGGTCAAGTTTTCAGGACGGTCTAAAGTCAAGTGGCTACTTCTCTCAGGTTTTCATTGGTTGCTTGAAGTCTCTTCTCGTCTGCCTGACTCAGCGAACTCAGCTCGGTAACTGGCTCTCCTTTATACAGACAGGCGATGATCCCAGGAGAGAGAAAGCAAGAGGGAGGGAGAGAGAGAGAGAGGGAGAGAGGGAGAGAGTCACAGTCCATGCTCTGTTGTCCACCCCTTTTTTTCTTTAATCTCCCATTTTTACGACATTATGTGTTTAACAGGAAACCTCTCTTTCAAACGCGGTCATCCAAAACACACACCCGACGTCCGTTCGGGGGTCTTTTTCTTTTATTTTTAAAAGACAAACTTTCTCTTTCTCTTCTCGGTAGATAACAGGAGGTCAGGTGGACCAGACTCGGCACACGTGACCGCGACACAAAGGGATGACGGCGAAGAGACAAAGGTGCCCGAAAAAGAGCGAAAAAAGGCGAAGAGGTCAATGCCATGGCATGTGTGTGGTTGAACTCGCAGTGAGATAAGGTTTTATCGTCCCGCAGAGTCTCTGCGAATATCTCGGACCGCTGACTCCCTTGACCTGACGTAATCTAACCGTGTCACTTATACAATGGAGACAGAATTTAGAAAAGGAGCAGGTGTGGTTTACGTAAGATACACAGTTCACTCAACTGGGGCACGTGAGTTTTCACTGTGTCTGTGTGGGACAGGTATTTCATTTTTAGCCCTGTGGACACTCCTCAGAGGTCGAAGATAAGCTAGAGGGCATAACATCGATATGACTTTATATTTTAAAGCACTATTTGTATTGATTTAGTTTAGACAAAACCTGTCAGGTATTTGACTAAAATCATATAACGCCATGTCTATAAGATTGTAAACCACCGAAATACCCGTCTTCTTGAAATTAGTCAGCGATTCAGGCCGAAAACAAGATTCCTCAGCCTCAACGTTTGTCGACAGTTGCCCAGACCTCCGTCGTTTTCCAAAGTGGGACGACTTCTACCTATAGTTCATAAATCAAGATTAAAGTCTTAGACATATCAGCCATTGGTTTCTAAAGAAGTGTTGTATGCCAATCTGGGTCATTCACATTATCGCGCTAAAGCCCTGTCGACGAAAATGTGGGTATTTTTTAAAATGTAGGTTTTTCTTGCTTTTTAACTTCACGTAAATTGAGTTTTAGGAGGTTTTTCAAAAATATATTCATTAAAACAAAAACAAAAAATCAGTTCTGAGAAATTTTACTTTTGTGTGAATTAACCTTAAGTTTAACAAATCGTGAAAAATTCGCCTTTGCACTGTTTTTACTTATGTAAGAAATAAACAGACTAGCTAAAACTTGTTTCGGTACGAGGCTGGACTCGTTTGCTGCTAACATGGGCATCTTAAAATGGGCTCAAATGGGATTCTTTACCCAGGATCCACATCCGGAATGGCTCCAATCTGGAACGGCGTCGATTTTTGCCGTACGCCAATTCCTACCGGATCTGTTTGTAAGGTGAATTTCTTGTGGATTACGGACAGCAGAAATCGCGAGATCACACAGGAATCCGCGATAACGACTTGTCTCTTAGCCGCATAAGCTAACCATATTAGCAGTAGATCGTGTCCTTCCAGAGGAGGAAATCTACTTCTAGACTTCTAGAATTAGCAACTCCTCATCCATGGTGTCATCGGGGTGGAAATGACGTCTATAAGCCTTTCACTTGTTTGTCTCCGCCCGTTTGCATGGTGCAAAATACGTCGTGTTTTGTTTTCAAAAGAAGCCGGATGTTTTAGTTTGTGTCTGTGCCCGACTTCCTTTCCAGCACGGGTTAATCTGTGCGGAATTTATCCGGTATGCTCTGGCGATCCGCAGTGGAACGGAAAGTAGCTGGTGGAAACTGACACGCTAACTTGAATGGTTACGATCAGCTACGATTGGCCATTATTGCCTTTTCGTCGCCGTTCCGAATGCGGTGGAAATTGGGGGTTAGACTTTTGGAGCCAGCCTCAAGTGGACACTTGAGGAACTGCAGATTTTTGCACTTCTGTGTTTGCTTCGAGGTTTCTGACGTTAATAAATAAATGCATTCCTCTAGTTCTGTTTTCATAAGTTTAACAAAACTGGACCAGGACACATTATCATGACAAAAAATGTCTCTGAGGATAATTCTAGTCCGTCTGTATTCATCAAACTTCTTTCATAAATCCTCTAAAATAGAAAACCCCCCACTGGGTCAGACCCATTGAGTGTCAGGTGCACCTGGAGTCAGTTATAAAAACAGGAGCCTCTGTGCACGTGGACTGGTCTGGTCTGGTCTGGTCAACTGGGTCAGTGAGGCAAAGGTAAGAGAGCAAATCCATTAAGAAGATGTATGTCTTCAAGAAGTAGAGGAAGTTCAAAGGTATGTCTGTAAATCTTTTTAACGGTACATCCAAATCTGAAATACTTTCACTGTGGAGTTAAAAGCGGAGTGATCAGGTAACCTTGATTCAAACGTCTCCTTCTTAAGACAAAACCGATAAAATCGACCCGGCGGAGCGATCACCCAGAACATAGATGTGCTGAAAACTCGCACTTGTTCCTGTAAGGTTATTCATCGTCCACAGGCCTCCAGAGGAACACGGGACTGACAGGAACCCCGTATGACATCAACCCAGAACATCTGCATGATATATAATCTACGAGCATGACTCATCAGATAATACCCGACGGGCTGAGCAGCTGCAGAGTTCAACAGCAGAGACCGCTCAGCAAAAGGAAATTTGGACGCAGATATCAGTGTCACAATATGAAGTTTAAATAATGTGTAATTGAACCCAAATGAGGCAGAATTAAACTTGCATGTTCTTATTTCGTAAGTGGAAATTAACTGCAGGAACCTGAACGAGAACTTAAAGTTGTTTAACTTTGACATCGCATCTCAATATCCTTGGATTTCTTAAAATTGCAAACAGTTTTATAGGTTTTCCCTGCACTCTTGGTTCTTTTTGAGTCATATATCAGAGCTACCAGGACCCAGCCTCTTTAAATAACTTCTCTTAAACCCTCCTATATCTCATGCCTAGAGGTATTCCAAATTCCAACATTGGAATCGCGAATTTTTCCATGACGATTATGAAAGACAGAGTTTCCTCCCTGTGTCATTGTTTTCTTTTTTTCTCCTCGTTTTGTTGTGAGACTCAAGAAGTCTCAAAGATGGAGGTGCCAACTTTTGTTCTAGCACAGTCAGTCCACAATCCTCAGGCCATGAAAAAAAAAACCCTATCTGACCATGTGAGTCTGTACTTTAAACTTTGATTTGTTCTGGAAAAAGACTGGATTTATTCCCTTGGACAAACGGATCGAAGAGAGGTGGCAGACATGCCCTCATCTGACCGGATTTCAGTCCTCATGTGGACTGTTCAGGTCGGTGTTCAACGAATCGAGTTGCCCAGAATGCTCTGTGGATGTGGACAGGCCTTGAATCGAAGCCAGTGATCATCTGATAATGATTGTGGCGACAGTTCATCTGTGACAAAGTTTGACTCTTATCTCTTTCTCCTAAAAAGTGATCTGACATCATTTAGAGCAGCAGGGACATCCAAAGAAAAGACTCTTTTTGTTCATTAGTGGCTCCAAACGCCTGTTATGTCTTCAGAGGATGTTTGCCACTGTGCCAGCGTTAAAGGTGGTGAATGGTAACGGGTATAACTGCAAGGTAGAAGGGTCGGCTGTGTACCCGATTCTGTAATGTAGTATGAAATCACACAGCTAGACTCTAGTGTTATGTGGGTGGAGGTTCTCAGAAACCATCGCAGCGCACCCTTCCGAGGAAGAAAGAGAGAGAAAGAGAGAAGCTCTACCCTCCAGTGTCAGAGTGTACGCTCTACCTCCCCCAGAAGGGAGAACAGGGTCCACAAATGGCATTTCTCCTCCTAATCTAGATCCACTGACAACTTTATCTGACAACTCCATCCCTGTCTTTATCAAACTCTATCCATGCACTCCCAAATCTTGCGCTAGAACAGCACCTAACTCCATCAACAGTACATATAGGGTCCCAGCCATAGTCCTAGCCACCAAACATCTTTTTAATTTTGCCTACTTTCTTTAGCATGGAGACTAAACACAACTCACCTACTCTCTTCCAGCAGCCACTTGTTGGTAGTGAGACCTCAGGACAGTCCATTATGAACTACAGTGGGGTTTCGCAGCTCAAGGAAGAACATTTGTGATCATTTCTTTATCATTTCCTTGAAGTAATAATCACCATATTAATCATTTTGCTCTGCAGACAAGGTAGTTCTTCTCCCTTAGCGTTTCGGTCTGATTGAACCTCCATGAAGAAATGATCATAAATGTTCTTCCTTGAGCTGCGAAAACTCCGCTGTAGTCCGTAACGGACTGGCCCAAGGTCTCTTTACAAACAAGCGGCAGCTGGAAGAGAGTAGGTGAGTTGTGTTTATTCTCTTTGCTAAAGAAATGAGGCAAAGTTAAAAAGATGTTTGGTGTCTAGTACTATGCCTGTGACCCTATATGTTCTGTTGATGAAGTTAGGTTCTGTTCTAAGCATTATTTGTGGCTATAGAGTGGCGTTTTAGTTGAGTGCGTAGCTCTCTGTATTGCTATCGTGTGGTCGTTACTAAAGTTGGTATAACTAGAGAAACAAGCAGTTGACAACATTCATCTCTCGAGGGGGTGTCTAACTCGGTGTTACTATGTGTTTGACCCTAAATTAACTTTACACCGGAATATCCCTTTAAATCAACTAAACTCATCATTGTGGTCACCAAGTTTGTGCCCTGTCCTCTCCTTCTTTGACTGGTCCATCACAACATATCTTGTAACTGGACTAGTGTAAAGTAACTTGTTTCCTCCAATGTTATCAACCAAACAGCCCAGATCACGGAATACCTCTGTCTCAAATGGATTACATCAGATAATACCTTAGACTCTGTGTGAGTTCTACTTTTGCAAGGCCTAGGTCTCATTTTGCGCTTTTTGCCAGAACACACCTCTAAGTTTGGCAGCAGATGCTAACGGTAGACGTACCAAAAACCGCCTCCTCATCAGCTGTGCGTTATTAGAAGTTTTTTATGTTTGCCAAGCTTGAATCTCACTTTTATTTTTAGCTTTTTTTTTTCACATTCACAGTTAACTCAGGAGTTCTGTTGACCGTTCAGTGTTTGTGTGATCTGGCAGATTGTCAGCTCCTGATGAAATAACCGGTTGGTTTGTTCATGATGCAAACGGGGCAGCTCATGTCTGAACAGTGAGACAATATTTAACCATCAGGATTTTTTAGATATTCAGATCCCATCACTGAGGTCACACTGGGGTACCCATCATACATCTCTCTCAACGACTATTGTACCTAGATGATCATGAAAACTCGAACCTACATCCTGTTCCTGAACTGTAAATGCATCAACACAGCTGCAGTGAAAAGTCGACCCTCAAACGTCTAATGCTATTAGCTACAGATCACTTCCCCCTGTGTGGTGACATTTATGGGAATCCTCCATACTAGAGGGTCTCTGTGTGTGTCAGAGGGGATAAGGATAAATAGAGTGACGCCGCACACTCAAGAAATCCCCAGAGGAGGTCGACAGGGAGGTCCCGTAAAACTGGAGACTTCCAGTCACTCTATTAGCAAGTGTTACAGTAACTGAGGGTGAATTAAAACGAGGATGCAGATGCTCCAATTTGACATCGCTTTGTCAGATCTACATGAACAGCAACGGACAAGAATCATGTACTGAAACGGAGCCGTGTTCATACTTACAGCGTGTTATTTCTTTTTGCTCATGGATAATGTTAATGAGCTGTAATGTCAACAGGCAGAGGTCTCCTTTGGGTATAGTCAGGTTGTCCCTCGCATTGCTTGTGCAGTTGAGAATTAGCTCCTATAGCTGTTAAGTTTTGACCAATCAGAGGTAAGAATTTAACATAATGTACTTAAACATGTTGCAGTTTTAATTAAAAATGTCCAAAATGCCGTTTTAAGGGCAACATCTTACTTATATTTACTCTGGAAGTCCTTTTTTTTTTAAGCTCTGATGAAAAATGGAAACAGACGCCAATAACTTCCCTGCATATAACATCCACAGATTTAATATGGAAGTGCAGTTCCTCAAGTGTCCACAAGGGCTGGCTCCAAAAGCCAAATATTCCCCATTAGGTCCAATAATAAAACCCTAGGTAACACTTTACAATAACCATAATTTATAAATGGTAAATAGATAGTTTATTAATGTTTAATCATCATTGAAAAACAGCATATTGATCAATTATAAATGGCAAAAAGATAGTTTTATTAATGTAAGTTCATATTTAATTTACCATTAACAAGCAATGGAATTATGATTAATAATTTTCATTAATTATCAATAGACAATTTATGAAAGGTTTATATAGGGTTTAAATATTGGTTGTAAAACATCTAGATTAAAATGTGTGTCAGTAGATCTTTGTAAACGGTTAATATTTGGTTTTTAAACCATCTATAAATATTACTTAGAAGGTTATTGTAAAGTTAGGGTTAGGTTTTTAAAATTGTAAAATGTACAATTTATTAATGGTCTGTATGCTATTTAAAAATGATGATTAAACATTAATAAACTATCTGCTTACCATTTATAAGTTATGGTATTGTAAAGTGTTACCACACTCTATTTCTGCAGCAAAATTAAAAATGCTTGCAGCTTAGTTAAAAATACAAATATTTCATGGTATTGAGCTCATACGACTGAGGCAAGATTGTCTTCCTCAAGTACTCAAAACACTTAAATTTTGTGCTTTATTAATATTCCACATTTGCAGCCCAAACAGTTGATTTTAATGTGAGTTCCACCTCTCAAGACAGATAATCAATCCTAGTTGTCAGCTTGTAATGTGGGCCCATGCCCCCCGTAGACCACCCCCTTTTACACGGCCCTGAACTCTGAGCAGAAATCTCTAAAAATGTTGTTTCTTTGTTATGATCTCTGATGGGGAAATCGAGCTCGCACAGCCAGAAGTCTTTGCATAAGAGACAAACATCTGACTCACGCACTGGCATTGAACAGCAACCTTAAAAAAAACATATTGTTAGGGTCAATTTGGGCCTCAGGGAGTCAAAACATAAAGTTGTTTGTCGCTGTTTGTGATGTAAGAAAGGTTAAAGAAAAGCAAGTTAGGTAGATTGAGGATATCGGGGTTACTGTGACACAGGAGAGCGAGGTAATAGGAAAGGTCGTAGTTACCTGCGGTCTCAACAAACACCAACATGAAGAAAAACACGTTAAATAGTTTTTAGAATAACAAGGAATTCAGATTAAAGAAGCAAAACAATCACATTAATTTGAATAAACTGCTCATTTTTCCCTCAATTATGCAGGAGAGCGACCTGATTTACATGCATATTTGTGTATATTTGCATGCATATGTGACTATGCGTGACTATGCACATGTATGTTGGTTAGTGTGTGTCCGTGCCTGTCTGTAAACAGTGCTGATTGATGGACTCTCTTTGACCCACATACCGTACCGGTCCCAAACGGGGCAAAGTGCGTTTTCACAACACAGTAACTCTGTGAGGCTGTCTTCATCTGCTTCAAAACTAACTCAGAGGAATAAAATAACAGCAATTAAATCCACTTTTAAACGTGTAACGTTAGAAATTGACGTTCGCTTTAGAGTAATTGTTGTATGACTGTGAGCTGCACTATCAAATCAATAAAAAATCAACAAATGACAGATTTGAAGTTGTGTTTCTGAATTTCTGAAAGGTCATTTGGAGATTTTCTTAACTTTCTACATGATTTTAAACCTCTTTTTATTTCAGTTTCACAAATTTCCCGGTTAAACGTTCAGTAACAGCGCAGACAGATGTCTATTCGAGCAGTTTTTAACTTTTGATATCTGTTATTAGTTCCCATTTTTACTAGAGTGGTCGTTAATCTTCATCAGTATGATAATGATCTATCGGGTACGGTGGCCCTGGACCGTCAGTCCTTTTTTAACTTTGACTTTTCTTGTCAAAGAAAATTGTGCGGACAGATATCTTTATTGCCTTTAATGCAGTATCTGTGCTTGTTGTGACAGCGAAGGTAATATTTTTAAACATTCACAGAAAAAATAAAAAAGGTTAAAGGTGATGATAAAAGGCGGCATATACCTTTTTTGCTCCAGTACGACCCCTGCAGAGGCTCGTCCTGATAAAGAGGTCAAGGAAAAGTGAAAAAAAAAAAAAAAAACAGGAAAGATTCAAAAACTCCCACTAAAGATGGTATGTAATGCATGTAAGTATTTAGGTTTCAAAGTCAAACCAACTTCTGCAGCTTGTTTCTGCATCAGCAATGAGATGCACCATGAAAGTTTGCCAAGAGCGCCATCTGTAGGACTTTTTAATCAGAAACCTTCCAAACTAATCATCCTGTAAAAACCTGAATAATATAAGGCAGTCCTAATTTATCTTGAAACAAATAACTATTTTTTATCTTTTCATGCCATTTTCTTTCTTTAAAAACTGATATGATAATCTAAACTTTATTCTATAAATGGAAAAATAAAGTTTATTTTTTTGCAATCACAACAAGAAGAGGGAAATGCAAAAAGTTCTTTCTTTGAGCCACCAAATCTACTTTTTACTTGGACTTGTTTCAGAGAGTTCGTCACTGTCTTTTCCTTCGTCTATGACTCTAAAATTATCTTCATTTTCATAAATTAACTCATAATGTAGACATTTGTTGTCCTAATTATATAGAAAGACATGAAAAGTTGAGCAGAAGTGTTAAAAAAGTTCTAATTTTCATGAATGTTTCCCATTGGTAGTTTTCGTGAAGTTGTTAAATACTCAGATTTAAAGTTTTTTTACATCCTACAGAGTTTTTAACTGGTATTTTTACAATTTGATAATTAAACTTTTTCTATTTCTGTAAACAACTTGGTCATTCATATAATTTTGAATATTTCCCCAAGAGGAAAAAAGATAACTGGAAGAAGCCGAAACCTTTAAAACTCTATTTGTTATTTTAAAAAACAAACTAAAATCTGAAACATGATGTAAATTTTAGGAATTGTAAAGAACCAAGGAGCTCCATTCTTGTTGGAGTTTGGAAAAAATCTACATTTTTCAGATATTGAAAGTGGAAAATTCTTACCCTCCATTTCCGAGGCTTTAAACCCCTGATTTTTACACAAAAATAAAACCTTACCTGAGCATCAAAGAAGACAATAAATTAGGCTTTAGAAAACATGCATTTATTTTATTATTCATTTTCACTCGTAATAAAAATTGCACTTTTTTTCCCCTGGATTTCAGTCATCAAAGGTGACAAATTCAGATTTTTTCTTTTAAATAAAACGATAAAGAGAAATAAACCAAAACACAGATAGTAACAAGACAGAAAAGTTAATCATACGGCCGTGCTTTCCTGGTCTAGTCCTAATCCTAATCCTAGTCTAATCTGGTGACATGAGTTGTTTTATTTTTCTGGATTTTTTTCTTTAGATAAATTTTTTATTTCCAATAGTCTCCCATGATGTCCTTTTTACTTTTTTACTACTCATTATGACATCTCTCATTGGGCTAATACGACTGATTCCATTCTAAAGGTGCAAAAGTGATCAGAACATGATCAACCAGAACGTTCAAAAGTCCGAACAGTGCTTTAAACCACTCACAGAAACAAAAATACAGTAAATAGACGTCTCTCCGTCTGCAGACCCCACAGTTCCTCACAGGCCGCTTTAAAGTGCTTTCACAGACGCGGTGATAACCTGAAACCACATCAACTTCCTCCTTCCAGTCTCCGGATCATTGTGGTTTGAGTTGTAGTGGTTTCAGACACCCGTCAAATCCGCCTCAGTGCGTCTCTTTCCTCAAGTCTTTATCGGCACGTGCACGACTCGGCCACCATGTCCTCCAGCTCCTTGTACTCCACCTTCTTCTTGTCCATCACCAGTACGCTCATGGGCATGTATTTGTACGGCACGCAGGACGGTGGCGGGACGTCGCCCACGCCCAGGTCGTTGATGACAGTCTGGATGATGGCGTGATGCGGGGAGTGGTAGCCGTAGTGGAGCACCCTCGGGCAGTTCCCCTTGCAGAAGCGAGGGTTGTACACGGGCGGGGCGATGAAGTAGTGACCCCAGCCGAGCTCGTCGAAGGAGAGGCGGAAAGAGTGGAGCTTGCAGCGGTTTTTTGGCGTGCCGGTTTTGTGTTTGTAGCTCGGGATCTCGGAGAGGATGGAGGTGGAAGAGGGGGAGGTGGAGAACGACATAGAGGAGGAAGGCGGTGCGTTTTTCAGAGCGTCAAGTGAGGGATCTTTCGGCTCTGATAACTGCGGGTCTTTGGAGTGGCGCCGACTTCGGAATGGGGGATGCCACGGTCGTAGTCGCCTCATGATGTTCTCCCCCTCAGCCCCCAGCAACTCCCCCATCCAGTCCCCCACCTCCCGCTCCTCCTCCAGGTATAAAAGCAGAGACGGGACCTCAACGTGAGGCTCGCCTGTCCATCTTTTCTTCCCTTGAGTCCACCGCCCAGACAGGCCATCATCCTCATCGGCATACCCAGGGTCAGTGCACCAGTACTGGGCAGTGAGGGTTAAATGTCCCCCCGTGTCCCGGTAGTTCCCCTGCTGGACGTGCCTGGTGATGTCCGTCTCCGTCCACTGCTCATGGGGCTCCAGGGTCACCAGGCTCTCTCTGCCCAGCGCGGTGATCTGAGCCCTGCAGCGGGGAGGTGGAAGGACCTGGGTGCTGTCGCTGGGGTTCGAGGCGGTTGAAGAGGTGGAAGAAGAAGATCGGAGGTGGATGAATGAGGCTTTGACAAGCTGCTCCGAGGGGAGAGTGTCAAGGTTGTACTGAACTGTGAAGCTGTAGTGATGGTCTGAAAAAAGGGCAGAGAATGGTCACATCCATCATGTTGCGTCATTGCAAGACAGCTAAAGATCTCACATTTGCAAGATCAGAGCTTAAAACCATGTTGAGAGGCAAGCATTTTTATAGTGGCGCAAGATAGCTTTACGGTATACATAGGGCTAGGCCATATGGGAAAAAGATGATCACAATATTTTTTTTTTCATATCAGTCGATGTCGATATATATCGCGATATAGAGAATGAAATTTAACAGTGCTTATTGGTAGCATGTCTCTTGCAATACAATAAGCGACTGCATCTGTGTGGTCTTTGTGCCTCTGGCGTTTTGTCGTAAGGCGTTGCTCTAGAGAAAGCAGAATGGTCGGCTGTTTCGGCCGCACAGGGTTCCTTGCCCCGCTCGGGATTTGTAACCTTTTGCATTGCGCTTGCCATTCCGCGTGGCACTGCTTCAGGTGGTGAAAAAGATTTGAGGTATTCCCCGACTTTGCCAGAACATGTACTCGACATAAATTAAAGTGCACACTACTCTGCATTATGTCCGACCTCGAAAAACCAAAATACCTCCACACCACCGACGTTTTCGTGCCAGTGTTGTCGTCTTCTGTTGAGCCTTCATCTTTATTTCTGCTGGGGGTAGCACTCATTTTCTTTTTTCCACCAACAGTGCTGTCGGTTTCACGTGTTAAAGTGCTATGGTTGGGTGTAGCTGCAGTCTGCTACCACGCAGTTGTTTGCTACTTGGTTCTTATTCATCACATGATTGGTTCAGCGTGAAGTGGACCCGGGGCAACTCCCCTTTTCACTGGCTATTTGTATAGTCAACCAAAACACGGCAGAATGTCGACTATTGAAAAGGATATTGACAATGATTTATATTGATATCGAGGGGAATTAATTTTGGATGTTTTATCGCCCAGCCCTAGGTGTAAACTAGTGAATAGTTTGTGGAAGGTGGCTAAAACATCCTGTAAGGGTGACCACTTGAGGTGTACAAAAGGTAAAAACTGTAGTTGGCTAGAAATTTTGGAGCTGGCTAGCAAGGGTGACAGTGTCCACTTGTTTAGTTGACATTATTTGTGACATTTTAATTTTTAGATTTGCACTGTTTTCTAATAAAAAGTCACTTCCTTACTTGTCACCACCAGCTGATACTCTCCTGACTTTCCTAAGTACAATACCCATCATTGCTTTGTCAATAAAACTTTTTAGAAATGCTCTTAAATCTCTTTAAACAAAAAGTTCAATGCCTCAAAAGTCAGTGGAGTAGATCTAAACTTCTTTCGATTTTAGTATCTGACAGATCTTGTCTGATCCAGTCTCACCTCTAGAGGCCGGTAGGTAGTTCACTGTGGACGCTGTCGGTCTCAGTAGCCGCACCGTGTTGGAGCCGAACTTCCGGTGCTGTTTGGGCCTGCCGTCCGGTTCCGCTGCGCTCCGGTACAAGCTCAACATGAACTGCAGGTTCTGATCCGCTTTCTGCTCGTCTGTTAGGGGCCGGTGGTGCTGCGCGCCTTTTTGCCTCGCGCTCGGATGACTCCGCCTCAACGTGGGGTGATAGGAGGCCGTTTTGTTCCCGGGCACGAGCCCGTGTCCGGTACAGGTGGAACACAGCAGGTAGATTAAAGAGGTGAGCACGCAGACACGCGGGAGGTCGTGTTTTCTGCGGGTCGACGTCATGTTTTTTGTGAAACCTCTGGCGCTAGCGAGCTCCACCAACGAGGCTACAGTCAGACACCATCCTCCGCGCGGCCGAGGGCGGGATTTACAGCCTCACCTGATCACGGGCCGTTTTGGTAATATCAGTTAACTTCCGGGAGTTGACAGCGACGACCACAATTAACTTCCCGAGTGCGCAAGCCGTCATGAGCAGCGTAGGGAACCACGTGATTTATACGTATGTATGAAGACCAATTTTCACGATTTGCGCACTTTAAGTTTAAAAGTAAATAATATAAATAAAAAGTTATGATCATCAGAATCAGAAATACTTTAATATCTCCAGGGGGAATTGCTTTCGTTACAGTACTACAGTGCAAATACAGTAAAGAGGTAAATAATAGATAAAATAAAAGATAAAATAGATAAAATAAGTAAAAATACAGAGATAAATAGATACAATAAGTTAAATAAGTAAAAATATAGAGATAAATAAGTAAAAATATAGAGATAAATAAGTAAAAATATAGAGATAAATAGATAAAAATATAGAGATAAATAGAAAAAATAAGTATAAATAGATAAAAATATAGAGATAAAATAAGTAAAAATATAGAGATAAATAGATAAAATAAGTAAAAATATAGAGATAATATACAAGTATTTACACTATGAACTTAAGTGCACTTAAGTGCTAGTAATCAAAATTCCCCGGCATGTATGTTGTCACAACCTCGTCTACAGTAGATGTTCTGGGTCATTAGATATTGGTATACCTTCTCTTTAAACACGTTTACTGGTTAACCTTGAAAATAAAGATGAGGCTTCCTCAAGTGTCTGAATCACTTTAGCGGCATATTTAAAGAGCAGGATCTTATGCTCAATCACTTTTTTTGCAAGCTACATTCTGGGTAGGACTGACTTCAAGTGAAGCTTTGTTGAGGATTTAAAAATGCCTCACTGGCGCCGCCAAGTGGTTAAAAACTATAACACAAAACATACATAACCTGCAACATAAAAAACCAAAAGATCTTGAATATTTCAGACAATGATACCACAATGACTGTAACTTATTCACATGGTTTGAATGGGTATATATCTAAATTGAGTGATTCAACTTTGTTCACTGAGTTTAACTCTGTGATTTTGTGCTTTTATTTACATTAAATATAAGTGCAACACTTTTATGTATCAACAAGGTTTTCAAAACAGTCGAAGCATGTAAAACTACTCTGCAGTACTGTTTAAGAGTACTTTGTGACTTCCTCTCAGATCTCCAGTTTACACTGCGGTTCAGTGATATTTTCAGACTACCTCCAGACTTTGGCTGAATTTGCAGACTCTCCTCCCAGTTTTTTTGATATATACTTTGTTTGTTCTTGTATAATTTGAAGCCTAAGAGCTGTAGGATATTCTGGTGAATGAATTGTTCTCTGCGGGGACGAGCTGATCGGATGACGGTCTGTAAAATTAGCTAAAAATGAAAGAAACACATGCTGGTGGAAACTTTTTTTTGGGAGCCTTTTAAACTTGATCTCTCTTGAAAGCAACACTCGCCACTAAACCAGATATTACAGTTTTTAGTTTCTGAGAACAAAAATAGGGTGAAAATAAAAAAAGGTCCATCTGATCTGACCAAAACAAACTCCTCGTGGTCGGGATGAGAGGTGAAACGTCTGGGCATGTTTGAATCCGTCTCCTTCTCTTTGATTCTGGGTCTTTCTTTTGACACACACACAGATAGCGGCTCACTCACACTCACACACACACTCAGTGAAATAGCACTGCAGCGTGGTGGCATTCCACAACAGTGATTATCTGCAGCCGTGATCATTTCAGTCTGCAGAGAGAGTGTGGGAAAACTTTAAATTATGGGGGGGAACTGCTTCAAATGGCTGTAAAGGCTTCTGAGAGAGAAAGAGAGAGAGACCCTGTGATAGAAAAATCCCTTTAAGGAGGCAAAAGAGGCAAACCAACTCAACTTTCTGGAGGATTTACCTGAACAATTATGTTTTATTTCTACTGGATACATTATAATACAGCTCTGCTATGTTTAAAACGCAGAAGCAAATTTTTCAAGCAAGGATTAATGTGTTGCATGCTGTGTCCTATTTTATGCAAGTTGTTGTGGTGGCAATTTAGCAGTTAAAAAAAGTTTGTTTTGTCTGACAAAAATGAATCCAGAGAGTGTAGTTCAATGTGTGATTCGTCCACCGAGCGGTGCATGTGGTCCCTCGTTCACCGGCTGCTGGCCTGGCAATGCTGTTTCTCACTTCAGCTAAACTGAAGTACGTTCACTTAAAAGATTCGGTTCTTTTGAATGAATCGTTCGCAAATGACACATCACTAACGTTGATCCAGTACTGTACCAGTTGAATAGCCTAAAATAGATGAAAATACACCTGAATGTGAAGAAGTGACTGTTGATTAGGGAGAGAGAAGGTGAGGGATGAGGGTAGTAGGGATACGGCTCAACTTAACCCTCAGGGATGAACAACATCTTGAAATATATGCAGATACAAAACTATGATTGCTATGATCCATCGTGAGGAGAAGCAGATCTGTGGCATGAATATCTCCTGTTAGATACTATAGAGGCCAGTAAAAACACTTTGTATCACCTCTCACACATTTCCAAACCCCCACCAGTCGTACCAGTCTCCCTGGCTGACCACCATATTAAGTAACATTAAAACAAGCAAGCTCTTGAAAACGAGAGCAGATTCACTTCCTTTCTTGCTAATCTCTCCAACGTACTCGCAGCCCAAGTAACATGTTTTGATAGGGCTTATCTGGGAACACGCAATCACCTCCTATCTTTGGATATAATTCTAACTGTAGTCCGTCATTAATGAAGCAGAAAAGGCACACCAATTTAGGTACTGCTTTAAGCCAACAATGAGTGATTTATTTTTGTTTAGCTTCCCCAAGAGACTAGACCCACATGTAAATCTTGAAACCTTAACTTTGATTGTGTGTTCAAAGTGAAATTTTGGCTGTAAGAGTAAGAGTGGTACTGGAATTTGCATGCTATCTTTATTTAGCGCAGTGGTTATAAATAATAACTATCACACTTTTAATAATAACTATCACAAAGTAGTGATTTTTAAGGGAATTCATATGATGATAAGAAATATTTTAGTCAGCTGGTCATAGTATTAGAAGAGTGATTAAGGTAACAACAAAAAGCCTTCCCAGATGTCTTTGCTCTATTTTGAAAGCCTGTGATAAGGTTTTAGTAAGTTTTAGCTAGCTCTAGGGTTTCAGTGGACATAAAACACAGAATATAGACTTTATTGGGTTAATTACACCGGTGATAGTTTTAGCAGGAGTTTGGTAGCAAAGTGGTGGGTTTCATATAACAAATATGAGGGCAACCGGTCACTTCGGATACTGTAATTTGGCTGAAAACACCGCTATGAAGCTGCTTGATGTCTCTACAATACAGCGGTGGCTGCAGCGTAAGCCCCTCCCACTCATCGCTGCCAATTGGGCACGTTCAACAGGAGGTTCTCCGCTATTGGTTAAGATAGTTGTCAATCACGTCCGGCCGTTCGAATAGTGGGAGGGGCCGGCTTCCAAAGTTTTCCCAAATTTTTGGCTAGTGTTAAGCTGACGTCAAGCTTACCGGATCTACGCAGCAAATGTTTCAAAGTAAACGCGATATTTAAGGGTTAATTTCGAGAAAGAAGCGGTAAAATCGCAAAAAATCTCAACAATAAAGAGTGAATAAAAGTTTTGAAGTGAGATAATGAATCAAATGACGCTAACGGTCACTTTTCTCAGGCATTCAAACGCTTGACCGGAAGCTGCAATCGACGTTTTGAGTTGAACTTTCACTAACAAAAACTTTTTTGTCCTCCCCCCTCTCTCTCTCCAAATCCGTCCTTCCACTCATCCATCCATCCATTCGTTGTTGTTGTGAGAGCGGTGATGGAGAAGCACAGGGACCGCCGCCGATTCAGCCGAGGCTAGAACACACACCGACCGAAAGACGACGCTCAGACGGGGGGAGTGAAGACGGCTAACGGCCCCGGGAGAGGGAGAGGATGGAAACGGTCGAGCAGCTCGTGTCTTTCCACCACATTCAGGTCCAGTTGAGCGGGGGCGCGCCTTGGGGGTTCACGCTGAAAGGAGGTCTCGAGCACGGGGAGCCGCTCATCATCACTAAAGTAAGCTGACAGTGACCACAATAAGTTACTGTGCAGTTATTAATGTCTTGGAAATCTCCTTCAAAGCACTCTTTACTACTTTAAAGGGTTTGTAATAGACTTAAAGTGTTTTTAAAATACACTTAAATGCATTTCACATGATTATTTTTGATATCCTGGGTATAAATTCACATTCAAACTGACTTTGGGAATGCATTTCTCAAGGATGTGGTTGTTGCAACACTCCAACTCCAGCAGAACAGCAATTGTGGTTAGTTTATTCATTCATATGTGCTGCTGCTGCAATGCTTGGCTGCCTTTCCTTTGGGTCAAACTATTCACCCTCTCCCAAAAAAGTCCCACATACTGCTTTTCCTGCAAACTTTCTACTTCTACACGTCTACGTTTCCACCTCCTCCCCCTTCTTTTCCTCTCCTGCAGAGATTTAAAAAGTTATTGTCCGAAGCTTAAGCAAATTTCCGGCGCTGGGTGATGTTTGTCAGCTGTCACTGTCTGTGGATAAAAAGCCCCGTATTATAATGTAATACAGCGGTTGGGTCTCTGCGACTCAGGGGTCAAAAGGTTCCCGCAGGGGGTGCTAAAAGGGGCTCCTGAGGGGATCCCTGGTGCAATGCAGCTCTGTTCATCTCCCTGCCACTTCATTCACCGGACGGTGAAAATGCCTGGGTGCTGACAGATGAATAAAACCGCTTCAGTTCGCTTCAGAGTCCGGGCTAAAGTCTGTTTTCTGGTGGGGTGGACTATGAAGAGGCATATTTTTATTCTCTGAGTTTTCATGTTTTATATGTTAACCTTTTCACCAACAGCTTACATCAACACCAATGTGGCATAAAATTCTGTGACACCTCTGTTAATATAGAAGGACACGAGGGGCTGTGAGCTGAGCTGCTGCAGACATGGGCTTAACTTGTTGGCAGGAACTCTGCATGATCTGGTTGAGTATAAGCAATGGCCACCATACACAACCACTGTTTTGTAGAACAATCCACATTTCTCTCACACTTTTAGACAGACAGAAGGGACTGCAAGCTGAGCTGCTGCTGTTGGACTGGTTAAATCTGCTTGTTTTACTGTAAACACTACTCTGTGAAGTTATTGCTGGAGGTTTTAACTAGATTCAAGTGTTTTATAAAGGTATGTTCTTTCCAGAGAGCAACATAAAGAGTGAAGAATCAGGTCTAAGGGGCTGCAAGCTGAGCTGCTGCTGACATGGGCTTCACTTGTTGGCAGGAACTTTTGCATGATCTGGTTGAGTATCTGCAATGGCCACCATAGACAACCACTGTTTTGTAGAATAGTCCACATTTCTCTCACACCTTTGGAAAGACAGAAGCGACTGCAAGCTGAGCTGCTGCTGTTAAACCTGTTTAATTTGCTTGTTTTACGGTAAACACAACTATATAAAGTAATCGCTAGAGTTTTAAACTGGATTCAAGTCTTTTTTAAAGGTATTTTCTCTCCGAACAATCAATGATTTAAACTTGCCAGAGAGCAACATAAAGCAGTGAAGAATCAGGTCTAAGGAGCTGCAAGCTGAGCTGCCGCTGACAAAAGTTCAACTCGTTCATAGACAGTTCCCTTTGTTAATGCTATTGCTGAGGTATTCAACGGACTATTTCTTTTCTGAACAGTCTCATCCCATGATTTTAACACGTCAGAATGCTTAATAAATCATGTGAAACATCAGGGCTGGAGGCCGAGAACTGAGCTACTGCTGGCTATGGCAATGGGCAGTTTTCAAACTCAGTATTCTGCTTGCAGTCTTGAGCATACACAAGTTAGACAAATGTGTCAGACCAATCTCCACAAGTGGTTTTTACAACCATCAGACTGAATTGTCAAAGCATGTCCTCAGTCTGTCACACTAAAATACCAGTTCTGGTTAAGTTTGTACCAACTGTAGACCAAATTCACGCCTGTCAGTCTGCATCAGGCTGAATAAGATGGTACTTAAGCGTTTCTGGTATTTGATAGACGTGCAGAATAATGCGTTATGCAGTCAGTTGTTACTCCTGCAGAGCTCTGAGAGTCCTTTTTAATATCAGGTGTGTTTTCTCAGAGTTCCAGAGCTTTGTCAGAGATTTAGTGTGTACTTCTAGACTCCAGCGTGACCTCCACTTGTGCGATAAAGTCGCGGGGGCCGACGTTTCCTCTCGGCCTCTTCTCACGGCTTCACGCCGCGGGCGGTGAGCTGATGGAAACAAGGAGGGTGCCTTTGAATTACTGCAAGTAATTATTGGTGTGTGTTCTGCTGGGGGTGGTCCGTCTGTCTCTCTCTCTCTATGTGTGTGTGTGTGTTCAGTTCAGTGCATAAGTAGGCCGAATGACATGCAACCTCTGTTCCTTCACTCCTGCGCCCACTCCTGTAGAAAAGTCCCAGCAGTATTAGCAGCAGCGGTGTAAACGTTGGCCGCTGCACTTCTATATTCACCGCAGCAGCGAATGGAAAAGCCGGGCTCTGTCATCTGGAAACACACAAACACACACACTCACTAAGTCACGCAGTAACACAGCCCCTGGGAAAAAGAGTGGGACTGCAACAGGAGATAGAAATCAGACTGTGCTCTTTGACTGTTTTGTGTCCAGTGACTGGTTAAAAATCACAATAAAGCAGCCGAGGCGCTGAGAGCTGGACCGGCACGCCGCTGGTTTAATGATTAAGTGTTGAGACCTTGAAGTAAAAGTTGGCGTGTGTGATATATGTGTACATGTATGAAAGACAGGAGTGTTAAATGTGATTTAGGTGAGGCGAGGGTTTCCTCAGCCTCCACACAGAGCGTTATTGTGTCTGTATGTGAACTAAGGCTGTCGTAATGGACCGATCTTGGCGGTGATGTCTTAAGCTGTTGATAATGTGCTAAAAATAAGTATAAGGTCATAATATGAGTTAATAGGATTGGCCGTTTGCACTGGTTGCTAAATGAAATAAAACAGAAGATAGATGAAGAAGAAGCAGCTGCTAGTGATGTAGCTGTAGCATCCCACTTTTAAAACCTAAACTTATCTCTCTGGAGTCTCTTCTGATAATTAATCAGTCGAACTGTTCTCAGTGTGTGTTATTGGCCCTGAGATCAGGGATGCTGCTGGAAGAGGGGGATGGTAGACTTCTCCAGACTGAGACAGCAGAGGGATATAAGCCATTTGGTCAACATTCCTCCTGGAGCATAACAGAATACCAACGTGGGCTCAGAGAGAGAGTGTGTGTGGAGATATAGAGCATATGTATGTTGATAACGTTCTCTTGTTGAAGTTTTTTTAGTGATTACCAGAGTCATAGACATTTAGCGAATCATTGTCTTATAACTGTAGTTTTATAAAATTTACAACCGCATAAAAATAGAGTTTATTACTTCTATCATTAATGTAATTTCAGCCAATAAATGCTGGTTTGTCAAGCTGCAATCTGAGAAGCTGATTTAAACATCAGGTTTTATATATCATGTCTGTCGTTTTTTAGTTTTTAGTGTTATTTACTGTACAAAAAATGATTTCAGTCTAAGCTATTACTCTCTGCTTCCTTTACATGATAGCTCGGTTTTTACTGTCTGGACTCATGATAATAAGTAAGCTACTTCTGCTAATGCTAAAGCTAATGTCTTACAGTTTTCCCATATGGGTAATTTGGTTGTCATGCATACAACAATTCTGTATTTTTAGGAAAACTCATTAATAACGTCGAACACGATCCTCAATTTCCCGTTTATTGATCGGTGGACATGCCTTGGCTAGACTCTCAGATGTATTCTCAGACAAAAAGACAATTTCTTAAGATCATTTATCACTTTAAACTCATCGAGTTGTCTCCACATGTATTTTCTTTGCGTCTCTCGTCAAAAGTGATGCCAAAGTAGTGAGCTCTGTCCGCTCTCGCTGAACTGTCAGCTCACTTTCATATGTAGTTTTATGGTTCGACTGAGGTCCCTGCTGCTCTCTAAGGGGACATATTTCATTCACTTTGTGTCCCTCCAACTGTCTGATCCCCGTGGGACAATGTGGAAACCAGAAAAATATGCTACAGTCATTGTTTGGTCTTGTTAAGATTCAATAACTGGTGGAATTTGACGGGTTGCGCTGGAACCGTGCCTGTTTTTTCAAGATGATGAATTGAGCGGCCGTAATGACGACTGTTAATTTATGATCCAAGTTTGATGGTTTTAAAATTTGGTAATAGCGCAGTTGTTTTGATGGATTCCAGTGGCTCACATCAACCGTCTGGACTGAGAGTTTTCCCACCAGACTTCTTAAGAGCTATTTCAATGAACATCAGACCCCAGTGTCTGTCTGAGTGGACTCGAGTGGAGCTCTTCTGGCGTACAGCTGAGACACCCCTCACCATTCAGTTATTTGTCAGCAATTAGGTTTATTGTCTTCTTTGTACCTAAAAATAGAAATTAACTCTACGGTTGTCTACTTTGTAAGTCTTGGTGGATCACAACTCTTACCAATCCAGATAAAGTTGGGGGTAAAAAGCTAGTCTGAGTTTTAAGGCCTTCAGACCAGTAAAACCAACGAAGAACACAGAGGAAATTTGTACGTTTTTAAAAATGTAGTTTCTTAAAGGTACATGGGTCTCTGAACTTTAAATGTTTGTTTTCAGACTACCTTGTTGGTTGGTTTTAACTATGTGGTACGCCAATAGGTGAATTTATATGATCACCTCTAATTAGATTAGAATTGAAGAAACGGCACAATCAGCTTTTCAAGAGTATCTTGAAGCAATATGGCTAGGATACACTGGGGTGGCCAAGGATATACCTGGGCCACTAAGAATTTACCTGGGTGGTCATGAAAAAAGCTAGGCTGCTGAGAAAATACATGCGCGGCTAGGAGTATACCTGAGAAGCTGCGAGTATACCTGGGTGGCAGAGAACATGCCAGTGGGCCAAGGATATACCTGGATGGCTAGGAATCTACCCAGGAGGCTGCAAGTTTACTTGGGTGGCTGATAATATACCTAGGTGATTGAGAATGTACCCTTAAACCTGTGCCCAGTTCCTGTCCTTGTGTGGGAAACACTGAGACTGAGAATATACCTGAACACAGAAGAGTGTGCCTTGCTGGCTAGCAATATACCTGGGTGACTGGGAACATACCTTGGTTGCTGAGAATATACATGTCTGGCAGGGGGTACACCTGGGGGTCTGGGAATAAATCTAAGCTGCTGAGAATATACTCTGATGGCCAAGAATATACCTAGGTGACTGAAAAAATATCTTGATGGCAGAGAATTTACCTTTGTTGAAGAGAATATACCTGTGGGCCAAGGATATACCTGGGCGGCTGATAATATACCTAGGTAATTGAGAATAGACCTAAGGAGGAATATACCTCGGTGGCTGACAATATATCTTGGTGGCTCGGAACATACCTTGGCTGCTAGGAATATACAGGTTTGGCAGAGGGTATACCTGGGCATCTGGGACTACATTTAGGCTGCTGAGAATATACCCTGATGGCCAAGAATATTCCTGGGTGGTTGGGAAAATACCTTGATGGCAGAGAAGATATCTTAGTTGAAGAGAAATACCCATGGGCCAAGGGCCATGGGCGGCTCGGAATTTACCCAGGGGACTGCAGGTATACCTGGACAGCTGAGAATATACCTGTATGGCTGAGAATATACCCATAAACCCATGCCCAGCTCTTGTCCTTGTGTGGGAAACACTGAGCCTATGATTTGATTTTTGAAAATCTAATTGGGAGCTCCTGTTGTTTCACCTCATATTTGGACCCGTTTATTTGATTTAACTGGTGGGTCCCCTTGAAAGGCCTCCCCAGTCAATGGCTCATCTACTTTGACTGAAACTAAATTGTCAGAGATACTTTGTTTGTGTCTGCAAAATTTTGAAATATCTCGTTGCACAAGTTGACCTCGGTTAAACTCTAACAGATATCTGCTGCATGTGGGCATGAGGGATGATGTGAACAAGAGTTTGTTGTTTCCTATTAGTGGCTGAAAGGGATTTTCCTCCCTTTTCTTCTGCTTCTTCTTCTTTTTCGGCTGTTGGAATTCAGGCCATGTTTCTTGCGGGGAGTGTTCCAGCAGAGTGTGTTTGAAAACACCGCGAGCCGTCTGCTGTTTGATTCGCTCAGAAGAGGTAACAAAGATGGAGACGATAATCTGTCCCTCTGTTCCTTCTGTTGACGCTGACAGAAATCCAGGGATTTTACAGGGGAATGTTTTGACATGTGGTCGAAGGTATGCAACCAAGAGCGCAGGGCTGGTAAACAGTGCCGAGATACTCCCTGCATTCCTGTAAAGGTAGCCTCCAGTAGCAATCTGCTCAGCGGGGGGTAGATGAGGATGCCATCAGATAGAGATGCTATTGTCTCTACTGTGTGTGTGTGTGTGTCTGTGCGTGTGTGTGTCTTCTGCCCTGACTTGCTTCGCTAACTGTCCTAACTAACCAAAAACACATGTTGCGTCGAACATTGTACACAATGGAGCATATTGATGAGAGAAAGTAAAGAATGAGTGTATTCATAAATCTGAGTTTTTGAATCAAGGGCGGGATGGAAAAGGCAATTTGTGTTCATTACTTTGGGATCATTTAATCAAATTAAGTCCCTTGATGAGAGAAAATACCAGAAAATTACTACCTGCTCTTTAAATGTTAGTGTTTACTCTTTTTTTCTGAGGGGAAAAGGGAATATTTTAGGGTGTTCTCGGATCACTGCAGCCAAACAAATAACCTTAAGGAAACATGATGAGCTTAGAAAAACCAGTACAGAAACTTTTTGACATTTTCATCAAATTAAAATTGATGGACACAAATCAAGATACGGTTATTTATCTGCCAAGGGGCGTCTTTATCTCCCTAGATTTTACAGTTGTCTTAATAACTCACCTTTTAGTCTATGAAAGTTTGAAAATGATAATTTATTTAAGATAGACCATGAGAAGATGTCATTACTAAACACACCAAACCATAAAATGTTTAAACTACAACAACAAAATACCACACTGTCTCACACTGGAAAACCTGGAAAGCAAAAGTTGTAATTATTGTAGCTACGAACAATTACAAATAAGTTTAAGTTAAAATACATTTAAAATATCTTACTTTAAGTTTCACAGTGAAATGACAGTTTAACGTAAGGCCAGTGGCAATACTCATGATCGAAAGATACAATACAGCGCAATGATATGATAAAATACAAAATGTTATAAAAGTAAAATATATGAAAATATATATTATACGGCACCATACAATATGAAATGATACAATATGAAATGATACAATATGATATGAAATTATATGACATGATTTTATATGATAAAATATTAATACAGTTTTATATAATATGATAAAATATGATAAATGATATCATATGATGCAACAGGAAATGATATCATATGAAATTATATGATGATATGTTACAATATGATTCAATGTAATACAGTGTGAAATGATATGATATGATTAATATGATGATGAAATTATATGACATGATATCAAATGATAAAATATGAGAAATTAGATTATGTGATGCAACAGGAAATGATATGATATGAACAATATATGAGATTATATGATACAACATGATATGATAAGGCTCAATACGATTTGATACAATATGATTCAATATGATACAATGAGAAATGATATGATACATTATGATATAGTGATGATAAGATTTGTTGGATGGGATTTGATACGAGTTATACGATATGAGATAATACGATACAATCTTATATATGATATAATATGACATGATGCGATAAGATATAATAGAATATTGTACAATACAGTTACAGCATGATACCTCATAGAATAATGGACACATCAGTTCTCATGGCCCATTAATAGAGTCATATCACAGTTAAAAAACCTTTAAGACAATCATATAAAACCTGAACACTGAGAAATGTTGCAGTCAATACTTAAAGTTGGAAAGTAACAAGTAGAGAAGTGTGTGTGTGTGTGTGTGTGTGTGTGTGTGTGTGTGTGTGTCGGGCGGGGCAGGAATGTCTCTATCTCTGATCTGTGGAGCCTTTAGCTGTTTCTTTTAGGCTACGTCTGCAGGCTCACACACTCACACACACACACACACACTACAATAACAACCTCTGTGTGTGTGTTTCTACATACGTGTGTGTGTAGCTGCTTCAGTACAGTGACTCTCTAATATACAGCGTAGTTGTTACAGCAGCATTAATGTGTGTTTCTGTGAGTTTAGGTGTAAATATTAAAGATAAATGGCAGTAAAGGGAGTCGGGTTGTGTTTTGATAAGTGTGTATTCGGGTGTGTAGAAGTCCTGACCCCAGGCTGCTGCAGTTGTTATTGTTTTTGTGTGACGCTCACCAGGGGGGCAACACACACACACACACACACACACACACACACACATGCACACGGACAGACACACTCAAATCAGCCGTGTTTTTCTTAACTCTCAGATTACACCACAGTTGCAGCTTCAGGAACCCTGTTGGGTCTGTACTTTGCTGATTTGGGAGTCCTGACCCATATATCCCGGTTTTCCCCGAAGGATCGGGCCCAGAGAGCCTGACTGTGCTTTTTGAAAGGGGTTTTAAGCTCATGCAGTGACTTCCACTACAGAGTCATGACGGTTTTCAGACATCTAGAAACTTCTCATGGTTTCTCACCAAGAGGAATGGAACGCATTCCCGTCCTCCTGTCGTCTCCCATCACCCACAATCTCCGGCTCCCATCTCAGACGCTCTTTTCATCCCACTTCTAATGTGAGGGAAGTTAAGACTCGCCAAGTCTCTTTACGTAACCTGACAGGGACGAGGCGGGAGAAACGAAGGAGTGAAAAGATGTTTCCCTCAGACGCCGTGAGAAAGGGAAAAAGGATGCGAAACAAAGAGAGTTTTGTGTCATTTCAGACCTCAAACTGGGTTCACCCACAAGAGGGGACCTCATCGCACAGCGGAATTTATGTGTGCGGTGCATACTTTGGTTTCGGGCATGGCTGCGTCGCAATAAACTGTAAACACATAAACACAGAGTCGCTGAAAACACACAAGTTGTGCCGGTACAGCTCTTTTTAATCAGGCGTAATAGCTGGGAAACTGCCTCTAATGTCGAAACTAATCGCTGATGTGCGACGAGGGGAAAATGTCACAACTAAAACAAGCAGGATGAACAGAGTCTGGATATGAAGACACAAAAAAGGATGAAAATATGGGGGAAAAGTGGTGAGACGGTTTGGTTCAGGGGGTTGTTTTAAGGTTGTTTGGCTTCAGGCTGATAGATTATAGATGGACGGGATCGGGACGGAGGGATACGAGATCAAAAGATAGAGAAGGAGGGGAAGGTTTCAGGTTTCTGGTCACAGCTGGCAGATCGGTGCTTCCCTGCGTTTATGAATCTGTAAACTCACTAACAATCGTGTTATTGTTGAGGGTTGTCCGCGAATGATGAAGTATTTTCACGATCTAAACCAGCTGAGCCTTCGCACCGAAATAAAAAGGACACATCTGAACACACTCGAAACCTCGATGGGAGTTTCTGGTGGAGTATGGAAGCCATTAGATCCGGTGACCGGCGCTGACAATGGCACGGGTCAAAGGTCGGCGGCCTGGTGTGACCAGAGCCGCGCCAGATTGATCCATCAACGTCATGTATGTGTGTGTGTCAGTGTGCGTTTCCCCTTTATCTCGCGCACACAAGTGCACACACCTAAAGAGGGTGAAACATTAACTTCCTAATGTGAACTAAATGACCTTGTCCTCTCGACTCAGTCCGGCCCCTCCCCCCACGCCGCCCTCATTCTGGACTCTAACAGGATATGTAGTTTCATCACATCACTAACAGCTAAATTCCACAGGATACGGAACGGCTGTGCTCTGCACTGGAACGGCAGCCTGATCAAATACGGAAGCATTATAATCAGTGTGCGTGATTCCACACAATCCGTCCGCCGTCCGGCTCTCCTGTGGATCCGCTCTGGCAGTCGGATCAGATACGCAAGGCTTCTATTTTTGCCGGAATCCGCAGCACAGCACATCATCGGTAATACTGGAAGCGCTTCTCCTTCACTTCCGGCAGCGGATTGAATCCGGTGGGCGCGGTATGTTTATGTTTTTGATCCGCCTATTGTTGCAGATCTGCATGCGGTGGAATCCCGGCGTACGACTGATGCGCACTACAGGTGTAGATGCTGAAAGTGAGCTAAACAGTTTAGTCTTTGGTCTCGCTTAGTCTTCACTAGATTATTTGTCAACATTTGTCAATTCAACAGTGCTTATTGCTAGCATGTCTTTTGCAATACAATAAGCGACTGCATCTGTAAAGGCCTTTGTGTCTCTTCAACGTTTTGTCGTAAGGTGTTGCGCTAGAGAAAGCGGACTGAATGGTCGACTGCCATGAGCTCCTTGCTCCGCTCAGGGTTTGTAACCTTTTGCATTGGTGTTGAAAAAGATTTGAGGTATTCCCCGACTTTGCGAGAACATGTACTGGACAAAATTTGCAGTGCACATTACTGTGCTTCATGTCCGACCTCGAAAAACCAAAATACCTCCACACCACCGACGTTTTCTTGCCAGTGTTGTTGACAATGTCATCATATGCACGATATGTTTAGCGCTAAGCAAACCCGGAGCAACTCCCCTTTTCAGATTCGTACCGTCTACCAAAACATGGCAGAATGCCGACTATCGAAAAGGGTATTGACCATGTTTTATATTGATATATTGAGAAATTAATTTTTGATATATATTGTTACCGTTTTATTGCCCAGCTCTACAGCAGGGGTACCTCAGGGATCAATGCTCGGTCCCCTTCTTTTCTCTATATACACTTGAGGTCCTAAAAATCAGGTACTTCAGATGTCTACGTTTGTCTGAAACAGCTGACAAACCAAGTTTTCCTTCAAGGACTCTGTGTTTTTATGAGATCCAGCTCTATCTGCGTACTCAGAATTCTCCGAAGATTGTTTTTTTCCAGTTTCTGTCCTTGTGATATTTTGTCGGATTATATGTCCTGAACGGCTCGGCCTGTTTAGAAGACTGCTCTCTTTGTGTTTATGTGTGTTTTCTTTGTTTGGGTTATCTCGAAGAAACATCGTGGTGTCCTCGTAAAAACTCCTCAAAGATCTACTGACTTCAATTTGATCTATTTTGGTCCGAGAGGTGGAGGACGCTCCTGAAGAAGGACTTTATTTATCCCCATGTGACTCCGGAGGATCACACTGTTCAGACGTGTGTGTGTCGGGCTCTTGTTGGATTAGACACACTCAGGGGTTGTCGTGGTGCATTATGGGAGCTGAAGTGTGTGTTTTTATGATGTATTGATCCGGATGACGGCTCAGGGTTAAGGTTTGACAGGTCGGCGTTTCTGCAGAACCCGGGGGGTTTTAGTCACGGCGCAGCGGCGCTTCTTTGCCGAGGATTCTGGGTATCGGAGCTTTGATGTGGCCGGCATCTCAGAGTCTTTAATGAGGGGCTTGTTTTCACAGATTAAGTCCGGTTTTAATGGAATTAGTGGAGATTAAGGTGGTTAGAACATCTCTGGTGTGGAGAAGTCGAGGTTTCTGCTCTGGATTTCCCAAAAGTCGGCCGTCAATCAACTCTGTGGGCGACTCAGTCCTTCAGTTTATCGCAGACTTTGTGTATTTCTTGTATTTTTCAGGGTCTCCATGTCTCCTCCACTTTATTATAAATTCAAAAACAACCTTTTCCTCGTCCAAACTGATTTTCACAAACTCACATATGACATTAAAATACTTTTTATGTTCGTTGCCTCTTTAAAAAAGTTAAATCTTTGAGTTTAGACGAGTATCCCCCCGTTTTCTGGCTCCGTTTCAATCCAGAGAGTCGATATGAGGACTTTTTAAATTAGATTTGACAATATTTAGACTCATCTTTGGAGCGCAGCTTATGAAAACATACAAGCGAGGAGACTCGGCAGATAGTGTCTGCAGCGTGTTTGAAATAATGACTGAAATATTCTGGATTCAAACAAACAGAAGAAGGAGAAGAAGCCGAGGCTGCCCAGCGTGGAGATGGACCGCCGTCACATCAGGATCCGGTCCATCCTGGTTGTGGACTGACACGAGTGTGTGAGGATAAAGCAGAGTGTGTGTGGAGGATGGAGGGGAGTGTAAAAACACGGAGGAACATTCCTCGCCGTCCTCCTGAAACAGAGAGACTCTGTGAAGACGAGGAGAGAGGGGTGTTTGCTCACATGTCGGTGCTCGTCCATGTGACTCCACCGCAGGAAGTTTCTGAAGCTCCATGTGTGAAATTCAGGAAGTGGATGACGAACAGATCGAGCTTTAGGAGAGAGGAGTCTGAAGAGAGTCGAGGAACAAAGATATAAAGAAAAAAACATGTCAGGTTTCTTTTCCTCTCTTCTCACCTTTGAGTTTCATTTATCTACATTCTTCTCCCTTCTTTTCTTTTTCTCCTTCTTTCCTTCTGTCCTCCCTTCTTTCCATCCTTTCTTTCTCCTCCCTTCAATCTTTTATTCCTTCTTCTCATCCTTTCTTCTATCCATCCTTTGTATTCTTCCTTCCATCTTTCCTTTTCTTTCTCTTTCAGACTTCCTTTCTTTCATCCTTTTATTTTAATCTTCCTCTCATCCTTCTTTTTGCTTTTTCCAGCTTTCCTTTTCTTTCCTTCTTCATTTCCTCTTTCCTTATTTTCTTTCTTTTCTTACCTTTATTCTTATTTGTGTCCTTTTCCTTGTTTCCTTTCTTCCTCCCTTCTTCTCAGTATGTTTAAAATTATTCTCAAACATTTCCTCATCTCCTCTCCTTGTCTCTTGTCCTTGTCTCCTCTCCTCTCTGTTCTCACTCTTGTATTGAATTTGATCAGTCTGTGTCAGTCGTCCTTTCCTTGTCTCCTCGTCTCCTCATCTCCTCTCCTCTCCACCCCCCTCTCCCTGTCTCTTCTCCTTGTCTCCTTGTCTATTCCCCTTGTATCCTTTCCTCATCCCCTCTCCTTGTCTGCTCTCCTCATCTCCTCTCCTTGTCTCCTCTCCTCCACTCCCCTTGTCTCCTTGTCTCCTCCTCTTGTCCCCTTTCCTCATCTCCTCTCCTTGTCTCCTCTCCTCATCTCTTCTCCTTGTCCCCTCTCCCTGTCTGCTTTCCTCATCTTCTCTCCTTGTCTTCTCTCCTTGTCTCCTCTCCTCTCTTTCCTTCCTTTTGTCCTTGTCAGTAGTCGTTTCCTTGTCTCCACTCCTTGTCTCCTTTCCTCATCTCCTCCCCTTGTCTCTTCTCCTTGTTTCCTTTCCTTGTCTCCTCTCATCTTTTCTTACTCTTTACTGTGCCAGTAGTTGTTTCCTTGTCTTCTCTCCTTGTCTCCTCTCCTCATCTCCTATCCATGTCTCCTCTCCTTGTCTCCTTTCCTCATCTCCTCTCCTCTCTTTTCTTACTCTTGTCTGTGCCAGTAGTCATTTCCTTGTCTCCTCTCCTCATCTCCTCTCCTTGCCTCCTCTCCTTGTCTCCTCTCCTCTCTGTTCTTAGCAGTCCTGGATCTTCTCCTCTGTCAGGGGCCGCTCTGCTGCACCCTCACCCAGAGAAAGTGTCTGTTTTTGGGGCGTCACAGTCCTGTCTGCTCCCTGAAATGACTCCATGGACAGATCGAAGGACTGAGACGCTCCGCCGTCCGTCTGCGTTTCTTTACACTAACACACACACACACACACACACACACATCTGCTGCTGCTGCTGCTGCAGCTTTTCTGCGTGAGCGTGGGAGCTTTTTCTCTTTTTCCGTCCTCGCCGCTCCCCTCCTCCCGCCCTGATAAAGAGGGCCTTGTGTGAGCGTGGGTGTGAGGAAGGGAGGAGAGGCTCACGGGGCTCAGACTGGAGGGCAGAGGTTGACGGAGGGTGTGTGAGCCAAGAAGAGGGACGGTTCGGTCTGTCATATGTGCAGCATCACTCTGCTAAAAGACAGACACTCAAAACTCAGAAACGTTTCGATGAAAGAGATGACTTCATGGAGTCTGACACCAAAATGTCAGGAAAGAGCGATGAGTTTCACCTCCTTCTATTTTGAGCTCCTCGATCCAAATACAGAAACACTGTGAGGTTTTATTTAAAGACCAGGAGTTAGACCTCCTCAACCCGCAGACCTGCTGCTTTCTGCTCATCCCACGCACAGGCTGAGATTATACAGGACTTCAACATCGACCTCATTGTGGAGAGTGGGTCAAACAGCCGGTGACTCAGACCGGCTCCAAAAACCAACCGTGTAAATTAAGGTGAATTCAAAGAGCGTCCAAGCAGGACGTGTGGGAGAAACTGGGCTCTACCTTCAGAGCTGAACCAAGAACCTGGAATCAAACACGGCGTCCAGCTCCAGCTCCTCAGCCTGAGTATTTCCAGGTTCGAACCGCCGTTTCCAGAAACCTTTCCGCTGACGCTTTATGTTTGGGAGCTGAACGGTGGCGGCGCAGACAAAAGCTGGAGCTGGTGTTCAGCAGGGGGTCCATGGAGGGGGGTTCTCATTGTCCTGGGGGAGCGGAGAAGAGGTTCCTGGAGGGGGTCTTTGCCTGTCAGGTTGACGGCTCCATTTGAAGCAGGAGTCGGGATCCTTTTGGAGTCTTTGGAACCACTTAGATCCTCTCTGCTGCCGCTGCCTGTTCTTGTCTCCTGGTAGATGGTGTTGAAACATACTACGGCCGAGAACTGCCACTGCTTCAAATAAAAAAGAACGCAAAAAAAAGGAACCACAACGGAAGTTACAGATGCAAAAAACAGAAACCGAAGCCCGCTGCAAATAAAAAAGAAACAGTGCGGGGAAAAAAAGTTTTAAAAAAGCCATGACAGTAGTTAACGATGCAAAAAAAAGGTACTTACTGCGTAAAAAAAGGATGCAATTTGAAAAAGCCACAATGTCCTCAACGAAAATAACACTGCAGAATATATGTTTAGTGTTGATTGACGAAATGATCATGAATTTGCAACTCTGTTCGTAGTCCACCACTAACTTTTTCGTTTATTCTCGTCTTGTCAACTTAACGCACATTCGTCTCGTCACATTTTAGTCATTTAAGACTTATTTTTAGCTCATCAACGTCACGTCTTCGTCATGGAAAATGGGCGAAAACAACACTGGTGCAGATAAACATTTTTAGAAAAAGCCATGACGGAAGTTAACGATTCAAAAAAAAAAAGTTGTGATGAAAAAAAAAAAAATTAAACGATAACCTTTCCCCTAACTGCTTTTCTCGTCTTCTCGCTGTCGTCTTCTGTGCCTAGATCGTACAACACCGATGCATCATCATTATTGGTCCTCGCAAACTCACTTCCACTGTCGCTTTTTTTATTTTCAACAATTTTATTTTCTCAGTAAGTAACTTTTTTTATTCCATCGTCACTTTTTTTTTGCGTCGTTAGCTTCCATCGTGTTTTTTTTTTTTTTTTTTTTTTAATCTGCACTGTTTCTTTTTTATTTGGAGCAGGCTTTGATTTCTGTTTTTTTTTGCATCGGTAACTTCCGTTGTGGCTTCTTTTTTTTATTTGCAGCAGTGGCCGTTCGTAGACACCGTATAAAGTCTATAATGCAGATCTATATTACTGTGCATTAAACAGATCTATATTCATACGTTTGAATCCAGAATGATCCTCTTTAACCAGATGACACACTGATTCCCGTCTCTCATGATTTCCTCTGATTTCTTTATGTAAACACGTGGAGAACAGTTTCCTTTAGCTCTTGGCAGCATGTGTGTGTGTGAGTGTGTGTGAATATGTGTGTGTGTAAGTGTGTGTGTAAGTGTGTGTGTTAATCCAGATTCAAGTAGCTGCATATCCTCACGCTGAGAGAAATGACACGAAGTTTCCCAAACTTTCCTCATTCCCACAGCGTTTGACAATCTGTTTTGTGCGTATGTGTGTGTGTGCATGTGTGTGTGTGTGCATGTGTGTGCGTGTGTGTACGCGCACGCTGTCCGCTTTCAGACTTCCTCAGAGCACGCAGCTACTCATTTTCTCTGTCTCGACCTTTCGGTAATGGGAGGTTTAACGTGCACGTGTTTACAGAGGGCGCCGCCTTACAGTGGACTGCACATACACACACACATTCATACGCACACACACTCACACACACATAGACAGATGTGCACTGTAAAATAAACTTGGTTAACTCCTGCTGTTTTATATAGAAGTGCAGATGTTTGCTGTGTTCATCATCACACACATGCACAAACACACACACACACTGCTGCAGGACAGTTTTGCGATAAAGACGTTGTTGTTCTGTGTTGGTCAGTGTGTGTTTGTGTGTGTGTGTGTGTGTCAGGTGATAGTGAGGCGATGACAACCTCCGACCAACGAGGGGATTCCCAATTTTTCCAGAGCACAATAATGAACACACACACACAAACACGCGCACTAACACACACACACTATGAAGTCACCTGGTACACTAAAAATAAAAAGGTGTGTCTGACCTGTGTGTGTGTGTGTGTGTTTGTGTGTGTGTGTGTGTGTTTCAGCTAACAAGAGAGGGCATTCTTCTCCGTCTCCCCCGCGCCTCGGGTGACCTCACCCTGTCTGGACATCTCACTGCAGCATGGCACACACACAAACACACACAATTACACGTACACACACAGCGAACTGGCATGTAGGTCAGACTTGAGTGAAACTGAGTGAAATTGCTCTGAAACTGACCCAGAAACGAGTTTATTTAACGCCGTAAGAAGGACTGACGTTGGTGAAGTTTTTTCTATCGATGATTCAGGGAGAAAATTTTTAATTTGAGTTTAAAAAAAAAGTTGTGACGAGGACCAAAAGAAGCCTTAAAGGGATATTCCGGCGTATGATTAATTTAGGGTCAAACACATCGTAACACCGAGTTAGACACCTAATCCAGAGATGAATGTTGCCGACCGTTTACTTCTCTAGTTATACCAACTTTAGTAATGACAGCACGATAGCAATACACAGCAGTCTGAGGAGTCATAAACAAACCTGTAAGGATGCCTATCCCAGGTTCATACCAGAAAGAATGGAAGGTCCACACGAATGGTCAGTTTGACAAGCTTTACTGGTTGCAGATCTGGGTTACAGCTTCAGCATGCTACAAGTGTAACAAAGAGTGGTCCAAGACCATTCAAGTATATATAGTGGTTCACAATTCTAAACATACTGTTGGTATTTAGCTGACCCTAAGAGAAATCCATGTACGGTCAAAACAAAGGACAACATGTTTCAAAAGCCTTAGATGAACATGTGGAAGGTCCCAAGAAGGAAATATCATGGCAAACATAGTTTGGGGACCTACATGGTGTAAATAATGTGTACAGGGTTCCTTGCTCAGGGATGGTTGGAGGAGGCCCCCCGGCTCCAGCAATCTAACACCAAAGTGTCTGGGGTAGTTGAGTGACACAGCTCCAACACTCTAGAGGCTAGTATGACTAGCTGAAGAAACTCATCCTAACAGTCCTCCCTTTTTTTTTTTTTTTTTTTTTTATTTCCTATGTACTTTTATGTTATTATTTACAGTTATCACCTGACCAGGGTCTCTTAAAACAAAAAGATGGGTTGAATAAACAAATAGAAGAAGGGTCAGCCACCCCAAACCAGCCCACAACGGGCCGTAGGATTTGAGGCTGCCCTCTACCCTAGACCAACGACTGAAGCACCTAAACCCTACAAAACCATGAACAAAAGCCGCGAAAACAAACCTTGTCAACCCACCTAAAGATAAAAAAGACTAGTCCTATATTTTAAGGAGCTATGACACTCAACAGGTCAGTATCAAATTAACCAGTTTCAGGCCTCCCCATCCCTGAATTCTTCAGATGACTCAGATGACGAAGAGGAGGAGAGCCAAGGTCCCTGTACGGAGGGGGAAGGGATACAATCCTTCTCCATCAGGAGTGTAGTCTGCACGAAAGACGTACTGACCATAGAAGAAACAGATTTCATGATTAGTGCACGGAAAATGGGAAAACAACAGCACATCACAACAGCCACAATCAAAATAATGACCATAACTGGACCTGCAATGCCCATAACCCAGGCATAGAAGGAGCTACCTCCAAATAGGGCTGAGATATGATCCCAAGCCTTAAGTCCAGTAGACCCCCCTGTGAGGCGTGCATCTTTATTGGCAGTGACAATTCCCATATAGATGTCTTCCAGATTCTTAATGGCTATCGTCAAATTGCCCATTCCTTCAGAATCAGATGGTAAGTACGTACAACAGCCTTCTCCTACAATGGCACACACACCCCCTTGAGATGCCGTCAATGCATCTAAAGCAACGCGATTATCCGAGGTAAAACGGCGGATCAAGTCTAACTCAGCATATATGGAATTAAAACCCTGCAATGTGGCATTTGCCATTAATGCCAAGTCATGCCTAGTAAGCGCGATAAGATAATGATTCGTATATTGTAATTCCGTGTTCCAAAATAAGGTACTAAAAACCAATTGTGAATGTGTATATATCTGAAAATCATCACGCAATGCATAATAACGTGTGGCCAAGTCAGTGGGGTTTGAGTTCTTCAAATGGATATAACCAGTAACTTCAGACAACTCTCTCCTAGATCTTGTGGAGTTGAAGTGTTGTGGTGCGTATTCAACGGGCTCCACAATGTAGGTTACGTCATGTAACATGCATAGACCACACCTACCCCTGAAACGGGGAGGGAGACTACTCCAAACATTGTTACCACAACACCAATAAAAGCCATATGTATATGGAGTGCCCATCAGAGATAATTGGGCGTAATCAGTATGTGAATTAACAATAAAACGGCACTGGTTAACCTTTAGAAAACCCATATTCTGCCCACCATCAGTGAGGGATTGACCCTCTAGACAAACATCAAAGATGTCGGATGGATCTACCGCTATGGATGATTGATGAGGGGTAATAGACAAGTCCGAGGTTATGTTCAAAAGATATTTATTGTAAAACCCAGAACACATAAGCAAGGATGGATGATTTTCAGGTACGTTAAATGATGTTGCATGTACATGGAAAATATCGTTTCCATTTTCTTGACTAATAGAAATATTGGAGTATATAACATATTTTACGACCTTGTTAAGAAAGTTCTTGATTTTCTGCACTGAATGCGTTGTCTTACCTAAATGCATTTTAGTAGGTCTGATAACAGGTCGAAACTTGGAAGAGTTAATGTCATGTGTTCTGGTTTTGGGATGCATTTGTATGACATATTGATATGCCATGGTACACCACGAAGGAAGTCCTTTGGGACCCGTGAGTGATTTGGCTACCAGTGCAAAAAGATCTTGAGTAGATACAGGGAGCAGTGAACAAGCATAACAAGAATTTCTTGTGAAAGTTCTAACCCGCTTCTTAAGTGATTGGTACCATAAATTCGATTCAAAAAGCTTCTTATTATCCAGATTCAGTGCTAATTCCTTATATTTAAGATCCTGATTATTGTCTTCAATCGTTGATGATGGGTTTGCATCTGTGTCTATTTGCGAGGGCCATGCAATTACATGTGAATCTTCAGTACCATGGACATTGTTATCAAAATTTATAGTTTTATCTGACCAATATGGGGCACAAACTCCTTGCCAATAAGGGGGTATATAAGTATGAAGATGTTCCCCACACATCCAAACCACGTTGTCTAATGCTGGGAAAGGGTTAGACGCCATTATATACAGTATGCGTGGACATCCTCGGACTGACCCAAGGATATAATCTATCTTAGAACCAGTTACAGGAGAAACACAAACCGATGGTAGTATTTTTTGAGATGCTTTAAGAATTAAAGGCTTAAAATCCTCATACATGTCAAAATCTAAATGTACATAAAAACCAGGCGTCATAGATTTCCATAAATTATTACAAAAGTTAACTGTGGGATACGATGTCATGGTATGAATAGGAAAAGGTCTTGCATCTATCGTCTCATTATTTTGGGATTGGTATTCGACAAATAGATTTATAGTTTGAGCGTTTAATTGTAAATAAGTAACATTGTTTATATTATATGGTTTAGTCGCTCCTGCGGGTGTCAAAGCATAAAACAAACATTGTATTTCATGTTCACTGAGGGGTCGGTTATTAAGAAGACCGACATCTAAGTAGGGTGTGTGCTTTATTGGCTGTTTAGTCATAGCTCGTTTGACATGCATCATGATCCGCTGAACTGCTTGATCACTTTTCCCTTCCTTTTTCAATAGTCCTTCAAAATCCAAATCTAACCCACCTGAAGGTATGGTGCTGCCAATAGTGCCATAAAGGAGGGTATTGCATAATATCAATCCACCGAGAAAAACATATAAGATAACCACAATGTTAACGAGTGGATGCATAGATGTGTAGGTGTAGGTTGCCTTCCTCAATCGGGTTAGGGCAGTCCAGAACCAGGAGCAGTTGACGGGGGAACCGCTGGTGGAGCCGCTTTGAGCCGTGTCGCATGTATCCATTGTGGATGGCCCTTAACCTTGACTGCAGTGCCCGTGGTGAGGAGGACTTGAACCGCAGGTCCGTATCGTGGATCTTTTCCAGTGGGATTCAGGCTGCGGACCAGAACGTAGTCGCCAGGAGAAAAGCTATGGATCGGCTGCTCTGAAGGCGACGGGATGGAATTTATAACCTGCTGAGAATACTTGGCGACAAAAGAGAACAAAAGTTTTACATACTCCTGTTGTGCTTCTTGTAAGCAGGTCAAATTCATGGCAGAGTCTGTAGGGACTTGAAGACATAAAGGAAAAGGCCGACCCATCAAAACCTCATGGGGAGATAAGCCAGTAGTTTTGTTTGGCATAGCCCTTATCGCCAAAAGAACATGGGGAAGAGCCTCAACCCAATTCATTTGTCTACCCTGATGGAATTTGATGATCTTTTCTTTAATTGTTCTATTCATGCGTTCGACTTGCCCTGAACTTTGAGGATGGTAGGGGACATGAAAGGTCCATTTGATACCTAAAGTTTGAGCAAGTAGTTTGGTCACCCGTGAGGTGAAAGGGGTGCCATTGTCTGAATCGATAGAAGTGGGAATACCAAATCGTGGTATCACATGTTCCATTAAGCATTTAATCACTGTCTGTGCGTTTTCCTTTCTAGCAGGAAATGCTTCTGGCCATTTAGAGAATCTGTCGACAATAACCAAAAGATACGAATATCCTCGACATCGAGGCATATGTGTAAAGTCAATTTGTAGACACTCAAAAGGACCGGAAGGTTTGGGGAGATGCCCATGTCGTGGAGGATGCGTATTAGGATTACATCTTGCACAGATAAGACAACGTTGGATAAATTGTCGAACTCGTTTTTCCAATCCAATGGTAAAAAACAATCGAGAGATGTAGTTAGTCACCGCTGAATAACTAGAATGTGTAACCCCATGAACAAAAGCTATGAGTGAATCATATGCTAATTCTGGGAGGGCAATTCTTTGATCATGACATTTCCATAAGTTATCGACGTCCTTATAACAGCCCCCCTTCTGCCATCGTGTAATCTCATAAGGTGAGGCTTGCCCTTGAAGTGAAACAAGATTTCATCGTATAGGGAGGGTCAGAGAGTTGGAGAGAGGGGTAATGAGAGACCATCCAAGGAGAGAGGGGTGCATTAAGGGCTGCATCTTTAGCATATTTGTCGGCTAAATTGTTACCCAGAGCAACTTCCTTGTCAGATTTTGAATGGCCTGTACATTTTACAACTGCGATTTGATCCGGCAACATCATGGCTGCAAGCAATTCTTTGACAAGATTGGCGTGTTGAATTGGTTTACCAGCAGTGGTGACAAATCCTCTGTTCTCCCAGATTTTACTGAAATCATGTGCCACAGAAAAAGCATACTTAGAATCAGTATATATAGTTACACTCTTATCTTTAGCAATTTGGCAGGCTCTAGTTAAAGCTACTAACTCAGCCGCCTGAGCAGAAGAAACTGGTAATTTGTAGGATTCTAGGCAATGGCCTTGATCATCTACAATAGCGTAACCTGAAAGGATAGTTGAATCATCTGGTCTCATTGCAGATCCATCACAATAGAGGACTAACTCACCATTATTCAATGGTGTCTGTTGCAAGTCTGTTCGTACGCTAGATGTTGAATTGATAAGGTCCATGCAATCATGTTCCTTGACATCATCTATGTCCTTATCTCCATGTAATAATGACTTGAGATGTATGGCAGGGTTAGTATGAGTTGCTGTAGAAATGGTCAGATTCTGCGTTCCCGTCAAAATATGTTCATAATTGCTTCTTCTCTGACTAGTCATATGTTGAGTTGTTATGTTAAGAAGGATGACATTGACCGCATGTGTGGTGTGAAGGGTCAAAGGATACCCCAAAACTATGGTCTGCGCTTTTTCAACCATCATTGCTGCAGCAGCCACGGCTCGTAAGCAGGGGACCATGCCCTGTACAATCAACGGAAGGGATTTGGAGTAATATGCCACTGGTCTCATTCGTTCACCATGCGTTTGTGCTAAAACTGCAGAGGTGACTTCCCCATTGTCTGACACATATAGATGGAAGTCAAGGTTATAGTCCGGAAGTCCCAACGCTGGGGCCGTGCACAGGAGGTACTTGATATGACGAAAGGCATGTTTCATCTCCTCAGTCCAGTTAATAGCTTCAGGTGCATCTTGGAGAGTCGACCTCCTTAACACAGAATCAAAAAAGGCATAATCCGCCAGCCAGGGTCGACAATAGTTCACCAGTCCCAAAAAGGATAACATGTCAGTCTTCATCCGAGGTTTTTGAATATCCATAATGGCCGTCACTCGTTCCGGAGATAAATACCTGCACCCAGCTCGCAGAACATAGCCCAGATAGTTGACCGATTCCTGACAGAATTGGAGCTTTGCGAGGGATGCTCGGTGACCTCCGTCAGCAAGATGTGTCAATAATGCCACAGAATCTTGAATGCATTCTTCTTCAGTCTCTGAGCAAAGAAGGAGGTCATCGGAATACTGTAGAATACAGGATCGACATGGCAAGATTAACTGAGACAAGTGCATATTAACAGCGGCTGAATACACAACAGCTGAATCAACAAATCCCATAGGCAATCTGGTCCAAACGTATTGATCATTTTTATACGTAAACGCGAATAAATCCTGTGTATCTACATGTACAGGGATTGAAAAATAGGCAGAGCATAAATCAATCGCTGTATAGAATTTTGACTTTGCGGGCAACGCTGTTAGAATGGAGTTGACATCAGGCACTACAGGGGCAATAGGAATTACGGCTTCATTAATTTTTCGCAAATCTTGTGTGAATCTATACCTATTAGTTCCAGGTTTAAGAATAGGATTTATCGGGGTGTTGTTTTGGGAGCGTCGTTTAACAATCACCCCTTGTTCCAGAAGACTTTCAATTACCGGTCTTATGCCGTCTTCTTTTTCTTTTGAGAGAGGATACTGTTTAACAAACACTGGGTATTTCTTAGGATTAATTTTAGCCTGATAGGGTGGCACATTCAATAATCCTACATGATTTGCATGCAAAGCCCAAAGTTTAGAAGGTACAGCCGCTAAAATCGAAGGCGGTTGCAATAGGATTTCCGTGTGGTCCATAAGAGAAATCAAGGGTTTGCCCGTTGTTTGCAACAGTTTGATAAAGAAATGCGTATGTTCAGGACCATAAGACCAGATGATGTAATCCTTATTTTGATCAATTTGATCAGGTGTCCTTTTTAGATAGTCTTGACAGGAAATCAAAAGATGGTCAATATCCCCAAAATCAGTTCGAACAGCACAGATAAAAAAATGAAGAACCCCTTCCTTGTTTTTCCATAACAGTACAAGACCTTTTGGAGACATAAAAAAACGCTGTGGAAGTTCCTCCATGTCGGTAGGTTCAATTACTTCATCAGAAAAGGGCATATTGACCGATTTCAAATGTATGATCAACGCCGCACTAGCAGCCTGACAAGATGCCAATTTCTTGATATTTGTCAAAGTAAACAGGTCAGGGATAAAATCACAATTTGTCAATACACTGGTGGCATTATGTGACACTTCAACAAGATGGGAGAATAGCTGATATGTCTTGTCTGCTGGAATATAGACTTCAATACCATCGGGTGAACACGTAATGACCGCATTCAATTTACTTAATAAATCCCGTCCCAATAAGGACATCGGTGTTGTAGCACTAACAACAAATGAATGTTGCAGTTTGATGTCATCCAAATCAACAGGCAGTGGAACGGACAGGGGCTCTCGTTGTGGGACTCCAGAGATACCGACAGATTGAACAGAGAGGTTACTCAAAGGGCAACTTAAGTCCTTTTTCCTTAAACATGATGTAGTTGCCCCGGTGTCAACTAGAAACTTAATAGGTTTACCAGAAACTTGCATACTTAATTGAGGTGTCTCCGCTGGTTCATCGGAAACATGGAATTGTGGAGTATTTACAATTATGGTAGAGTAATCAAGTCTGTTCATGTCCCACAACTGTCGGTTATATCATTGCTTCCACAATAAGGAAGAAGCCGCCCCTCTGTCCGGAGGACCCTGGGTTGTGGAATGACTTCCAGATATCATCCTTTGTGTATTGGTCTGTGGAGAGAAACCAGAGGTCATATGAGGAGGATAATAGGGAGGCATTTGATTTATAGGCCCATATTGTGAACCTTGGGCCCGTTTTAAGGGACACTGTTTTACCCAATGTCCAACTTCATAACAGTACAGACAACGATCATTTATGTCCATCATTCTTCCTCGTCCCCGTCCTCTCCTCCCTGGGGGAATATATTCACCCCTCGGGTTGACCTGAAAAGTATCCGGTGGATACGGAGAGGGTTCAAATGGCCCTTGCTCTCTGTACCGTCTAACATTTCCTCGGCCTCTGGTCAGTTGTACATGCTGGAATGCATGAACGGATTCTTTTGCGTCGGCACCTAGTTGGACTGCTTGTGTCTTATTTTTGGATGCTGCAAAGAGGCCTATGGCATCAAGTTCTCTAACTTTCTTCAAAAGTCTATTAGGATCATAGGTATAAATATCGGGTGCAGTCACTCTAAGGGTGTACGAAGCATTTTGATCCAATCCGTTTAAAAACATAGAGGCAAAGAAGGGATCCTCTTCTTCCTTAATCTGTAATTTGGCTTGCTCTTTCCAGCATTGTAAAAATCTAGAAGCATATTCAGCTATAGGTTCATTCTGTTTCCGTTTACAATTTAAGACCTGGGTAATATCCCGGTCCTGTGCGGCATTTTTCTCAAGGAATTTAGTAAGTTCAGAAATATGCTCAGTTTTATGGTCTCTGCTTAACCAGGGATACTTTCCCTCAATGGTCTCCTCCCCTTCTACTGGCCCATCATATTGGTACCGTAAGGTATCACATTCCGCAATTAGAGTATCTATTTTGATGTGAGGCATTAGTGTGGCAAGAATGTATCTAACATCTCGTCCGGACAGAGATGTATGCATTAATGCCGTGGTCCACCAATTCATAAAGGCTGTAGGATTATTCAGCGGTGACGGAGCATCTCTAGTAATCCGAGAGATATCAGTGAGAGTCAATGGTTTATCCATGACACGATTATCGACAGTGATGAGTGGTGTCATCAGGTTTACTTCCTCTCTGGCAGAGGATAGGGTTCCCAGCTCATTACTCTTTATGTCACTCAACCGGTGCTCAAGGAATTTACACACGGCCTGTGTCTCAGCATCAGAGATTTTTGAGGTAAAAGCAGTAAACTGCCTGCTACCAATGGGCTTTGTTAAATCAAGTTGAGTCTTAGAATCTGTCTCATATCGGCGTAAAACGGATTTGAAGCAGTCAACTAATGTCTTTGATAAATCATTCAGTGAGATATCATGACCTTTCTTTATTATTTTAAACATGCGTTTAAATTCAGAAGCCATGTATTCTCTGACATACTGGATTTTAGCGCTATGAGCTTTATCTTTGTCCAGCATGAATTTTTTGCTTATACTTTCAAAAGTTTTTTTACAATTTTGGAGGCATTGCTCAATGCACTCGCTCTGAAACTTTCTCATAGCAAGATTCGGCTCCCCTACATCAGCAAACAAGACAGTGGGGCGGATTCGGGGCACTGACCCTGGCTGTTCACTTTCTTCCATTACATGTAGAAAGAGCCAGCTGTCATCATCATCACTGTCATCATTTACATGTGCACTGGGGAGGGTCAAATGTGGAGGCAATGACTCTGGGGAGTTACAAGACAGTGCAACCGGACCGTCACCTTTTTGAAGTTGTAATGGGACAGTCTTCTGTGTCATAGAAAAAACACTCCTTTTCTTTTTCCTTTCTGCTTTACTAATGTTACCAGGAAACTGATTGGCCATGGAGGCCCAAACATGATACACTTCTGTCATGTAATCCATATTCCAGAGAGGATTGGCAATAGCGATATTATCTATCAACAATTCGCGTACAATGTTTAATTTCTTTTTATCAAAACTGCCGTCCTTCGGAAATCGATTATCTGTCCATTCCGCTAAATTTGACAAAAAAGGTTCAACATAGTAAAACCCCAGTTTCATATGCATCCACTCCCTAGCGGACATCAGAGCAACAGGCTTAACTGGAACCGTGTTCGACTGAGGAGCCTCTTTTAACAATTCTTTTATCGCTTTCCTTTCTTTTCTGGGTAAGTCAAGCTCAGATTTATTTTTAATCGTGCCCGGAGGCCCTTTTAATTTGCTGGGTTGTGAACCCATTGTTAGGTAAATGTACAATAATTAGTAAAACTAAGACTACTTGTTAGTATGCAAAGCGTCAAACTGTTTAATTTGTGTGACCATATACAAATCCTTATTTAGGACTTTCAAATGTCGCTCAATGTAAAGAGAAGCTGCTATGGGTCGATATTATTCAATACGTAGATTTTCATATAGCAAATCACCCTACAACTGCCACTGAATAAATCGGGGCCGTCAAGCGGTCAGTCCGTTCAAACAGAGACAGAAGTACCTGTTAATGACTGAATCGGGGCCGTCGTGCGGTCAGTCCGTCAGACTATTAAACAGTAACAACAATAACACAACCGCGTCGTCCAACGACGTCTTCATATAAAAAAACCAGAAGTACCACTCTGCTAATGACTGAACCGGGGCCGTCGAGCGGTCAGTCCGTCAGACACTTAGACAGAAGTACCAATAACACAACCACGTCATCCAAGGACGTCTTCTTATAAAAAACCAGAGGTACCAATTCCATATTTCTCAACATATCATCCAAGGACTTCAATATCTATTCTTGTCTCTCTGGACACCTATATTCACACTATCCATCTACTGCGAGTGGGCCCACCCTAATATTGATTAATATCGACACATCTCAGCAAGCAAATTCAGGGAACTATTAATGTTGTATTAAATTAAATACATTATCCATTCAGACTATCAAAAGTTTAGAAGCCAATTGTAAAAGGGCTACTAGGCATCCCATAGCAGAGGTATCTTTTTAATGCTCAAATCAGGTAAGCAATACAATCACTAGTGGATTGCATAATTAAAGATGCTTACCTTTTTTTGGTGATTAATCCTGTTCGTGACGCCAAATTGTAAGGATGCCTATCCCAGGTTCATACCAGAAAGAATGGAAGGTCCACACGAATGGTCAGTTTGACAAGCTTTACTGGTTGCAGATCTGGGTTACAGCTTCAGCATGCTACAAGTGTAACAAAGAGTGGTCCAAGACCATTCAAGTATATATAGTGGTTCACAATTCTAAACATACTGTTGGTATTTAGCTGACCCTAAGAGAAATCCATGTACGGTCAAAACAAAGGACAACATGTTTCAAAAGCCTTAGATGAACATGTGGAAGGTCCCAAGAAGGAAATATCATGGCAAACATAGTTTGGGGACCTACATGGTGTAAATAATGTGTACAGGGTTCCTTGCTCAGGGATGGTTGGAGGAGGCCCCCCGGCTCCAGCAATCTAACACCAAAGTGTCTGGGGTAGTTGAGTGACACAGCTCCAACACTCTAGAGGCTAGTATGACTAGCTGAAGAAACTCATCCTAACAAAACCTCAACCAAAATGCCACTCTATAGCCACAAATAATGCTCAGAACAGCACCTAACTTCATCGCTTGTTTGTAGCGAAACCTCAGGCCAGTCCATTATGGACTACAGCGGGGTTTCGCAGCTCAAGGAACAACATTTATGATCATTTTTCATGGAAATGCAATCAGACTGAGACACTAAGGCAGAAGAACTACCACGTCTGCAGTGTAAAATGATCAATATGGTGATTATTACTTCAAGAAAATGATAAAAAAATGATCCTAAATGTTCTTCCTTGAGCTGTGAAACCCCGCTGCGGTAATGAACTGGCTGGGAGTCTATATCAGACTCCTCAGACCGCTGTGTATTGCTATCGTGTGGTCGTCACTAAAGTTGGTAAAACTAGAGAAGCAAGCGGTCGGCAACATTCATCTCTCGACGGGGTGTCTAACTCGGTGTTGACGTCACATCCCTCTGAAGAGGACAGGGATGCAGAGGTGCTCACGGCATGGCTGGGAGGACGCCGTCGACGCTTATTGAGTAACTCGATGTAAAACTAGAATAATCTTTTTAGTCTTAATTTAATCTTAATTGAATGTGTGTGGGAGCAGCTTGTAAAAGTGTGATGGTCCGACATGAACCTGAACCAACAAACACTCGCACACAGAAAACAAACGTCCGTCTGCTCGGCTCATAACAGCAGCCTCTCTTCTTACTGCGCTCTAATTAAACACAGCATACCTGCCTGCTGGGGTTAAGTTTATAAAACCTCCTCTTCCTTTATTTCCTCCTTTTTTTCTCACATCTGTTTTCTGTCTGAATCTTACCTTCTTCCTCAAAATCAGAATATGACACTAAGACGTCTTTATATCTTATGGACTTTACGTTAGCCTCCACTCCTCTTCATCACTTCATCCTCAGCTCGTAACGCCTCGTCTTCCTCCCTGTTATCTGTGTGAAAATAACTGACGAATTTGGTGCGTTAATAGTCCAAAAAAGGAGGTTTGAACCCCGTGTGAGTGCGTGTTCGAGTGTTCAACATTGGCGCTGTTTGTCGTTCATTTTTGATAAATTGCTGGATAATTAGAGGTCATTTTATTGTTGTGTATTTGACTTTCTTAACCATGTGTGCTCTGTTTGGGAACACTTTTTATGTGTGTGTGAACAGTGTTACACATTCCAGCGCTGAAGCCGTCCCTGCCCCTCTGGTTTGTTTTTATAATGAAAAACTCATTAGAAACAAATGAACGTAAACACTGTGTCCAATGCATGCAGCTCACGCCACAGGCTCTTTTAGTGTATATGTTTAGAAAGTGTGTGTCTAAGTGTGTGTGTGCGCGCCCTCTGTGGTTTGGGAATGTATGGGAAAAGCTGCATTTTCACAGGGTGTTGTCAAACTATCCTGGTAAAGGTGGAAACAGAAAAGCACAAGAGGTTCTGGTGTATTTTGGTAAGTGTGTGAGAATAAGAAAAAGAGACCGCTACTGGGGAGTCTGGCCTCTCTATTGGTCGATGGTTGTAATGGAAACTTTTACTGGGGAGCTGCTAGCTGAGCTGTCATAAGATCCAGATCTCTGTCTAGTAAGGTTGTGTAAAATTATCCCCAAGGTAGATTTATTGAAGTTTTAAAAATGTGGTTTAAGAAGTCACTCAGGACTCATAGCAGAAGGGGCTGTGAGCTGAGCTGCAGCTTGCTGTACATCAATCTTTTTGCCATGGCTTGGCATCCTTCAGTCACTGATTCCTACATCACTTCTTCATCATGCCCAGAGTTTTTCCTTGAAGAAGAAGTGTCCACGAAATGCTTTTTGGTGGGGCTTTGGGAGCTGCTAGCTGAGCTGCTGCCAACTTTGCTGGGCCCATTTACCTAAAGAAAAAGATCCATATTTCTGACAAGGCAAAGCTTCTTGTTGGGTTTTGTAAAATATCCTCAAAGGTAGATTTATATAGGTTTTAAAACTGTGGTGTAAGGAGTCACTCAGAACTCATAGAGGAAGGGGCTATGAGCTGAGCTGCTGCTTGCTGTAACCCATCTTCTTGCCAGGCTTTCTGTATCCTTCAGTCAAGGAGTCCTGCATCACTTCTGCATCAGTTTCTCCTTGAAGAAAATGTGTCCTCAAAATGCTTTTTTGGTGGGGCTTTGGGAGCTGCTAGCTGAGCTGCTGCAAACTATGGCTAGGCCTGTTTACCTTCCAGATCCAGATATCTGACAAGGCAAAACTTCTTGATAGGTTTTTGTAGATTTATTCAGGTTTTAAAACCGTGATAAAATGAGTCAAGAAGAGGCTGTGAGCTGAGCTGACGATGCATAAAATCACCTTATTTTGCAAGATGCCTGGCATGTTTTAGACAAGGATTCCTCGATCATTTCTTCATCTTTCCAGGAGGTTTTTTTCCTTATAGGGTTTAGGGGCTGCTAGCTGAGCGGCTGCTACTTTAGCTAGGCTTGTTTGACTTAAAACAGATGATTCAGTTGTCTGAAAATGTGAGGCTTCTTGCACAGTAATGTATCCATACGTTTTCTTTTTACAGAGCCAACACAAGAGAAACAACCATTCTCGCACACACTCAGCAAGCGGCAGCTCAGCTCACAGCCCCCCCCCTGCTGTCCTGTATTCTAGTTAGGTAATAAAAAACAGTTCTTCACTTTTCCACTATAGAGATCAAAAATGTTAGTAAAGTGAGTCAACACATTAAAAAGCAGGAGGGGCTGTGAGCTGAGCTGCGGCTTACAACGGGTTATCTTCCTGCCTTAGTTTGCTGTAGTCAAAGATCCCCTTTATGGTTTTTCCTCTATAAGTTTTTTCTCCGAGATTCTACTTCATGGGGCTGTAAGCTGAGCTGCTAACCTTGGCTGGGCTTGTTTATCTAAAAAGTTATATCAGACTTTGAACTTCAGAAAGGTGTAAAAAAGAGTCAAGACTTTGTTTCAGTATCAGCAGTTTTAACTTATCCGCCAGATCTTGCTCTGAATTCCACTCCATCAAAACCACTTTAAGAAACAAGAGCTGCAAGAAACTATATGGAAACATACAGACCTGACATAAGATGGTATTAAAACCAAGTATTGTGATAAATCTGCCCAGTTCAGATGTGGTTTCCTGCCTCAGGGCTAGGCCTGGACGATATAGAAAAAAAGCATATCGATAAAAAATAAATCATATTGATCGATATCGATAATTATCGATATAATTATTATAATTATTTAACATATATTTTAATTGCAGCCCTGGATGTTTTATGCTATTGCTTAATGACCTACTTTTAATAAAGAACACACAAGCACTGAATTCAAATTCAAACCTTTATTCAACCACCTTTTTTATTTTACCACAACTGAAAGTTTTTTAAAAAAGAACTAAAAGAAATCAACTTAAGTGGCCTGAGTGTCATCAGTAAATACTGACAAACATAAAGACTTAAGTGACCAGAAAATCTGATAAATATTTAAATAGTCTTTTGATGAAAATAAACAAAACAAACAAATATATAAATAAACAGAATAGCTTTAGGTGGGAATAGCATACTACCAGTTTTAACTGTGTGGGAAACTGCCCACAGCCTGGTGTCTGAACACTGAAATATTTCTCCCGGGGTCGGGAGATTTATTTTTTTTAATTATCATGTGATTGACTTGATACACAAACTAAGCACGAGAAGCAGGACTTATCCACGCCGGTGTTGTGTCGTAGAATGCACCCCTGCCGAATGCACCCCCTGCTAGTAGCCATGATCCAAATACTCGCGTCTTTGTAAAATATGAGCTCATTTTCTTCCACTTTAAGAAGCGAATGAGTGGACGGGATGCAGGGGTGCATCCTACGGCAAACACCGGAACGTATTTCCTCCGCACCCTTCTCACCTTTTCAACCCCTGACCCGTTTTCATGCCTGAAGCGCTGTGTTTGAGAAACACTTGCGGCCGGGCACTTCATATCGCGGGTCGAGAGTGGCTAGAAGCTGGTCGAAGCTAGGCTTTTCAACGGTAGTTATTAGCAGTATGTCCCTCGCTATGGAGCATGTTACTGCATGGGTGATGTCCTTATGCCGCTCGGACGCTTTGTCGTATTTTGGCAAGAAACGAAGTCCAGTTTGGTCTGCTTCACATGCTTTGTGCTGGTGCTGGCAGCGGTTCCAGAGGATTCCTCCTCCGACGACGTGGAGCCGCGGCGCGGCCGACACAGCTCGTACTCCTGCGGCTGCGATCGGTTTAGATGGTAGAACAAGTTGGTTGTGTTACCAGACTTGGTTTTTACTAATTCTCTGCAAATTTTGCAAACGACCGCTGTTCGCTTTTTGTCAGACTTCTAAAAACCAAAACATTGCCATGCTGGTGAACTACTGAAACCTTTTTTCGGGACAATGTCCTCCGCTTCTCCTTACTGTATCATTTTTTCTAATACACGTGCTGTCTGTTGTGGTTTGATAGGGGCTGGGCTTGGTGCCGTAGCGTACCTGGGTCTGCGTTTGTGATTGGTTGGGAGGAAGCAATGACTGTAGTAAAAGCTACATGATAGGCTATGATGAAAAAGAAAGGGAAACTGTGTTTTTCTATCGAACTTTTTATCGACCCGTTTTTTTTCTATCGCACCACACGTCTATCGATCGATATATATTGTTATCGAATTATCGTCCAGCACTACTCAGGGCTTTCAGGGTTTAGGGAGGAATCACAGCAGGATTGAATTTAAAAATATTAACCTTTCAAACCGGTTGAAAGTGTCGGCATTAGGCCCAGGAGAACCCGGCAGAGAGCAGGAGCTAATATATGAAAGATCTCAATTTATGTTTGAGTTGGCTCCCTGTGCAAAGTGCCCCACCGTGCTCATATAAAACCCTCCAACCGTAAAAATCAGACCTGTGTTTCCATGATATGCATTCCTGTGATTTCTACAGCAGCAGAACAAGAATGTATGAATGAATGAAGGAACGATGGAGCAGGAAAGAGGAGGAGGAAGAAGTCTGCTCTCCATTTCACACTCTGTAATCAGGAATTTGTTCCTTTAAATGCCTCTGAGCGCCTTTGAACAGCTTCTGTGGAAAGTTGAATTCACCGAAGTTTGATATCTGATGAGGAGACGCCTTAATCTGCCGGGAGACAGAGCTGGTGAATAAATTTGATTTGCACATCAATATCGATTTCAGCCTGTTTCACAACCAGCTAGAAACTCCTTACAGGAGCTTTAAAAAACAAACACATATTCACCACAATTTAAACCACCACATTCGACCCGCTTTTCTCCTCCTGTCAGAAACTCGGTCAGCTGTTCATCTGTGTTGTTTCTGTCTTAATCTCACCCCTCATGTTTTTCTTCGACTGTTGTTGTGATTTACGACCGTACTCAAACCTCACACCACAACGACCGCCGGCACGCTCATTTCAGCGTTTCAGCTCTCTGCAGCCTGTGAAAAAAACACGCTCAGTAACATCCCAGCGATGCTTCAACAACACGAGCTTCACCACAGTGTGAGCAGCAGTCCCTGAAACGCTCACACATGCACACACAAACACTCTTTTATAGGGGAGTGGGACGGGGTCCTGTGGGCTGTTTGGTTCAGGCTGTTTTGGAGGCTTTGTTGCCAGGGTGATAGAGACAGTTTACCAAAAATGTGTTCTAGATGCCTTTGATCAGAGCCATATCCATAACAACAGCCTGTTCTTCATATTAACGTTCTGCTGTTGAAAAATAACAGACTGGTTCAATGGAATGGTTCAGCGTGCCTTTGATCAGAGCCGTATCCATAGCAACAGGTGTTCATCATATTAATGTTCTGCTGTTGAAAATAACGGACTAGTTCGATGAAATGGTTCTACGTGCCTTTGATCAAAGCCATATCTATAGCAACAGCCTGTTCTTCCAATCAATATTCTGCTGTTGAAAAATAACAGACTGGTTTAATGAAATGGTTCTACAAGTCTTTGATCAGAGCCGTATCCATAGCAACAGTCTGTTCTTCATATTAACGTTCTGCTGTTGAAAAATAACAGACTAGTTTAATGGAATGGTTCTACATGCCTTTGATCAGAGCCGTATCCATAGCAACAGTCGTTCTGCTGTTGAAAAATAACACTGTTTCAATGGAATGGTTCTACGTGCCTTTGATCAGAGCTGTATCCATAGCAACAGTCTGTTCTTCATATTAACGTTCTGCTGTTGAAAAATAACAGACTGTTTCAATGGAATGTCCAGAGACCAATCAGAGTTGAGCATTAACCCAGCTGTGTAATGATGTTTTTTTGTTTGTCTGCAGATCGAGGATGGAGGGAAGGCGGCGCTGTGCAAGAAGCTCAAAGTGGGTGATGAGCTCATTAACATAAATGGATCCGCCCTCTACGGCAGCAGGCAGGAGGCGCTCATCCTCATCAAGGGGTCGTACAGGATCCTGAAGTTGGTGGTCAGGAGGTAGGAATCATGTTCGCTCATAAATTAAAAAAGATTTATTCACTGTATTCCCTCATCAAACGGACGCATGTTCGCTGCCAGTTGTTTCCTCCTCTTGAGTTTTTCTGCTTTGACTCACCAAAGGGAGTCAAAGGTGAGGGAGGAGACGAAAAAAGGAGTCGACTCGTGTTTTTCCTGGTCCATTAGAAATGTGCTAACCTGACATGCAAACACACACACCAAGGCCCCCTGCTCAACAGGAAGTGACCTTTGACCCTCAGGGTGTTAGAAGGAAAGCTGATAAGAACAGGGAGGAGTGAATGTCTGGGAATGTGGGTTGGTAATCATGTGGAATGGCACTGGGAGGGACGCAAACAACAAGAGGACAACAAGAGTTTCAATAATGTATCAATAAAAAGAAACACCTCAAACTTAACCCCCCGCTGCATGAAATACTTGATTCTGATTGGTCGAAATCCAAAAACAGGAGTAAATCTCAAAAGAAAAGCAAGATGCCTGGCATGTTTCACCTTGCCTACAAGAAGATTATGGAAACCTAGAGATGGTTTTAAGTGTGTCTTATATTCCAAATGTTACGGTAAGTGAGTCCTGTGCTCCAAATTTTACGGTAGTTTATCGTAATGGTGTTCCATCTAAAAAGATTTGGATTATCTCCATTTTTATTCACAACTTATTTACATATTGACAGTATTTAAATCCATGAACTCTGAACTCCAACAGTCAGGGGTGTCATTGCCCCCCAGTGGACACAGGTGAAACTGCAGCACTTGCTCTGAAAGTCAAGTTTTTACCTTTTTCACCTTTTTAACCTTGTGTTTCGTCATTTCTCTGCTGCCTTTGAGTCTATATGTTCCCGACTCTTTAACTGGACTCAGACTAAACTCCGGTATGGAATAAGTGAACGGTTCGAGAACAATCTGACTCTGTCTCCTCGGACCGTTTCAGACAGCTGTTTGGCAGCAGCTCGGCCTGTTCTGGCTTTGAAACCAGATCAGCCGTCCCAGCAGTCAGAGAGTTTTCCTGCTCCTGTTTCTGTTTCAGGAGATGGGACCCCTGTCTAATTCAGTTAGACCCACACATAGACACAGAGGACAGTTACACACTCCCTTTCACACTCACAGACAGACAGCGGGACACATAAACAGACATGTATGTGTTCAGGAATGCTCTGCATTATGAGCATGCCACCCAGTCGAGTCCACTGTGTGTGTCAGTGTCTGGTATGTGCTGCATGTCTGAGTCGGAGGGGTTTTCCCAACTCTGTGAGAGTGTGAGTGGGTCTGTGTGACCCGGTGGGATTTGAATGGATGAGAGTGCCAAGTCAGCAAAGTGAACATTATGTAGCAAGCAGCTTTTCATCATTTATTAACGATCAAGAAATCAAAGTTAAACTGATTTCTTAAGAGTTTGGTGAACATATTTTTTAATGAACAAAATGATGGAAATGATACGAGTCAGGAGGTCGTAGCAGGTGTTGATTGGGACTTTACTGAAACTTAAAGGGATATTCCGGTGTAAAATTAATCTAGGGTCAAACACACTTTAACACCGAGTTGGACACCCCCCTTGAGAGATGAATGTTGTCGATCGCTTACTTCTCCAGTTATACCAACTTTAGTAACGACCGCACAATAGCAATACACAGCAGTCTGAGGAGCCATAAACAAATCTCAACCAAAACGCCACTCTATAGCCACAAATAATGCTCAGAACAGCACCTAACTTCATTAACAGGACATATAGGGTCACAGCCATAGTACTAGACACCAAACATCTTTCTAACTTTGACTAATTTTTTTAGCAAAGAGATTAAACACAACTCACCTACTCTCTTCCAGCAGCCGCTTGTTTGTAGCGAGACCTCAGGCCAGTCCATTACCACAGCGGAGTTTCGCAGCTCAAGGAAGAACATTTTTGACTGTTACTTTATCATTTCCTTGAAGTAAAAATCATCATATCATTTTGTTTTGCAGACATGGTAGTTCTTCTGCCTTAGCGTCTCGGTCTGATTGCATTTCCATAAAGAAATGATCATAAATGTTCTTCCTTGAGCTGCGGCACCCCGCTGAAGTCCGAAATGGACTGGTCCAAGGTCTCACTACAAACAAGCGGCTGCTGGAAGAGAGTAGGTGAGTTGTGTTTAGTCTCTTTGCTAAAAAAGTTAGTCAAAGTTAAAAAGATGTTTGGTGTCTAGTACTATGGCTTGGACCCTATATGTCCTGTTGATGAAGTTAGGTGCTGTTCTGAGCATTATTTGTGGCTATAGAGTGGCGTTTTGGTTGAATGTGTGTTTTTATGTGGTTAATTCCCTCTTAATGTCGACATAAATCTGTCATTTATACATTTAAAAACATCTTAACCCACTCATGAATTAAACTCACTTTGATTGACACCTTTCAGATGCTAATAGCCGGTCTCAGCTTCAGTATTTGGGTGGGTCCCCGCTGCACTTTGACCCAGACTGTGTGCCAGCCGGGTTTCCCCTCATTAGCGCAGAAACAAGGAACCCTCTGGAAGGTTCTGTGGCGTCTGCTGCCAGACTTTACACATACACACAGCTCGTTTAGGGGTGATGAAACGCTCACGCTCGCCACACTTGGCTCTCGGTGTTTAGATTTAACTGTGGAAAAAGCTGTCGGTCAAAAGCCAGATGTCGTTACCACCTCGATTCAAAAACACGCGATTAAGAGCGTGAAAACTTTGTGACGTAATTTTGGTTTTAAATACATTTTAAGTCGCCTTATTGCTGTGGCACGTGTAAAGCTTCTTTGACCAACAGATGAACGAAAAAGAGAGACAATACAACAATAATAAAAAGTCGCAGTGGAAGCAGCTGTGCACCCCCTAGAGGTAAAGGAGGGTATAACTGCCACAAATCGGCACTGGTGCCAACTACAGGCATGGGGCGGCAAAGTCCAGTTTATTTTTACGCATTATTCCAAATAATGTGATATACGTTTGTGTAAATTTTGGCCACTTGGGAGCGGTAAAACCAAGCCGGAAAAAAAATAAATAAAAATTATTCGAAATTATGTTAGTATAAAGTTTTTGATGACGGCGGTGCAAGGAAACGAATAGAGAGCGTGTTGCAATTAGCTAGAACGTAACACAACACGGATAAAGAAACAAAATCAACACTGCCACCTAGTGGTCAGGAATTTAGTCACAACCTTTACCACAGATTCTCGGATGTTGACGAACTTTTGGTTCCAATCTGAATTTCGCCCTTGTGAAGGTTTTCTTGGGGTGTCCCGATACGACTTTTTTACTTCCGATACAATACCAATATTGTACCCTTTAGTATTGACCGATACCGATATTGATCCGATTTTGGCACAAACTTGTCTTTTTCGGATTTTAAAGAAAAATACTGCCCCAGGACATCACTCCTACTTCTTGCTACTTTGTTAGTATCTTAGTTCACACTGTTGTTGCGATTTCGTGGGATCTTCAAGCTGGAGTGTCGGAGTGGAGTGCTTGTATCGGAGTGCTGATATTGAAGACTTTCGATGCATAATCCGATATTTGTCTTTTGGCCGATATCCGATATCAATATCGTAATGGGACAGCCTGAGTTTAAACTGTGCTATTCTCACAGTTAGTTTCTTGAAATCCAAGGCATGGAACATCAGCACCAAAGGTTCCCCCTCGTACATTTCCTGACTTTCGTAGCTCCGTTTAACGTGAAACACCAGGCGCTTGTCTAAATCCTTCGCCAATCATCGTTGGAATTATATGACTAAACTCCTGTCTCATTATTCCCTGTACTTACTTCTGGTTCCCTCTTCACCCGATTATCCACGATGGCTGCCTGCCAAACAGTTTCTGCCAAGCTTCTGGGTATGTTTTTCATACGTGTTATTACATCTGTGTGGACAAGCATTTCACTAAGTGTCTGTAATTTGTGTAAGTGCCTCCTCTGTTATTCTAAGCTCAATTAAAAGTCACTAAATCGAACTTGAGAGGGGCAGCAGCTACTATTTCTGTTACCCAGCGCGCCGGTCTCGGACTCTCCGGGAAACGACACCAGGGTTCCCCCTGTACAGTACTCCACTTTACAGCAGGAGACCTTGAGAATAAAAGGTCTTCTTTACCGAGGGAACCAGCTTGGAAAATGTTCATATTCAAGTTAATTATATGATGTAAACGCAGAGGAAGGAAATGAGGAGCTGGCGAGGAGAGTTGGTGAAAATGGTGCTTTTGTGTAGATCTTATGCTAAAGTTTGGCAGTGAAAGTTTGAAAATGGAGGCATGTAGGGGATTAAAAAAGAGAGTATTGTTTCTGACAGGTTTCTGCGACATTAATGAAGAGTTGTGTAAGACAGGAAATGAAAAAACATTTGAGTCTCATGTTTTTTGACTCCTCCAAGGATGGAGTTTAACTCTCTGATCCTTGTCCAAACATTTCTGCTTCTCCTTCAGTTTCTGTATCATCCATTGTTCGGTCTTTTCCCCTCGGTGTTTCACAGCATTGTCTGAATAAAATACATTCGATTGAGACTCTCTGTATTGTCCGGTGCTGCTGAAAGCAGAGCTGGCCCTTCAGGCTAAATTTGTCCAACCACAGGAATTTACTGGGCAGCCCAGCGGTCGAGTAAAAGAAAGAGACAGCAGTGTGTTTGGATCTGTTCGACTTTAAATTCAGGAGAGATGCTTTATGGGCTTTTTAACAGGCAGAGTGATACTAAAAAGAGACCACAATGCCATAAAGTTGTGTTTTATTTTCCCCCTAATCAAGACATCTACTGTCTTAAAGATTGGACCCTGTACCCTGACACAAAAACAGAAGCAAAAACAGCAACAAGCTTTTTGTTTTTGTTACCAGAAACGGCTATTTTAGGTGGTAGTTTGACTTTAAATAGCAGCAAGAGGACAGTATTAGTCTGAAAACCTCAGCTGAAATATGAAAACTGAAAACTTACATGTGTGTTTACCCTCTCCTCAACTCTATACATGCAAGATGAGACAACTTACTGAAAATAGAGCTTTTCCCCCTTTTTTAATTCATGTACATTTCCCTAAAATGTCAGGTTTTTCAGTGTAAACACAGTGGAGTTCTTCTGATGTGTATGGTGGGTTAGAAAGGAGGTCTAGAGGTGCAAAACGGCCACCTGTAGGTCTGGAGGGAAAAAAAATATGAGTAAATTTTGGCTCACAGTGCTAAAAATGACTAAAAACCATCAAAAGATAGCAACAACAAAAGTTAAAAACACTTTTGTTTTTTTATAATAATAATATATTAAAATTTATTATATTAATATATATATATTTTATACATACATACTTTTTTATAACAAAAATGATTTTAATATTTTACTTTTTTTGGACAAAAGTTTGAGCAAAATAAACAAAAACATGACATCATTTTTGCTAAAAGTTTCTGAAAAAGTTTCAAATTTATGAAAGTTTGAGAAGATTTCATTTGCAAGTTTCCCAAAATTTCCCAAAATAACTGCGGTTTTCTCGAGGATTATCAAATTTATGACTATATATGCTGCAAAAAAAAAAGAACTCACTAAAAGTTCCATCAATTAAAAAAACACAGGAAAAATTTTAATCTGATCGTTAATCTCATCAGAGTTGTTTCACTTTTCCCAAAATCTTTCAGGTTTATAATCGTTGTTGCAAAATAACCTTACCAACACAGCATCACCTCCTTTAGGACTTGAGTGAAATATCCATTTTCAGATTATATTCTCAGATTCCACAAATTTTGGACAAATTTACTCTCGTTTTTTTTTTTTTTTTTTTTTTTTTTTCCACAAAAATATTCATATTTTTTTTCAAGTTTCTGAAAAAGGTTTCCCAAAAATTCTTGAAAATTTCCAGAACTTTTTTAATGTTTTAAAGTTAAATTGTTATAATAGTCTTAACTGACTAACTTTGGATGCCTACATCAAAAACACTGGATCTACATACTTGCAGTGGCATTGGTACTTTCGTTTTTATCGTCTGTTTTGCTGAGAACTCAGTGACCTTTTTTTCTAACCTTTGTTATCACACAATGAACATCTCTTAAAACCTTTTACGGCGTTTGAAGCGACTCATGAGTTTTCCAGCATATTTCTGGACAGGAAGGAATGTCAGGGATGTTTTGTTGGCTTGACCTGGAAATGTTTCCTCTATAGTACTTCCTGTTTTCACCGACCCTTTGTTAGATCTAACTGTACACACTGTGTGTGTTGTGTTTTAGTGTGTGTTGTGTTTCTCTCGGCGGGCAGCCGTGAAAGAGGCAGGAGGACATTCTTCAACTTTGGCATCATTTCCTGTTCTTCCCAAAGTTCCCCCCTCCGCTTCCCGTCCACCTTGGACCTTAATGTGCCGGTGAAATTGGTGTTTGTGTGAAACGAGGAGACGGCTTTAATGGGAACTGGACGAAGACCAAACAGTTTATTTACTGATAATGATGGGACAGGAAATGGTGCTTTAGATACAGGTGTGGTTACAGGAGTTGAAACTGTGAGGAGAGTTCATTTCTGGAGATATAGAATGTAAACTTGGCTAAGAGAAAATTCCAAAACGAGAATTTGCCAAAAAATTCCAAAAATTGAAAAAGAATTCCTTCATTTATTTTTTTTTAAAGAGTCCAGCTAAAATTTCTGAAAATTTGAAAAATCACTTTAAAACATAAAAGAATGTTTCCATCAATATGCAGAGGTAAGTTTTTGACAGTTCCATAAAATTCAGTAAAAAGTTTTGAAATTTTTAAAAATGAGTATTTCCTAAAAAATTCCAAAAATAGAAAAAAAATCCATGTTTTTTTCTGTTTAATAGTCCAGCTAAAATTTCTGAAAGTTCTTAAAAGCACTTAAAAACATGTCTGAATGTTTCCATCAATATTCAGAGAAAAAATGTTGACAGTTCCTTAAAATTCCAGTAAAAGTTCTGAAAATTCCAAAATGAGTATTTCCAAAAAATAATTCCAATGATAGATAAAATCCATGTTTTTTGTTAAGGTGTCCAGCTAAAATTTTTGAAAATTCTTAAAATCACTTTAAAAACATGTCTGAATGTTTCCATCAATATTCAGAGGTATATTCAATATTCAGGTTAAAGTAAAAAAAAAAATCTTGAAAAGTTGAATCAAAACTTTTACATTTTTAAAATTATTTCCTGTGTAAAACAATCTAGGTTGAAAGGGTGTCAAAGTTTTCTCTTGGTCTGGTTCAGGTCTGAAATTTAGCAAAAACAGGTGTCTGTAACAAAGTAGAACTCAGAGTTTTTGACATTTTTTACTAAATATATTTAACCTAAACAAATCAGATGAGTTTTATTTCAAACTAATGGAGTCTTATCTCTTTGAACGATGTTTCCATGTCATTAAAAAGTTTCAGCTGTTTGTAAAAAGTAAGGTGAAAAGATTAAATCCCAGAAAACAACAACAAACAGCTGAAATCTGTCAGTAGCAAATCAAAACAAACATTTTCTAAATATTTGGGGTTGAATAGAATCAAAGCGGCGGATTTCAAACAGACCGGTCTGAAGCGAGAGTCGTGGCAGAGTGGAAACGTTTACAGCAGGAGGAGCAAACAAAGGAAATTAAAAGGATAATTAGAAGAGAGGCTGAATCATGTTTGATGTTTCTGACGGGATAAAGAGGACTTTATGATGAAGCGCTTTCATCCGAACTCGCTCTGTGATGTCTGCTGCTAAAACGAGTAAACATTTATTTTTCTAAAGGCTGGATGAAAGAGAGAGAGGAGGAGATGAAAAGAAGGAGGCAGAGAAAGACAAAAGAGTCAGAGGGTGACTTCTTATGAACTTTTTTTGATGTGTTTTATGGAGTAGGAAATTATCAGGAACTTTCTTTCCCCCTAGAGTCAAACTTTTCTTTAGTTTCTTTAGATTTTTAATACTTATTCCATGATTGGGGTCGGGGTTTAAAAACCATTCAAAGGCTTGAAAAAAGACAAAAAAATGTCTTAAAATTAAACCCTGAATAAACTTTGAGTACAGAACTTAAAGGGATATTCTGGGGTAAAATTAATTTACGGTCAAACACACCATAACACCAAGTTAGACACCCCTGTCAAGAGATGTTGCAGATCGCTTGCTTCTCTAGTTATACCAACTTCAGTAACGACCGCACGATAGCAATACACAGCGATCTGAGGAGCCATAAACAAACCTCAACCAAAATGCCACTCTATAGCCACAAATAATGCTCAGAACAGCACCTAACTTCATCAACAGGACATATAGGGTCCCAGCCATAGTACTAGACACCAAACATCTTTTTAACTTTGACTCATTTCTGTAGCAAAGAGACTAAACACAACTCACCTACTCTCTTCCAGCAGACGCTTGTTTGTAGCGAGACCTCAAGCCAGTCCATTACGGACTACAGCGGGGTTTCGCAGCTCAAGGAAGAACATTTATGACATTTCCTTGAAGAAATAATCATCATATTAATCATTTTTCTCTGCAGACGTGGTAGTTCTTCTGCCTTAGCGTCTCGGTCTGATTGCATTTCCATGAAGTAATGATCATAAATGTTCTTCCTTGAGCTGTGAAACCCCGCTGTAGTCCGTAATGGTCATTACTAAAGTTGGTATAACTAGAGAAGCGAGCGTGTCTAACTCAGTGTTACGGTGTGTTTAACCATTACTTAGATTTACGCTGGAATATCCCTTTAATGGAAAGTTTTTAGGTTGCAAAACTTGTTTCATAATTTGATCACATGACTACAAATTGGTAGAAAGTCCCTTCTGATATCCATAATCAGCCTCCACCTGCCTCCTCCTCTTCTTCCTCGTCTCTGTTTCTGTCCTCAGTTTTGACTCTTGAGCTGCTTCAGCAGTGCTGCTCAATTTCACAGTTTGCTTGTTCTCGCTCAGTTGAAACGTTTGTTTTCATCTGTTTCCTGGAAGAGTTCATCCTCCTCTTCATCGTTTCTCTCTCTCTCTCTGTGCGCACTCGCTGGATTCTTCAGCGCTTCTCTTGTTTTTTCTCGTTAGCCGGCGCTTGTTTTAGACCGCTGCGTGCACGCACACACAAAAACACTCATATGATTGTTTGGAGCTGGACCGCAGCAGACAGATTGATGGGCACACACACACATAAACACGCTCGCACACGCACACACATCCCGTTGTTTAGACTTTTTGTACCACAGGGTCCCCAGAGACCGGGGCAGGACTGAGGTCTGTGGTGCCAAGAGCCATGAAACACAATAGTCTGCCCCCCATCACTCCTTCCCAAAGTGAACAATGGACATTCCTCGCATTCTTCCAGACCTCTTCCTCACACACACACACACACTTATAAACACACACTTGAATAGAGCATCCTGGGTCTGATTAGACCTCTGACTGTAAATGACTTCAGCTATGATGCCGTTCAGGGTGAATTATGGACGCTGTGGACGGAGAAGTATGAAACTCTGCGTTTTTGTGTTAAATTAGAGTTTCATAACTTCTTCTGCTGGAACAGGATGGACAAAGATGGAGGCGGGGTTTCACCCCAGAGCTAATGGAGTGAGTTCACGAGGTTGGCAGTTCATCGAGGTGATAAAAAGAACTGAGATACTCAGTCTACCCAGATGTGGAGGTGATTCACCTGCATTCTTGTTTTTTAATGGCCCTAACTTAATTAGCATGCTAAGCTAAAAGAGAAAGTGACCATATCCAGTTTTTACTGAACTTAATAGTATGATGGAGGGTAACTCACAAGGATGGTGTCTATTAGGACTTTTTATATATTAATCAATCTTCATGGGTGGAGAAAAATCTCATTTTTTACATTTCAGTGTGGCGTAGTGTGCTGTATCTTATGGTATCATGTTGTATCATGCTTTTCAAATCGTATCATATCATACCAATTGTACAGATCAGTCCTACAGTTCGTATCGTATTGTGCCGTCTTGTACTGTATCAATCCTATCGTATCATTAGGGATGTCCCGATCCGATATTGATATCTGATATCAGTCTGATATCAGCAAAAAAACAAATATAGGATTATATCGGCTTGCATCTAAAATCGCCAATATCACCAGTCCGATACAAGCAGTCCATTCCAGACTCCGCTCCGGCACCTCTAGCTAGCAGCGCCCGGATCTAGCATGCAGAGCCCACAAAATCACAACAACAGTCGAAGGTACTAACACAGTACGAAGGAGTAGGAGTGATATCGGCGGTGTGGCAGTATTTTTTGTTAAAGTCCGAAAAAGATGTTGCAGCTGAGTGAAAAACTTGTCATGCACAATTTTGTGCCAATATTGGATCGAATTTGTTATTGACCGATATCAAAGGCGACAATATTGGTATCGTATCGGAAGTAAAAAAAGTTGTATCGGGACACCCCTACATATCTTATCATATGGTATCGTATTGATTGTATCATATCGTACCGTACATATTGTACTGTGGAGTCTTGTATAAATAGTATTGTTTTGTATCAATCCTATCAAATCATATTGTATCATATCGATCGAATCGTATCGATCGAATCGTATTAATCGTATCGTATCAATCATATTGTATTGATGGGGTTGTATCGTATTGTATTGATCATATTGTATCGTTAAGTCTTGTATAAATGGTATTGTTTTGTATCAATCTTATTGTATCGTCTTGATTGTATCGTATTATATATATAGTATTGTATCATATTGATTATATCGTATAGTATCAATCGTATCGTATCAATCATATTTTATTGATTGTGTCGTATCGTATTGTATCGATCGTATCGTATGGTACAGTCTCGTAAAAATTGTAATGTTTTGTGTCAATCTTTTTGCGTCATATGTTATCGTATTGATCGTATCATAGTGATCATATCGTATTATATAAGTTGTATCCTACTGATTGTATCGTATCGTATTGTATTGATCATATCGTATCGTGCAGTCTTGTATAAATTGTTTTGTTTTGTACCAATCTTACTGTATCATATTGAATCGTATTGATGGTATTGATTGTATCGTATCGTATCGTGTGTTTTGTTGGCAGGTTAAAAATTCTGGATATTTCTCGTCTAATCTCTTAAACACACCAAAGACAAACAGATGTAATACAAGCGTAGAGTGGACAAGTGAGGTTACAGAGTTCAGAGGTCTCCCCTCTCTCTCTCTCTCTCTCTCTCTCTCTCTCTCTGTTGTGTGCATCCGCAGTAATATATGTGTGTACATTTCTACGTAGGTGAGTTTGTCCTCTATGCGTGTGGTCCGCTTCGGTTTATCTGTCTCCTCTGGCCTGGATTTTATTAACCGGTCCATTAAACCGCAACTCCATGATACATGACACTGCCCTGACTCCCTTCTTAAACACACTGACACAAAACTACACACACACACACACACTGAGATGGACACAAATTCCTTGAGGCCAACTTGGGCACACACGTGTTAAAAAGATGTGGAACCGGGGCGTTTGGTATCATCACAGTAAATCAGAGGTGTCCAGAAAGAGAGAGAGAGGAGGGGGCGGGGCATAAAGCTCTGAGAAGACAACACAACAGGGCGCAATAAGATAAGACACACTACACTTCAATGCAATCTTGTTTTTATCACTTAAAACTTGATCTGAGCTCCGATCGTTTTTCTAAAAGTCTCACATTCAATCCCTAAACAGACTAACAGACTAAAGAAGGAGCTGTCGAACAGGAGGAATTACCGCCGCCGCACCGATGATTTAAAACAGATTATAAATCCTCCTACAGTTAAACTAACAGAACGAACGTGCTGTTCTCAAGCCCGGGGAGCAATATGTTCACATTTAATTAAAGTTTAAAACACAGCGGGGATTAAAAAACACTTCATCTGTGTTCGCTTTCTGTTTGAGAGCTGCGATCATCTCGGTTATTACTCTGATTTATTATCATAATTAGATTTAATAGTTTGGTTGGACGGGGAAATTATGATCTTTGGGGGTTCGGCAGCTGAGGAAATGTTTTTTGAGAAGTGTAAAGAAGATAAAAAATATTCAAGCTGGAGAAAAACAGAAAGTCATATGAATATTTTATAAGAGTGAAGCTGTCACATGATGAGATCTGAATTAGTCAGGAACATTAAGAGGTCGTCCTCATCGTGGGAAAATCACTGAAATGATGGGAACTGACTTCATCCCTGAAAAAGACGATTGTTTAAAGGTGAAGGATTTGTAGTTTTTATAGATGCCTCACATGGTTGTCGTTGACGTTTATTTGCTGCTAAATGATAAATCAGCTTCGTGATGGTGGGTAACCCCCAATTTCCACCGCATCCAGAACGGCTACGAAAAGAGAGTTTGTTTATTTACATAACGGACACAGGGTCGTAAAATACGGTTATTAAACGGGTACATAAACTCTAAACTCTGTGGCCTGCCTGAACTAACACTACATCCAACCCCCAATTTCCACCACATCTGGAACGGCGACGAAAAGGCAGCACCCGCCGATCATAGCTGATCGTAAACCATTCAAGTTAACGTGTCAATTTCCACCGGCTTCTTTCCGTTCCGCTGCGGATCGCCGGACTCCACAGCTGATCGCAAGAGTTGTAGGGTTTTAGGGTTTAAGGTTTATAGACAGATGCTGATTCTAGAAGTCTAGACGTAGATTTCCTCCTCTGGAAGGACACATTCTACTGCTTTCATGGTTAGCCTACGTAGCTAACGACAACTCTTATCGCGCGTGAATCCACGGGTTCTTGTGAGTTCTTGCGATTCCCGGTGTCCATAACCCCCACATAAAATTCGCTTCACAATCGGATCCAGTAGGAATTGGTGGATGGTGAATGGTGTTCCGGATCCAAGCCGTGGAAATCCCGGGTCTTCTTCATCCTGGTAAAACCACTGAAATGATGGGAACTGACTTCATCCCTGAAAAAGACGATTGTTTAAAAGTGAAGGATTTGTAGTTTTTATAGATGCCTCTCATGGTTGTCGTTGACGTTTATTTGCTGCTAAATGATAAATCAGCTTCGTGATGGTGGTGGGTAAGGCTGGTGGTGTAAGCAGGGAGTTCTCCAACAGCTGGTCCAACTTGATTCAGTTTGGTCCGACAGGTCTACACAAGTCCTGGACTTGGACTTGGGTTTTTTTTCTCCAGCTCCTCCCGGGAGTCTGTCATTGAATCGTTGTGTCTCAGCTTCCAGCAGGAATAAAAGGTACATATAATGTTCTGTAGCAGCATCACTTAGAGTGTTTTTGACAGTTTGATGAAATAAATAGCCACTCCGACTACACACATACACACACACTAACACACACACAAACACACACACTGCAAGGGGACGGAGCGTTAACAAACAGTACATTGTGCTGCAGATGCTTAAAGCGGGTTTCACCCTTCCTGCCATGGACCTCTGGTATGAGCCTAGTCTCACTGTACTGATTACCTGGTATTTAAAACTCTGTGTGTATGTGTATATGTGTGTGTGTGTAAGCATGTGTGTGTATCCACATGTGCATATGCAGTAAACGCATGTCCGCAAAAGCATGTGTGTCATTCAGAAATCCGTAATGGAGGGTGATAAGAGTCGACAAACAGGGGTCTGATTGCATACACACACTCTAACACACACACTTACACACACACACACACACACACACACACACAGAACCATAAAGCAAACAAATAGCTCCTGATTGCAGGGGGACACAAAGGGAAACGGGGGGGAGGAAGAGGTGAGGTTGTTTAGGCTTTCTGACATAGTTAACCCCTCACCCTTTGAAGGGAAGACAGGGAATGTCAGGAATCTGCTCACATGCATGTATATAACTCACACACACACACACACACTCACACACACACACACACTCAGGTCTATATGGAGTCTGCAGGAGATGTAGGTCTTCAGGAAATCCTTTGAAGCCCGCTGAGGGCCTCATGTTATTAAGCGTCTGCTGTTGTGTGGTTGGTTAAACTTCAACACCGCTAATGTGGGACACTCACACCTCAGGGTGTTTGCTCACAGCGGTCCAAGTCTGGTCCAAATATCAGACCGAGCGGGGACTCTGATACAAGCGAAGTGGACTGACGGGGGAGGAGAAAAGTCACATGCAGATTTTATCAGCCGGAGCAAATAGATTTTAAATCCAAAGACTGAAACCACAGAGTTGAAGTGGACGTGTTTTTTTATCTGCTGTGCACAAGTTTGTCCACCTACAGTAAACGTTTAACATCAGACCATGAGCTCATAAATGAAAAATTAAACTCTCAGACCCAGAAGTTCCTCCGTTGAACACCTGCTCTGAATGTCTTTATATCTTCGCTGTTATCAGCTGTTATCAGGACCATTAACTGAGTCCAGACAAGGCCACCTGCTCTTACTACTGGGCCTAAACGGGCATAATGATCCATTGTTATCAACAGTTTAGAGGGAAATGTTGACTTATGTCTGTCGTCATGGAAACTACCGTTATCGTCATTCCACAGGGACTGATGAAACGTTACGAGACTTTTGTCTTTATCGTAGAAAACATTTGAAACGTCCTGCTATCGCAGGTGGAATATCGATGCAGTGTTGTCGTCATGGTAACAGTGGTTGTAAGCCAGACTTCTGTTGTTGTGTAAACAGTTATCGTAAACATCCATGATTCCAAGAGGAATGCTGCTAGACCGTTGTCGTCGTGGTAACAGTTGTAATGTTGCGTTCCAGTTACCTCGGAAGTCGGATGTTGGAGCTGGAAATTACGTTACACCTGAGTTGACGACGTTCCATTAAACAAGTTGGAAAACCAAGATGGATGCCTTCTGTTAGCCATTGTTAGCTGTTGTTAGCGGTTGTCAGTTGTTGTTAGCGGTTGTCGGTTGTTGTTAGCGGTTGTCTGTTGTTGTTAGCAGTTGTCGGTTGTCATTATCCATTTTCAGTCATCGTTAGCCATTGTCAGTTGTCGTTAGCAATTGTCATTTGTTGTTAGCAGTTGTCAGTTGTCATTAGCCATTGTCAGTTGTTGTTAGCAGTGGTCAGTTGACATTAGCCATTGTCACTTGTCGTTAGCAGTTGTCACTTGTCGTTAGCGGTTGTCAGCTGTTGTAAGTTGTCGTTAGCATTACTAGTTGTAAACCTCGCATAACACAGTATTTTACTCTTACAAATCCATCTTGGATTATGATGTTGTTGTGAAGTCGGGGTTGGTGGGGATTGTCCGACTTCCAGAGCTGGAAATCCGACGTCAGAGCTCGGAATTTCCAACTTCGGATTACAACTGTAATGCAGCATTATTCGGACGTAAAGAAATAAAAAACTAAAATAAAAAATAAATAAACATTCATGATTCCAAGAGGAATGTAGCTTGACTGTTGTTGTCATGGTAACAGTTGTAACAGTTTGACATTTGAAAGCAGAATGTTGCTGGACTTTTGTTTCTTAATAGCTTCTCTCATGAGCGTTTAAGTACATTTCATTTAAACGCTTTTTACTTAAAGCTCCTGTGAGTTTTTTTTTTTTTTAGTTTATAAAATGGACTGAAATTCATACAGCTGTATTTTTACGACAGCAAACAAGACCATGACAATTTAATACTGTAACTTTTCAAGAGCCGCAAAGACAACTTTGTCCACAGGGGGCGCCAAAACTGACACAAATGAAAAGTTCCTCATAGGAGCTTTATGTAAATCCACAGATTTGTACTTTTACTTCCTCAAAGTTAATCTTTGTTAAAGCAAAAGTACTTTAATTAAAATACAAAGTGTTCAGGTTTGCATTAAAGTCTGAGACCGGAGCTTTCCGCTGGTAAATCAAAGATAAAACAGCCCCCAAACTCTAAAATCTGAACCCAGATTTAGTTGATATTAAATCACCTCCCTTCAGTGCAATCCCATTTAAAATGTCTGATAAAACTCCTGCCTGAAAGCCGACACAAGCCGAACTTTAACGTCCTGTACGAGTGATCACGGATTGCAGGACAAAGTTTTAGTGACATTCAGAGTCGGATACATTAAAATATGATCTGCATGGTAATAAAATCCATGTTGATGATAAGGAAGGTGGTGAATGTGAAGTATTCACGTGTCCCTCCTGTTAAACCATCGCCTCCCCTCATTGTTTTCGTCCATAATTAGTCCTCGGACTCCTGGATCTCCCGCCGACCTCCCATCATCATCTCTTACACTCCCCCGTCTTTCACCACATTTTGTTTTCCTCGTCTCTCTGCCAAAGTGAAAAAGCCCCCTTGTCTGTCCAGCGGTCTCGCTCTGCTTTCTTTGCTCTTTCCATCTCTTTTTCATGCTCTGCAAACACACATGCATGTTAAACACACACACACATGTATAAGGAGGAAGTACCTCTGCATTTTTCCCCCCCTGTCGAACAATAACACTGTGAAACTCTGGGTATTATTTTAGCAGCCGTCCACCACTTTATCTGCTCTCCACAATACTTCCTCTCCCACTGACTCACACATCCTGCCTGGGAGGGGGCGAGCGAGGCTAGTGGAGAATCAGACGAGAAGAGAGAGAGAGAGAGGGAGAGGGAGAGAAAGAGGGAGGGGGTGGGAGAGAGAGAAATGTAGAGTGAAGGAGGGAGAAAAAGTCGTGTTTGTCTCCCAGTAAGAAGAGTGAGGGAAGGAGAGAGAGAGAGGGGATGTGAGGATCGTCGGGTGGTCAGAACCTGTTGCTCTTCATGTGGACATCATCTCCTCAACGTTTTCCACCAAGTCTCAGATTCTCCGGACTTCATAAAACCTGGTCCTGCTTTAGATCTCAACTGGTTTAAGGTTAGAGAAGAAGAAGAAAGAAGAAAGAAGAGTTTGAAAACTTTTAGGGATTCATCTTGAAGATTTTTCGAGGAAATTCAAGGAGTTTCTTTTACGTGAGCGCATCTGATCTTGGACTCTTGGAATCAGGGATGCTCGGACCTGCTCTGGGATCAGTTTGACAGCTGATGCTTCCGTCTGCGGAGTCTGGTAGGTGTGAAACTTCTGCGTCTTTCCTGAGGGTCAAGTCCAGTTAGAAAAGATGTTTCGTCTAGCTTTGAAGATTCACCTTGTTGAACTTTTGCCACATAGGAATGAAAATCTGAGGCTTTCGCTAAGTCAACAGTGGCCATGCTTTCATCTTCTTCCTGAACTCTTTAAAATCCCTCTGCCTTGTTTCGTTTCGTGAATCGTAAAAGTTCCCGTCCTCGTCTTTGTTTTTAATGCTCAGATCGACTTGTCTGTCTGTTGCACTGTACTGAGTCTGTGTGTGTGACTGAGATTATGCGCGTTGACCTTTGCGGTATCAGTCAGCTGTTGCAGTTTCTGACCATTAAGTGGGACATTCCAGCCGATCCTTTCAGAGAGGCTCTTTCAGAGCTGCAGGACGGAGAATTTATAATTTCTCGGCCTTTGACAGCCGTCAGGACTCTGCCGCTCTTCTTCTTCTGTTTCTTGTTTTCCCCCTTTATCCCCCTCTCTCTCTTTTTCTATTTTTACAAACATCAATAACTCAGGTTGGTTGCGATTGCTGCAAAGGTGGTCAATTTTCTCGTTATCTCTCATCCGGGACGTGCCGTCTTGTCTCATATGCCAACAAATTTTTTCAGGAACCTTGATTCATGTGAGTCCTGTTTGCGTGTTGCTCCACATTGAGCCAGAAAACTGGGTTACCGTGTCAGAAACAGGAAAGGAGGGGATAAAGATGTTATCAGCTCGTACAGTTAAGCCGCATTTCAAGCAAAAGTTCCACATTGTTGAGTTCAAAGAACTTTCCTTCAAGGAACCAAGTGGTTTTCGTGGCCCTTGCTGTTGTCAGCACTTCCACCATGGCCTTGAGTTTGATGTAGATTACATAGATCATGATCCAGAACCGATCCAGGATGGTTATTCAGTACATGAAACCACGGCTTCCAAGGCATCCACGGCAAAGGTCACCGGACCTTCAGAAAGCACCTCCAGAACGGGGACTTTTCAAGAGATCGATCATTTACCGCAGAGCTAAATTTAGACCTCTAAATGCGCGTTATTGAGTTCCTTCCTCTTTAATGCGGTTCAGTTTCAGTTTCCCAGATCGAAGCTCAACATGAGAGCTGAAAAATACCCTAAAACCCACCAGATTCATCCCATTTTTGAGTAGGATATCTTGTTCTTCCAGATTCCCCTGACTCCTGATATCATGACTTTGCGCCCCCTTGTCAGGCAATCCTCAGTTTTGTGGGATTCATGATTGCTGACCCCGGTTAAACACTCTTTGCTTATTTGGTCTCGCAGTACTTTCCCTCTTTCCCCTGCGTGATCAGCTTTCCTTATCACATTCTCGTTTCCAAACTGTGTGTTCGCCATCGCTCTTTTGTTCCTGTCGTACTCCTTGGCGTTGGCGTCACATCGTTTATTTTCTATTTCGCGGTCATCAATCTCTCAGAGCTAAACTCGGAGGAAAGAGGAGGTGGTGGCGGCGAGAGGGGGGGTCCGCTCATGTTTGTGGTGGGCTTCCGTAATGGTATTTCGTCTGGTGGAGTTTGGATAGTTCCCACACATAATCACGCTCGCACACACATACAGGGACACACACACACATAAACTTTCTCAGGGGATAATTTAAGGACATTGTCAGCGAAGTTGAACAATCAGTGGGCTCAGATAGAAATCCCTCTTAAGGAGCCAGGACCAGGAAACAAGGGTGTTTATTTTGGAAATGGTTCCGCAGCTCCTGCTTTATCATAAACAATAATACTCAGAAACGGTCCTTTCCTTTCCCGAGTCGTGCCAGGATCTGCATTCCTCTCCTAAAACTGTACCTCCATCCAAAGTTCCCCCCGAAATACCCCAAATAGTCTCCTCTTACAGTTCTAGACTTCCAAAGTGAGGCAATCGACCAAAAAGACCAGAGGATCAGACTGTTCCACTAGACCTGATCACCTTGGCCTGTTACCATCGACACAAACAAGTCCGATCTGAGAAAATTTAGAGGATTCTATCATGTGTTGGTGAGTTTTGTCGAGTAGATCATCAGGTAGACATGTCTTGACAAGTCTCAAGTCAATCGAGACTGGTTCAACTCACAGAAGTCTAGAAAAGTCTAATGTCAGTCAGGACAAGTCCAAGCTAAAACTGAGACTTCTTAAATATCCGATCAAAAACAAGATGCCAAAATCGACTTTAAACTCAGGGAAATATCGAGTCCACGAAAACCTGCCTGGGTAAGAGGACTCTTTTACGTCCTGAATCCATCAACACAAGTTGGACTAAAGTTTGAGTGTTGAACGGTGTCATTTCAGTTCAGACAAACCAAGTCGGTAAAACTTGGGGCAAGAGTGTCAAACCTGACGAGTCAAAGTTGAGTAAAAATCTTGTAAATATCATCCGAGTCAAAGAAAACCTAAAATTGTGCTTGGTCAAAAAAACCTGTCTTTAACATCTAAAACTTGTCGAGTTACGTCAAAGTGTCTCTAAGCCGAGTCATCCAAGTGTCCAAGTTAAGACCAGTTAAAGATCTAATTAAAAGAGGCAACTCCTAGTCAAGCTAAAATCTAAAAACACCAAGTTGGTCAAGAAATTTTTGTTATATTAGACTTTTAAGGCTCATCAACTTAAGGAAGTTTGACTTGAGACAGTCTCATAAGGTCTAATGTTGGTCAAGACAAGTCCAAGTCGTGATTTGGACTAGCAAAGTCAGCGATCAAAATTAACAAGTGAAAAAACAAAAAATTCTTCAAACCTGTCAAGTCCAATTCGTGAAGACAAGTCAGAGTCTAATTAGACAAGTTTAAAGTTTCAGGGTTGTCAAGTGCCAAGTCAGTCCAAGTTAAGACAAGCCAAGTGTCTAAGTGAGATCCAAATTTTAGTTAACACGCTAGTCGGTCAAGAAAAAGTCCAATCAGGTCTTTTTAAAGTCTTTGATTTACAGTCAACATAATCCAAATCCAAACGGGTCTCAGGTCAGTGGAGCCATGTCAAAGCTGAGTAGTTTTAGAGTTCTATTAGGCACTCGTCATAGATAATTCTGAGTATTTCCAAGTCTCGAGTTAGGATAAGTCCAAGTCCACAGAGTCTTTAGAGACAAGCTGACGTCAGAGGTGATTTTAGCTACCTCTCAAGTGAGTCAAATCGAGTCATTCTTGAGGTGTCTAGTCAAGTTAGAAAAGCCTCGGTCGAGTCACATGGAAGTCAAGTCGTGTTTAGGTTAGAGATGTCAAATCTTACATCAGATGAACAAAGTGAAAAAAAATACTCGTCATAAAATCAGGTTTATAAAGTGGTCCAAGACAAGTCTCGAGTCAGTCCAAGTGGAGTTTGAGGAGTGTCAAATCAGCAGCTTTTGTGGTGTGTTACTTATATATCCAACAGCTATACTCCCTGTGGTGAGATAATCTGAAAGATATCCACATAATGGTCCTTTCAGACTCGGAGAACAGCTCTTTTCTACCTGACTGTGCTTTTTTTTTCTCCTTCGTATCCTTGTTTCTGGCTGTTTTAGACGCTCTTTTGTTTCCTTTGCTGCCTCACACACACACACACACACACACACACACACACTGTCTGCGGGGGGTTGAATTGACTCTGGCCTGCATATGGGATCGGAAGTCTGTATAAGGGAATTAGCGAATATCATGGGATACGCAGGAATGTCTGGCCTGGGATCAGACTGGAGAACATATTGTACATGTTAGATGAGTTTTTAATGGCAGACCAGCAGAAGGGCAAACAAGTTTAGAGGAAGTTGTTTCCACAGGATTTGGGTTGGCAAGGTATCACTGACTGGGCCTGAGTTTTATGGCGGCGCTGATGGTCCAGGACACTTTAAAATGAGGCTGCAAATACGGCTGTCAGCTCCGTCACCTCTCCTCGGTAAATCACCGCGTGTGGAAGAAATGGAGATGTAGCTTCGCATCGGGGTTAAAGGATGAGGTAGTTAAACGTGATGAGGTAGCAAAATGGAAAAAACTGGCCGGCTGTAAAAGAAGCTGACAGGGGAAAGGATGAAAACCTTTATTTATGTATGTTACACTTTCACCTCCATAGACTGGAAACCGCAGAGTATACTTATAACAGAGCAGAGCCTCAGGGTTTACCTACAGATACTGTATTTAGACTGCAAATAACTCCTCAAGTACAAGTCCATCTATGTATCCAGTCTAGTCAGGACCTCCAGACCAAAATACTGGTCTTAGATGTGGTCGAGTTAAAGCTTTATGAACTTCTTCGACAAGAGTATGGTTGTTGTTACTGTCGCTCATCCTCCACCCTCTCCTCTCTGCAGGCGCAGCGTTCCTCTCATCAGGCCTCACTCCTGGCACCTGGCGAAGCTAACGGAGCCGCCTTTCCCTCCCCCTCCCCCTCCTCCGTCTCCTCCTCCGCCTTGCCTCCCCACCGCCGACTCCCCTCCCCTTCCCCCTCCTCCCCCTCTGTCTGCCATGCAGCTCCACCCCGGACCCTACACACTACCGTGGCACACCAACGACAACAGGTGAGAGGGCGCCGACTATTTCATGGAATTACACATTTTAAAAGCATGTGATGACCATGAAAATGTAAATTTCCAGTTACTGTATTTTCTTGTGGTTCAATTGAATTCAAACAATCAAAACTATACATAGAAACTCTGGACTATAAACAACTGTCACATAGTATAGGGCTGGGCGAAAAAAACAAAAATTTACAGGTATCGAAATTTACGATAAACGTAATTTTGCCCATGTCAATTTATTCTGTGTCAAGAACATAAATAAATAAAAGTTGGTTTTGGATGTGTGTAGGTAGGCTATGGTGTCATGTCCCTTTAAGACGCTGTCCTACGTAAGGACAGGTGAGGAGACGGAGGACGGTTCAAAAGTTGTAGCAGCTGAAATAGACGAAGTTAATGTGTGGGGTGAGCAGCTTGTGGAGTAGTTAACGTCCATTAATCTATATCGAGGTGAACTGATCAATATATCGTGATGTTGATTTGAGGCCATATTGCCCAGCCCTAACATATCATGTCCAAATACCATCCTCAGCTCTTTGTCAGAAGGTTTTCAGTCTTCAAAAAATTGTCTATTCCGCCCAGATCAAATACTTTCTCACTGTTTCTTAAAATCGTAACATAAAAACACTAAAGTGGTGAAAATTACAAAGTTCACTATAACATAGGGCGGGGCGATATGGCCTCATCAATATCACGATATATTATTTTTTTGATACCAAATATATCGACATGGGCAAAAAGACATCGGTTATTGTCATAAATTTTGGTATCGGTAAATTTTCGGTTTATCGCCCAGCCCTACTCTGGAGGATAACGCCATCCTCAGCTCTTTGTCAGCAGTTTTCAGTCTTAGAAATATTGTCCATTCAACCCAAATCAAATATTTTTTTACTCTTTTTTTAAATGCAGAATGTAAAAACTTTATAAAATGGTGAAAATTTACTATAACCTCTACAAGAAGAGAATTTAACAATGGGAATTCTCCATATTATTGCAAAACTATCGACAAAAATAGAATTTCTGCTTTTATTCGATGATTCAAACGTGCAGAAAAAACTTCCTAGCGTTTGAGATGACAAAGACACTTCCTCTTTAGAGTGGATTTAAACACATCGACACTATGTTGGTGTTTCCGACTGTAAGGCGTGAATCACACACACTAAGCCCATGACCTCAGAGGATGTTGTCTATTTAACAGGTCAGGGGATTTTTTGGTCCCTCTGACTCCGCCCCCTCAAAAAAAAAAAAGCAGTCGCCAGGAAACAGGTGACATCACCGTGTTCTAAAGTCAACACAGCCAACGCAGGAAGCCCATTGGTCTATTTTTAGGTTCTATCTAAACATTCCAAAGTGATAGCCAATCAGATCTGCTCTTTGTCTGTCTGGGGAAATAAAGGAAGACTCAAACCGTGTTAAAAGAGGCGATATTTTGCTTTCTCCTATTTTACAAATAAATATAAAGTTACGTTTTCACTCCACAAGGTCAATAGATCATGTAAAAAATATCAAAAACAACTTATTAATTGTCATTTCAAATAAGGAAACGCAAGTTAACCTATGACAGCGACCTTGTAGAATAGCAACAATGGAGGAGGGTTCTGAAATGCTGAGTTCCAAAGTGCAGGGGTTGGGGTCTTAAAGAGACAGTAGCTGAATTTAAGCGTATGAGACAAGAGGCCAAAACACCTGAGAAGAACTTCTTTCACACGCCTAAATGGTGTCATCTTAAGAACTCTTGCGATACGCAGTGGAATGGAATGAAGCCGGTAGAAATTGACACGTTAACTTGAATGGTTACGATCAGCTACGATTGGCGGATTCGGCCTTTTCGTAGCCGTTCTGGATGCGGTAGAAATTGGGGGTTAAACTAGCAGCAGTTGAGATTAAGATAAAAACTTATAAACATGGATAAATCTTCTATCATTTTTGCCTTTGTACTGCAGTATACTGAAAACAGATCTCCCTTTTCCACCAGAATAAGACTGATGCAGTTAAACTTCATTCCTGTCTTTCCCAAAATAAAATGAAGAACATTAAAAAATACCCCCAACAAATCAAGTCGGAATTCAAATGCGATCTAATCTTGTCCAAACACGGCCTCTGAAAACAGCTCCTTTTTTAAGTCCGCTGGTTGCATAACTAATTGTTTGAGCTCTAAATGTAATCACGCAGGATTTCATACCGCAGAGGAACAATTGGAAAAACACTGGATTGTCCAGGCGGGTATAAAAAAAGATGTGCAGCTCCACGAGTCTTTGTACGGAGGTCTGATCTCACGAAGTTAATCTGAAACTCTTTGGAGGGAAAGAGGAAGTCACCAAAGTGGGTTTATTGACTCACAATAAAAATAGTCCGTCTTTGTTTGTCATCTCGCCGTACGTCAGCCTTCTGCTCTGTTCTCATTTTGATAAGGATCAGTGATATAATGTACCACTGTTAGATGTAATGCTCCCCTGTGGATTAGATAGCAGTGTGTGTGCGTGTGCGGGTCGCTTATTCCCACAGTTTCTCCTGACTGATCTCATCACACACACGCACACGCAAGCACACACACCATCTGATGAGGAGGCAGCACCGGCATAACTCTGGACAATGGCATGTGACTCCCAGAACATGCGGACAAAGAGAGGAAGACGTTCAATAAACGGTGTTTGTGTGAAGCAGGGGGACACTCTGTACAGTCTTTGTGTTTTTCTGGATGTCCGAAAAACAATATATATATAAAAAAAATACAGTTTGTGATTTAACCTGATGGCGCATTGAGAATAAACTCTGTCGGAGTTTGTGTACGGAGCGTGTGCTCGCTGGTTTATCTGTGTCAGCCCTCACACTCACATGTTCCACATTGCCGTCTGATTGGGCAAGAGTGACTTTGATTTCCTGTCCAGCTCCTGTCTCATTTCCTCTCTTCCTCTCTCTGTCACCCAGGTCAAATCTATACAGCCGCCTCTCCTCTCTCATTCATCGCTCACTTCCTTCAAAAGCACTTTTCTCATGCAGGCCTCCAAACCATTTCCCAGCTAATATGAGGGTCTTTTTTGTGGTGCATGATCTTCTTGTTCGAGTCGTGAAAAAGCTGTTTTAGTGTTTTCAAATTATCAGAAACATGCAGTGCAGGTCTGAGCTGTAGCTTGTTGTTGAATAATTTCTGAAGGATATGAAAACTCAAATATGGAAGAGGATTTGGGCCTTAAAAATCGGAGAGAAATTAAGTCAGAATTCTCAGTTCTCCAGTTTTTATCAGAAGTGTAAGATTTAAATAGAAATTATGAATTTTTTTGTAATTCTGGGACTAAAAAAAGTCACATTTCTTAATGTTTTTCCCGGAATCCAAGTTTGAAATCAGAGCTCTGACTTTAAACTCAGAGTTACAAGACAAAAAGAGATCTAAGAATTCTTTGATTTAACTCTGAATTCTGAGAAAAAAAGATCAAAGAAGATAAAAAAAAAAAATCAGAATTCTAAGTTTGAAGACGGAATTCTGAGATTGAAGTTAAAGTTATGACTTTGACAGAATTCCGACTCTTACTTCCAGAATTTGGAATGAGGAAAAACTGGAATTCAATTTTTATTTCTTTGATTCTGAGCTTCAATAAAAACATTTGACTTTGCCCTTTTTCCCAGAATTTTTAGATTTTTTAAGAATTCTGAGAAAAAAATCAAAATTCTAAGATTTGAGTAAGTATTCTGAGATTAAAGTTGAAATTATGACTGTCAGAATTCAGACTCTAATCTCAGGAATTTGTGATTATTGCTGTTTAATTGATATCAAAAACTCTGGTATCATATTCTGGTCAGAGTAAGTTGAGGTAAAATTCACGAAGAATAGAAATCATCTGTTTTTAGGTCTTTGTCCAGCTAGTAAACCATAAATCCTTTCGAAACAGCCTGATGAACGTCTTGCCTTTCATTGGTTTCAACCGCATTCCTTCAGAAACTCTTTCTCACCCATAACCTCTTTACAGTTTACTTTGCAGCGTTTTTATTATTCAAGTCATTCCTCCAATAGAAGAAGTACAAATCTCTGTTAAACAAAGAGGAAAGTAAATCCCACATCAAGAAAAAAATGTCTGCTTACATTTTCATATCAGCCTTTGTGGATTTGAGTTCAACCTAGCAAAGAAACCCTCGCAGACCAGCCTCTGTGAAATGTTTTGTTCTAGCAGTGTTCCCTAAACGCTCATAATGCTGGAAACTGCTCCATCATACTGTTTTATGTGGATTTCTCAGTGAAATTTGGGAAATTCTTTGGGATTCAGTGTTTTTGTTTCTTTGGATGGTAATAAGACATCGAGGCACGAAAAGAAACGGAAAAAAGGAGGGTGAAGTCTGTAAGAGGTCAGAAATGTGGTTGAATGGCACACAAATTAACAGAGATGCAGGATTTGGTCGGTTTATCAGATTAATTTCACATCAGTCTGTTGTTCCTTCCCAGACCTTAAAGTTTGAGTACTTTTTAGGGAGGCTTACTTTATCTGAATCATGCCTCTGAGGATAGTTGGTGCCATGTGTTGTCCAGATTGTAAAACCCTTTTTTTCCAAGTATCAGTTAGCATTGGCTAAACGGCGAGCAGGTTTGTCCTCCAAGAAAACCGTTTTAATCAATATAAAGCTGACGATCTACCATCCAGGAGGAAGCCCATTTGTTTTCATTTGTGTCACAAACTCAAACACCAGAACTGTGTCCTGAATGTTTTTTTTAAAAGAAGGGGGTCATCCTTTCGCAGTGAACCCACTTTTGATGTAAAGGAGATGGGGCAGAGGAAGAATCCACATGGAGAAGAAAGGAATGAAAAAGGAAGAGAGGAATCAAGGGATGACTTAGAGGTTTTGACTCCGGGCAGTGGGAGTTGATGAGAAGGAAATCCCTCTCCCCCTTAAGAGGCTTCCTCCATGGGTCTTTAAAAACATATGGGGCTGCCGTGGATCTTTGGCTCAGGACTGATAGAAAACAGATTCCCCAGCTGTACAGTTCAAACGTTTCAGTTCAGAACCGTACACGGTATCTGTCCTGGGGGGACTTTGCAGCCTGCCACTTACAAACTCAAGATGACTCCTTGTATGAAATCTCTAATGTGTAAACCTTTTTACCGATCAGGAGGTCAGATTATTCTGTTTGAAGAGACACGACATAGTTCTTGTAGTTCTTCAGTGAAGCGTGGTTGTCTAAGGTTTCTAAATCACTGACCTTGATCTGTGTCTTCTTGTCTTTGCAGTGACTTGTCCTTGCAGTGGGGTCAGCTGTCCAGACCTTACTCCTCTACTGACCGAAGCAGTTCTTTGGGCTCCATGGAAAGCTTGGACACACCAACGCCAACGACGCAGCCCTACTCCGACTCCCAAAACTCACCTGTAGATCCTGCTCTTTTCAACAACAAGAGAGACTCTGCCTATAGCTCGTTTTCTGCCAGCTCCAACACATCCGACTACGCAACAGTGCCGCTGAGGCCCGGTGAAGCCTGCTCCATGGATAACCTCCTGCAGAGTCTGGGGCCGGCTTGTCGAGGCTACCCCGGCGGTGATACCTCGACTCTTGGGAGTGCAACTGGCGAAATCCCAGATGAGGCCCAGCTTGTTGTACTGAAGTCAAGGTCCTTGACTAGACCGAGAGCAAGGCCTGTCGAGGTAAAAGAGAGGCCCTCCTCCTGCTGTTATGAAAAGGAGCGGAGGGGGGAGGATTTGGAAATAATAAGAAATGGAGATATTGGACTGGAAAGGAAGAAGAACCCTCCTCAGCCTCCAACCAGGAAGGACAGTTTTAGGGCCACCAGGGGTCGCCCGAATTCTGCCAACAAACGTTGCACTTCTGCTCCCATTGAAATTTCCACGGTTCCGTCTCACAATATGGAAAACAAATCCTCTCTGAATGTTGAAACAGGACTCCATAATGGCTTCTCAGCACCTGAAGAAGGTGATAAAACTGGCAATTCCACAGGGGATACCTTGGACTTGCACTACATCCAAAGACACACCAAAGACATTACACATACTGGGTGTGAAAATGGTGCAATTAAGGACTGTAATTCAGACACAGTTTCAGATCATTTCCCAGCCCCCCTAGTCCCCTTGAACTCTTCTTGTCCTGGTTCCATATCAGCAGAACCCTCCGTTGACATTCAAGAGAAATGCCATATCATGGAAACCCAGAACAAGCACTCCTCTAGAGGGCTGCACCGGCACAGCGCCCCTGAGAAGCTTCTTGCAACCCAGCTTCAGCTTTTGCAGTTTGACAGTGAGGACTCTTCAGTGGAGCCATCAGATGCCCCGGATCGTTCTGTGTCCCCTTGTAGCAGCCAGTGGTCCCATTCGTCACTCCAGCCCATGAGGGAAGACAAAGATCCTTCTCAAAACCATTCCAGCGGCCAAAACAAATGGGGGGGCAGCCGTTGCTCCACTCCAGGATCGGTTTTCTTGGAGGCAGGGGATGATGGTCTGAATTCAAATGAGAGGTTAGAAGGTTTAGGTGTTAATGGTGAGTCCTTACCCCCAGTTGAGCATCACCATCCATGGGGTCGCTCTGTAAGTGTACCAGGAGACCCCACTGGATCATCGATTCAGGGAAGGTCAAGCTCAGACCAAATTCTTGAGAGGGATTTTGAGCCTCTTAGTGCTGCTGCCAGTGTAGATACACTACTGGAGGAGCAGAGAGTCATGGACAGAGAAAAAAATGGAGGTAAAAAAGTGGAATATATGGAGGAAGAGTCCGAGATGAGGAAGTCACACTCATCTCGGAACCATCGTCGAAACCGACGCCGAAGTGAACGTTTTGCTACAAACCTCCGCAACGAGATCCAAAGAAAAAAGGCCCAGCTCCAGAGAAGCCGTGGTCCTGGAGGGTTGCTCTGTAGTGGGGAAACTGTCCATGAGGAAGAGGGTTCTGATCTTAATGAAGATAGGGCAGAACCGGATCTGCCTGCCAAGCAAAGGACTACCAAAGTTGCATTTGCTACACCTGTTAGTTCTCAAGACACATGCAAAACAGAACCAGTGGAGAAACCAACTGAATCCAACCCTGATGTCTCAAAGATTCAGCCCCAGTCAACATCATACCCTCAAAGTAACAGTTCATCCAGGTCCATCCAGATTCTGGACCCAGGAGTCCCTAGTTTTGGTGTTGGAATCCGAGTTGTTGAGGAACCAGCTCCTGCTGGCAAAGCCCGCCGCTGGCGTTGGACCCCAGAGCATAAACTCCAACCAGAACCAGACAGACGGGGTGGAGCCTCGGGTGAGAGAGTCTTGGGGGTGACAGGGTCAAGGCATGGGGTTTGTGCCTTTACCTCCTCATCAGCTTCCACATACAGTCGCTCGTCTTCCTGTTCTCGGATGGATGAGTCCGACATCCTGCCATTTGCAGATAGAATGAAGTTTTTTGAGGAGACGAGCAAAGGCATATCTGGTTCAAATGCTTCCAATCTGACGAGTCGCAAGCAGAACAGACCCCAGCAACATCCAGAGCTTCAGGGAGGGGAACTCTGCCAGCACCAAAGCCAAAGGAGGTACTCCTACCAGGGTGGTCTCCATCAGGAAAGTTCCCCGCTCTCAAGCTCTGTTGAAGCCCGGAGGTTGTCCGTTAGTACCAGCAGGGAGAAGCAGAGAGAGAAGGAGAGGGAACAAGCCCGAGAACGAGAGGAGAGGGCAAGGGAGAGAGAGGAGAGGTTGAGAGAGAGGGAGCGGCAGCAGGAGAAGGAGAGACAAGAGAGGGAATTAGAAATGGAGAGGGCTAGACTCAGGGAGATTCAGCGGGAGAGGGAGCGCGAGGAGAGGCTGAGGCAGTGGGAGAAGGAAAGAGAGAGGGAGCTGGAGCTGGAGAGAGAAAGAGAGATGGAGAGGGCCAGAGAGATGGAGCGTCTCCAGAGGGAGAGGGAGAAAGAGCTCGAGAGAGAAAGAGAGAAAGAAAGGGAAAATGATGCTCAGCTCGCCGCACATCAGGAGTTTTACGGCTTCCAGGAGAACAATCAAGACTACCTTCACAGGGACAACTTCCACCACTACCAGCCCAAGCCTCAGGCCTTCTCCCACGGCCAAGCCCAGAACCAAGTGCGATCGGCTTTTTATCCTGTCAGCAGTTCCTCTCAGCCGATGGAGTATCAACAGCCTCTTCACCAGGGATACACAGAGAGAAGCTACACTCCCACAGAGGTAAAAACGCTGCATCCATCTTTCTATCTATTCATTTAACATCTTGCGGCATGGGGTTGATTCCAGTTGCCATTTCAGCGCAGATCCAGTTAAGTTATAAACCTGTTTGCAGTTCTAGCTGTATCATTTGATTAGGCGTGTTTACAAGCCCGTTGGCCTCAAAATCAGTTTTCAGCAACAGGCTTTGTAAGCTAAATAACAGCCTTCGCCTCGGCAGCGTCGAAAGTCACGCCTTTCACAGGGAAAAACATAAACTTTGCAGTTCGCTGGAATCAGACTGAGGTTTTACTCCGAAGTGAAATGACCGCTGAAGGCACGAATGTTTCTTAGCTCTTCAAAACCAGCATCAGAAAGGGATCAGTGCTCTGTCCAAGCGCTCCGTGGTTGAACGGTTGGTTTAAAGTCGAACCTTGCGTCCAACATGCGGGAGTCTGAGATTCTTATTGAAAACACAGCAGATCTTTGAAATAGCTCATAAAACTGAGGGAGATTGAGCAACAGCGGCAGAAACTTGTGTCAGCGATAATAGCAGCGTTGGGTTACAACTCCACCGCGAACTGATTTGAGTTTTCTAGAAGGGGGTGCAGCACCTCGTCTGAACTTCACCCTGATATTAACCTCATCATTCGAGTCTGATGAGAGCCAAACCGAGGTTTGTTTTGGAATAAATCTATCATCAGTTCAGCATTATTTTAGATCAGGCTGACTTAAACTTCCTTTACGTTTGGATCTTGAAGAAATAAAACATGATTGGTTTGATGCCATGGCGATAACCCCGTGAGAGAAATACTTGCTGTATATCTGCCGCTGACGATTTCCAGAGTCTTTAATAGGAACAGATGTGCTGGATGGATCATCTACAGAGGCAGGAGAATGAGGAGCAACACATGTCAAAGAATAAATTTAAGAAACACAAACATGAGGAAGAAGATCGGCTGTTTTTAAAAATTTGGATCGACTTCAGTTGAATATTTCTCGGCCAAATTTGACACTTGTTCTTTGTGATCCACCCCATTTATGAACAGTATATCCAGTAGGGCTGCACGGTTAATCATTTTTCAATCGTAATCGGATTATTTGATTATGACGATGTTAAAAAAATAAAATCGTCAAATCGATTTTCCTCTCTATCGTGTCTTGCGCCTCCAGGCCATCGTAGGCTCCCCCTACCTTCCTTCCACACACACCAGTGTAAACAAACATGGCGTTTGCAAAAGAAGGCAATAATGTCGTGGCTAAATAGGACAAGAGCAAGTCAGTCGTGAGGAATTGGTTCGGCTTCACAGTTTCAGATGAAGAGCAAACCACTCCCCGCTGAAAAGTCCGTTTGAAGGCATTATCGGAAAAAGGCGTTTTTGGTGACTTTAAACTGTACTTTTTGAAAATGGGTCAGAGAGTGGATAAATCCGTAAACGATGACCATTTCATCTCTGTGTGGACGCCTATCTGCATCTCTGAAAACAAATCTGTGACACACAGCGTTTGGCGCCTGCGCATGTCCGGCCAAAACAACCTATATCCACATGCTCTGTACTCTTCTTCTGTCTTTTGTGCATTTCCTGTGCAGCGTCACAGCGCCACTTACTGGCTTGGCATATGAACTACATCATTTTCAGTAATTTTTTTTTGAGAAGATAGAAAATCTTTTATTTTTGAAGTGTTGAAGTTTTCAGTGAAAAAAATAAAAAAAAAAACGGATTTTTTTTTTTTTTCTCAAAATCTTTACTTTGCCGAGTTGGGTGCAGAAAATGTTTTGACGTCATTTTTGATCACATATAATGATTGACAGGAGGATATATTGATTCAGTGGATGTGTCCTGGAACAACGTGGAAAATATAGATTTAGATTTTTAAACTAGATTTGAAATGAAAACCGTCCAAACTTTTCTCAGCACCATCCCAGTTGAAGTCCATGTCAGGGGAAGGGCGACACCCAAATTGCAGCCCTTCCTTCATTTCGTCGGTGTTAATAACAGCTCTAAATCTCTTCCACAGACGTATCCTGCCCGGCAACAGGAAACTGCCAAGCTCAATCGGAAGTACAGCCTGACTGAGAGGTGAGCCTCTTCTTTTGGACACAACACAAACCTTCATTTTTCACTCTCTGACATTTTCATTCTCATATTTTTAACGCCCACTCGCTCCGTTGTAGTTTGATTGTAAGTGAATCCACAGAGATGTTAGGTGGGGTCAGCGGAAACCCCACTCAGTCATGCCCGGCTGTGATTTGACTGTAATGAGCTCTAAGTGTGCGGGGTAATCATCCATGCTTAAATGGTGACCATAATGATATGTGGATGGATTGTGATTTCTGTATGTTTGGATGTGGAGAAGGCTTCTCCTCGTATTGAGACGGAAACAGAGTGAGTCTGGAATGCGAAGAGGAACGTTGGCTGTAATTTCACCTCTTTCTTCGTCTGTTTTTGTTCCGTTTCTTGAATTCCTGGTGCATTTTATGTCATACAACTCATTTTCACAGGGACTACTCAAGCTGGAGACGAGAGTCCAGACCTTCGGAGAGCGTCGGTCAGTATCATCAGGCTCAACAGAGGGGTCAGTGGAGCTCCAGGCAGGCGGACCAGAATGGGTTTGCTTTCCCTCCCCCACCTGCTCCTCTTTCGCTCCGAGGACGAGCCATGTCTGAAAACGACCTCAGGTTCGACAGCAGCCACCGCTGGTCGCCGTCCATTTCCGCCGCCGCCAGCCAGACGCTGGAAGAGGTGGAGGAAGGAGCCGGTGGCATCGGGAGAGGAGACGCTGCCAACGCCGCCCAGCCGAACAGGAAGAAGACGCCGCCTCCCCCGAGACCACCGCCTCCGAAGTGGGAGCAGTTCCACCGCAGACGTGCGTCTCACCACACCCTGTTCTCCTCCGCTTCTTGTTCTTCTTCTGCTGCTGCTCCAAACTCCGCCCACTCCTCCTTCCCCGCTCCGTCGGAAATGTCCCGACAGCGCTCCTACAGCCTCCCTCCAGAGAGACAGGAGGTGACGGAGAACTGCCCACGCTGCAACTGCAGCCAAACCCACCAGGACCACGCTTACCCCCACGCTCCGTCCAATCAGAACCAGGTGGAGTTTCACGGGCAGCCTTTTACGGTAGCTCCGCCCAGTCCCATGTTCTCCAGGCGGGGTTTCAGACCAGTGGCTCCGCCTCAAAGAGAGAGGGACCCGAGGAGCATGTATGCAGGACAGCTTGAAAGAGTGGAGATGTTACCGACTCCGCCTCCTCCTCCACCGGCAGAGGAGAGTGTGAGCAGGTGAGCAAGACTCTGGATTCCAAGATTTCCAGCAAACATAAACCTCCTGCTCTTTATACATGATCTGTCATGGTTTATAAGTTCTTTGTATTTTCTTTTTACAGTGTTCCCGAGACAAACATCACCCACAGTCCGGACCACGACAGAGTCATACCTTACAAACAACAGACTACCTTGAGACCAGGAGCCGAGTGGGAGAGGACCCCATCTCCCAGAGTCCGCGCCGACTCAAATCTTCCACCTGTCATTGAAAACGGAGGTGACGGCGCCGTTTTACCTCCCGAGTCCTACTTCGCCATCGACTACGAGCAGCAGCAGCAGCTCAATATGAGCAATGACGACCGCCAGAAGCTTCCCGAACCAGGGACGGAATCGGAAACGACCCTCAGTCCGAGTCCTGCTCACAGCCTGGACGCAGAGCTGGACATCCCCATGGAGACCGACATCGACGATTTCCAGGAGGATGAGGGTCTACCGGCGGAGCACGAGCCGATCACCAGCGAGCTGCCGTGCTTCGCTCTGCCCGTCACGGTCCTGGAGACGGATATCGACACTTTACAAGGGTCGGAGGACTCGCCGTCAGGGAGAGCGAGGGTGGAGAGTGGCTCTGTGGAAGAGGAGCCGGACGGCGGGGAGAGCAGCAGAGAGAGGCTGAGTCTGGAGGAGCTCTTCCCCCAGAGCAGTGAGGGCGAGTCGGGCACTGAGAGCTGGAGAGGAGCCTACCCGACCACGGAGCACAACACTGACAGCCTGGACAGGTAAAAGAGAGGTAGGAGTGTGTGTGTGTGTGTGTGTGTGTGTGTGTGTGTGTGTGTGTGTGTGTGTGTGTGCATTAATTACACAGACCATTTGATTTGTACAAGACCGACCTGTTCTTGTCACTAAGCTGATTCCTCCTCCCTATAACCTCGGACTGCAGCCAGACGTCTTTTTCTTTCCTTCTTAGCGTTTAGAAACAGTTTGTTTTACCTCGAACAGGTGCATGATGGGTAATTGTTACCATATTAAGTCACACTAAAAGCTTTGAGGAGACTGTGTCTGAAATAACCCCGGATTGGCTGCGATTTTTCCGTCTGCCAGTTCCTACCGGTTCCATTTGTGAGGCAACTTTCGTGGTGGATTAGGGACAGCGGGAATGGCGAGAACTCACAAGAACCAGCGGATTCACATGCAATCGTGCGATAACGAGTTGTCTCTATAAAGACAGACACATATAAGCAGTAAATTGTGTCCTTTCAAGGAAGGAAATCTACTTCTAGACTTATAGAATCAGCATCTCCTCATCCATGGTGTCATCGGGGTTAAATGACTTCAGCTGCGGAATCTGGCGGAATGAAAAGAAGCCGGTGGAAATTGACACATTAACTTGAATGGTCACGATCAGCTACGATCGGCGGATATGGCCTTTTCGTAGTCACGCTAAGAACTTAAACAATACTGTATCTGAAATAACCCTGAATTTCCACTGCATCCAGAACGGTGGCAATTTTCGCCATCCACCAATTCCTACCATTAGGCAAATTTCATGGCGGATTAGAGACAGCGGGAATCACGAGATCTTACAAGAACCCACAGATATACATGCAATGGCGCAATAACGGCATGCTCTGGCATCCGGAAAAATAGAACTCTTGCTATCGGCTGCCGATTCCTGCGATCTGCAGCAGAACTGAAAGAAGCCGGTAGAAATTGACACATCAGCTTGAATGGTTACTATTGGCGGTGACGGCCTTTTCGTAGCCGTTCCGGATGTGGTGGAAATTAGGGGTAGAGTGTAGTGTTAGTTCAGGCAGGCCACAGAGTTCATGTACCTTCTAATCGCTGTCCTTTACGACCCTTTATGTAAATAAACAAACTCCCCTCTCTCCTCTGTTTCCTCCCCGTCAGGCGGTCCGGTGCGAGCTCCAGCTGCTCGTCTTACTACAGCACGTCTGCGGCCAAAGCTCAGCTGCTGTCCCAGATGAAGGACTTCATGGATAACAGAGACAAGGACGAGGACGACGAGCTGACGTACAAGGTAACACACACAGCCACTGTATTGTGTATTTTCTTTAGCGTCAGAGTCCACGGATATTTACTTTATTCTGTGTGTGGGTGCAGAAACAGCTGATGGAGAGCCTCCGTAAGAAGCTGGGCGTGCTGAGAGAAGCTCAGAGGGGTCTGCAGGACGACATCAGGGCCAACGCACAGCTGGGAGAGGAGGTGTGGACGAACTCATCTCTTCTTCTTTTTCATGAGAACCTTCCTACCTTCAGCTGTTTCACTCCTGCTGCCCCTCCGTCTGTGTCCTCAGGTGGAGAGCATGGTGGTGGCCGTGTGCAAACCCAACGAGGTGGACAAGTTCCGCATGTTCATCGGCGACTTGGACAAGGTGGTGAGTCTGCTGCTGTCGCTTTCCGGGAGGCTGCTGAGGGTGGAGACCACGCTGGACACACTGGACCCCGAGGCCGAGCACCACGAGAGGGTGAGGAGGATGTGTTTGAGCAGTCGAAATGAGAGTTTCGAGGTGAATCTGCACAGAGGAGGCATTTAAACAGGCAGGACAAGAGACCGTAACCTGTTGTTTTTGACCCTGTAGCTCCCCCTGCTGGAGAAGAAGCGTCAGCTCATGAGACAGCTGTCTGAAGCTCAGGACCTGAAGGACCACGTGGACCGCAGAGAGCAGGCCGTCAGCCGGGTGCTGGCCCGCTGCCTCTCTCCTGAGCAGCACAGAGACTACAGGTACAAAAAAAACACCTGATCACACATTAGGAAGAGTTTTACATTTCAACATTTGAATGATTTTTTAAAATTATGTTTTCTTTCCGTCTTTGCAGTCACTTTGTGAAGATGAAGGCGGCCCTGCTGGTGGAGCAGAGGCAGCTGGAGGACAAGATCCGGCTGGGAGAGGAGCAGCTGCGGGGGCTGAGGGAGAGTCTGGGGTTAGGGCTGGGGATCGGGATGGGAATGTCGATGGGATACGGACATTATTGAAGAATTAAAAAAAAAAAACACTCAGATGAAGAAGGACGGTGTGCAGAGTGGGGATAGTTTGACATTTTCAGAAAGGTGCTTTGACTGAACCTCCGACTCGTTAGCTTTGAAACTTTAAACTATTTTAATGAGTCTTTAAAGGGATATTCCGGCGCAAAACAAAGTTAAGATCAAACACATTTTAACACAGAGCTAGACACCCCCTCGAGAGATGAATGTTGCCGACCGCTTCCTTCTCTAGTTAAACCAACTTTAGTAACGGCCGCACGATAGAAATACAGAGAGCCACACGCTCAACCAAAACGCCACTCTATAGTCACAAATAATGCTCAGAACAGCACCTAACTTCATCAACAGGACATATAGGGTCCCAGCTGCTTGTTTGTAGCGGGACCTCAGGTAAGGTGGGGTCTACAGCGGGGTTTCGCAGCTCAAGGAAGAACATTTATGATCATTACTTTATCATTTCCTTGTATGAAATGATAATAAATGTTCTTCCTTGAGCTGCGAAACCCCGCAGCAGTTCTTAATGGACTGGCCTGAGGTCTCACTACAAACAAACGGCTGCTGGAAGAGAGTAGGTGAGTTGTGTTTAGTCTCTTTGTTAAAGAAATTAGAAAAAGTTAAAACGAGGTTTGGTGGCAAGTACTATGGCTGGGACCCTATATGTCCTGTTGATGAAGTTAGGTGCTGTTCTGGGCATTATTTGTAGCTATAGAGTAAAGTTTTGGTTGAGTGCGTGGCTCTCTGTATTGCTATCGTGCGGTCGTTACTAAAGTTGGTTTAACTAGAGAAGGAAGCGGTCGGCAACATTCATCTCTCGAGGGGATGTCTAACTCGGTGTTACGGTGTGTTTGACTCTAAATTAATTTTTTCACCAGAATATCCCTTTAAGCTCAACTAAAATCAAAGTTTTTATCTTTATATCAAAGACTGTTGAGGTCAATACCAAAATGTCTTGAATCTGTGGTGAGTTTATGGTCTTAATCAGTTTTAATCATCGTTTTGTAAACTGTGACTCCGTTCAGAGAGAAATGCTTTTCAGGTCGATCTGTTAAATACCCTGTTCAACTTTTGGCACTCTGGTTGTCAAAATTTCTTTTATTCCACTGGTCATAATCGCACCCTTGTATTACAGTTGCACCAACTTGCAACCATGCTAGCTTTGGCTGATGGCTCATGTTTCTCTCCTCTTGCTAAAAACAAAAATAAGGAAATAAGTAAGATGCCAAATCCGAGACTTCAAACCACGATCGAAGTCAGTGCCAAAGTTTATCTTGAAAATGTCAAACTGTTCCTTCAAGGATTAAAAGAAGAGAAGATGAAGGAGTTCCCGGACCAAAAACCGACTTGATAAGACTGAGACAGGACGCAGCAGTAAGAACGAAGTGGACTTAAACCAAGCCAAAGGCCAAAAGACTGAAGGAGACGAAGAAAGTTGGAGATGGACTCGATCGTTTTTCAGAAACATATCAGAAGAAAAGAACCACGTTACCCCAAATGAAAGACTGAAATGCAGAACGATCAGAAGGATGTAAAAGAAACCTCAATCGGAGTTGGACGGTTTAAAGATGCTTTAAAGAAAAGTGCCTGAAACACGTACTGTAACACTAACCAGTATCACACTACGATGCCAAAGACGTTTATCCGCTTGATGAATGTGTCACCAAGACGCTGCTTTCTTTGTTTTTTTCGTGTGTGTGTTTGAAATCTCCTGGTTCAGAGAATCAAAGGAGATGTTTTTGTTTTTTTTTCCTGGTGCTTCACACTAAGAAACCGCGCCTCCGTTTACCAAACTGAAGTTAGCTTCGCCCAAACATGTCCTTACTTCGGTTGCTGGTGCACCTTCGTTGAGTAACACATATACTGTATTATCTCCTAGTATTTCATGGTATAGTTTTGTATTCCTTTGACTGTAACATGTTTCACCGTGTGGAGTTTGACACCCCACCGACTGGTTCACTTTGTACAGAGGACACTTGTGTTTATACTGTATAAGATGTGTGTATATAGTGATTGTGAAGTTTGACGTTTGACTGGAAAAGGATGTAAAAAATCGGTTGTTTGAGATGGACGAGTTGAATCGGAAGAGAGAAGTTTGTTATATATTTTGACGGAGAATAAATCCAAGTCGAGCTTAACGATTTTAACACGTGTAATTAATTCTGACCCCCTCCAAAGGATTACAGTAAATACCCGCACACAACCCCAGAATTAGTTAGTCCAATAAACTCAGAGTTGAAGCTAGCTCCGCCTTAAATCCGAAAAAACTAGCTTAAACACGTCTAGCTGTTTAAACTCCTTATTCTAACATAGTTGGTCTAAAGCAGTGGTTCTCAACTGGTGGGTCGCGGATACGTTCTGGGTGGGTCAGGAACAGCTGGTCAAAAAAGTAAATATTTCATGCGATAATTGTTAGGTATTTGATTTTTTTGTACACGAAACTTCGGTAGTTGCCGTCCTTATGTTGTCCCCTTAATGTGCTCTGAAATGCACTTTACTCAACAAAACGAGCGGATTTATGTCAAAGATTGGAGTTTTTTTTTAATATGAAAAATAAATTTGCTCAGTTTGAATTCTATAAAAGTGGGACGTGACGTAAGGACCATGGGAAAATGTGAATCCCAGTTGAGAACCACTGGTCTGAAGGACTGACCAAAGGGTAGATTCCTGATTCGAAATGAATTGTGGACTGCCTCCTCCTCAAATTTGCCTTGCTGTCCTCTCATTCGTAGATAAACGTAGGAGCAGGATCTGGAGGAGGGAGTGTGTATATTTTGGCAGGTTAAAGACGGACACACAGGAAATACAGACACACTCAGTATCATCAGTTATATCGGTTAAAGCGCTCTCTTGAGTTTCCACTTGTTTTTGTTCACTCTCAGATGATTCCTGCTGTTTAACACCAAAAAAAGGTTGTTTTTTTCCCCCTTGTATTGTAAATATGAAGTGTATTTTTGTACCATAACAGCCATTTTTAAAACTTAACTGGAAAAAAAGAGAAAGAAGAAAAGTTGCTTGTGAAGGCGGTGTGAGGGTATATTTCTTCTGCTCTTGTTTTCCTGTGTAAGTTTGATAAATGACAGTTTGTTTTTTTTGTAAAATGTATTGCATATTGTAAGTGCAAAAACACTCCTGTGAGGAAGAAGTACCATAAATAATAATAATAGTATTTTAAAGTAGTTCCACCGTCTCCTGTTGTGATTCATGTCCTCCTGGGTGAACTGTTTATGTGCAGAGATGTGAGATATACGATGAATATGGGGGGTGAGTACAGCCTGGGGCGGTTGGAGGTTGATGGATGATGAGTGGAGAGGGGTGCAGCAGCTCTGTGGTAGATGGAAAGATGTGGTGGAGAGATTAGAAACCCTAAAACCATCAGTATGAAGCAAGTTTACAGAAAGGGAAGTGCTACAGTTATGATCATTTTAAAAATTTAGAAACCAGAACATGATTCAGGCAAGGCGTTTAAGTCTCATTCTGATCGTTTTTTTTGTTTTCTTTTACTACTTTAAGTATTCTCAGAGGTCTTTAAATGTGATTACGAAGTTTTTAGCCAAAATTATGTTACCTGTGTCGTTTTCAAGGGCTTTTCTTCTGCAGAGCTCGAGTAGATCATTAGCTATTCTCCTCTAAGTCGTGGGCGAAGACACACTTCTCTTCGAGTTAGCTTTCAGCCTAACATCGCCAGTGTAGTAGAAGAAACAGGTAACACAGGAGCTATTCAGCCCTCGGACACAAAAGTCTTTAGGGACACGATGAAAGCTACTATCATAATTAGCTTTCTTACGAGCATTCAATCCGCTAACGCTAACCGCTTGTTCCGCGATCGTCCTCTCCATTTCTCCTAGCCTGGCCTGCATAGCGGGGCTTTGGAGGCGGAGCTTGGATTTGTGACATAGGAAATCCTACTGTGTGTGAACCTGCCGATTTGAATGTAGAAATACTCAGAAATGCAAAATTCACACTTCTTTTACTAAAATGTCCTGTAGCATCACAAAAATGCCACTTGAACATGTAGACAATGAGAAAAACGCGATTTTCATCGGAATGGGTCTTTAACAGTATACAATATTTATTTTGTTTTGAGATTAATTTTTGATTCCTCTTATTTTATAGTTAGTTTTGAAGCTACTTAGTTTGGTTCTTTGTTTTTAACCCTAGTTTAAGTTCAGGTTTCATCTGGTTTTGGTGTTAATTTTTGTTGACTCCATAAAAACATAAAAACTGATCATCGTTAGCGTAACTGTGATGTGAGATTCCCTGAAATCGGCCTTGAAAAAGGTTTAAAGAAAATAAAAGAGGACCCAGAATAGAACCCTGAGGCACGCCACGAGACAGAGTGGCTTACTCAGTTATATAAGGTCAAAGTGATACTGAAAAATTTAATGAGAATTGATACCCAGCAATGAAAAAAGACGCAACTCTGTTCTCTGTTATTCGAACATGTTACTGGATCCTAAAACGGAGCAGTTTTGGCGCTATCAATGAGAAACACAAAGTGTCAGCAGAGAACAGTGTTTGGCCTCACACAGAGAGGGAGAGAGTTGTTAGCGGGGGGTTTCCACACTGTGAAAACAGGAATCATGAAAACAGCTGTTGTAAAAAAAAATGAAGAATCTGTGATTTGGGGGGAGAGCAGGGGATTCATTCGGCTGCCTGACCCAGATTGAGGAACAAAAGAGAAGGAATGTAAGGAGAGCTGGGAAAAGACAGCGAGAGGGATTGAAGACCAAACATGAAAGTGTCTTGAGGTACAAAGGTCGAATTGACCCAAATCCAAGCAAATGAGGTGAAATAATGCAACGAAAAGTGCAGAAGTGCATCTGCGGGGTCACTGTAACTCAAAGGAGCGGAGATTAGTTTGTACAAAGAAGAGAGAAGACAGTGAGGAGAGACAGACTCACTGAAAGAAGACGACTCTGTGGGAGGCCGAGGAGAGGGATGTGTTTATGTCGAGCAGCAGGGAGAAAAGATGAATGAGAGTGAGCTGAAAGAGAGACAAGAGAGAAATGAAGGGAAGGATAAAGATACAGACAAAAGCCAGGAGAGGATAAAGACTTTACAGGTGGTCTGAAAATCAAACCATCAGTAAAAGAAGTAAAACGATCAAGTCTTTGTAGTTAATTTACAGCGAAAGTTTTGCAGTACCATGAAGTTGTGAGTTTTGGCTCATGTCAACTTCTGCAAATACAAAAGGGTGCTGCAACATGTCACACTCCATAAAATCATCCTATTTATGTCGTATAAAAGCTACACATCTCTGTAAATCCACTTTTTATGACCTTGTAAACAGAAACACCTCATTTCTCCATGTGACTGTCACAACCAGTAAAATCAACACTTCTTTCTTCTGTTTAGCTGAAATTTAAAAAATAAAAATCATAGGAGGAAGGAATGAAAGGATTCAAGTGTAACTTAAGGAGACACAAAATCAGTACGATGAATAATAAAGTCGAAAATGTGATATTCACTCATGTAAATATCACAGTGCAGTTCTCACAAATGGCCACCAGGTGTCACTTTTTGGTTGTCTCATGCTGAAAAAGTTCAGTCAACTTCAGATAAAAAATAAATAAATAAGTAAATAATAAAAACAAAAATAATAGTAATAAAAATAGTAGTATAACAATGATGACAATTATAATGATAAATAAATAATTATAATAGCAAAAAATAAAAATGAAATTAATAATGATTATGATAAATATTAAACAAAAAATAAAATAATAAGAATAAAAATTAAACAAAAAATAAAATAAGAATAAAAAAAAAATTAAACAAATAATGATAATAATAATGATACATTTTATTTATAACGTGCTTTTACAGGTGCACGAAGAAGCTTTACAAAGATAAACACAATATACCAACAGTGTAGAAGGTTGAAAAAGACACAATATGAAAAGACAATAAAAAAACAGTTCACAGGTTAAAAGTTAATTTCAAAAGGTGTGTTTTAAGGAGTGACTTGAAAGTATGGGGGTCTGTCCTATTTTTATCAAATTTTTACATTTAATTATATACTGTTGAGTTTATGATTCTGTACTTTTACAGTATTCTATTATGACTTAGTGATAGATAGATAGATAGATAGATAGATAGATAGATAGATAGATAGATAGATAGATAGATAGATAGATATGTTAAATAATATGTACAGTATTTGTCATTGCTGAAGAATTTAAATAAAGTTTTTTTTTTTGGGGGGGTAATAAAATAAAAATAAAATAAAACCTCGAAATCTATTCAAAACATAGCAAAGGAAACATCGAGCAGTCGAACTGCTCCACTGACCCACTTTGCCAAGCATCTATTGCTCTGGACTCGATTCTTTCACCTGGTGTGTCAAGAGAGCTTAGATAGCGCGGTCAAAACGGAAATATGTCACTTCCCTTTCAAAATAAAATACAATACTCGTAGCTATTGTATATATTATCAATTTATGTGAATTCAGTTTATAACTCATTTAAATATATATTATTTTTCTAACAATTACATCAAAACTGAAGCCTCGCATCGGCTATATTTACGGTAGAGCCGTTTTATTGAAACATATGCTTGCCAACTCTTCGACGGAAGTCGTAGCTAACCTCAGCTAACTTGATAGTGGCTTGGCGATTTTTACTTTAAAGAGGCAAAACAAGCCGTAATGCAGTTAGATGTCCACCGTTTTACCATTTTGGGCGTTAAATCCTGGATGTTTTTGCACTCTGGCCTCTTTTCGTGTGCCCTCCGCGGTGTTGAGCCGTCATTTTAAGGACGGAGCATGACGCAGGGTTTTCACGGAGAAGAAGCCGACACTGCAAAGGAGCCTTAAGTTTACATTGGCTACTGTTGACATAAGCAGCCTACAGTAGCGAGGACGGCAAATCCGAGTCACAAGACTTCTCCACCGAGCTGGACGGCTGCCTTCGACCCTAACAGGTACGGTTTAACTAAAATAAGCGTGTCAGCGTCGAAATATTAAATCTACGCGGCGATAAAGTCGACTAAAAAGCAGTAACGGTCGACCGGCTCGAGCTCAACGGTTGAATTTTATCACTTGGTTTGAAAAGGCGCTCGAGCTCGTGACAGGAGGAGTGTAACGGTTGTTTTGCTAAAGCTAAGCTAATTATCAGCCTTCCTCCGACCGCAGTTTGTTTTTCCACCGTGACGCGGTTGTTCTGCTGGTTTTCTTACTCTTGACATGCAGCGAGTAGAAAAGCGGAAATCATTGCGAAAAACTTCCCCGTAAGTGGAGATGCCGCGCTGTCAGTCCCTGCCTGCGATGAACTGTGCGATATGAGCGGCGGTTTCTCAACAAGAGCCCACCGACGCACTCAGAGAAAGCCGCTTTAACTGCGCCGTGTATTCGTTAAACATGTTTAAGTTTTTGTCGAGCTTACTTCGGAAGTATACGGGCAACAGCCGCAGAGGTAAAGGCTGTCTTCACCTTGTGTAAACCCCAGTGGTTGTCGCTGTGTGTTTAACTCTCTTCACCCCGTGGCCGTGTGCTTTAAACAGGGTTTCGCAGGATGGAAACCGCCGGGTACCGCACAGGGAGCTTTGAGGCCCTCCATCATTCCAGCGACGATGATGATGATGACATGGTGGACATTGCAGGAGGCACTTTGGACTTCTCCAACTCGGACGACGTCCCCCCTCTCAGCTCAGGTACCAGAACAAGTCTTAGTTACTCCTTAAAGCTGCATGGACACGTTTCTGGAAGGATCTTGACATGAGAAAGTGAACAAGGGTTGTACAAACCAAGAAATATTTCAAATACATGAACAAGAACTATATCTTAAAATGGTCTCTGGGACTTTCTGGAAATACTAATGTGCTTACTATGATGAGGCAGCTGCTTAGGTGACTTGTGCAACCTTTAGCAGCAAGTTTACAACCCTGAAACCCAACATAAAGCAACTTTTATAAAACCATTGTGTAACCAGTCCAGAGCATTTGGAAGCCCTTAGAAGGATATTCCTGCGTAAAATTAAATTAGGGTCAAACATAGCGTAACACCAAGTTAGCCACTTCGTTGAGAGATGAATGTTGCCGATAGGGTCCTAGCCACCAAACATCTTTTAACTTTGCCTAATTTCTTTAGCAAAGAGACTAAACACAACTCACCTACTCTCTTCCAGCAGCCGCTTGTTTGTAGAGAGACCTTGGGCCAATCCATTAGTGACTGCAGCGGAGTTTCGCAGCTCAAGGAAGAACATTTATAATCATTTCTTCATGGAAGTGCAATCAGATATGTGGTGATATGGTGAATTACTTCAAGGAAATGATAAAGAAATGTTCAGAAACATCATAAAATGTTCTTCCTTGAGCTGCGAAACTCCGCTGTAGTCCGTAATGGATTGGCCTGAGGTCTCGCTACAAATAAGCGGTTGCTGGAAGAGAGTAGGTGAGTTGTGTTAAGTCTCTTTGCTAAAGAAATAAGGCTAAGCTAAAAAATGTTTGGTGGCTAGGACTGGGAGTTATGGTGTGTTTGACCCTAAATTAATTTTACCGGAATATCCCTTTAAGTGACTTGTGCAACCCTTAGCAGCAAGTTTACAACTCTGAAACCCCACTAAAAGCACAAACAACTCTTATAAACCATTGTGTAATAAGTCCAGAGCATTTGGAAGTCCTTACATGTTTTTGAGCCAAAGGTGTTTATTTTCTTTGCCTTGTGCTACTCAAGCTTGGCCCCCAGATAATACTCGTAAACTGATGTTGGTGAAACACCAAAAGTCACAACTAGTACTATGACTACTTCTTTTTATGCAGTGCATGTGCAGTCGATGCAAAGACGTGCTTTGCTTCACAATTTGCACCCACAGGAATAACCTGCTTTGGTTAAACCCCCAATGCAAAACCAAAGCGGTGAGCTGTAACCACTTTGTAGAGGTTCAGAATATCACCACGGTTTAATGTGGGTCGTTGACTAGATTCACCATAGCTCTGAGATCAGACCTCTTTTACCTCCTGTTGTAGTAAACAGCGGTCCTGAGGTCGTTGTTGTTTCCTCTGCTGTTGTAAAAACAGTAACGTGGCCGGATGACTGAGTTCAGATGTCGAGCCTCAGTGCAGCAGACTCCCTGACTGTTCTGAATTGTTGAATTGTTCTCTGTTATTATTATAATAAGAGTGCGAGTTCGTCACATGCTTCCAGTGAACCGCAGCCATTCATCGGAATAATAAGCGATCACATGCCCTCACATGGAAACAAACTGTATCAACAGCCGAGCACGAAATCCAGCATCACAGTGATTTACAGCTCTGATGGTGCGTTTGTGGCACCATCAGTCAGTTCCTGTAATCTGTCCTACCCGGTAACTGATGATGTCATCCCCTCCAACCTTTAGCACGACAAACTCCTGATTGTCGGAAATGATCTTTGCCTCGCTGAGAGAGAGAGAGGATGTTTATTAACCATAAAGGAGGCCGTGTCTTTGTCATGCTGATGTGATTGTAGCTCTCAGGGATCCAGCAGAAACATTCAGTGAAAAATGGAACCATCAGCATGCTAACTAGAGAGCTCATTTGCATTTTTGGCTCCAGAAAAGAGCTTTTAAGCTTTTTTTTTTTTCAAAGCTGCAGCTCCTGGCGAGGTTCTCACTGAGTCATCTGAATTGATTCAAAACTTTAGTGATTCTCTTTAAGATTTCTTTTACTTCGTTTCAAACTTTGAAGGAGTTCAGATCTGGTCCAGATTCCCCTCAATAAAACATGATTTAAGGTTTAGTGTAGAGTCCTCCACACAGCAGTGATGCTGCCTTATCTCTTAAGTCAACAGAGTGATTCAGACCTCATCCTGACGCTGTCTGTTCCTCTCAACGTTTGATCAGAACATCGTGAACATCAGATATTTCCAGACAAAGTCAAACTGTCACAACTAAGGAGAGCTCTCTGTACATTCACACGAACTTAAAGCTTTTTATTATATCCAGAGCAGATAAGCGTTATCATAATCTTCCCAGCGCATATGAAATCACTCATTAGTCACTGAATGGTGCAATTAAAAACGTGTCAGCTGATGTTAGTTGGTAGTTACTGATCGCATTGTGACATTGACAAAAATCGGCAATGGTACAGATTAAAAATGAAATCTGAATAAGATTAAATTAATGAATCATTCATAATGATGGTAGACTTTAGGTGGAAAGAAAGAACGACGCAAATTCAGTAAATTTCATATTTTTCAACGCTAAATTACAATTTCAACGATAAATAGACGATAACTACTCCACAGGCGGTTTTTTTTTTCGATCATGGTCGATTTTTCTAAAGTTTCGCATTCTGTGTGTCCACTTCTAAGCAATCAGATTTCGTGTTGTTGTGACGTCAGATTCACCGGTATATCCAACATGGCCGACCGGCTAATTGTTTACGTGTCGGAGAAGGGAGTGCTTTTTGATAAAAGACACAAACATAACGACCTGAAGGACAACATAGCGTTGGATTTCTCATATGACGATGGTTTGTGTGCTTTAACGTCTTTGTTTTAACTTTCATCTGTGCTAACGTAAGCTAACGGTTGTTACCATAGTTTCATGTGCTTATCTTAACGCCTCTGATAGGTTATAAGTGCTGACCGTTTGGCTTGAGCGTGTAATGACATTTCCAGCTTTTCTTAGCCAATCAGAGGCAAAGGAGGCAGGACTTTCCCCGGTATGTGTCCCCCCCCCCCCCCTGAAAGTCGCAAAATCGCATCGGGCTTGATGTGTATAGTCAGGCAGGTCAAAATTCACCTCTAAATATTTCGTAATTTCACGTTCTATATTCACGTCGGCCTCGGTGTGTAAGGACCTTTAGACGTTAGGCGGTACAACATTTACCACTTATTTAATTTCTCCAAAACAAAACAGAAATGCGAATTAATATGTTACGAGAGCTTTCGCTGTTACTCTTTACTGTTGATGCACTGCGCTACCATCTTGGATTATAATGTTGTCGTCAAGTCGAAAATCCGACTTCACAGATGAATTTCTGATTCGGAGCTTGGAAATTTTGACTTCCGAGTACAAGTTGAACCTACCATTAGTATTCAGCCATTCATTTTGGGTAAATAGTTCGCTGTTCAGTGCATGTATTTGGATGCAGTTCTGGATAAACTGCACATATCAAGGATATTTGGATGTGTCATAGCTGGACTGATTTCAATAGAGAAGAAGAAATAGAGAAAGTGTTTTTAAACTCAGTCTTAATGTCCAGGTTTGATTCTGTCTCCTCCATGACGCTCTCATAGACGGTAGTATCGGCTGCCCGGTCACTGCTGATGTCATTGTGACGTCGCCTTCAAACTAACAGAAGGACCAGTGTTTGCCAACAGGAAGGAAGTCTGTAGACAAGACTTTGTCTCAGTGGGAGAAGCTTCTGTCGGGCTGAGCTCTGTGTGTGATTTCCACTCTGTCAGCTCTTTGCACAGCCAAGAACTGCGGCCTTGTTTCAAACTGGCAACCGTGTGTTTTTAAAATTACACGGCGGTTTTGTGAAAGAAAACCATGAGGACTGTAGGAGGGAGTGAGTGTGTTGGTGTTGTGACTCGGTTGAATTCGAAACAGGAGAATCAAAAGAGTCTCAGACGTTTTTTTTATTGTCTTTAAAGCTCTGGGGAAATCTGGTGATTTTCTTTTACCCTCTTCTGTCCCGAGTCGATCATTTACAAGTTTAAAAAAACCTCCTGTTGCCTAGAGAGCAAACTGTGTAATGAGTTAACTTCAGGTCGAGTCCCAGACAGACTAAAGACCTCATGTGACCCTGTCAGATTAGCATCACCTCAGTTTACTTTGTGTTTCCTGTCTTTTAAGCGTTTCAACTCAAACTTCCTCCCTTTCTTTTCCACTTGACGTTCAGCAAATTGCTGTTTATTCCCTCTACCCGCATTAGCATGCACTTGAGCTCGTTGCCAAGAGGTCTTTCCAAGCTGCTATTAATGCAAACATAAACATTCAACTGTTGCTCTGGGACTCATTAACCTTCAGAGTTAAAGAGAGTTGTGAGAGGTTGTTTCCTCAGATACTGTCCTGGGATTCATATTAAAGCGCTGAACCTCTTAGTCAACAACTAATGTGCAAGACAGGTGATGAACGAAGCAGTTATTCTGCACTTATCCTGCCTGTTTTGGTGCATTTGCATCAATAAGAGTAGTGGATTAACTGTTGTAGACCTGTGTGTCTTTAAAATCCCTGCAGACTAAGAAGTTTTGGAGACAGATTATTGAAATGGCAACGTATATATGAATAAATACAGGTATAAAATAATTTTGATATATCCTCAGTAGTGTCTTATTTGAAAAAAAGGCATTGGTCAGGCTCTAGTACTATAGATTTATTTAAAAGCACTTTTCAAAACAAGTTTTAAAGTGCTTCACAATTAAAAACAGTTGAATAAAACAAAAATAGAAAATAAAGCAGAAAAAAATAGAGATCCACCGATCTATGTTTCTCCGATCCAATCCGATACGATACATGGGATGAGCATATCGGCCAATATCCGATATTGATCCAAGACTACTGTTGAATAAATGAACTAGGGCCCAACTGATATGGGTTTTTTGGGGGGCTGATGCCGATTATTGGGGGGGGGGGGGATCCGATTACCGATTAATCGGCCATTTTTTTTTATTTTTTGAAGTTATAAAAAATATATATATATACCGTGGGCTACTGCTTTTCATGCCGACAGGAAGACCGACTGATCAAAATCGGACCAAAAAAACGTTTTCAACGACTACCCCGCCCCTCCACGCGCTGATCGGTAAATCAATCTACCAACAGACAAGGTTAAAAAAAATTTTTTAGAAAGGAGAAGCGTATGCACAGTGAATGAATGAGGACCCAAGATAGACCCCTGAGGGACTCCACAATATTTGGCACATATTTGGTGTTTTTTGGCAGCTTCTCTCAGGGTGTGTTTTCACACCTGTATTGTTTGGAGATGTTCTCAAACAGGGAGCTGAGGGTGTTTCTCCTCTTGGCTCTCAGACCATTTGAACTCTCTATTTGTACTCTGATTTAGAACAAAACAAGCAAAAGCAGAGATTTTGTTTATGTGAACACAGCTGAATCGATTTAAACGGACAAAAAGCAGTAAAATAAAATGTGTCCAGACTTGAATGGACAGATAAATCCGTCTGGCACATGCAGGGTTAAACGTTTATCAAAAGAAACACTTCCTTTAGATAAAACCCTCAGCTTTCTCTCCCTCTCCCTCCCTCTCTCTCTCTCTCAGTGAAGTAAACATGCCGCTGCTTGTCTTTGCTCTCCTGCATTTCATGTTTTCAAGGAATAAAGAGAGAAAGGAGCCCCTCAGGGAAGAAATTCAGAGAAAGTGTCGCTCTTCAGACATCACTCTGATGTTTCAAATGCTCAAGGATAAAAGTAAAAAACATGCAGATTTCTGGAGAGTTTCTCACTTTCATCTTCTCTTTTGGACTTTTAAGGAATTTCTCACTGTTATTAAACAGACTTCAGATTTCTGAAGGCAAACAAGGTTGACAGGGACTTTTCTGAAAAAACAACTGAGCTGAAGTTAAGATGAAGCACACCAGCTGCGTTTACATATCGATCAGAAGATTCTGATCCAGAGAGAGGGGTGGTCAATGCCGATCGTTATTCCAAAACTCGTCCATGTAAACACTTATTCCGATCGTGACTCTCTGTTGGAGCAAAGCTAACCAGACTGTGCATGTGTGCCCTATGTCAACATGACGCGCTTCTGACGTTTGTGACAAGACGTAAACATGGTGGAATCCAAGAGCGGATACAGTTTCCTCATGTAACCCAGGATTAATATGTGCTGTTGGGCTCGCTTGATGATCATGTACGCTAGGAGCAATAGAACCAATCTCGAGACCGGGCTCAGGTCCATTCTGAGTAGGGTTGGGTATTGAGTCTTGAGCATCAGTGGGGACGGGGACTAACATTTCGATTCTCCTGGAATCGTTCAAATGTTAAAATTTCGATTCCAAGTTTCAGTGCCGGAGTCCGCCGACCGGAAGATAGCTGCCAGACACCAACAAGGAAGACGCCGTTAAACACCAATGAGGACGAAGCGTAGGAGACGAAGCCACAGAGAGAGAGAGTGCATTGGAACCCACAGTGGTTGCGGTCAAAGTTTGGCTAACTTTAGCAGGAAGAATGAACTCTTATCTCAGTGCAACATTAGCAACACGGTTATATCATGCAAAGGAGGATAAACGACCAACATGATTAAACACCTCAGGATTCATGGAGAGAAATACCTGAGTGCTCGTCTTTGACTCGCTTTGCCGGTGTCATGCCGTAGAATGCACCTCCGACGGAAGTGCGGTTGAAAGTACTTAACACGGAAATAATCCAAGTTTTCCTTAACGTTGGACGGATTCTAAAGCGTGTGCCGGAATCGGAAAATTGAAATCGAGAATCGATCGGAATCAAAACTGAGAATCGGAATCGGAACTGGAATCGTTCAAAATCAAACGATACCCAACCCTAATTCTGAGTGGAGGGAAAAATCCTGAATTGGATGGAGTGATCCGCTACCGCGTTTGTTAGTTTGTTGACACCACAGGCGTAAATACACCTCTTCTTCTGCTGTAGTTTTAGCGAAATTAGACAACTCCAAATGCTTCTAATCTGATTAAAGCTTGGTGCATCTATACGTACATCATGATTGGACTATTCCATTTTGCGCCCGTATAAACAGTAGATTCAGATTTTCCAATCCCTCAAATTTTTAATCAGATCAAGAAATTTTGCACATGTAAACACGGCTACTGTTGTTTGTTCCCCCACAGCTTCTGATTTCATAACCTGCTTATTTAACGTATCTCCGTTTCACCGCCTGGTATTTATGGAGTCCAGATTTATTACCGTTGTTTTATCACCCATGTTGTAAAGACGAGGAGGGTCATTGTCACCAATAAGACTTTTACGGCTCATTATACTTCCATCACCTCCTGTCAGCTGCTGCGGTCAGCAGTGGACTCCTTCACTCGGACCGTCAACAGGATGGAATAAATGATTGACAGGAATGAGTCACAGCAGCTTTGGTTACAGCGTGTGAGTGTGGAGCTGATTCTGCTCTTACACCACCGTGTTTACTTCATAAGGTCACATGTAGAAGAGGAGGAAATAGAAAAGAAGAGATTGAGGGGAAAGTGACGATTTTTCAGCTGCACCTTTAGAAGTAAAAATACTAAAGGCACAGGTACATGCAGGCCTCAATAAAGTCAACTTCAGCTTGTTTCCTGAGGTTGGCTCCGGTTCCTCCGACCATTTCAAACTTCAGTGACAGGAAATCCTGATTCGGCAACATTTCCAAAGAAGTCCTCCTCGTTCCTGTAACATCTCAGGAACTAAACACTGTGTTCTTGTTTTAGTGACGTCTCTTGGACCGAAAAGCTAAACTGGATTATCTGCAGAGTCGGCCCCTCGTACCCTCTTTATTGAATTTCCTCTGACCCCCCCTGAAGATTATTTACGACCTGAAAAATGACAGTCCAGGACTTAAACAGGCTCACAAGACGGGCGGTTGTTGCCATCCAGCGTCACGGGGGTTACATGAGACGCCAATTCCCATGGCAACCAGACATCAAGAGTTCATGGTTCAAACCCTCTCCGGAGACAGTGTGTGTGTGTGTGTTTTGGCAGACAGAGCTGTGGTCATATGAGGGAGGCGGCGGCGGCGTGTTGAGTTTTCCAGAGTTTTCTGTCAAGAAATGAGTGTGTGGGAGCATTTGTGTGTGTGTGTTTTGATGCAGAGTAATTGTGAGATTATAGTGCGCTCCGTCCGTCCCCTCAGGACCCACACGGAGCGAGTGCTGAGCTCAGCAGGACGTCTCCTCACTGGAAACCCGCTTTCGGGGAATCTGCATCGCTGACCCATTTTTCTGAGATGTAATCTGAGAGCAGACCGCAGAGCTCTCTTTGAGATCCAGCTCAGATCCTCCTGATCAGAGTCCTGAGTCAGAGACCTTCATGATCATATCAGTGACAGTCATCCAGGGACGTCTTGTGAAGGATATCAGGATTAAAGGGATATTCCGGCGTAAAATTAAGTTAGGGTCAAACACCGTAACACTGAGTTAGACACCCCCTCCAGAGATGAATGTTGCAGACCGCTTGCTTCTCTAGTTATACCAACTTTAGTAACGACCGCACGATAGCAATACAGAGAGCCACACGCTCAACCAAAACGCCACTCTATAGCCACAAATAATGCTCAGAACAGCACCTAACTTCATCAACAGGACATATAGGGTCACAGCCATAGTACTAGACACCAAACATCTTTTTAACTTTGACTCATTTCTTTAGCAAAGAGACTAAACACAACTCACCTACTCTCTTCCAGCAGCCGCTTGTTTGTAGCGAGAACTTAGGCCAGTCCATTAAGGACTGCTGGGGGGTTTCGCAGCTCAAGAAAGAACATTTATGATCATCAAAGTGTTTTACACAGAAAAAGGAATAAAAGAAACAGAGAATACCCAAATCTACCTCAGCCCAAACCCTCATTCCCACCCCACAATCTAAATCCAACAGAAACAGTATTAAGATGCATGAACTTAAAAAGGGCTTGATTTTGCAGAAACAGGAATGTGCGCACTGAGGAAACGTCATTTTAAAACTCAAGATAAGGAAACACTGGAGGTTTAGGTTAAAATCTAAAAACAAAGTTTCATAGAATGAAATTTAAATAAATAAAAACAACAGTAAAAGATACAAAAATAAGAGCACCAAAATAGCTGAAAAAGGCGATCCCGTCATTAAAACTAGAAAGGTATAAATGCTAAAACACTTGAAGTTAATGATTTAGAGTTAAGTTAAAAGCAAGACTAATTTCCTTGAAGTAATAATCTCTCAAGGAAGAACATAATAAATGTTCTTCCTTGAGCTGTGAAACTCCGCTGTAGTCTGTAATGGACTGGCCTGAGGTCTCGCTACAAACAAGCGGCTGCTGGAAGAGAGTAGGTGAGTTGTGTTTAGTCTCTTTGCTAAAGAAATTAGGCAAAGTTAAAAAGATGTTTTGTGTCTAGTACTATGTCTGTGACCCTATATGTCCTGTTGATGAAGTTAGGTGCTGTTCTGAGCATTATTTGTGGCTATAGAGTGGCGCTTTGGTTGAGGTTTATTTATGGCTCCTCAGACTGCTGTGTATTGCTATTATGTGGTTGTTACTAAAGTTGGTATAACTGGAGAAGCAATTGGTCGGCAACATTCATCTCTTGACTAGGTGTCTACCTCGGTGCTTCAGTGTTTGACCCTAAATTAATTTTACGCCGGAATATCCCTTTAAGTCACCCTCCTGACAGGTCCTCTGATGTCCTCTGACCCTCTGATGGGTCTGCTCTTCTCAGGGCATCTTGACGTGGTTAAGGTTCTCCCTCCCTGACCCTGACGTCCTCATGTTGGTTTTCAAGTTCTCCTATTTCCACAAGAATGTGTTTTTTTAATCTCTATCTACTCTAGATATAGAGAAGTGTAGATTCCATGGAGGTTTATCTCAGATCTATTGTGTTCGAGGAAGTGAAGCAACACCATCTGAGGTCATAGCGGGGTTAGGGCTGGTTGAATTTTTTTAAAAGTTTTCCTCCTCGTCTGATTTATGTGAGTTTTGTTCAGTTTCAGAGTTTATGTTTTTTTTTTTTTATCTGATTCAGTTTTATTACCAGTCACAGTAAACAAACCAGACCCTCATAATCCACCGAATTCAAAAGATCAGGACCTTATAAACACACATGACTTCATTTTGACGCAATACCCTCCCCTCAGCAAATCACAGCCCACCCTCCTCACACACACCATCCACTCCTGACTCACTCCCAGAGTCCTCTGACCAATAAGAGAGCGCCCTGCTGGAGTCCACTTCCTCGAGGAGCTCAGAGGAGGGAAGAGATTTCCAGTTTGAGTTGTGACACAGACTCGGGGGTTCTCAGAAATGAGACATGAACTGGGAGTTCTGGACTAAGCAGCTGGACGAGGAGGTTCTGGTTGAGAATGGTGAGTGCGGGACTCCCGGAGAGTCCAGATTTGTTGTCTTTCTGTCTGATAAAAACTGCTCTCTGCTCTCTGGATTGGCTGACACAAAAAGAAGTTTTCTCTTCCACACCTTCGCTGCAGCTCCTCTGCGAGTGTCTGGGTTGAAAACAGGCTGAACGGGTCAAATATCGACGCAGCGTTTAATCATTAAGGCCATTTACAACATCAGGCTCTGGGTCATGTGGTTTGTGTTTCTGCACTGCAGAGAAATAGATCTTTCTGGTGTGTGTGTGTGTGTGTGTGTGTGTGTGTGTGTGTGTCGACGAATCCCAAACACTCTTATCTGAACCAGGACCTGGATTTCCTACTTCATGCATGTTTGAGGTCACAGAGTTTTGAGGTCCAGCTGAGGACACGCTCAGACTCTGGAATCATATTTTTTATCCTGATTCGACTCTCTTCTGTCTGTCCTCGTGTTTATGAGTCTGTATATTTCACACGAGGTTTAACCCTCGCTCCTGATGTCCTGACTTTCTTGCCGCCCTCATGACGGCGGTGCAAAGTTCAGCCACTTTTGCGTTTTAACGGGGCAAATCCACTTTTACGATCGCAGAGAATTTAAAGAGACAGATTGTTCTCTAATGAGGGAGATAGCAGCCGCTAAGATTCAGTTATAGGTCGACGCAGAGCTGATACATGCGCTGATAACTGTCTGTGTCCTATCTCATAACTATGTCAATCAACGGGAGCAAGTTGTTTCAGCCACAGAGTGTACTTTCGGAACATAGAGCTGTGCATATAGATGCGCAGCTCCCCCAAAAGTGCACAAAACCAGGCTCCGTAATGACATTAAGTCTTAAAGTGAAAAATAAAGTGTTGATATTGACGTTTGTGTTTTTGTTTTCTTCAATTTTGATAGAAGGCTCGCTCTGACTCAGCTGAGCGGGTGAAGGTTTCGCTAAGATTCAGTTCTAGGTCGACGCAGAGCTGATATATGTGCTGATAACTGTCTGTGTCCTATCTCATAACTATGTCAATCAACGGGAGCAAGTTGTTTCAGCCACAGAGTGTACTTTCTGAACATAGAGCTATGCATATAGATGCGCAGCTCCCCCAAAAGTGCACAAAATCACACCAGGCTCCATAATAATGACATTAAGAGTCGATATTGACGTTTGTGTTGTTGTTGTTTTCTTCAATTTTGTTAAAAGGCTCGCTTTAACTCGATATCTGAACATAGAGCTATGCATATAGATGCGCAGCTCCCCCAAAAGTGCACAAAACCACACCAGGCTCCTTAATAATAACATTAAGAGTCGATATTGACGTTTGTGTTGTTGTTGTTTTCTTCAATTTTGTTAAAAGGCTCGATCTAACCTCGGTGTGTAACTTGTGCAGCTTCATCCCAGAGCAGGTGGAGGATTCGCACCTGCAGTCAGACTAAAACAGGCAGATCTGAGTCAAACATGTCCGGATAGTTTCATTTATAATCCCTAAAATAATCATGTTCATGCATCAGATTTCATTGACACCTTTCTGCAGCTTTCTCCACCTAGAGTCAGCTGACTCCTGTGGTCACACCTCTCATCGTCTCTTAAAGGGTTGTGTAAGTTTTTAACGAAGGTGATAAACATGTTTGTGCTCACACCAGATGCCAGCTGAACCCTCGCCAATAATCTTCTCAGATATTTACACGTTTCTGCGCAGAGATTAAGGAAGTGGTTTGTCTTTTTTTGCGCTCTGACTTCCCGGTTTTGTCCTAGTTTATTAAAAAAATACTTCAAGATGTTGAAATATCTTATGTAATATCGGCTTGTTTTCATTAGAAGAGGCTGCTCATATTAAAAAAAACAACAAGCTGTATCAGGTTACATGTGAGGGATAATCTTCGCTGGTGGAGCGAGGACAGAGGAGGGAAAGTGACTGTCACTCAAGAGGACATTCTTCAAACCAGTCGGACCTGTCCGCTCAGATGCTTCAATCCTCCTTTTGTTTTAAAAGACACGAACAAACTCCTCCCATTGTGTGTCTGTGCAGCTCAAATATCAAAGTAAGAAGATGTCGTCGATTTTCTCTCTTTGCATCACTTTCTCGTTCTCTACAAACCTGACGGCACATCAGTCATCAAACACTGAAAAAAAACGAGCGCCCCTGAAAGCACCACATTTGTCTTAGATCATCTATTGTCACTTGAATACAAACACATTTTTACTCCAGCTGAGACGAAATCAAAAGCACTTCCTGTTTCCGTCTGGAGCTCTCTCTCTCCGATTGGCCGCCGCTGTCTGCTTATTGTTGCAGATTGCCGTCCAGACGATGCCACGTCTTTTGTGCCTCCAACAGTGATTAGTCCAGTATTGTAAGGAGGGTAGTTCTCAGTATTACAGTATTCTCTGTATTGTTCATGCGCAGTAACAGCAAACTCAGCAGTAATGGTGGGTTCTCTGCTGCGTGTGCTTTCTCAAGGATGTGGTCGATGTGTGCCCCAGACGTCCGTTTGAAGCCGCCGCGTTCGGACATATTGTGAAGAACTTCAAAATAATGAAATCAAGATTTAATCAGGAGGAAGTTGACGCTCCATTCTTGCACAACACAAAAAGGATTTGAGTGAAATCAGAATAAAGTTTGTGAAAACGTATTTGATAGGGGTGGGAGAAAAAATCGATTCACATGAGTATCGGAACTTTTTTTACAATCTTTAAATCAATTTTTTTTAAGAACCTTGTTTTTTTTTTTTTTCAAATTAAAGAATAAAGGTCCTTACACACCGACAACGATGCAAATATATGACACGAAATTACGAAATATTCTGAGGTGAATTTTGGCGCGCCTGACTATACACATCAAGCAACTTTCTGGGAGGAAAAAAGAAAAAAAAAAGTTAATTAGCACTCGGGCCCGACTGGTATGGATTTTTGGGGCCGATGCCTATACCGATTATTAGGGGGGAGAAAAATCAGATTTCCAATTAATCGTCTGATTTCTAAAAATTTTTAGATTTTCTATTTTTAGTCGCAACTGCGGGTGAAACGGTCGCACTGTCGAGCCCTGGTAAATATAGTTCCTGGAATAGTCTGTAGACAATCATAATCGTTCAACTGTTTCACTGGTGTTAAAAATGCAGACTAAAGATCGAGAAAATCGACAATATTGTAGAATCACAATTTAAATCGAATTGGCATCCAAAAAAATCGTAGAAGAATCGGAATCGTGAGAAGAGCATATCAAAACAGAGCCCTAGTATTTGATGGTTTAGCTCTGGTTTCCTTTCCTCTTCACTCTAAATAAAGGTTTAGGTGAGAGCAGAGAACAGGAAGGAAGGAAGGAAGTGAGTGAGTGGACCACGAAGGTGAAAATGAGCTCAGTAAGGTGGCACAGAGTAATCCTTCACTCTGATTCAGTTGTTTTCATGAAACCAAAACTGTCATTTGCATTAAAATGTGATTTCACAGCGCTCTCTTCTTCTAACCGTGTGAACGTTCGACCTCCTCTGACCACAAAAAGCTGGAGTAACATTCAAGTCACAAAACAAAGATTTAAAATAAACCAGGAGACTTTTTTTAAAACTTTGAAAACAAAAGAACAGAAAACTAAAAGTCTGCAGTGAGAGGCAAGATGCCGGGAATTGTTGGTAAAAGTTCTATTCTGCTTCTCTTCTTTCTCTTTTTTAGGAGTTTATGAGGAGTACGTCGCTCAACCAGCAGATATGAACGGTAGCAGTCCCACCAAACTCGTGGACCCCCTAGAGGACCCGCTGCCTGGACTGGGCACCTATGAAGACTTCAACACCATCGACTGGGTCAGGGAGAAGAGCAAGGACAGAGACCGGCACAGAGAGGTAGGAAAGAAAGAGTGTTTGTGTGTGTGTGTTAAAAACATGAAGAAGATCTAGAGCGGACCATCTAACACCTCTGTGTTGATCCAGATCACCAACAAGAGCCGACAGTCCACTGTGGCTCTGCTGCACAGCGTCAGTGATGCCTTCTCGGGGTGGCTCCTCATGCTGCTGGTGGGACTCATGTCAGGTACTGTATTTATGACTCCTCTATGCGTGCGTATAAGAACTTTAGCCAATCAGAACCTGCCTTACTTCATAAGTAAACAGAAGCTGAGAGTTAAACTTTTCTCATGCATGACCCCCGAACTTCCTCTTTGTCACTCAGGCGCTCTGGCCGGCGGCATCGACATCGCGGCCCACTGGCTGACGGACATGAAGGACGGCGTCTGCCTCATCGGCTTCTGGTTCAACCACGAGCACTGCTGCTGGACGTCCAACGAGACCACGTTCCAGGAGAGGGACCGCTGCCCTCAGTGGCAGAGTTGGGGCGAACTCATCACAGGGACCCCGCATGTAAGACCACGACCAAAACCGTCTGTTTGAAAAGAAAAGATGGGATACAAACGAGACTAAATCTGTGAGAGAAAAGCCTGGCCCTTTGCTGCCATCTGCTGGTCAAAAGATGTCATAACAAATAAAACAAAAAGCTTCTGTATTAGTTCAGTTTGAGTGATCACCTCTCCTTATTTCCCACGTTTCTGTCCTCAGGGCGCGTTTGCCTACATCATGAACTACATGATGTACATCTTCTGGGCGCTGCTCTTCTCCTTCCTCGCCGTCACCTTGGTCAGAGCCTTCGCTCCGTACGCCTGCGGCTCAGGAATACCAGAGGTATGAAAACCAGACACTTTCTTCACAGACAGGATGATAAACAGGATTCTTCGACCGCATATTAATACGTTTCTGTTCTCGTTTACTTTACCCTGTTTTATTTTTATGTCTCGGAATCGAAGCCACAAACATCGCTGCGGGAGTAAACGCTTTAAAGATGTCCGGGTCGCCTCAAACTCTGCAAAAAGCTCTTTTGTATTTTGATTATCTTTGTTTGCCATCTATAAATATTTTGCAGATCGCTCCATCTGCTTGTCCTCTCCCCGTTGTCGATTAGATTTGGTGAAATTTTATCAACATGGAGAAGAGAAACAGCCGACTTCTCCCTCCTACTCCTCCTCTTTGCTCTCCTACCGTCAGTGTTTACTCTCTTGTCTCGTCTTTCCCTCTTTGTTTCGGAGGAAATCAGCAGAGCTCAAACACATCTAGGCTGATTCACCGCTTTCATATACACACAGTCAAACACAGACCATCTCTAATTTCTAAGAAGTCAAATCCGAGAGGTCAGACGGTTTATTTAGAAGAAAATTAAACCCCAAACTTCTTCTTCTCCTTCTTAAGTGTTTCCTCTTTTCTCTCAGATCAAAACCATCCTGAGCGGGTTCATCATCCGAGGCTACCTGGGGAAGTGGACCCTCATCATCAAAACCATCACCCTGGTCTTAGCCGTCTCCTCCGGGCTCAGCTTGGGGAAAGAGGGCCCCCTGGTGCACGTGGCCTGCTGCTGCGCCAACATCCTGTGTCATCTGTTCACCAAGTACCGAAAGAACGAGGCCAAGAGGAGAGAGGTGAGGACGGAGTGAGTTTTTGTTGGAAGAATAAGTGTGAATTTAGACCGCCTGGCTCTCAGCGTGTTCATGTAATCACTGAGTCTCTTTAGAGGAAACTGAGCTGAGCTTCAGAAGAGTCTGAACACACATGTGGACTCTCCTCTCCACATGCTGATAGGAGACAGAGGCAGGCAGACAGTTCACACATTTTTTACGATCAGCATTTACTCTAATGTGAGCGAAGAAACACTTTAGACTTTCTCGTGTTTGTTGACGTGAGTGCATGAACCATCTTTCTGGTGAGTCCTCCTCTCTCCTCGAAAAAGAGAGGAGCTCTCTATGCTTGCAGAGATCTACGGTGGATATAAAAAGTCTACACACCCCTGTTCAACAGCCAGGTTTTAAACTAATACTTGTTGCAGCACCTCAGTCTTTTTGGGTAGGAGTCTATCAGCGTGGCACATCTTGATGTGGAAATATCTGCCCACTCTTCTTTGCAAAACCGCTCCAAATCTGACCGATTTAGAGGGCATCTCCTATGCACAACCCTCTTCAGATCGCCCCACAGATGTTCGATGGGATTCAGGTCTGGACTCTGGCTGGGCCGTTCCAAAGTCTCAATCTTATTCCGGGGAAGCTGTTCTCTTGTTGATTTAGATGTGTGCTTTGGGTCATTGTCGTGCTGAAAGATGAAGTTCCTCTTCATCTTCAGCTTTCTAGCAGAAGGCTGAAGGTTTTGTGCCAACACTGACTGGTATTTGGAACTGTTCATAATTCCCTCCACCCTGACTAAGGCACCAGTTCCAGCTGAAGCATGATGCTGCCACGACCATGCTTCACTGTAGGTATGGTGTTCTTTTGGTGATGAGCAGTTGTTGATTTTGCGCTAAATATACCTTTTGCAATGATGTCCAAAAAGTTCAGCTTTGGTTTCATCAGACCATAACACATTTTCCCACATGTGTTTGGGAGATTTCAGATGTCTTTTTGAAAAATTAAGCCGGGCATTGATGTAAGATAAGGCCTCTGTCTTGCCACCCTACCCCATAGCCTAGACATTTGAAGATTTGTTGTCACATGATCTACACAGCCAGTACTTCCCAGAAATTCCTGCAGCTCCTTCAGTTGGTAGCCTCCTGACCAGTTTTCTTCTTGTCTTATCATCAATTTTGGACGGACGTCCTGTTCTTGGTCATGTCCCCGTTGTGCCATATTTCCTCCACTTGATGATGACGGTCTTTACTGTGTTCCACGGTATATTTAACCTGACTGACATCTTTGAATAATGAGATCCCTCTGATGCTTTGGAAGCTTTCTGCAGACCATGGCTTGTCCTCGAAGATGTGGCTTCAAAAATGTCAGGAAAAGCTACAAGAACTTTATTTGAGGTTAATCAGAGGAACTTTGATTGGCGACAGGTGTGTGCTGACTCTGAGTTTGAATGTTATTGGTTAAGTCTGAACACAGCCACATCCCCACTTATTAAAGGGTGTTCACACTTCTGCAACCACATAATCTTAGTCGTTAATTTTTATATCACCTTCCCGAAAGATTTCTGTTTGTTTTTCAATTTTATTGTAAAGGTTATAGGTCAAAATTAAAGGTAGAAGAAGTTGTGAAATTATTTATCTTGATTTGATTTTTTAACATGACGAAAACCTGGCAGTTGAACCGGGGTGTGTAGACTTTGTATATCCACTGAAGCTCTGTGAATCCTGTCCTGAATGAGCTCTTGTTCGTGTAAACATTAAAACCTGATGAATGAAGTGGATCCGTCACTAAACCCCCTGTGGTTTATGCCGTAAGGAGGAAGGAGGGTGCAAAAGCAGGGATCAGAATCTGGGATGCAAATATTGATCATGTTATCCAAGGATCTACTGTGAACATGTAAACACACTCTGTGTTTTGATCAAAGTAGAAAGTTTGAACTCTATAACGCCGTTTTTTGGACTTTAACAGGATATTTTTCAGGACTCTGACATCTGCTCGGAAAATACTTCCAGTGTTTTTGAAAATGAGAAATTAAACCGGACAGGCTGTTGTGGCCTAAAGAGTCTTTGAGAATCTCCTGCTGTCTGATATCTTTAGGAACAGAAGCTAAACCCTCAATATATACGCTCTCATGATATCTGCAGAAACATCCAAACTCAAAGCAGATGTTTGCTCCTCTCCTGGTCTGCAGGTGTTGTCGGCGGCAGCAGCGGTGGGCGTGTCCGTGGCCTTCGGCGCTCCTATAGGAGGAGTCCTCTTCAGTCTGGAGGAGGTGAGGACGAGTATTTATGAGTTTATTTTATAACCTTTTAATTCAGCACAGACTTCTTCAGCTAGAATAGTTTCATCGCAGCGAAGGAGGCGGATTTTCCACAACACCACAATCAGAAATTTCATCCTCACGAGATAATAAACCAAACGAGGCCGGAGTTTAATTTCTTTCTTCCTCTTTGTTTGATTTCTCTTGAAATGATGAAACTTTATGCTGAGAACCGCCCCGCGCTGGCACTAAACCGAGACATAATAAACCGTGAAAGGAGTGTTTGCATGTTTGGAAATGAGTGTGTCTCAGCAGCTTTTGGATTTATCCCGGTCAGATTGAGATTCAAGTGTTGTTCGAGGGCAAAACTCGGAGAGCCAAGAAATACCCACAACAGAGGTCTAAACAGACTTAATCATAGTTTCGCTCTAAAATCAAGCTTCTGTGTACAGTTTGATATTTTCAGTCGTTTACACGTCCATCCATCCGTTTATTTCTTCTTATCGGGTCATGGGGCAGCATCTGATCAAGTCCGCCTCTTCCCGGCAACACTTTCCAGCTCCTCCTCTGGGATCTCAGGGTGTTCCCAGACCAGGTGGGATGTGTTATCCTTCCAGCTAACTCTGGGCTTACCCAAGGGTCTCCTCCCAGTTGGACGTGCCCAGAAGACCTCCAAAGGGAGGCGTCCAGGTGGAATCCTTATCGAATGCCAAAAACCACCTCAGCAGAACCCTAACTTTATCTCTAAGGCTGAGTCCAGACACCCTTTTGGAGGAATGTGATTTCTGCCTCTTGTATCACCCGAAGCCCATGACTGTCGGTGAGATCGACTTGCAAATCGAAAGCTTCGCCTTGCGACTCTGATCCCATTTTACCATGACGGTGTGGTTCGATACCCGCTCCAATCTGTCGATCAATCTCATGATCCACTTGGCCCTCACTTGGAAATAAGACTCCAAGATACTTAAACTCTCTTATTTCGGACAAAGACTTCCTGCCCACCTAGAGAGAACAGTCCACCGTGGCCAAAAACCGCCATTTAAGGAAACTGATCGGCAGTTCAAGACCACAGTTGACCAGTAGAGGGGGTGATGCTGGTGTTGTTGAGCTGGTCACAGGAAGTCCAAACCTTAAAAGTACACAAACTCTGTCTTCTGAGCTCAGCTGCTGCACTGTTAGCTAGCAGGGACATAAAAACTGACGGAACTAGACGGAGCTTCACGGTCGCACAGAAACTGCACATTGCTGAACCTTTTTCCTCATAATTCAAATACCTACATCGTTTTTGAAGTAAATTTGCTGACAGGTGTGTTTTTTCTTCCTCCAGGTGAGTTATTACTTCCCTCTGAAGACTCTGTGGCGTTCCTTCTTCGCCGCTCTGGTCGCCGCCTTCACCCTGCGCTCCATCAACCCCTTTGGGAACAGCCGCCTGGTGCTCTTCTACGTGGAGTTCCACGCCCCGTGGCACCTGGTGGAGCTGGCCCCCTTCATCCTGCTGGGAATATTCGGCGGCCTCTGGGGGGCGCTGTTCATCCGGGCCAACATCGCCTGGTGCAGGATACGTAAGTGTGAAACGGCGCAGAGAGACTGCTTGTTTTTTAATCGAACCGCCTGTTCATGTGTCTCTGTCTCCCTGAAGGTAAATCCACTCGTCTGGGGCACTACCCCGTCATCGAGGTGCTGGTGGTCGCCGCTCTGACCGCCCTGATCGCCTACCCCAACAGCTACACCAGGATGAGCGGAGCCGAGCTCATCTCGGAGCTCTTCAACGACTGCTCGCTGCTGGACTCGTCTCAGCTCTGCGGCTACAAACAGGTCAGCGAGAGTAAACAAACCTGCTTCATTCCTGAAATATGAAGCGTGACCATCGGCTTTAGAAGGATCTTCAGATCTACTCTGAGACAGTTTTCCTTCCTTTTGGTCTGATAATCCCTTTTTATTGCTTTTCCATCCCTCTCTATCCTCTTCATGTTCATTTTTCTCCTCCTCTTCACTCCCTGCAGCCGACCAACACATCAGAAACAGGTGTGGGGAACAGCCTGGCCGACCGGCCGGCAGGAGAGGGTCTGTACACGGCTCTGTGGCAGCTCGCCCTGGCTTTAATCTTCAAGATGTTGATCACCGTGATCACCTTCGGCATGAAGGTGGGTCCCGACAACACAAACAAAAACCAGCTTCATCATCATCATCATCATCACCGCTCTCAGACGCCACATTCCCGGTTGCATTCACTGAATTCCCCCTGACCCACTTCTCAGTCCAGACTGAGTGTAATTGAAGCTCTTGTTCAGACGCTGTCACAGCAGCATGACTCACCATCATGTGGCTCAGTGGAGATCCAAGTTAACGCGACCGCGATCCAGAGAAGTGGAGAGTGTGTGACAGAAATGTTGACAGGAACAGAGTCTGATGGTGTGTGTGCATCATCGGAAGTCTGAGATCGATTAAAATGATGCAGAAAATGATAAAACAGGAACCAATTTCAGGTTTTTGGAACACATGTGTTGGTTAAATAAGTTCGGATATGTTGGTACAGGGTCATGTTTCCTGTTGTGTGTCTGTTTTAATGCATTGCAGCGATTAGGAAGTCCCGTTTAGATTAAAAAGCTTGATCCTGTGTCCTCCAGGTCCCCTCTGGTCTCTTCATCCCCAGCATGGCAGTCGGGGCGATCGCCGGCCGGCTGCTGGGCGTGGGCATGGAGCAGCTGGCCTACTACAACCACGACGCCATCATCTTTAAAGGCTGGTGCTCCCCGGGACAGGACTGCATCACCCCGGGTCTCTACGCCATGGTGGGAGCCGCTGCGTGTTTAGGTGAGACCTGTAGAGGCCGCGTGTCTGCTGCTGCTGCTGATGTTTTTGTGCCGCGAGCTTTTCTGAACACGTACAACGACTGGCACGCTAAAGAGTCCAGACTACGTGTCGAGCCTGACTTGGAAATGCTTGAGAGCGCCTGGAGAGCAGCTGGAAGAGGGCGGAGGGAGGTGACGTCTCAGTAACCCCGCTTCATTTGTCTAAAATACAACCCAGACACAGATAACTGCTGTGAAATGAGTGGACTGAAGGGGATTTCCTGCTGGTTTGGAGTCCCCAGGTTCATTTTTTACCCACATGATTGAAAAGGATCTCTTTCTGGTCGAGGAACTGAGTCAAGGTTTCCTTCAGAAACGAGGAAGATTCAGGTTCTGGACTTGTAGCAGGATAAAAACTCCACAGGTGTCGTCTCTCTGAGCAGACGGCCATGACTCACTCTCTCTACCTCTCCATCACCACGGCAACTACCTCCAAACTAGTACCCATAAAATTTCACAGAGGGTGATCGCTCTTAATGAGGCGTCAGTTTTTAATCTTTCGTGCAGAGCTACAAGGCCTTAAATCGCCATTTTCCTCCGAGAAGACAAAAACAAAAACAAGTCAGAGAAAGAGAGAAAGAGACGTTTTTACCGAAACAGGGAAAACCCAGAAAATCCCCTTTTCATTTGACACAGTCTATTTCAGTCAGTCAACTCTTTGTTGTCTATTTTAAAGAAACCAGCAGACTCTGATGGCGATGCTCTAAATGATATTAAAGATAAAGGCGGTACTCTGAAATAGAAAGTACTCTCTGGGAAGTCAGTCGGGTGTTTATTTGTTTCTTTGTCACGCTCGTCAAACTGATAAAGGGCTCAGACTCAGTCTTTCCCACATTGACTGTATCTGTTTGTCGCTAAAACTTTCACCTCCTGTCAACTCGCACTTCATCAGTCGTCGCTCGAGGACAGAAAACCTTCAAGGACGCGTTCGGTTGTCGGAGCGGTCGAACGCCTCGTTCCTCCGGAGCTGTCGGGTTCGCATAGAGCTCCCTTTGTTTCTGAGGTCTGCTGCTGTTTTAGCACAGTCTGTGCTTTAACACCCCACCCCCCCACCCCCCATTCAACACATGTGTGATGCCCTCTAGCAGTTTGTTAAATATCCCATGATCTTCATTTAGATTTGTTTGTCTGAGAGGCTTTAAAACAGCACACACACACACACGCCTTTACTCCCTTTACTTCCCCTTCATTCTGTAAAGTTAAAGCCAATCTGTTGACTTTATTTAACTCATTCAGTTCCAGGTTCATTTATGCAGTTTTAACCCAGCGCCATCATTGACCATAATAGAAATTTCCATATCTTTCAGGACCCACAGAATATCTCGTGCTTGGACTAGAAGTTCTTTTCTTTTCTCAAAAGAAAGGGGTGATTCTCTCCTTTCACCAGAAAAATAAGTTGGTCTCTAACCCACTCCTGTGTTTAGTTATTCCCTGTTCAATGCAGCGCGGTCATATCATCTTTGCCGATCAAGGAAAGGAGCAACTTTCAAGCGGAACTCTGATCCTCTATTTCATTTCACTTCAAACTACTTTACCGGTGGCATCAAGGTCCTCCCTCTTTGGACAACACAAAGATTCGATTGTGATAGATCTTGTATCACCCCAAGTGATACTTGTCATATTGGCTCTCAAGAACCCTGACGCCACGACGTAAACCATGCAGAATGTTTGCGTTCTCCTCGCTGAATTCCGGCTCAGTCTCGCTCACCATTACCGGCACCGGCAACACGACGACACGCCGGAAAATTGTTTTTTTGATCGCCTGCTGACGATGTGAAGAGATGATAGCACTGCGCCCACGGGAGCCGATGCGCTGAGACCGTTTGCTCTTGGCTAATGACTTTGGCATTTTCCTATTTTGCTCATAGAGAAAAAACACTCCACAAGTAGGCTAATTGGCACACTTGGTGGCACACTTCTCACTGGCAAGTACTTGTTTTTGTTATTGTAACATGGTTATGACGTATTTGTCGACTTTTCTGCGTTCAGAGCGACCCCAAACTTAGTCGCATCTTAGGGCGAAGCGCCCTCTGATGGAAAACAAAAAAACTCCAAAATCCGTCAATGGCACTGAATGAGTTAAAAGGCTCTGTGGATGATATCTCCATTTTTCACATGCTTGTCAGGCCTTAAAAATACCACCAGCACCCAGCCAGAAAACTCGATTCCATCGTGATTGAATTAGGTCTGGTGCATGTTTATCGTAGGAGCATCAATTCTGAATCCTGGCAGAAATAGAAAGACTAAAACTAACAGGCTCTGATTCACATTTGCAGCTTCTTCTGCTGTCAGTGCTCCGCATATAAGAGGCTGTTCAGAAGATGTTGCTCAATACCTAATGAGGGATCTGCTTTCTCCCGCTAAAGACATGTGAATGTAATGAGTCTCTTTTCTCAGCAAGACAATGTTCGACACGAGGAAACAATCCCGGCGGTGTTAAATCACCCTGTTTTTTTTCTGTCAGTGGTTTCAAAAGCGCGGGCCGGGCGCTGGTGGTTAAAAGCAGCAGGAGGCCCCCCGAAAAGAGGGCCGCGGTATCGTGTTCAGTGTCGAGGGATGATCGTAAACAGACCGGAGCAGAAAATGAAGAGCTCAAACTCAACGGAGAAAAGTCTGAATCGGTCGATCCTGCTCTAAATCTGACAGGAGTCGTCCTTTACAGCCTGATGCAACTTTATTACCATGTTGAGTCTGAATCCTTGCAACTGTTTCATGGAGAACGACACATGGAACTTCAGCCGTTGCCTTGGAAGTATAAACATATCCTCTTTCTGTCTCTGCTCAGGTGGAGTAACTCGTATGACGGTATCCCTGGTCGTCATCATGTTCGAGCTGACGGGCGGTCTGGAGTACATCGTCCCCCTCATGGCTGCGACCATGACCAGCAAATGGGTGGCAGATGCTTTCGGCAGAGAGGGGATCTACGAGGTGAGTCGCCCGTGCGTGTGCGATGTTTCGTACGTGTTTGATGGAGGAGGTCAGGGTTCTGAGTGTACGACTTGCGCTCTTGCAGGCTCACATCAGGCTGAATGGATACCCCTTCCTGGAGCCCAAAGAGGAGTTCGAGCACAGCAGCCTCGCCGTGGACGTGATGAGGCCCAGGAGGTCGGATCCGGCGCTGGCAGTGCTCACGCAGGAGGGAATGACCGTGGGCGAGGTGGAGGTACAAACATTTATGTATATTTTACGACATTTTCACGACTTAGATAGCGTATTTCTACGTCTCCAGAGGATTTCTTTCATTGTGGGCACTGTTTCCTTTTTTATGAAACATTATACTTTGATATTTTTTCTCTAGACGTTGGTGGAGGGCACTCGCTACAGCGGCTTCCCTGTGGTCGTCTCCAAAGAGTCCCAGAGGCTGGTGGGATTCGTGCTCAGGAGAGATCTTCTCATATCAATAGGTCAGAAGAATCTGCTCGTAAAAGGTTTCAGATTTCGATAATTTCAGGTCATTGAAAGTCTAAAATAATGTCCTGCTCCTCACAGACAACGCCCGAAAGCGCCAGGAGGGCGTCGTCAGCGCTTCCCAGCTTCTCTTCACCGAGCACACTCCGCCACAGCCCGCAGACGGTCCACCTCCACTCCGCCTCCGAGGCATCGTGGACCTGAGCCCCTTCACCGTCACCGACCACACGCCCATGGACATAACTGTGGACATTTTCAGGAAGCTGGGGCTCCGCCAGTGTCTGGTCACACATAACGGGTAAGAGGAACTTTAATCCGATTTAATCCCGAGAGGAAAAACAGAGGATGAGACTCCCTCGCCGTTTGACGCTAATGTGAAATACTGCGGATAGCTCGGGGTCAGATCAGGCGTTAAAGAAAAAGCGAGGAAGTCCGAGGAGTTAAAGATGAGGAGAAGAGACCATGTATCTCGTATCGGGTTTCAGCTTTTTACCACAAAGACGAAGAAGAAACGATCCCGCTTTTTTTTAGTTTTTTAATACGACGTCTTGTAAATTCTTCGGAGCCACATGTGCCTCTTCAAAGCCCTGATCAAAGCGCAATTTATGAAGCGTCTGAGAAGCCGAGCTGAGTTTGAGCCTGTGTGTGTGTCCTGATAATTTATGCTTTTGTTCTCTCTCCTCGTCCTCACTGTCAGGGGCTGTTAAAGGAGCGAGAGAGTACAGAAGGAAAACAGGATTTAAAGAGCGATTGAGTTGCTCTAATGTAGACAGTTTTACACCGTGTAGATTTCCCCACATGGTTTTATTTCACTTTGTCGGTCAAATTAAATGCACAGCCGAGAGTTTCGATGTCTTTGTCAAACCAACAGTGCAAACCGTTAACATATGACGAGAGAGGAACCAAACACGATCGTTTTAGTGTGTCAGATTTATTTTAGACTTCACAGCAAATCCGTGATTAAAGACGCTTCAAATCATGTTTTATTTCATCTGCAGGATCCTGAAAAAAAACGGTGAAACATCTTCCAGATTCGATCGGGAATTTTTCCGACATGTGATCTCGTTTTTAGGTGAAGACAAAGAGCCGATCGCAGTTCACACAGAGAACGATTAAAAACAAAACGAGAAGTTCGACCAACAAAAACATGAAAATATGAAACGAATTAGAATAAAAGTTCGAGGAGGAAGGAGAGGGAGATCAGGGAAAAACGAGGAACAGGAGGAAGCAGAGTCGTTTTTTTCTTCTCTTGAAATCAAAATCATCTCCTGAAAATGTCCGATTTTCTCCTTTCTTTCCAGTTGTTTATCTTAATCACTCTTTCTTTCTTTTTATGCTTGTCCGCTCGATTTCAGTCGTTTTACTGCATCATGGGAAACAAAGGGCTTACACTTGTTTGTTGCGTAAACACATCCAGGATTTAGAGCTTTGGTTTTTTGGTTCGAGATGTTGCCCAAAGCTGTTTCCGTCTCGACTTTTTATTAAATATCACCGAAACTTCCCCGTTCAGTTCAGCTCCGCTCGGTTCCCCCTCCTCGCCGTCATCCGTCACACTCAGTGACGACAGAGGAACGATGTTGATGTGGAGAGGTACCTCCGCTCGGCGCAGACAGCAGATACTCCCCGTGAGACTAAACCTAAACCGGGTGTTTCAGATCTGTTTAGATGGAAATCTGACGGGTTCAAACACGCGGCTCTCAGGGACCCAGGAGGAGGATTATGTATATTTTTATGAATACAGAAATAGAGAGTGGTACCGCCGCTGTCAAACACCGACTCTGGACCGACCGCACACGGATGAAACGATATCGCTTTTGGGTTTTCTTTGTCACTTTCTGGTCCGGAGTCACTCTTTGAGCGTTTTCCAGCAGGAATGAAACTCGCAGTTAGAGTAGACGAAGGGTTATGAGTTTGGAAAGGAAGAAAAGAGGGAGAAACAAGAGTGGACGAATCAAGAAAAAAACTGAGATGTCCATTTTTTTATTTTTTGAAATGGGGAAATATGACTTTATGGGATGGCAACAGTGGAGGAGGCTGCTGGAGTGTTTGGATGGGAAGTGAAGGGTTTTAGAAAAGAATGACACCAGTCTGAGATCATGGAGCTGGAAATCAGAGGAGATCAGGGAGAGGAGGTGAAAGAAGAGGAGATCAGGGAGAAGAGGGAGGGGAGGAGAAGGAGGAGAGCAGAGAGAGGAGGAGGAGAGAGAAGAGGAGAGCAAAAAGAGGAGCAGGAGACCAGGGAGAGGAAGAGAAAGAAGAGGAGAGTAGGGAGAGGAGGAGAAAGAAGAGGAGATCAGGGAGAGGAGGGAGGGGAGGAGAAAGAGGAGAGAGGAGGAGGAGGAGAGGAGAGAAAGGAGGAGAGGAGAGCAGGGAAAAGAAGAGAAATGAGAGGAGAGCAGGGAGAAGAGGAGAGGAGGAGATCAGGGAAAGGAGGGAGGGGAGGAGAAGGAGGAGAGCAGACACAAGAGGAGGAGGAGAGAAGAGGAGAGAAAGGAGGAGAGTAGAGAGAGGAGCAGGAGAGCAGGGAGAGGAGGAGAAAGAAGAGGAGAGCAGGGAGAAGAGGAGAAAGATGAGGATGAGGAGGAGAAGAGAGGAGAGAGAGGAGGAGGAGAAGGAAATAGGAGAGGAGAGAGGAGAAGGAGAGAGGAAAGAGAGGAGGAGGAGGAGGAGAAGTAAATAGGAGAGGAGGAGGAGAGAGAAGAGAAGAAGGAGGAGAGGAGGGAGAGTAGTAGGAGAGAGGAGAGGAGGAGAAGAAAGGAGAGGAGGGAGAGTACTAGAAGAGATGAGATGAGGAGGAGGAGGGAGAGGAGAGAAGAGCAGGGAGAGGAGGAGGAGAGAGGAATAAAGGAGGAGAGGAGGAAAAATAGAGGGGGGAGAGTAGTAGGAAAGAGGAGATGAGGAGGGACAGGAGAGCAGGGAGAGGAGGAGAGAGGAGAGCAGGGAGAGGGGGAAAAGGAGAGGGGGGAGAGTAGTAGGAGAGAGGAGAGCAGGGAGATGAGGAGAAGAAGGAGGAGAGGAGTGACAGGAGGAGTAGAAGGCAGGTGTGTGTTTTTGTGAGTGTCTGAAAAGCAGAGGGACGAGAGAGAGGCCGTTTAGTCTCACATGTGTTCAGTTTTCTTAAAGGTCAAATTTTCAGATGAAATTCTTCATCTGTTGAGTTTTACGGTGAAATGGGCTGAAATTTTAGGGGAAGAATAAAGAACATAAGATCACAGCCCTCAGGAGTGTCCTTAGGAGTGCCCTAAGATGTCTCCACATATGTCTCCTCAGAAGTCTTCTTAGAAGTCTCCTCAGAAGTGTCCTCGTGTTGACCCTCTGGTTGTTTACTCCTCGGATGTGAAGCTGCTTCTCCTTAGAACATCAGAACTGAAATGACTAATCTGATCTTCACTAAATGCCTCGTCCGTGGGCACGTTAGTTAGTCAGCGCACATGTCCGTTAAATGGCTGCTGACAGGACCAGTGACTTCTCCGAGGACCTGCGTGTGTTCGCCTCACATGGACCGCTCATCGGCCAGAATCCAAAGGCGAGATCCAGCCTGAGTGGATCCATGTGTGGCATGTGAAGGCAGCAGATTTTTGAGGAATCACACATCGTCTCTGAGGACAAACAGGATTAAGAGAGGACGGAGAGCTGATTCACTCTTGGTCCGGGAATCCAGATTGACACAGAGTCAGGAGAAAGACCTCGAGGCCATGTGTGCTGCTGTATCACTTTTTGGTCGTCTTGAGAGATGAGAAATGTGATTTTTTTTCCGTCTGACTCACACCCACCTCGCTGAAGATTAGGAAGTATCTGTTTCAAGGTTGGCTTTAGCTTCTTATCAGAGGACGATGACAGAAACACAAAAACATCCTCTCAACCCGAAAATCTCTTCAAAATGTGGCGAATTTTTGTGGTTTGATGTTCTTACTCAGTGTATCTGTTGTCTCGTACCCGAGTGGTCAAACTTCAATTATTGGGCTGAGAGGAATGAGTGAATCAGGCCAGTCCGATAAACAGCTTTCTATTAACACCAGATGAGTTCAACCCAGACATCTGGGCCTCTCATGAGGCCTGCAGTCAAACCGAACCCTCGATTTAAAGCTGTTTTCTTTCATTTTTAATCAGTTTTGAACAACTTTTTATCGTCAAATAAAACATGATCCCAGTTCGAGCGTCTTTATTTGTTGTTGTTCTTTTTTCAATCACATGTGCACCAGAAAGGATTAGGGCCACAAGAAGAGAAAAAAGTCTTAACAGGAGGGAGATCTTTTTGATTTCCACTTTCCAATTTTAACTTTATTTATGTCCTTTTTATCTCCAAATTTTAACATTATTCACGACATTTCAACATTTTTAATCTCCAAATTTCAACTTTAATCTTAAAATTTCCACTTTTTTGACATAATCTCAATTTTTTTATATCAAAGTTTTGACTTTATTGACATAATTTTGATTTTTGTAATCAAAATTTAAATTTTTATTCTCAAAATTTCAACATGATTCAAAACATTTAAACATTTTAAATCTTAAAATTTCAACTTTGACATAATTTCTATTTTTAATCTTGAAATTTCAACTTAATTGAAATTATTACTATTTTAATGTCGAAATTTTTCGACTTTTTTTAAAAAAATTTTTGATTTTTTTAATGTCAAAATTTAGATTTTTTTATCTCAAAATTTCACCATTATTCACGACATTTCAACATTTTTTATTTTAAAATTTCAACTTTATTGACATAATTTCTGTTTTTTTTTAAACTCCATTGACATGATTTCGATTTTTTTATTGCGAAATCTCGAATTTAACCTAGAAATTTTAAGTTTTTTATCCCTAAATTTTCACTTCGACATAACTTCAATTTTTTTAATGTCACAACTTTGATTCCTATTCTCAAATTTTCAGTTTCACTGACATAATTTGAATTTTTTTGACCTCGAAATTTTGGCTTTAATCTTAAAATTCTGATTTTAATCTCTTATTCTTTTTTCTCTTTATGTGGCCCTCATCCTTTTTTGTACATATTAGCTCTAAATGAATTGCCAACAATCAAATTCTGTGTTACAGTAACTTTTATTGGGAATGAGGCCGTGAGAAAACTTTATTTCTTTATTTTTTTGGGCGTAAACTTTAAAAATAAGAAACAAAAGTGTCCGTCACGGTGCTTTTGTGTGCCTGAGATGCCAGCAGATACATTAGATTTTAAATTATCGTCCTTCTCTATAGTGTGATTCTCCGATCGGCTCTGATGGCGCAATAAAACATCACTTTTATTAGCGACAGTAGCAGCATTATGAGGCGCATGTCGAGGATGTGTATTCTCTTTATCCTCATAAAGCTGCAGCGCTGCTAAAACGCACCAGCGTAAAACTGTTTCCTCCTGAAACTCCCCATCTGTTTCCACGCTCATTTGAATAACTCATCACATCTCTTGTCTTTCATTAAAACTCGACTCTTTCCTGACTTTGTTTTCACTCACTCAGAGTGTGGGCTGTGATCAGTTTTCGTCACTTTACTCTCTGTTTACGGTGTGTCCGTGTTCCTTTTATCTCCCGCTGCGAGCAGAGACGGTAATAAAGCTGTCAAGAGCAGATCTGGTCTGGCCTCTTCTTTCTCTCGCTCTCCTCTCCGTCGCTGTTTCCACTTTTCGTGATGAAGCAATAAAAGATTGAGTCGCACTAACTCCTTCGTCTCTGTCTGTGTTTAGGAGGCTGCTGGGAATCATCACTAAGAAAGACATCCTCAAACACATGGCTCAGATCGCCAACAGAGACCCCGACTCCATCCTCTTCAACTGAGCTCCTCCATCCTTCCTCCTCTTTCTCCTCTCTTCTTCTTCCATCTCTCCTCTGCAGAGCAGGGGGGAGGACCAGACGACACCAGCTCGAGCGAAACGCACCTTTTACCTCGTCGGCTTTAAGAAGGCAGGTCAGAGAGAGAGCGCCAAGTAAGTCCAGCGGTTTGCACAGGCCACCAGAGAACAATGGAGCTTTCTTTTTTTCTTTTTTTTTTCTGCTTTCTGGAAGAAAAACACTCTCAGAAACAATGACTCATCGAACCGACGCTGCTGGCCCTGATTTCAACTTCAATCCAGAAGGATGTAGGACAGATACCCCGAGAAGAGTTCGTGGATTATTTCACAACTGCTCCTTTTTTTTTTCCCCCCTTTTTGCTTCAAAAAGCATCAAAAATTTATTTTCTGCTTTAAGAGAAAAACACGGAGGAGGAGCGGAGGGCGGATGATCTTCCGTCACAGACACTGAGTGATATCAGGTGGGATGAAGAGACGGTTTTTCGAGGAGCGGAGGGTTTTTCTGCCCTCCGGCCCTCCAGGCGAGCCCAGACAGAGCGCTCCTCTCCGGGCTGATGGATGCTCAGCCACCCTCCCCCCTTTTTCTCCCTCCTCTGAGAGCTTTCCTGAAGCCTCGGGGGTGAGGGATACAGGAGTGTGAGAAGAGGCTCTGAAACACACACTTTACACTCCATAAAGACTCGATGACAGCCTGGGAACTCTCCAGAAATGTCTCCTTCATTTTTTTTTTGTCATTTTTTGTACCACGGCGTGAGACTCCAGCCTGGGAACTATGCAGTATTTCTTCGCCGTCTCCGATCGGCGATTCCGAGGGTCGAATTCTCATGAAAAAAGAAATCACACAAACACAAAGATGATGCTGCAATAACCATGTCATGCCTTACGGAGGACGTTTGGGCTGCAAAAACCAAGAATCATGACACATGAGTTAATTTATGTACATGTTAAATTTGTTTGTCCCACTAAATTATTTCACAGACTTGAACGTGTGTGTGTGTGTGTCGTGTCCGTTATTTCTCTCATTTCTTCTGATCCGTCACAGCAGGAGTAAGATTTTCGATTTCTACAATCCTCGTCAGAATCAGCTCTGGAAACTCCGACTTGGTAGGAATGTGGCGCTCATGAAGTTTTTCAGACTTTACATCCAGTTCCTCTCTAATCCTCCGACGTGAGCGGAACAATATTATTCAGCGTTATTCTTATCTCTTTAAAGCTCGTCTGGATCTCACGCTGACTCGACCAGGAGGCTGTCAAAGCCGGAGACTCGTAAGGTTCAGGTTTGTGGTTCCTCATCCTGTTTGCTTTATTTATCTCCACACCGGGAGATTTCTCCGCACGGCGAGTTATGCAGAAATTTGAGGACGCGAGGACACGCCTTTAGGGGGAAACCACTGAGCGCCCTGGTTTAGAGTTTGTGTAAGTTCTTGGCTTGTTTGTTTTGGTGTGTGGGCACTTTTTAAAGTTAATATTTGGAGACATGTTGTTTTTAACGGGTCGGATTAGAGCTGGAGTGAAAATCTTGATGCTTTCAAACTTACTTCATCCTGATTTTGTTTCGTTTGTTAGTCTGTTATAAAAATCGACATACGTTTCTGATCTTTGTCAGGACTGTTTTTCAGGTTCGTCTTTTCTGCGGCTGAACTCCAGGTCCAAGATGCTGCTACGTCCAATCAGAGAGCGGTATTTGAGACAGGGGCGTGTCTATCAGACAAAAGACGTCAAAGGCAGCTCTCGTGGATCCTCCGTTTTCACTCACCCAACTTCCCTCCTCTCACCTGAACTTCTGAGCTACACCGACACCATATTCACACTTTTTAGATGCTTATAAATCCATCAGAACGCCACCAAACTTAAGGTGACCAGACATCACCGATTTCCAGGGACAGTCCCCGTATTGGATGACCTGTCCTAAAGCTGTCCTTGAAAATGTCCCCAATTTAAGCGAGAACAAAAAAGTTGCGTGTAGATTAGAACAACGATTATTACGGTAGCAGAGTAGGTAGGAAGCACGGTTAAGCATGTTGCCCGCAGTCCTGAGCAACAGGTTTTACGTGGTAGTACCGAGATGTTGTCTGTGATCACTCTGCCCATTTGCCCGGATTTCATTACAGAAATCAGGTCACCTTAAACAAACTAGCGCTAAGTGATGTGCAAAGGTAGCATTTAGCTCGTAAGAATGTCTGAAATGTGGCTTGAAAACCAGATATTTGTCCGAGGAGGTGGTGGAGACCAAAAACCAGCTCAAACTGGAGTAAGTAATGGACTTTTCGTCGTCATTTTGCGATGATCTTTGCTATGCTAACTCTCAAAGGTCTTAACATGCTAACTTTAAAGAATAGACAAAACCTGAACCAGTCCTTTGACTTTCCCATTGACCATGGAAACAATCAAATATTTTATTTTTAATGTTAAACACGATTGCTCGTCTTTTGATTAAATCTGGCCGTTAAATGAACTTTGAACCATCATAACAACTTTTTAGAAAGTGGAGTCATGGCTGAACCGCCATTTTTGAACGTCTTCAGAAGCCAGCGGATGCCGCCACTGTGATTCCATCCCTGTCTACTTCTGAGCTACACCAACATCGTATTTGTATTTTTTTACCATCAGAACGCCACCAAACTAACGCCAAGTGACGGGCAAACGTAGCATTTAGCTTGTGAGAATGGTTTAAATGTGGCTTGAAATCTAGATATTTATCCAAGGAGGTGGTGGAGACCAAAAAAAAGCTAAAACTGGAGTAAATAATGGACTTTCGTTCGTCATTTTGCGATGATCTTTGCTATGCTAAGTCTCAAAGGTCGTAACATGCTAACAAGTGGCCAGAATTCCCTTTAACAGTTAAATATGCTCATAATAAACATGTAAACCACAGAAGAAAGCAACAAAAAGCTGAAATAAAAAGTTCTTGTGGTTTGTGTTTCTGTTTCAAATATCTGTTTTATGATTTATTACTGTGGTCTGGACCGTTTGAAAGCTCATCATCCGACTTAAAAGCCGTTTAATCCCTGATGGAAGTCTGACTGATTCATCTGGACATCCTAAAGTCAAGTGTACCAGCATCTCTCAGTCGTGCCCTACTTAAGCATTCGCCAGCGTTTTTGTCATGTCTTCATTTTTAATGGGTCTGTTTTCTGTTTACGTGCGCCGCGGGACAAACCCGCTGCGTGAATCGGTCCCAGCCTTCATTTTGATTGATGATGTTTAGTTAATGCCAGAGACATAATGCTTTCAAAGACGCGTTGAATCGTTTAAAATAACCGTCTTTAATCAGAGTAAATAACAACCTCGTCCTCATCCAGGTAATAGCTCAGCCCAAGACTAGACTTGGATAATTTTGGGACATGATTATCCTGGACTTCAAGTTTCCATGTGCTATTATATGATCGCCTGGACTCATTTATGTTTCTCTTTATTGGACATTTAAAGGATTTTGATGAAAGCCGGGGGAATTAAATCATAATTTAAAGGGTTTAATGGATTGAAACTCAAGCCTCATTTCACTTTAGAAAAGATTTTAAAGTATGGACGAAACCTGAATCTGTATTTTGACCTCCCTGTTGAGCATAGAAACAATCAAATGTTCTTTTTTTTATGTTTAACAGGATGTCTTTGCTCGTCTTTTGATTAAATTTGGCTGTTTAATGAACGTCAAACCATCATGTCAACGTTCTAGAAAGTGGAGACATGGTTGGACCGCCATTTTCGAACCTCTTCAGAAGCCAATGGACATCGCCACTGTGATTCCATCCCTGTTTCATCAAGTCCATAGATGACCCCTAACTCCTGACACCTTCAGCGTTTCTGCTTTTATTCCAGACCCTCTCGGTTTTAAGGCGTCACCTCGAGTGACAGCGAGTCGGCGCTCGTCTTGGCCACATTATCCCTGTGAGAAGAAGAGTCTGCGGCTCCACAGACGGAGGGGAAGGGTGTTTTTGCGTGCGGTTTGTTGACATTTCTGCACGTCGGTTAATTGAAAATTTTCTGTGCGTGTGTGGAAATGAAGCAGGTGTGTGTGCGTGTGTGTGTGTTGAGGAATGTGGGTGCATTGTTGCTGGTTAGTAATGACTCAGTGTATTCCTGAGCTCAGTTCCTGTGGCTGAGACTTCACATGGGGCTCGAGTTACCGACCTGCTGGTGGCTCCTGCGTTCTCACACCTCACGCTCAGACGCACTCAGGAGTCCGTACAGTCCGTTCTTTCTTTATTCTTTCTCAACTTGTTTGATTCTTTTGTTTCTTTTCTGACATTTTTTTTCAATCTTTTTTTTTGCGCCCTCCCTCTCATATCAGCCCCCTTTCGCGTTCCCATGCCTGCCATTGTCTCCCGGTGAACATTACAAAGCGCTGAAACATTTGGATGTGGTAATCGTCCAATTCAAGGTGTCACCCTACACCTCGCAGTGTCAGGTCGCGTCTCTCACCTTGTGTGTTTGTGTGTGATTGTTCACATGTGTGCAGAGAGAGCATGCAAACAGATGACGTGTGTGTGTGTGTGTGTGTGATCCGCCCAGGGCTGCGCAGAGACCAAATATTTAGGATCCAGCGCCGTCACAATGAAGCCGAGTCCGTGTGTGTGTTTGGTGTGTGTTTGGAGGAATGCAATCCAATCCGCTCTGCAGTGTTACGTCGCGGCCCTCGTAGCCTCACCTGAGGTTAGAAGGTGGAGGTTCCCACAGCTTCAGTCGCAGCTCTCTGTCTCTGCTGCTGCTCATGTAACACACACAGTAATCTCACTGACCTTTCACTGACAAATATGGGAACAAACCGAGAGTCAGTCAGAGGCTTTCATCGATTTGTAGCGGGTTAAGATCAACCTGATGGCTCTGACGGGCACGAAAAATGTATAGATCATAACATGACCAAAAATATCGTTCAAATATGAGTAGTCCTGAATTTGGAACAAAGATTTAGATGTTAAATTTGGCAAATTGGGGTCAAATTAGGAGAATTTACTCAAAATTTATTAAAAACTGAAACCTGAAATTAAAAACCGGAATTTTTTTGCAAGTTTCGCAAGTTTGATGGTGTTTTTTGGCACCGAAAATGTTGTGAAAGAAGAACGATAGAACAAAATTCCTTGGTCCGTAATAAGAACTAAATGAAATCTAGATTCTTCTGACTATTCTTGACTTGAGACGCAGTATCTAGAATACGGCTTAAACTGACCACAATCACCTGAAATGGACCAAAACTTTTAGTAATTTTTCCTGTCAAGTCCAAAAAACTGCAGTTCCTCGAGTGTCCACTTGAGGCAGGTCCCAAAAGATGAGTGATTCCCATTTGAACCCATATTAAAGAGTCAGTTTTTACAGCAGAATTTCACGTGTTTACATCCTGGTACAGAAATGAATTTGGTCTCTATGTTTTGGTCCTTTACTCATACAAACTACAACATGTCAAATTGTTATATATTTTTTAAGACGAGGCAGGGTTGTAGCTTTTTTGACTCATTTTTTTAGGTTCCTACTTTCTAGATTAGTTGGACTTGATATTTCTAATATAGAAACCACCAACTTTGGGATCTAATAGGTGACGTTGCTGAGACTTTGTTTGCTGTAGAAGTAGAAGATCAACTTTAACAACCAATCAAAGCAAACACCAGTCAGTCTAGCGTAAATATAAACCACCTCCAAATAAGGCTAGACTTGATCGCCAAAAGAATCTCCTTATTTGTGTTTTTGCTGCCCCAAATTTCTAAAATCAACATCATCAGTGCTGAAATATTTCCAAACCTAATCTGCTCCGACAGTCTGAACAAACCTAAAGTTATAAAGTTGATGAGTCTCTGAGGATTTGTCTCCGCAGTTAACCTCTTTAACATTTCATGTCATAATTAGCTTGACTTGAAGACCCGTTGACAGGCGCAGGCTCTTAAGGACTCAATCAGCGGACTTTTATGTTAAAAACATAAATTCAGGGGAATCGATCTCTCCCTTTAGACCTGCGGCTAACTGGTAATCAAATAGTCTGAACCTCTTCTGAACTTGTCCAGAGAGGCTGATGGACTGTTCGTACCCTCATGTAGTGCAGTCTGTGGCTTACAACTTTAACTCCTCAATCTTCTGACAGCTTCACCGTGCATCCACAATCTTCCTGATCGTATTTAAACACTTCGCTTATTTCTCTTTATCCTCTGCCTGTGCTGAATCAAATGAAACAACTCTCCAAACCAGATGTCCTTCCTCTGACGGGGTGACGCTGCTTCTTTTTTTTACAAGCCAGAAAAGCAATGAGGTTGAAAAGTGCTGATCAAATTCAGAGTTTAAAGAGGTGATCAGAGTGTGATCCAATCCAGAGGAAGTGAGAAATGGAAGGAAAAACTCTGCGGGGCCAAGACTCGCTCTGGAAGTCATCCGCTGCCTCTTGGATCTCTATCCTCTCTCTCGATTACATCCCATGTTGGCTTATTGGCGATCGAAGGCTTGGATCAACCTTTCCGTTGGTTTGACGGCTCTCACGACCTCAACCCCCCCAAACAAAGACCTCAATGTATAGCTGCAATCAGATTGGCTCCACTCCAGTATTTTCCTCCGCTGTTGGACAGCATGCTGTGATTTTCCTCTGTGGACTCTGGAAACTTGTTTGAGGTCATGAGTGGGACTTAGCCAACATGTCCCTGATCCGCAGTGAAGTCCTGTTTCTGCACTTTCTCTAATTCAGCGATACACATGTTAGACGTCAACACATTTGACCACATGGAGGATTATTCCATGGATGGATGGATTCATCTTGGATGGATTTTAGTGTCTCTCCATCATCATAAACAATCAGACTGACACTGAAAATTGGAGGTTAAATAGCGTGGATGTGTCGCTAGGAGGCAGGGATGTAAACAAAATCACAAAAATGTTCGTATCGTATCAAAAAATGGTAAAGAACTATTAAAATAATGGTGATAAGCTTTGTACAGTCTGCCCTTCCAACACATATTGACCGTAGGAGGTTC